CCCTAAACCCTAAACCCTAAACCCTAAACCCTAAACCCTAAACCCTAAACCCTAAACCCTAAACCCTAAACCCTAAACCCTAAACCCTAAACCCTAAACCCTAAACCCTAAACCCTAAACCCTAAACCCTAAACCCTAAACCCTAAACCCTAAACCCTAAACCCTAAACCAAAGCCCTAAACCCTACGCATGAGGGAGGGAGGCGCTTCGGGAGAAGTGCCGTAACCGACCGACTAGCTAATACTTATTACACCCTACCCTAGGTTCTCTGGGTCGTACTAAACCCGAAAAGTCACTAGCATTCGCATCCTTCCTGTGCACCTTCACGACACCCTACGGCCATCACTCATCGCCCAGCACGGCACCGCAGACTTCCCCCTCGACGCTCCGGACGGCTCCGGACTCTTGCGTCAAAGTTCCTTCTGCAGTGTTCGTGTTGGACGACAAACGACCAGTCGTAGTTTGTCCTCTGTGAAAATAATGGAACCCCAAGCACTCCTCTTGCGTGACACACAGTCGATTTGAGTGGAAAGCCTGCGGAGGATCCTTTATGCATGGACGGACCGATCGACGGGCGGGGCGTCGGCGTGTGCGGATGCGGATGCGTGTGCGGAGATTATTATGAATCCGTGGCGTTTTATCCAAACGCGAGAGACGAGAGAGAGACGACGCGAAGGATGGACGCGAACGCGAAAGTATACCAACGATGATTATTATGAGTATTATGAGTATCAATGAATAGTGTACGTGACGACGCCGGCCGGTGGAGGACGCGCGCGCGGCCGTCAGACGGACATCGGCGATTCGCCGCGGGCGGAGACGACGCACCCGGATTGGACGTACTGGAGGAGACTTCCAAAGCGGTCGGCGCCGAAGACGGCGTCGAATCGATACTTGCGAATGAAGACCCGAGCGGCGTATTCCCACGTCGTGCGTTCGAGACGGTGGTGATCGAGGGTGGAAGAGTGAGGGATGTCGACGGTTTGTCGGTTGTGTTCGATGTCGTCCAGAAAGGCGGCGCAGACGTGTTGCCCGAGCTTGGACGGGAGGTTGTAGCGAACGACGTACTCCTTCCAAAAGAAGACGAACCAGGAGACGACGGAGGCGATGACGGCGACAGAGGCGATGTAGAAGGGAACGTTCTCAGATCGGTCGGTGAAGTTGAGACCGAAAGTAGAGGCTTCACGCACGCAGAGCGCCCACGGAAGGGCGACGGCGGTCGCGAGAGCGATGCACATTCTCACTTGCGTCAACAGACCCTGGGCGAGCGCCATTTTGATGCAACTCTTCAACTTGCCGCGCGGTTCGTCGGATAACGGTTTCATCTTCGTGTTGAGGAGCAACGCGAGTCGAATGATGTGGAACTGGACTCGAGATAACCAGAACAGGGCCAAGATGGCGGAGAGCGGGGTGACGAGACCGAACGAGTACGAACCCGCCGAGGTCAAGTCGGTGGACCACTTTTGCACCTTGACGCGAGCGGCGATGTTACCGATCGTGAAGACGATACCCGTGCAGAATGAGAGAAGCGCCGAAAAAATGATGAAACTCGCGGTGTAACTCTCGTTCGACGCGATGGTGAAGCTCTCCAGATCAAAGGCTGCGCGAGCCAATTTCGCGTGACTCGCGCGCTCCGCGAGCGCTCGCGCGTCCCTCGCCGTCTCCGTGATGGCGATGTTCGCCGGCTTGTACCACGCCTTGGCCGAGGCGCGAGCGTTTGAGGGCGACAAGTCATCACGACGAAAGAGCAAGATTGGGTACATCAGGATGTTTATCCAGAACTTGACGAGGTCACCGACGTGAGACTTGGAGTAATTGCCCGTTCTGATGAAGCCAAATCTGATGTGACCGCGACGAATAGACTTTTCGAGCACGCGACGAAGCACGACGACGCGCTCGAATAAGCACTGCGCCTGCATATCAACAGCCGTTCCGGGTTCACTGCTCTGAGACCGCCAGTACATCATGTCTCCCACGACTTCGTGCATCTTCACGAGGTGATCTTGAAGATACGCGCTCTTGTAAAACGTCTCCGCTATGGCCACCGACACGAGATACTCGTCGAATTCAGAGCACGCTCTGTCGCCGTGCACGTCTTCCACGAAGGCTTCGAAGTGGTGAAACAATTCTTTGGGCTCGGGGAAGTTGTAATACGCGCACATCTTGACGAACGCATCCATCATGGATCGCAAGTCGTTCACGTACGGACTCGCGTGCAGAGACTGTTTTTGAGCATCGCGCGACATGACGTCGTACGCGCCTCGTTCAGCCTGCTTGAACAAATTGTCCTTGTACGCGACGAGCCACTCTTCGTTTCTGTTCTTGTATCGACTCGCCCCGGTGATGGTACCGAAGGCGACGATCGGCGTGAACGCGGACAGCGCGGCGGCACTAAGCGGATTCGAAGTCGACAAGACGAGCGCCGCGGCGGCGAGCGCCGCGCTCATGGTGAGACCTTCGGCGAAAGCTTGCGTTTCGACAGAGGTGCTATCGATGACGGAGTCGACCGGATTCGGCTGTTTTTCCGCGTAACTCGTGAAACGGAATCCATTTTCTCGCAAGAATGAGGCGTACTCGATGAGCTCTTGCGTCAATGCATCCAAGCTGTTCGCGATCCACACGTGTTTTTCCGTGAGCATCTTTTTCGTGTCGTCGGAAATATTTGCGCGTTCGAGAAGTTCTCGCCACGGTTCGTCGCTCTCGCCGACCTTGTCGTTCGCCTCGGCGAGACGATCGCACAAGTCCATGGCGGTGAAGCTGGGATCCTTGCCAACCTCCTCCATGAAGACTTCGTAAATGACGTGAGACATTTGCTCGCTCAGCGCGGAGAGGTACGATTGATTGTCTTCGAGGCCTCTGGGGATGAGAGCCGAACAGAACTTCACCTTCCAGTCATCCGTCAGCAGTTGAGCGACGTCATTATCGCTCTCGCGACACTCGATGTACTTCGAATACAGATAGCGGACGCCCTCCTTGTACGGAAACGACGGTCGAAGGAAACCATCGACGCCGTAGTTGGCGCCGGTACCGCGCGTGACGACTTCACCGTTCGACCAGTTGGTCGAGCTCGAGTACGTGCGGAAGCGATCTTGGAACGCTACGCCGATAATCGCGTCGCCGATAAAGTTGTTGAAGAGCATACTGTTGATGCACGCACCGGTAAGACCAGAGTAACGCATAAAGTGCGGGGTGCTCTGTTCATCGCCGCAGAAAGCGAAGACGTATCCCTTATCTTTGCTGTCCGAGCGCACGCGCATCGTGCGGTGATTGACGTAGTGCGCCACGGGGAACGTCGCCATCGAAACCTTTGATTCGGTGTTTCCGTTCGGCGCTCGAGTGAGGTTACTTCCTCGATACACCATGGTGGAGTTGGACATCTTGGAAACGTAACCTTCGACGTTGCGCACGACGGCGCCCGACACACCAGTCATGATGACATCGTAACGGTCGTTCGGTTGGTCGACGACTCTAAAGCTCTCGAATCCAGGCAAAGACCCAAGAGTGACCGGAGTCAACGAATCGATGAAATAAAGACGAGGAATGAACTGCTGTCCACCTGGGTTGTACACGTCGCCGAAGCGAATTGTCTCGAGAGTTGCGTCGTACCAGAGACGGTCGATCGATCTGGTGAGAGCGCCCTTCAGGTTTCGTAACTTGTCCTCTTTCTTCTTAATATCTTGTGCGTTCTTCGGCTTGGAGTTCCACGTGAGCGTAGACTTGACCAATGAATCAACTGTCTTCGTTTTCCATTCGTCGTATTCTCTCGTCAACTCCATACCGAGGTAGAAGTTGTCGCCAGTCTCGAAGAAGCGCGTCTGCAGATGACGTCGGACGTAGGGAGCTTGCTTTGTGTGTTGTTTGACGAGCGTGCACATCGTCTGCCAAATTTCTGGCATTTCTGCAGAAAATCCACAATCCCCGACGAGACGCTCAAAGTGGAGACGCCAATCGACATCCTTGGTGATGAATTTGAGCATCTTCTTCGTGATTTTCTGAGAGTTGACAACCTTGGTAAAGTCACCGACGATGCGAGTGTTCTGATCCGTGTGACTGCGAATGTCATCGACCACTCTGCTGCGCCATCTCGAGTTACCAAAGTTGTGCATGCCTTGGCTCACCTTGAGTCCCGCGAGACAAGCCACGCCGTACGGCTCGGTCTGCGTGATTGCAAAGTGCACCGGACTGCCAGCGGGCTTACCGATGGCCTCGACGACGTGGTAGTGCTCGATGTCCAGCTCAAACTTCTGTGAGGCAATCTCGTTGTAAGGCAGCACCTCTTGCACATACTTTCCGTCGCTTCCGCGAATGACGGATTCGATGACCAAACTTTCCACCAAAGAGTGTGCCTTTGTATCCTTGTGATAGACGGACGGCAGCTTATTTGCAAAGCACGCAAAGTCGTCGTACGCGGAATGAATTGACTTGAATTCATAGAATTCCTTGTCGATATTGACACCGACAAGTCGATACGGTAAGCATTGCTGTTGATCCAAGATGTACACGGAATAAACTTCACCGAGTTTGAGATCCGTCGCCAAGTAAGATTTGTTGTACACGACGTCGACCACCTTCCAAGAGAAGGGTTCGTCGGATGGAGATCCTTCGTTATCGACTTTACGCAGAATCAAGTCAGTAATCTTGAGCGCCTTGCCCGTTTTGATCAGCTTGTTTTGTCGTACGTCGTACTGCGCGCCGCTATTCGTATCTTGCGTCAGCAATCCACGAGAGAGACGTTGCGAAACGCCCACGTTCATCATATTCTCCAAATCCTTGATGGTGATCTCGATGAAGCCTTGCGACGGAAGCACGTTGCCGTAGTGTGAGCTCGTATCACCCGGGGTTGGAATGAAAACATCCTCGTAAATTGTACCGAGATGGAAACGAAGACATGCGATCCAGCGCGCGTCCAGTCGAACAATCTGCGCTCTTTCGAAAGTTGCGCCAGCCTGAGTGAAAGCATCGCGCGATTCATAGATGCGCATGACGCCATCGCTTAACAAGACGTTTTCGAGGCAGTGAAGGGTTGTGAGCAAACCAGTCGGACCGCCTCCGATGACAATCATCGACTGCGGCGGCACGGTGACAATCTTCTTCATCTTGAGCGCCGACAAGCGCGCCTTATCACTTTGCAAAGCTTCGTCGAACAAGAAAGGCGTGTACGATTTCTCCTCGTAGACAAAGTATCGCTGACCAAGTTTCAGCTCTTTCACGGTCACTTCGGTTCGCGTCGCAGAGTGCTTGATGGCTGATAAGATATTGAGACGAGCATCGTCGATTTCTTCGCAGTGGAATTGTGACAATACCAGCAGTTGTCGAAGTGGCGAACGCAAAAAGGACAACTCCATGAATGAAGCGTAAGAGAAAACCGAGCCGTGGTCTAATTCGATCGTCATGAACGCCTTTTGCGCGCGAACGATCGACTCGCCAACTTCGACATACTTGTACGCGCTGAGTGTGGACTTTGAAAAGTCGAAGCAGTGCTCTGCGCGCGTGGCGCGATCCGTAAACGTGCAGGTTCCGTCCGTATTCTCGCGTTCAAAAATATACACGCGGCCGACGCCGTACTGATCCTTGACCCAGTACGCCTTTTTCGTGTCAAAGTTCGCAACTTCGTCACCCTTTGACATCTTGACGATTGTCTTGGACAGCGCTTCCCGTCTGATGTTGCGGCTGAGGAGTGTGCAAGCTCTCGATGTGAGTAACACGACAGCTTTAGAATTTGTGTAACCGCTCTTTACGAGTTGAATGAGCATGCGCTTGTCTCTCGGCGCGAGCAAATTGAGAGCCGATTTGACTTGCACCTCAGTGACGCCGCACTTCGTACTGACGGGCTCGCCGAGACACACAGAGTGCACAGCCTGCTTCATTTGCGCTTCGGTCGGCGCGATGAAATTACTTTGCGCGATCGCGCTGTGTCCAATTGCGACGCCATTCTGAACCGCGCTGCAGATCAACGCGACTTGTTGCGCTTCCTCGTCCAACCGCGTGAGACTCCTCTCGATGGCTTTCAACCAACTCTTAAAGGGATCGTAAATTATCTTACTTCCGCCGCACACGTTCGCGGCGAGCTCCTTAGAAATCATACGAACGATGGGCTTGATCATGACCGCGTTGGCCACCGGCGGGATGTTTTGCAACTTTTTGAGCACGGGCGCCAACACGGTGGAGTCCCACGCATTCAAGCCTCGCAAATTGGCGAGAGTAAACAAGACGACGGGCATGTGGAATCGAAGCGTCTCCAACGGATTCAGCTGCTCTTGGCGTTGATGCGCAAAGTTACCGTACGGTTGGTCGAGCATGCTGTGCCAATGTCTCGCCAACTGCGACACCACGTGCACGACGCCGTTGTTCACAAGCGTGCTCGACGGCGACACGGCAAAGGTACGAACGACGCTCTCATCCGTCGGTAACCGATGATTGGCGCGGAATTCGTTCGTCTTCATGCGTCCGACAAACGCACCGTGTTGTGCGAGGTTGGATGCCTCGAAACTGTTCGTCTCCGCGGCGAGATTTTGCGCGACGACGTTCGGATCGTCGGTGATGAGCGCCTCGCGTCCGGTGAGAACACGAGTGATCCAGTTGCCTTGACCGAGGAACACGCGGAAGAAGGAGCCAACGACAAAGTTTCGCGTGTTTTGGAAGTTTTCAGAGGATGGGAAACCGGTGAATCCGATCACGGGAACGGTGCCGAACGCGTCCATCATTCTGTTAAATTTCACCGACCAGTGCGTGTGCCAGAAAATGTCGTAACGAGACATTTGCTGCACGAGCACTCGACTGACGTTGCGATTCAAAAAGGCATGACGAAGCAATCGCTTGAGATCACTGGTGTTTCCAGACTCGTACGCCGAGATGACGGATCCGAGCAAGAAGGATTCGGCGCCGCTGAGAAAGTGCATCGCGGCGTCCAAACCTCGAGTAAATCGAAGTCGATTGACGTCGTCGTACGACGCGATCATCAACATTCGAAGCACCGCGCGCCAGGAATCACCCGCCCATCCGACTTCCACCTGCACTGGAAGAGTGGACAAATTCTCCAACAGCGACGGTTGCACCGAACTCATCAGCACCTGCTCGCCTCCCTCGACGAGTTTCACCACCTCCAACACGCCCTCGGCGTCGAGTTCGCGGAACCGTTTCTCATCCACGCTCGTGAGATCCCCCGTGGACACGAAACTATCCCCGGTCTCCACGTCCACGAACACCCTACCGTTGCCGCGCCCGCTCGCGCCGCCGCCCCCATTCATCGCCTTGAACGTCCTCGCGCGAAGCATGTTCACCTTGACCGATTCTCTTTTTCGCAAACGTCTCGCGTCGTCTCTCTCCCGCGCCGACCCACCGACGTCCTCATCCGCCGCACCATCGCTCCCGCGTTCCCGCGCGCCCACCACCGTCGTCACCTCCGTGAACCGCGTCTTCGTCGTCTCCCCGCGCCGCTCCCGCTTCGACTGGCTCAGTCTCCGCACCGAACTCTTCGCCCGCGCGAGCGAAAAAGCCCCAATCGTCTCCCTCGCCGGCGCCGCCGCCGCGTCCGCCGGCGCCTGCACCGGCCCGACGGGTTCACTCGCCGTGAGCACCGCCTCCGACATCGTCACTCACGACGAGACGCGCCCCCACTGCGAGCTGCGTGGCCTGCGCGCACCGCTCTGTCAGGTGCGTCTTGAAAGTCTCGCCGTGCTCAAGCAAAATGGTTTTTCCCCAGATTCGACGAAGCACTGAAACCCTAGACCCGTCGAAAGACGGACGACACGAGCATCACTCCGCGACGCGAGCGACGCACAGGCACGAATGAAACAAAACGCGCGCGTGCACGAGAAAAGAAATCTCAGCGCGTCATGGGTGGTTCGCTAAGCGCGCCAGCATTCTATCACCCCGACCTGCTCGCAGTTCTTCAATGTCAGAAGAAAATCCCGATCGACTTCGTGTCGCGCGATGTACCATCCTGGCACATCGCTCCCCTGCTGGAAACCCATACCCACATAAAGGCGCCCCACCGTCCCGCTTCGCACTCCGTGATGACGGATTCAGTCGCGTGCGACGTGCCTTTGTACCAAAGGCACGTTGCACAATTGGCTGAAGTGCCTTCCAAGCGTCCCCGGGACCCAGATTGGTCGAGAAACTCACCCGTGGCGAACGAGCTTGTAGATATCTTGAACGGCGCACTACAGGACATGGGGGGGTGGCCCATTTGTGAAACGATCCGATGCTTGTGCTGCTCTGTAAGCGGCCCGGTGCGAAACACACCGCCGCAAATGGTAGAGGCATTTAAGAAAGTTTGTCAGCAAGTCAACGAGGCTAAGCTTTTCAATATGGGCCTCCAATGCAGAGCCGGCATGTACAAAATAGAAAGAAAAGCCGGCGAGGGCGTAGCGGAAGTAAATGAATTCTGCGTGTTGGTGGAAAAAAGAGATGACGAAAAGCTTCGCAATGTGGAAGCACTGGACACACTGGAATATATTCGTTCTTTGAAGCTCTCCCCCGGCTGGGAACCTAGAGACTGGAGAGATCACCATGCGGTGGTGACAGGCTGGTCACCGCCTGCAAACTGGATGGCCCGCTGCTATGATTTTCCTACTCCTTCCTATGAAACAACGAATTATGTTTAGAGTACTTCGAACGTCAAGCAATCGGATATAATCTTTGTCTATTGTACAATCGCACACGTCTTTGACCGCGTCCGAGGTCGCTAAGGCTGAACTTGTTCAAGCGATGTATCATGAAAATCGGTATTACAATTCTATTTGCCGACCGCATCGGTGAACTCTAACGGCGTATCGGGCGTCGAGCGCGCGCGACGGAGCGTCGCCGTTTCCGCTCGAGCCTTCACGAGCGACCGTTAGTTTGGCGAAACGTTTCGTTTACGCCTCTTCGACGACGGCTGCGACGCTGCACCTTCGACTTTAACTTCGCCGTCACCAATGTTCACCGTTGCCGTCCGTCGCAATCGCAATCGAATCGGTCCCCTGAACGTGCTCGGCGGCGACACCGCCTCGCCCTTTTGAGTGATTTCAATCTTCCCGCGCTCCGCTTCCTCGATCGCGATCCGTCGCGTGAGCTCCATGTAATCGCGCCACGATTTCCCTCGAATCGCCCGTCTCAAGCGCGAGTCGTCGCCTGCGGGCGCCGATTTACCCCCGAACACGCGTCTCGGAACTTCGCTCGGTCAGCACGACTTCAACGACCCGCGCGCGGTGCAGACGTGCACGAGCGTCGCGCGCAGCGCACGCGCGATGACGACGTCGTCGGTGTCTTGGCGCACGTCGTCGCCATCGACGGACGCCGGCGGCGTCATCGCGCGCGCGGTGCCCGCGCCAGCGTCGGCGACGACGTCTGCGGGGTCTCGCTGGATGAGAGGCGCGTCGTCCCGTCGTCATCGAGATCGTCACACACCGCCTCGTGTCGCATGCGCGTCATCGCTCGAGTGATCACGCATCGCGGATCGGCGTTGAACTCGACCTCGACGCGCTCGGCCTCGACGCTCGCTCGACGCGCTCGCGAGCGCGCCGTCGTCGGAAACGTCGCCGCGAGAGGACGAGGACGTCACGTCATGGCGAACTCGGCGACGACGACGCCGGCGTCCTTCATCGACGCTTTCAACGATGAATACCTGGCCAAGCACAAGACGTTCGAGGATAACTTTTGGGCGACGAAGATGAACCTGCGAGGGAACGACGTGGAGGCGCTGACGAAGTCGTTCAACGCGCTGGAGACGTTCATGGGCGACGCTGAGACGTTGGCGAAGACGCGCGAGTTGTTGGCGTCCAAAGACGTCACGGATGACCAAAGGATTGTGCTGGAGCAAATCGAAAAAACGCTCAAGTGCTACATCGTCGAGTCCAAAGAAGCCGTGGCGTTGCGCGAATCCGCCATCGCGAAGGAGAACGCGTTGCAAGCGGCGCGCAATAAACAAGAGCTCGGGTACACCGATGTGGACGGCAAGTTCGTCTCGGCCACGCCCACGGTGTTGCGCACGAAAATTCGCTCGAGCGATGAGGAGTGCGTGCGCAAGAGTTGCTGGGAGACGCTTCGCGCGAACGGTCCCTTTTTGTGCGACAACGGCTTCCCAGCCATCATCGCCGAGCGCAACCGCTTCGCGCGCGCGCTCGGTTTCGAGGATTTTTACGACATGAAGGTGACGCAAGCGGAAGGCTTCAACAAGAAGAAGTGCTTCGAGATGCTCGATGGCTTGGAGGAAGCTACGCGACCGCTCATGCACGCCGCGCGCGACAGGCTCAAGGCGGAAAAGGGCGAAGACGCGACCAAGGGATGGAACACAGCGTACGCGCTCAGCGGAGAGTTGACGCAGTTGATTGATCCGTATTATCCATTTGAAAACGCTCCCGAGGTCTGGGGACGCTCGTTCGGGGCGATGAAGATTGGTTACAAAGGCACGACTATGCGACTGGATTTATGCGATCGCGTCGGCAAGTATCCCAACGGTTTTTGCCACTGGCCGACGCCGCCGTTCAAGAAAACTGATGGCACGTGGGTGCCGTCTGAGTCGAACTTTACCTCGCTCGCCACGCCTGATGAAATTGGTAGCGGTAACACCGCCTTGACGACGCTGATGCACGAAGGCGGACACGCCGCGCACTTTGCCAACATCGTTCAAGGTTCTCCGGTGTTTGCGCAAGAGCGGGCGCCGTTCTCTGTCGCCTTGGCGGAGACACAATCAATGTTTCTCGACGCCTTGTGCGAAGACGCTGCGTGGCAAGCGCGATACGCGAAGGATCGCAAGGGCAACGTCATTCCTTGGGAGTTGATTGAACGAAATATTCGACAAAAGCACCCTTATAAGGTCATGGCGCTGCGCGGGATGATCGCCGTGCCGTACTTTGAGAAGGCTTTGTACGAGCTTTCGGAAGATCAATTGACGACGGAAAACATTTGCCGCGTCGCTGATGAGATTGAAGAAAAGATTCAAGGAGGTTTCAGCGGTCGTCCGTTGATGAGCGTGCCGCACATCTTGGCCGACGAGTCGTCCGCATACTACCACGGATACGTGTTCGCAGAGATGGCCGTGCACCAAACTCGAGAGCATTTCTTCCGCACCGAGGGATACATTGTCGATAACCCAAAAGTCGGTCCAACGCTCGAAGCCGAGTACTGGCGTGCCGGCAGCGGCAAGCCGGGCTTCCTCGGGTTGGTGAATAATCTCACTGGCAAGCCTTTGTCGCACGACGCTTGGGTCAAAGAACTCGGCGAAGACGTCGAAGAACTTGTCAAGAGTGAACGTGAGGCTTATGAAAAATCTCTAGCCGAAGCCACATCTACGAGCGATGTTGATTTGGACATGCGCATGCTATTCGTCCATGGCGACGAGGTCATCGCCGATAGTGCCGAAAACGGAGGTTTCTTGCCGGCGTGTGCAAAGTTCAAGAGCTGGATTCACGACAAGTGGCCGAAAACCGTGGCAGCGTAGATTGTACTCGTGCGCGATGAACTTGATGAAATAATGAATTCAACATTTTACAAATTTTCTCCATCTTGAGTTTTGCCGCGGTTCAACCTCGATGAGTGTCTCGCCTCCTTCACGCGTCGTCGCTGCCGTCGCTCCGCTCACCGTCGGCGCCCCACCGCGACCGTCGCCGCGGCGGACTTCTAGAATCCCGTCGCCTCTCTTGGCCGCGTCCTACCCTATCTCTGCTATGTCGTCGCGGCGGCCGGTCATACGGTTTCTGCTGCGAACGTCGACCGTCGCGACCGCGTTCCTGATTTTTCTTCATGCGCTCGTACGCCTCGTCCTCGCGCTTGCGCTGCGCCTCGGTATCCTTCATGAATTTCGATGGCACGCCTTTCTCTCCGTGTTTGCCCGCGTTCGCCTGTGCGCTCGCCAAGAGCTCCCACAGTTGCACGCAAAACGTTTCGGTTTGCTTTTCGAGAAACGACTCCAACTGCGCGTACATGTGTGCGCCATTCTTGTGAATCTTGCACTCTTCTAGCAACACCTCGATCATGCCGATCAAAACTTCGTCCTCCACCCCCAACAGCGCGGTGATCTCGCGCGAGATCCACGGTTTGATGACTTCTAAATCAACCTTGTCGATGTCAATTTTCACCTTGAGCGCCTCGGCGAGCTTGGCGTTGGCGCTCGATGAGCTGCTCGGTCGTTTCCCGAACGCCGCGGCACCGCGGCTGAACGGTTGTCTGTACGTGCTCATGCGGCTCGTCGCGTAAAGACTCGAGCGCGCGCGAGTGCGGAAGTGCGGAGAAAATCTCAACCCTCACTACACCGCATAACCTGACGCCCGACGCCGACATCGATGGGTGGTGAAGACGACATCAAGGGCATCCTGGGCGTGTGCGCGCAGGTATGCTTCGTCGGCACCGTCATCGCAGCCGCGCGCGAGTCCGGCGCGCACTGGTTACACCGAACGTGCACGCTCTGCGGCGGCGCGAAGACGATGCGCTGCGAGCACTGCAAAGCCACTGGCAAGTTGCAAAAGCCGGAGGATCGAGGTGATTTCGCGACGTTGAACGCGAAGATTGAGACATTTCAGTGCATGTTTTGTCAAGGCAAGGGAGCGGTGAACTGCCGCAGGTGTGCGGGCGCGGGGGGCGAGATTGGACGCAACATAAACTGGCATCGCATGGTGCACGGCGAAAAACCTTTCAAGGACTTGCTGAGAAACCGCAACTTTGGCTACATTCCTTCCCTCTTGAACGAACGAATCGCCAGACAAGCGGATCGCGATACGTTGGATGACTTTCACGATGAAGTCGAAGAGTTGGACGGGGTGGCGGCAAAGATTCGTCGCTTTCGCCTGAGCCAGGCGCGAGGCGAGGCGCCGCCGGCGAAAGGTAAGAGGAAAGGCAAGGCGAAGAAGACTTCTTCAAAGGGCAAACCGACGAACGCGGCGGCGGCGAAGAATTCAAAGCCATCGGGGAAGGCGAAGAAGAAAGTCGCGCCCGCGCCCGTAGAAAAAGAGTAAGGAAACTTCTCACGTAGTAGCCCGAAAGTGTAAAGTATTAGACATCTGCATCGACGCCTCAAAACAGGGCGCGCGTTCTGGTTCGAGCGTCTCGCACGACGCGAGTGCGCGTATATCGCTATGGATCGTACGAGCGTGATGCGAGCACCCGAGCGCGGCGTCAACGACACGTCGACGCTGACTCCCACGTCGGCATCGTTACTGCGGTACGCCAATCACGAAGTCATTCGAGCGCTGTTGCGACGAGAAAACGACGACGAGCACGGCGAGGATGACGATGATGGTGATTTCGAATCCCTCGATCGACGCGCGAGGGAGATCGAAATGAAACTCGTGGACGTCGAGCGTCGCTCGATCGACGCTCACGCGGATGAGTGCGAGAATTTACTGCAACTGCAAGGCGAAGTGCACGCGTGCGACGGGATATTGAGCGACATGGAACAAACGTTGAAGACGTTTCAGGACGATTTAGGGCGTATATCGATGGAAATTAGGGAGTTACAGCGTTCGAGCGAAGATTTACGCGTGCGAAGTGCAAACCGCGCGCGAGCTGAGCGAAAATTAGGCGACGCGGTGGAGGCGCTTTCGGTACCGCCGTCGCTGATTAACGCCGTGTTTAACGGCGACTTCGTCGGCGGTGACGGGGGATTTGTCGAAGGCGTTCGCGAACTCGAGGTGAAGTTGGATCATCTCAGTGTGTCCGCATCGAAAGGCGCGGGTCGCGCTGTAAACGACGTCGCGCCAGAACTCGAGCGACTGCGCGTCAAGGCGGTCGACCGCGCTTGGGCCTTCTTGTACGGTGAATTCGCGGCGTTGAAGAAGCCACGCGCGAACGTACAGTTAATTCAAGAAAATTCACTCGCGAGACACGCGCCTCTGATCGAGTTCCTACGTAAGCGAGGACCAGAGGTGTATTGGGAGGTGAAGAGCACTTACGCGGATGTCGTGGGAAAAGTGTTGAAAACGGCGATGACTTCGTATTTGGATTCGCTCAAGCGCGTCACAAAAGCGCCTAGATCTCGAGTTTTGCTCGCATCCAGGACGCGCACGACTTCCTCGACGACGGCAACAACGTCGGCGACGACCGACGTCGCGTCGGCGGCGGCGAACGCCTTGGCTGGAATGTTCGCGGGCATCACGTCGTCGCCGGCGTCTTCTAGTGCGTCCAAGACTGATGAGACGAATGGCGACAGCTTGTTTGATCTTGGTAATCGCGCGCGTGCCATGTATGCGGCAGAGACAGAGCCTCCGTTGGTGGTGCATCGGCAATCGGACAAGGTGAGGCAAGAAGCGCACGCCTACGAGGAGTTGTTCCGAAGCGCGCATCGCCTGCTCATAGACACCGCGACGTTCGAGTATGCGTTTTGCGAAGTATTTTGGAAAGGCGAGCGCGAAATGTTTGAAATCGTTTTCACCGGTCCACTGATGGCGTACAACGATTTCGTCGCCCAAGGCGTTGCGCAGTCTGGGCACGACGCCGTCGGGCTGTTGATTGCCATCCGCGTGAACAACGCCCACAGACGCGTGATGAATCGTCGCCGAGTGCCCGCGCTGGACGCGTACATCGACAACTTGAACATGATACTTTGGCCGAAGTTCAAGCACGCGTGTGATGCGCACGTCAAGTCGCTCGAGGACACGCGAGAGTCGTTCGAGCCCAATCCAGAGTCGCCGAGTTTCATCGTGAAGCGATACGCAAACTTTGTCCTCGCGCTCACCACAGTGGCACATTCGCGCATGGGCGCATCTTCTGCGGATGAACTTAACGTTACGAATCAGGTTGATTTGTTTCTCGATCGTTTGCGACGGTCGATGTACGACTGTGTTACGAGTAAGCTGTGCGCTTCGCTCAAGGCGTCGCCTCGCTCGCGAAGCGCGTATTTGGTAAAGTCGTACGATCACATCTGCTCGACGTTAAGCTCTTTGACGAATCTCAACGATGATGACGGTGTCGAGAGATGCGCTGAGGATGACGAACTCGCCACAGAACTCGCGAGTCTGCACTTCTTTGAAGAAAAACTCATCGAAGAGTCCAAAGCGTTTGTGTCGCACGCGTTGGCGGAGCGCTTCCCGAGAATTACGACGATTTCGCGACGCCGTCGGAGCGGTGAAGGCGCGAGCATTGATGCACTCGTCATTCGTGACGCACTCGTCGCGTTTCAACGCGAATGGCGTGATGCTTTGAAAGCGGCGCACGAAGACTGCGTGTCGTGTTTCGGCGCCGCGCGCGACTGGCGCGCCAACGACCTCTTCCACCGTTGCTTGGCGGAATTGGTATCGACGTACTTTGCCTTGATCGACGACGACACCGATGAGACCATCATCGTCACCAAACCCACCTTCACGCTCGAGGGCAACCGCTACGTCTCGAGATCGTAGACGTAGACGCTGCGAATTAAAGAACGCTAAATGTATACTCGTCGCCTCTTCCTCGTCTCCAGTCCTGCTCCTCGCGCGACCGACGCGCCGAAAGCCTGGCTGCCGCGTTCCCGGTGTTGGCTCTCTGGATAAAGCGTCGTCAAGCGTCGCGTCAGTCTCCGACGCGCAGGCCGCGATGGCGTGCAAAGTCTGCGCCGTGGGACGAGCGATATCAACCCCGGACGTCGATCGCTCGTGTCGTCCCTGTCGTCCGTCGAGCGTCCGTCGTCGACGCTCGTCGACGCTCGTGGCGTCATCTTCCGGGACGTCGTCGAGTGGTCGTCCGCGCCGTCCATCGTCTTGGACGGCGCGTGAAAAGACGCAGAAGAATATTGGGCGCGATTATCTCGTGGAGCTCGGGAAGAACGACACCGGGAACACGAATACAAACGTCGGCGCCCGACAAGGTGTAGTGGACGACGTCTTCACGCGCAACGCCACTGGCGAGTTTCAACTCGGCGCTGATTCCGACATCGCGAGCGGCGAGCTTCGGTACCGGTATCAAGAGGCTAGAAAGTTTAAAAATTTAGTCGGCGATTACCACTGTCCACCGGCTTTCATGGAGAAGGTGAGCGGGCACTTGGTGAAGAACTTTTTATTTGGCGGCGGCTTGCGACACGTGCGAGAGATGACAAACGAAGCCGGAGTCGTGGTTCAACCGCCTAACACCCCGCTGATTTTGGGTGTTTGGGGCGGCAAGGGTTGCGGGAAATCGTTTAATTTGGAACTTGCGTGTAAAGCCATGGGTGTGACGCCGATCATCACGAGCGCTGGTGAGTTGGAGGACGAAAACGCCGGCGCGCCAGGGCGGTTGATTCGCGAGCGATACAAGCGCGCAGGAGAAATTTTGCGACGCACGGGGGTGATGAGCTGTTTAATCATCAACGACGTCGATGCTGGTATTGGATGGTTCAAGGACACGCAGCACACGGTGAATAACCAAACCGTGTGTGGCACGCTAATGAATTTGTGTGATCACCCAGAACTCGTCAGTCTTGGCGAAGATCGCGGCGAAGATGGCAAAAATTTGCAAACTGCGCGCGTGCCGATCATCGTTACAGGAAACGACTTATCAACGGTCTACGCGCCATTGTTGCGCGATGGAAGAATGGATAAGTGGTACTGGAATCCTAGTCGAGACGATATCTGTGACATCGTGCACGCACTTTTCAAGGACGAAGTGGACTGGTCTCCAGACGCCACAGCGCGTCTAGTCAATGCGTTCCCGGGTCAGCCGTTAGACTTTTTTGGTGCCGCGCGGGCCAAAGTATACGACGACGCCGTATCACGTTGGATGTGCGAGGTCGACGTCAGGGAGCGTTGCGAGTTTTTGATTCGAAAGATGTCGTTGGGGGGCGAGGAGGACTTGTTCGGAAACGTCGGCGATGACTCCTCGCTCTGGCGCTATCACACGCCAAAAGAAGTCGTGCGAGGGGCTTCAATTTCCCCACAAAGTGTGTTTGACGCGGCAACGGAGTTGGCACAGCAGCAGCAGTACATGATGACGCAAAAGCTCTCCATCGAGTACATGAAGTGGCAAAAGAATCCGGAAGACTTGACGGATGAAGAGCGCGAGGCGATGGAGGCGAAGGATAACTGGCGCAAGACGATGAAGAAACGCGAGGAAGTGAGACGCGCGCGCGCGGCAGAAATGCGTATCAACAAGGCGAGCCCAGAGAGCATAGAGGCGCGGAGATTGCTTCTCGAAGCGACGATGAAGCGCGCCAGAGAGAAGCGTGAACTTGAATCGACCGAAAGACGACTCACGGTGACTAGTGAAGGCATCCAGTCAAAATCGATTCCAGAGTCTCCATCGTCCAAGCGCTGGATGACGGTTTCGGTGGAAGAAGCTTTCGACGCGTTCAAAGCCGGCGTGTGCTCGGTCATCGACGTTCGTGACGTCAAATCGTTTCGGCGCGAGAGCATTTCGGGCGCTTTGAACATTCCTCTCGTAAATATCGAAGGAAAACCACTTGCGTACACGTACACGACAAATGCGCAAGAGTTCCTTGAAGTTTTCACCTCAAAGTTTCCAAACAAAGACGCTGCAGTAGTGCTTCTCGGGGGGCGTCAAATTGAAGCGAATGGGTTGGATGACCCCGAACGGTGCGGCTGCATGGACGCGCTGATCGATCGCGGGTACGAAAACGTCGTTGTTGTCGATGGGGGGTACGATGGCTGGGTGAAGGAGTATACACCTGGCGGCAAAAAGCGTTTACAAGAATGGAAATTGGACGTGGTGGTCGGTGCATCTGGTACGTCGTGCGTCGGTGCCGAGCTTCCCGTCGTTGGAGGTCTTGCGGAAGAGCGAAAAGCGGCGCAAATTGCCCACTTGAAAGCACTCGAGGAGCATCTGGTGAATTCAAACGCGAATAGCGCGTGGAAAGTGGCGTTTGATAGGTTCGATCGGCTTTACTTTTACAACGTCGAAAGCGAGAAGAGTCAGTGGGCGGATCCATCGGCGTATGATGTCACGAATCAGATTTGGTTGCTCTCGGCGCCGATGAGCGATTCAGGCGCCATCGCGTTGACGGCAATTTCCGTCGACGACGCCGTGCAGCGTTTACTTTCCAAATCATCGATGGTGATCGACGTGCGTAACCCATACGCTTTCAATATGGAATCGGTCAACGGCGTCATTAACGTCCCTTTACGTCGAGCGGAAGGATCAAAGCTCTCGCCGACGTACGCGATTGTCGGCAAAGACGCGTTCGCGCAAGCTTTGGCATCCATCGCAGCCGATAAGGCACAGTCGCTGATTTTCGTCGGCGACGAGTCGCCGGACGAGCGCTCGGAGATCGCCGCGCAGCACGCGCTGTCGGCGGGGTATACGGACGTTTTGATAGTCGTCGATTCAGTTCCTCAGTGGCTCAAAAAGTACACGGCGAGCGGAAAACCGAAGAAGGTGTTGGCGCAAGGGGCTTACAAGAGCGACCTGCTGTCAAAAGGAGCCTTCAACATGTTTGCGGGCGAATCGTGATTTCGCGTGAGTTCGCGTCGTTCGCAGAGACATGTATTAAGAGAACAGCCGATGCTTCAGAACGCGACGTATGACCAAGCAATTCTTTTTCGCCGGGGATCTCATGCTAGCGCGCGGCGTGGATCAAGTTCTTCCGAATCCGCTGCGAAACGCCTCGCTACGCGAATCTTGTTGTACGCACGCCAACGACTACGTACGCCTCGCGATGAAGAAGTGCGCGATACAGCGTAAACCAACCTGGACGGCGAAGGAACTGCTCGGCGACCTGCTTCCTGCTCTTCGTTCGCGAGAGCCCATCGACTTAAGCGTCGTAAACTTGGAAACGTCAGTGACAACGAACGATGAGTTTTGGCCGCGTAAAGGAGTGTGTTATCGCGCGTCGAAGGAAAACTGTCTCGATGTCTTGGCAACTTTGCGCGTCGATGTGCTGACGCTGGCAAACAATCACACACTGGACTTTGGCATCAAAGGACTGATCGATACACTCGACGCGATTGATTCAGCGTCTCGAGTGGGCGCAGGACGAAACGACCTTCAGGCGTTCGAACCGAAGATTGTTGCCGACACCGCGGTATTTGGATTGTGTCTTGAAAACTCAGGAGTACCGGTTTCGTGGCAGGCTCGAAGGAACGCCGCGGGTTTGGCTCTCATTCTAGACGAACACGACTTGAATCGAGTCGCTCGTGAAATCGAACGCACAGACGTGCCGATCAAAATCGTCTCGCTGCACGCCGGCGGCAATTGGGGGTATTCGATTGAGCCGGAGACGCGAATGGTCTGTCGCCGACTGATTGACGCTGGTGCGCACTTCGTACATGGACACTCGAGCCATCACGCGCGTAGCGCCGAGCTCTACAAACGTCGACTCATACTCTTTGGGTGCGGAGAACTTCTCAACGATTACGAAGGCATAGGCGATCACGCAGGCTTTCCATCGAAAACATACAACGCCGATTTGCGATACGCGTACTTTCCCACGTTGAACGATACCGGCGAATTCACGGAAATGAAAATCGACGTCTTCACGCAAGCAAACTGTTTTCGCCTCGAGCGCGCAACGATCGACGCCACACAGCGAGCTTTCAGATCGCTCGTCGCCGATTACCGCAGAGGGGGGCTCGCGATGTCGATGAAAGCACCGAACACGCTCCTTGTCAAGCCGCTGTGAGGCATCTAAATTTACTTAGAGCTTGAGTTTTAGTGTAAACATCGGAACATTGTACCGCTTAAACTTCAACGTAGAGGCGCGCCATCGCGCGTTGGACAAAACCTACGCCGCCACTCGACGACGCGCGCCGCGGACGTTCGCACCGCCACCGTCGCTCTCGCGAGTATGTTGTCAGTCGCATCGCGCGCGAGCGCCCGCGCGTCACCCTCGAGCGCGTCGTCGTCGTCCCGCACGAGGTCGACGAGAAGTGGATATCGTTCGCGTCATCGCGCCGTCGCGCGCGCGACGAGCGAGAAGGCGAAACCGGATTGGGCCGGTGACGACGCGCTGTCCAAGCTCGTCGACGCCGCGATCTCCAACGAGTTGCTGTACGAAAACATCATGAAACCGATGGCACGAAGGACGCTGATTCAGACGGCGGAGAAGAATGGCATTCAGTGGCGCGACGAGGCGAAGCGCCTGGAGGGCGACTCGAGGGTGTACGAAGCGTTCGAGGCGATCAAGGACGATTCGATCGAATACCCGGAGTATTACTTGAAACCGTTTCACGCGTACAGCGAAGGGAATTTATGCTGGCTCGCCGCTACGGAGGCGAGAAGCGCGACGTATTCCATGGCGCTCCGCGTTTGGCCCAAGGATAGAATCACGGCGGAGACGGCGCAGCAAAGGTTGAGAGACTCGTACACCGACACCGTGCGCGCGCATCGAGAAAAGTATAACGAGGCCACTGACGTCGAGCCGAAGAAAATTCTCGACGTTGGGTGTTCGGTGGGGATGTCGACGCGCTACTTGAGCGAGGCGTTTCCGCAAGCCGAAATCGTGGGACTCGATTTGTCGCCGTACATGCTCGCCGTGGCGAGCGTGAGTGATCAAGGCGTGGAAGGAAGCGAGCGACGCACGTGGGTTCACGGTAAAGGCGAAGACACCAAGTACTCCGATGCGACATTTGACATCGTTTCGCTCGCCTTTGTGATTCACGAGTGTCCCGAGAACGCGACGGCGGCGCTCATGAAGGAGGCGCATCGCGTGTTGAAACCGGGCGGTACGTTTGTGATGACGGATAACAACCCGCAGAGTCCGGTAATTCAAAAGCTTCCACCGGCGTTGTTCACGCTCATGAAGTCTACGGAGCCGCACTCGAACGAATATTACACCATCGACGTGCAGCAAATGTTGACAAACGCCGGTTTCGAAAACGTGCATCAAGAACAAACGGATCCGCGTCACCGCACCGTGTGCGGGTCGAAGAAAATGTAAGCGCCGTGTAGGGCTCTACTCATTAATAGTACCATGCAATTACAACACCTCCTCTTGTCCGAGCTCAACTTTTCCCCGGCGACTGCTTCGCGGCGCTCGCGGCGGCGCGATCTTTTTCTTCCTTCTCCTTCAAAAGCGTGCGCACGAGCTCGTACGTCAGGAAAGAGAATCCCGCCTGAGGCACGATTTTCAACGAGCTCGGTACCCAACCGCGGAACAACGCCTTGGCACCTCCTTCCTTCAGCGTGAGCTTCAAGCAATTGGCGATGGACGAGCTCGGCGCGAGGCCAGTTTGCATTCTCACCGTGACGCGATAAATCGGATAGGACGCCGTGGACGCGATGAACCCCGAAGTCACTCCGCACAGCAGCGTCGGTAAGGCGCCCGCGGATTCTTGCTTCGTCGCCCTTTTGTACGCTGATGAAAGAATGTCGTACGTGCCGAAACTCAAACCGGTGTAAGGAATCGTTCCGAGCATCGCACACCCCCAGCCAGAGTACAACCCTCGCAATCCAGTCTGACGAACCACCGCGGCGGCGGCGGCGAGCGAATTCGCGTACGCCTTTGTGTTGATCGACAGTCTCGTGGAGATGACTTCGAGTGGGTATAGCAGTGTGTCCGACGTCATACCAGCGAGCGAGCCCGCCAAGAGCCGTTCAACATTCGTCGGCTCGCGCGGCTCGCCTCGAGTGAGCATATTCTTGTACGTCGAGTACGCGAAAAAGTCAAACGCCTTGCCAGGCGCGCTCGAGACCGAATTCGCTAAATTGCCCTTGAAGAATCCCTTGGTTCCTTCCTCGCGCATGATCTTTTGAAACATTCGCGATAATCCGACGGTGCCGTCGCCACCCACGGTGGTGCGAATCGCGACGACGTTGAGCGGCGACGACATCGTCTTGGCGACGATGCCGGCGACGCCGCCGGCGACAAAGTGCCCCCACGGTGAACCGTCTTTACGTTTGTCTGGAATCGCGAGACGGCGAGGTCCAATATCTAAACCAACCTTCATGTAGTACGGCTGCACCGTTCTAAACGCGTCCACGGGCATGAAGACGAGCAAATCGCGGAAATCATCCGCGTTGAGCAAAGCGTTATCCGACACGGACTGCAGCACGGCGTCTAAATTTTTCTGTCGCAGTTTTTTACGCGTGTTATATCGCCCCGAGCGCAACTCTAAATCACGCAAGCCGCTCTTGAGTTGTTTTCCCGTGATGACGCCCTTATCGTCCGGTTCCAACGAGTCAAACGCGTCGCGCAAAGCGATATCTTTGGAGCGCGCGTACGCGGCAAACTCTTCAAAGTTCATCCACCCGTTCCCGTTCGAATCCCCTTCGGCCACAAAGTCGTGCACGAACGATGCCGGCATCTTCAAAGATTTCGCGTACGTGTCCACCTCGCGCTGCGAAATGTATCCGCTGTCCAAGGTGTCGATGCGCTTGAAGAGTTGCTTCAGGCGCGCCTGACGTTCGATCCACTTCGGCGACTTGCCTCGACGCAACGCGCTCGTCACCAAGCGCGTTTTCAACTCTTCGTAATCATTCGCCGCCATCGCTCGAAGCGCAAACGTGGACGCGACGAACGTACACTCCACCAGCCCCTCGTTCGTCGAAGTCAAGTGCGCGCTCCGAATGCTCAGCGCCATCGAGTTGAACGCGTTTCCTAAATCCGCCATCAATCCCACGCGATCGTACGTCGTCAGCTTCACGCGCGTCATCCCACTCTCACCGTCTGATTCGATCGCACACGTCGTCTGCCCGACGAAATCGCTCAACACGTTTCCGTCGTCGTCGTACACCACCCGCCGCGGCGTCGTCCGCGTCGTCTCCGCCTTCGTCGTCGTCGTCGTCGTCGTCGTTCCGAGTCTTTCGCCGATCATCGCGATCGCCCGCGTCACGCGCGCGCGCATCGGCGTCACCGCGCCCTTCGCGCTTCCGCGCGCGTCGCACCGCGCGCCATCCGTCGCGTCGTCGCCGCGCGCCAACCCTCGGCGGCGGCGATTCGCGTTCGCGACGCGCGACGCCGTCGCGCGCGTCGACGCGCGCGTCGACGCGGACGACGGCGCGGACGTCGACGCGGACGTCGACGCCGCACCGTCTCGACGCCCCATCGCGCGCCGCGCTGGCGTCGCGACGCCCCATCGCGCGCGGACGCGGCGACCGACCGACGACGTCGACGGCGCGCGCCGACGGACGCGCGCGCGAGGGGAACAAAACCGTCGAAATGCGCAGATGCCGCGATGCGCGACCGACGCGCGCGCCGCACACTCGAACGCACCGATCGCGGCGCTCGAGCCGACCGAGGGAGTCCGTCGTCGACCGTCGTCGACGCGCGTCGACGACGCGTCGTCGCGCGAACGAACGACGAACGCCGAACGCGCGAACGAACGAACGACGAACGAACGAATGGAGACGTTTCAACGAAACGGCGCGGCGAGAGATGACCCGTGGGCGTCGATGCGAATGACGACGGAGGCGGTGCAGACGACGCGCGGACGGGCGTTAGGCGATGGTGACGACGATGGCGACGGGATGCGGGACTCACCGCTCACGACGCGACGGAGACGGAAATTGGGGACGACGAAGCGCGCGAACGCGCGAACGCGGCGAAACGACGCGAGCGCGTCGGAGGAAGACGCGGCGGGAACGTGCAGTGAGGGAGAGGAAGAAGCGATGACGTTAACGACGACGCGACGGACGACGCGAGGGAACGTGAAATTCAAAGCCGAGGCAGAGAACGCGTCGTTGACGGCGATGGCGAAAAAATCCGCGAGCGCGGCGACGACGCCGCCGGGGAAGGTCGTCGTGCACGAGGAGGTGGAGAAAATCAACGCGCGCGCGACGAATAAGCCGTTAAAGGCGAGGACAAACGAGAAGGGCATGCGTGAGGGTGAATCAAGCGCGGTGAACAGTTCGAATGAGTCGTTCGCCACAGCCTCGATCGATCCGTGGGGCGCGCCTCTGGTCGTCGCCGTGGAGCGCAAAAGTCGCCAGGTGTCTTCGGGGCCGCGCGACTCGATGACGACTGCGAGGAAGAAACGCGCGCAGGAAGAGGTGCCGATGAGTCCGAGTCGATACGAAAGCGTGAATCCGCGCGTGGTTACCGCGACGAAACGGTCGAAAGAAGCGCGTTCACCGGTGCGACAGTTGACGGCGGCGAACGTCGCGTTTGGTTCGCCGACGGCGATTTTATCGGCAACAAACGGACCGCTGCGAGCGGATACCGATGAAGGTCGAGCGTACGTGTGCCCCGGACCCGAGCTTCCCCCGAAAGGCGAGTGTTATCTCGGCATGTGGCGCGGTGAAGAGCGCGCGCGGCTTCTCGCGTACGAAGCGTGCGTGCAAAGCTGTCTCGAAGGCTCGCTCGGATCGTTCACGGCGCAGCGACGATTCGACATGGATACGTGTTTGTTTTTCCTCAATGAACGCTGCGCTGAGCTTCGTCGGGCGTTCGGTTTGGACAATGTTCTAGTTGGCGTGCACTCGGACGAGGGAAGGTCGCCTGAACCGAAAACTCGCGTGACGCCGGAGAAGATGCGCCGAGCGGAATCGACGCGAGGCGTCGGCCCGGGCGCGGGCGGCGTGCGCTGGGCCGCCATCACCATCGCCGTCATGGACGTTGAAATCATCGATCGTGGTTTGAAAAAGTTCACCAAAGGTTGGGATCCGCGCGAGCACGGTTGGCAACGCCCGACTGAAGCGCGTGGTCAGCACATGATTGTTCGCACGGAGGGTGGCCCGGGCAGCGCCGAGGTGTGCGCGGAAATCGCCGTCAAGCAACCTGCGGTGCGCTTGGCTCTGGGACCAGGGGACAAAGAGTTTATCATCGAAGTGCCGCTCAAATCTGATGGCTCAAAAGTCGCCACGGCGCAAATCGCGTTGGATCAGCTCTGCAAGAGAGCCGAAGCTGGAGTCGTCGAACTGCCGTTGGAGCTCGAGGTGGAGATGCCGGCGACGGAACAAGCCGCCGCGTACACGCACAAGTACGAGAAAGGGACGGTGAGTTTAAGCGCCGTGTTCGAAGCTGCGGTCGGTGCGGGTCTGATGTCGGCACCGCCGGGCGCAGGCACGGCGCCTGACCGCTCGATGCAGGGTTGGGCCGAGGCGAGTCACGTGCTCACGCCTCAGGCGGCGTACGATTTCGCCCTCGGCGCCGCGCTGCGCGCGCTCGGTTTCACGCGACGTCGATTGACAATTCACGGTCAATGGCAAACTTTGCTCGACGAACTCGCGAAAGGGCACGGTGTGTCGGAAACGTACACATCGTTGCGATACATCCAGCACTTGTTAGCCGTGGCCACGCCGACGGCGGATTGTTTATCGCTGATTAGAGATCACTTGAAGTTGGCGTTGCGGCGTCAAGCCGATGGTTCGCTCGGTTCTACGGAAGGGCAGATGCTCAACGGCATTCGCTCCGCCGTCATGACTCTCGTGTGCGTGTGTCTCGCAAACTACAAGTCATTGGACGAGAGCGAGTTTAGAGGCATCACCGAAAGCATACCGCCCATCGTCCCCGCGCCCGCGCTCGACGTCTCCTTGGAGTTGTTCAAGGCGCTTCAGCGCGATCCGAGCTCGAGTGGAGCGCTCGAGATCCTCACAGAAAACATCACCAGCGCCGCGCGAGCATGCTTCAAGAAGAATAAGGCGGTTCTCGTGAACGAAAAGCGAAAATTGGCGGTGAACAACAAGGATCTCGTCACGCAGCTGTACGTCGCCATCGGAGAATTGTGCGTGGCGCTCAAGAACGAGTTGGAGACGGACAGAGTGATTCAGAGCGCTTCCGAGTTTCCAGGTGGATTCTCCTTGCCCGCTCTTTCGGCGGATATGTATTGCACGGAAGTTGCGGCGACGTTCAAGGACGCGTTGGACGCGTGCCCTCCCTCCGGACCGCCGTCGACGGATGTGTTGGACTGCATCGAGAGATCGTGCAATCTTCAAGCTTCGGCGTCTATAGAGGAAAAGGATGGTCAAAGAATGGGTGCACCCAAGCTCGACACGCGTAAAATCTTCCAGCCGCACATCGATGGCTGGATCACGGCGGCACAGAGGCGTCTCGAGGTGCGATGCGTCGCGGTGCTCACCACGAAGGGCATCGTCGGCCCAGCCATCGAGGAGGCTTACATCGCCATGAACGATGCTTTGCACGGTTTCGAGCGCATAGTCACGCGTTGGCCCGATCAAGCGCTCGCACTTGAAAGGGTTCTCGTCAGCGCCGAGCGCTTGCTCATCAAGCAAATCGCCGAGTCGGTCGAACACTTGCACGTCGGCATCGCGAACAAGGAAGACGGCGACGGAAAGTCGTCGAAGCCGACTTTGCGCGCCAAGGGCAACTGGATGAACAAGTTCGGGAGCATGAAGGACGGTGTGGCGTCTGTCGCTAAACGAACGCAGCAAGTGTCGCAGCAAGTGTCGAAACGTCTGAGTCGAGGAGACGCCGCGCACAATGGCATTCCTCCGGCGCTCGCCGCGGCGCTCAACGCGCTCAAGTCGATGGAGATTCGTAGAGCCGACGAAGAAAAAGTCGGGCAGCGTTTGATGACTTGGGCGGTGAACGGCGGTAGTGCCGGTGCAGATGAGCTCGGGCACGGCTTGACGGAAACGCTCGGCGAGTTGCGCGCGCACTACAACGGCTACTTGCGACGCGCGGTACACGGCGTGTACAGCTGCGGCCCGTCGTTGCGGGAGAAGCTGTGCAAGGCGAAGCCGAAGCAAGAGGTCGAACCCGTCGTCGCTCCGGTGCTCGCGTACATCGATGGTATCAAGGTTTCACTGGACAAGAAGCTGCCGCAGCGACGCGCCATGGTGGGTGTTCTTCGAGGATTGTGGGACTCCATCGGCGCCGAGTGCTTGGCGTTTTACGAGGAGGATTTGCGGACGAATTCCACATGGCACAAGCGCGTGCTGGCGAGTGCCGCCGTGGATATCGTGAGCGATAAAATTCAGGATATTATTCGTGAGTTCCTCGTGCACGACGTGCAGGACAAGGACGTAGAACCACCTTCGTCCGTGGCCAAGCTTCAAGCGTTTAGCTCGTCGAATACGCGCGACTCCGTGCAGTTGTACTGATGCCATCTCAAAGTGTAAAATATACAAATTCTAAAAGAATACAGCCGCCGTCGCCCAAGCGCGCGCTAATTTTGAAACGTTGTGTTTCGATTGCCCGAACGAGGGAACGATTTACTCTTCGGTCCCGCTTTGAACGGTTCGTCGTACGCCGCCTTGAAGCGCTGATTGAAGCCCCGCTTCTTTTCGACTTCGATCGGTTTAAAGAGCAAATCTGTGCCGGTCATGCCAAACTTTTCCTTCGCGAGCGACGCGAACGTTTTACGTGATGCGTCCAAATCAAAATCTTGCGCATCTCTCTTCATCTCCTCTGTGATTTCGTCTTCATCGTCGTCGCTATCGGTGCTTTCGTAACCGCGCATCGTCTCGGCGCGCCGCGCTGCAAGTTCGGCGCGCGCGCTCGCGGCTTCATCCGCGCGCGACATCTCGTTGGTGGGTATGACAAATGGCAAGTGTTTGTCCACCTTACGCAAGGGTGCCGGAACGCGAACGCCTCCCGGAAGCTCGATTTCCTCTCGAGCCGCGCGACGTTCGACGACGCGTTCAGACGCCTTGGACGCGGCGTTCGTCGTCGCCGCATCCACGGCGATCGTCGAGTCGTTCACCGGCGGCGCGACTGCGGGTTCCGCATCGTTGCCCCACACGTCGAATATTTGCGCCATCGGAATCATCGTCGACGCGCTCGCGTGGGATGACTTCGCGCCTCCCATGAGCGACGCCATCGATCCGCGCTTGCGCTTCGTCGTCGTCGCCGCCGCGGATACGGGTGCCAAGACGCGCTCTTGCGCTGGGAGCGCCGCCGCGGTCGACGTGAGCTCGTTCGTGAGCGCGTCGCGTTCGACAGCGGGTCGCGCGGCGACGACGACTTCAGGGACGGCGCCCTCCGGCGCCTCCGCGCCGTTTGGCTTGAAACTCGGCGCGCCGACGGCGTGCGCGCGAGAAATCAAATCCGCCACTTGCGCGGCATGTTTCGCCACGAGCGGTGCTTCGCCGCGACATTCCGCCAAAAGTGCGCGCGTTGTAGACGGCACCGTGAGCGCCAAGCGAAGCATGAGCGCGCGGGGCAAGACGTACCCCAAACTTTCGTCCGCGTCTCGCGCCGCGCGATCGCGCCAGTCGAACAACGCCGCGTACACGGCCAACTGCGGCTCGCTCAGCTCCTTCAAGTTATCCGTCTTGAGCAAATCTTCGTAATACGCGCCGTCGTCAAACGAGGGCGGGACGTATCGTTTAAAGCACACGTCGCGACTGCGCGCGAGCGTCTCGGCGATTGAATCTTCCGAGCGCGCGCGAAGCGCCTCCTTCAACCTGTCGTGCACGTACAACAAGTGATGGGTGTCTCCGCGCGCGTACTCCACCATCTCTTTCGTCAGCGGACGCAGACGCCAATCAGCGAGCTGAAACCGCTTGTTTGCCTTGATACCGCAGTAGTGGTGCAGCAGGTACGCCAAACCTTTGCTCGGCAACTCGAGCACGCGAGCGGCTTGACCGGTGTCGAACAAGCACGAGACGAACATTCCGAAATCTTTTTGAAGCCACTGCACGTCGTTATCGGCGCCGTGCATCACTTTGAGCTTATCAGCGTCCGCGAACGCCTTCCCGAGCGCGTCGCGCACGTGCGAGCGAAGCGCCAAGACGTCGACGACGAAATCTCTCTCGCGCGTGCTTATTTGCATCAAACACGTAAATCCCTTAAACGACCGATACGAGTGATGCTCGAGATCGACCGCGAACTCTTTGCACTCTTCCAAGTGCGCCGCGAGCTCTTCCAACGCATCCACCGTCTCCACGACTTGGAGCGCGTGGTCTTCGTCCATGGGCGTCGGCAGCGTCGCCGGTCCGCTTCGGAGAATAAATTCCGGATACTCGTCGCGCCGCTTCGCGAACGTCGCGAACGCCTCGTAACTCTCGTACCCGACCGGTTTCCGCGAACCATTGTGCGCGACGTTTTCCCTTCGATTATCCACCGCGTCTTCGAACGATTCCTGCGGTCTCGCGAGCGTGGCGTCGTGTCGCGTCGTTCGTCTCTTCGTCGCCGTCGTCGTCGCCGCGCCTTCGTCCCAGTCGCCGTCGCCGTCGCCGTCCCCGTCCCCTCGCGCCTCCATCACCGCCGCGTCGATCGCATCGCACCGCGCGTCGATCGCGTCTCGCACGTCGCGAAACCTCTCCTCCGCGTCCGCCGCCGCATCCGACGCCGAATCCGACGCTTCTTCTTCTTCTTCTTCTTCTTCTTCGCCGTCGTCGTCTCGCGCGCGCGCGTCCCAGCCGCCGCCGACGAGCGCCGCCGTCGCGCGCGCCATCTTCCTCCGCACCGCGCGCAGGCGCGCCGCGCTCGATTCCGTCAGCGCGCGCGATCCGCCCTCGCCCTGTCGACGCGCGCGCGCGCTCGCCTCGACGGCGCGTCGCAATCGCTCGACGACCTCGGCGCCGCCGCCGCCGCCGCCGCCGGCGCGCGCGCCGTCCATCGGCGGCCGCGACGCGCGCGCGTTCGGGACGCGGATCGATCGTCGCGCGCGTCGCCGCGATCGACGCGATCGACGCGCGCGCGCGGCGACGAGTGCCGTCGCGCGACCGCGCGCCGCCGCCCGTCATCACTCGCGACGGCATCGCGACGCGCGCGCGCGCGGACCGTCGTCGAGCGCGCGCGCGATGACGTCTCACGCGTCGACGCGCGTGCTGTCCGAGCTCTCCGCGAGCGCCATCGCGTCGACGCTCGACGCGCGCAATCGCGACGCCCTGGTGACGGCGATCGCGTCGCTGTCGAGGCGCGGCGGCGACGGCGCCGTCGCGCTGGCGATGGACGGCGCCGTCGCGAATGGACTCGTGCGGTGCACGCGGGACGTCGCGCGGCGATTGCGAGACGAGGCGCGCGTGCGGAGGTTTTACGCGTTGGAGCCGCGGGGCGAGCTGCCGGCGGAGGACGACGCGGACGCGGTCGCGTTCGCGGTGCGTCCGCAGTTGAGCGCGATGGTGACGATCGCGGAGCACGTCCGGGGGGTGCGAGATCGCCGGGAGCGCGCGCTGCGCGAGCGCGCGCGAAGAGCGGCGAACGCGAACCGAACGAAAACGAGCGCGAGAGACGCGGCGGCGAGTCTGTTGACGCGCGTCGCGAGCGGGGCGATGGGGAAGAGCGAGAGCGCGAGTAGGGACCGGGCGAGCGGTGACGCGGCGATGGATGCGTTTTCAGAAGTGCCGCCGCTGCCGAAGATGTGCGTCGTGTGCGTGCCGCGCGCGACGGCGATGTGCGAAGACGCGCTGCGAGAGTTGCACGCGCTCGAATACGTGGAGATGACGTCGTGCGACGCGCACTTGATTCCCGTGGAACCGGACGTTTTCACGCTCGAGTATCCGGAGTGCTACAGCGAAATCGTCACCGAGGAGTGGCACGCGTGCACGTATTACGTCGCCGCGGCGTTGCACAAGCTTCAGCGCGACGTCACCGGCCTCGCGCACGTCGTCAAGGGAAAGGGCGAAATCGCGCACAAAGTCGCGCAGTTGATGCTCGAGCTTCGTCTCGGCGGACAGGCGGACGACGAACCCGAGCACGTCGAACCGGGCGTTGATGGAGATTCTCTGATAGATATGATAGTTTTGATCGATCGAGACGTGGACATGGTGACCCCGCTGTGCACGCAGCTCACGTACGAGGGGTTGATCGATGAGATTTTAGGCATCGAAAAAGGCGCGGTAGCGATTCCCAAACGCGCGTTTGAAGACGAGGAGACGAGGGAAAGAAAGGCGAGAGAGGCGGAAGCGAATCTGCCGGAGGAGCAACGAGGCAAGATGCCCGTTCGCGCGCGAGCGCACAAGGCTGGCGAGATCGCGATGCGGCCAAAACTCAACAACACCGACAAGTTGTTTGATGAAATTCGCGATTTGAACTTTGGGCGAGCGTGCAACGTCATTCGCGACCTCGCGACGGCGATTAAGGAGGATTACGCCGCGATTAAGGGGTCCAACGTCGAGGATCAACACGTGAGCGAAATCGGCGATTTCGTGAAGAAGATTAAAGCCAACATCGGGGGCACGGGCTTAGATTTGCACGCCACGCTCGCCAAGTACTTGATCGACTGCACGAAGAAGATTTGGTTCCAAGACCGCCTCGAGTGCGAGCGTTTGTGCGTGGAAGGGGAAGATTTGAAGAAAGTCATCGAGCACATCGAGACGATGATTTACCGCGGCGACGAAGCCGTGCCGTGTTTACGCATGATCGTGCTCGCGTGCATATGTTTCAACGGATTTCCGCCGAAAGTACACGAAAAGCTATTCTCCGACATGTTCAACGCGTTTGGACCGGAGATTATGCTCAAGCTCCTCGCGCTCGAAACCGCGGCTTTGTTTGTCGATCGTGAAGCGGCGAAGAAACGGCCGAGAGGTTTCGCTCAGGTGCGAAAGCCACTCAAACTCGTCGCCGACGGTGTCGATGGCTCCGAAGAGCCGAAAGACATCACGTTTGCCTACTCTTCGTCGGGCTACGCGCCGCTCAGCTGTCGCATCGCCGAGGCGGCGACGCGAGGGCCGTGGAAGACCATCGCCCCGAACAACACCGGAGAGGACGTGCTGAAGCATTTACCCGGAGACACGTTCGAGTACACGCAGACGGAGAACGACTATGGACGCGCGACGAACACCAAGGCGAGTTATCGCGAGTTCAACAAGCGTCGCGAGAAAGCCGCCCCGCTCGACGGCAAGGATGAGCTCTGGCCTAAACCCACCGTTCTCGTTTTCTTCATCGGCGGCGTCACCCACGCCGAGATCGCGTGCCTGCGTCACTTAGCCAAGACCAAGGAATGCGGATGCAATTTCGTCGTCGCCACCACCAAGGTGTTCAACGGCGACGCTTTGCTCGACACGTGCGGCGAGGACGCCGAGCGACTCGAGACTCGCCTTCGCGTCGCGCACGACACCGGCGGCGCGCCGCCGTCGTAGCGAGCGAACGCGCGCACACCCCTAGCGCTCGCTGATGATTTTGTGAAGATATTTTCATGTTTCGTCACTTCTCTAGCGTCTATGATTCTACTCCGTCTACCGAGCTACGTCTCGTCTTCGCGTCTCTCCGCGGTTCGCGCGTCACCCTCCGCTCGCCGCGAACCCTCTCGACGCCGCGCTGCCTCGCCTCGGCAGCGCTGGAATCACGCCCGCTTGCCCTAACAACCTCGCCACCGTCTCGCTCGGCTGCGCGCCGACGGACAACCAATACTTGATGCGTTCAATGTTCAACCCGACGTGCTTGTGTCCATCCCTCTGCGCGATCGGGTCGTAGTGTCCGACGATTTCGATGTGTTTCCCGTCTCTGGGCGCGCGCGAGTCCGCGACGAAGACGCGGTAGCGCGGCGCGTTCCTCGCGCCGACGCGCGCGAGGCGTATGCGCACGGGCATGGGCCGAGCGTCGACGAGTGCGCGGGCGAGGTCGAGCACCGCGCGGGGCCGTCGCGATGTCGCCAATCGGGGGTGATTTTTGATGTCGCCAATCGGGGGTGAATTTTTGTCGCCCGCGTCGCGAGATCGGCGCGCGCGACGCGAGCGACGACGGTTTTACGGAAGACGCGCGCGCGCGACGATTTCACGGAAGGCGCGCCTCGCGTGCGATCGCTCGATGTTACACGCGCTCATCGCCGTCGCCGTCGGTGCCGCGAGCGCCGGCGCGGCGTTGAAATCCGCGCTCGCGCTCGTGGGATTCACGCAGGCGGGCGTCGCCGCGGGATCGCTCGCGGCGACGGCGCAGTCCGCGTTCTACGGCGGCCTCGTACCGGCGGGCGGCGCGTTCGCGCTGTTGCAGTCGTGGGGGGCGACGATGTCGGCGGTCTCGGCGCTCAAAAGCGCGGCGATGGCGGTCGCGGCGTCGGCGTGCTGGTGCGTCGGGAAATCGTCGGGGACGTGAAACCGGGCACCGGGCACCGCGGAGGTTGGACGTCCGCCTCGGATTCGAGTTCGAGCGCGGACGCGCGGACGCGCGCGCGTCGCGAACGTCATCGTAATCGTCATCGTAATGTTTACGCGTCAAGACTTTTTCGTAATCGTATCGTCATCGTCATCGTAATGTTTACGCGTCAAGACTTTTTCGTAATCGTGATACACGCGTCAAGACTTTTTCGCCCGGTCGCGCGGCGGACGCGCGAGCGCGACGCACGATTCGCACGCGACGACGGCGACGACGACGCCGAAGATTAAAGAGTCCGCGAAGATGGGCTTCTGGAGCTCTGGCACGCCGTGGGCGTGGCCGAATCCGTGCGCGGCGTTGAAGTAGACGTGGTGGAGCGCGATGAAGACGCGCTGGAGGGCGACGGAGAGACCGGCGGCGACGTGACGCCACGTCCACGCGCGGTGCGCGGCGAAATTTCGCGGCGGAAACGCGACGGCGGCGTACGCCGCGCACGCGGTGAACGCGAACCACGCCGCACCGAGATGCTCGATGCGCACGAACGACAATCCTGGAATCTTGCCGTAATCAAACCAAAATGACACGCATTCCTCGCGTTTGAGCGATGGGAAATCGTTCGCGTGAAAGTGTAAATCTCGCGCGTGAATGACGCCGTACCCGTACGTCATCGCCGCCGACAACGCGAAGAACACTCGCCCCGCGATTCGGTGTGCCTTCGGAAACCGCTTTCGCGCCGTCGGGTGAATTTGAAACGGCGCGATCGCGCACCACGCGCTCGCCGGCAGCACGTGCGTCGCGCACACCGCGAAATTCGTCTGATACTTTGTCAACAACGTTCTCGGCACCGCGCGGTCGCTCGCCTCGCGAAACGACGCATCCTTCATCGCGCTCAGGTACGCCGGCGCGCAGCTCCCCGGCGCGCGCGCGATCCACACGATCATCATCCCGCAAAGCGCCGCCGCGCACGCGTACGCCGCGCCGAGCGCGCTCGCGCGCGCCGTCATCGTCTTCGCGTTTCGCGCGCCAACACTTTTCGCGCGCACGCGCTCCACGCGTACCCCACGGGCCCGCACGCGAACGTCAACGGCAGCGTGACGCACGCCGTGCACATTCGCGGCACCCCCCGCGCGCGTTCTTCGTCAATCAACCAATCCGCCACGCGCGCGTCAAAGGCTAAAAAGTGCAACCACCCCGCGAGCAACGCGTCGTCGCGCTCGAACAGCGCGCGCACGCCCGCGAGCGAGCCGAACGACGCGCGCGCGTCGACTCCCTTCGCGACGCACGCGACGAGCAACCACGCGTACGCCGCGCACAGCGTCGCGACCGCGCCGTCGACGACGAAACGTCTCGCGCGCGCCGATCTCTTCTCGCGCAGCGCGTCGCGCGCGAGGACGATCCACGCCGCGCACGCGCACGCGTTCGCGACGTCGAAAAAGCGCGCGTGCGTTCGCGGGACGCGGTCCGGGACGCGGTCCAGGAGGGCGGCGACGACGCCGCGCATGCGCGACGGCGAGTGACGCGACACAAATCGTCACGCCGTCGCGCGCGACGTCGCGTCGCGCGTCCGCGCGCGCGGCGCGGCGCGCGATGGCGAGCGACGCGCGCGCGACCGGCGTCGACGTCGACGCGCGACGCGCGAACGTCGACGACGCGACGCGACGCTCGAAGGATGCGCGCGAGACTTTGCGCGAGGGACGCGCGCGCGACGACGACGACGCGCCGCGCGACGACGACGATGGCTCGGACGACGGTCGCGTCGTCGCGCACGAGGATTACTCGTGCGCGACGCCGTTCGAGACGCTGGCGCGGGACGCGGAGACGACGCTGCGGGAGTGGTTGGACGAGGACGCGGCGACGGTTTCGACGCGCGCGAGCGCGGCGGCGGCGTTTCGACGCGAGTTTCGCGAACACGGCTTGCACTGGCGGAAAGAGGCGTACGGGTGCGAGATGTACGTTGATGTCGAACGGCTCAGACGCGGACGCGCGTGGGAGACGCTGCGAGGGAAGAGTTTGCTCGAGCTCGCGCGCGACGCCGGACGCGACGGAGCGCGCGCTTCGTCCGAGTACGACGCGAGGAAACGAACGGTGGATGGGTTCGATTACGTCACGTTTTTCGATTGTGCGTGCGTGATTTTAGTCCGTCCGATGAGCGCGAGCGGGGCGGGGCAGTTCGTGGACGAGGACGAGGCCCTGACGGTGCGATCCGCGTTCGCGTTGGCGATGTCGGCGCTTCGCGTCGGCGGCGCCGTGGCGGTGGCGACCCCGCGAGGTTTTTACGAGCGCGATTTTTCCGCGGACGTGTGCGCGGGTGATGATAACGACGATGCGGTTTGTGAAACCGACGTCACAAGGTTCACGCGTTTTAGTTCGCGCGAGGAGGTAACGGCGCGAACTTTCGCGGGGTGCGTGAACGCGTTTTACAGAAGCGTTCGCGAGACGCGTCGCTCGAACCCATCTACGGCAGATATCGACGCGGAAACGAAAGCCTTGGAAAGTTCGATTGTTTCAGCGCGCATCACGCGCGAGTTCACGCGCGCAAAGGCTACGACATCGCCGATGACGTCTGAAATTGAAGACGAGAGCGACGACGACGATTTCGGTTTGCGCGTCGACGAGTGGGACGACGATTGTCCTTGGGCTGCATGGGTACACGCGGAGGATCCGTGGCGGACGTTAGAGGTGGACGCGCTCTGGCTCGATGTGCGCTTAGATTGCGTCACATTCTCCGATCTCGACGTCGAAGACGCGCCGATTTGGCGTTTGCGGGGCGACCTCACGCAAGCGGCGCGAGATCGAGGCGAGGAGGACGACGCCGTCATTTCGAGCGACACGTCATCGATGAGCGAGGCGATATTCTCGCTCATCGAGAGCGCGGAGATCATTCGTGGAGAAGATGTCGAAGATGTGACGGGGGCATTGGACACGATGACTTTGGCGAGCGCGGAGTTTTGGGTCGAGCGCGGATACCAGACGCCTCACATACCGAACGACGAAACGGCTCGAGGGGTGACGCGTGATATCTTTACGTCCTTCGCGACGACGGCGTTGGTGACGCAAGAGTCGTTTCGTGAACCGTACAAAACGGCGCCTGCCAATTCTATCCTTGCCCGTTTCGCCCTTCACGCGTGCTGCTCGTTGAAAAATCCGCGCGCGGTGGCGCATTCGTGGAACGCTTTCGCTCGCGAGTTGCGACGCGAATACTGGGAACGGGGACGACTCGTTCCAGGCGTCGTGCGCGATGAAATTCTAGGCATCGATCACGGCGCATGCATAGTTTACCAAAAATTGCAGATGCTTAATCAATGCATCGCGCGAAGGAACGCGAAGAGCGACGCCGAGTTGCACGCGTCGACGCGAGCGAGCGACGGCGCGCAGCCGAGATCCGCCGACTCGCCACGTGGTGACGAGTTCGATCGTTTGCTCAAAACCACGAGCTCGACGTCGACGAGAATGCGTCATCCCGTGGACGATGAATTAGATTTAAACGCGCTGTTGAGTGGCGACGTTGAGCTTTCGAGCGCAGCGCTCGAGAGAGCGATGAGCGGGAGCGAGAGCGCGACGACGGCGAAGTCGGACGAGTACGCGAGCGCCGAGGAAGATTTGTCGCCCGAAGACGGCGACGACAGCCGCGCGGAAGGGGTCTCAGAGACACTGAAAATTCGTTTGTTGAACGCACCGCATGCGTTCATTCGCGCGCCGATCACGCAAGAAGCACCGTGCATGACGGAGGACGCGTTGGCGGAGCGCGAAGCGGCGCTTCGAGCGTTCGGAGACGACGACGAGGGTCGCGCCGCGCGACAACGCATTCAAAGCGATTCGCTCGTGTCCGATATGTCCGCGTTCAAAGCCGCGAATCCACGCGCGGTGTTTGAAGATTTCGTGCGTTGGCACTCTCCCAAAGATTGGATCGTCTCCGGCGCCGGAGAAGAACAAACAGACGAATCGAGCGGACGCTTGAGCGACAGAATGCGCCGCGACGGAAACACGTGGCTCGAGCTATGGACGCGCGCGCCGCGCGTGCCGGCGCATAAACAGCACCCTCTGTTTGATCCGATCGTTGAGGGCGAGAAAGCGATGCATTATCTCGAGACGATCCCAGCCACCGCGCTCTTCGACGTCGCCGCGCGATGCGCGTGCGCGGCGACGGCGGCTATTTTGTCGTCGTGGTGGCTCACGTCGTCGGAGGAAGCATCAGCGCGAGCACCGGCGGAGACGCACGAATCGATCAAAACAGCAATCGACACGTGCTCGCACTTTTTCGCGCGCACCGAGCCGTTGACGCTGGACGAGTACGATTTCGTCTTCGCCTCGCTCCAAGTCGCCGAGCGCGCGACGTTTCGCGCGGCGTCCGCGCGCGCCAGGCTTCCCGACGCCCCCCCGGATCTCATTTCCCGCCTCCTCACCGCCGCCGACGCGTGCGAAACCATCCGCGCTCGCGATATCCCGGCCTCATCCCTCCACGTCGTGTACACCGACTGCCAATCCCCCGCCGAGCGCGCGTACTTGGCGCTTCGCCTCGAGCGTCGTCGTCGCGTCGCCGAGTTCGCCGTCCGCGCCTCGCCACCCCTCCCCGACCACGCCCATCGCGTCATCGCGTACGACGACCACACCCGCATCTGCGTTCGCACCGCCGCGCGTCCGCGCTCGTAGGTCCGTTTTCATCGTCACGCGCCTCGGTCGCCGCGCCCTTCGCGCCGCCGCGCATTCGCAAGAAAACCTTCCAAGGAAAACCTTAGACTAGGGTTGAGCGCGTCCTCGCGCGCGGTCGCCGCCGGGTCGGCGTCTCTCGCGCGACGATTCCGTCGTTCGCACACGCCGACGCGCGACGGTGCGTGCGCGACGTCGATCGGATCGTCGACGCGGACGACGCGTACGACGCACCGCGGAGCACCGAGCGAGCGACGACTGACGAAAGCCGCGACGATTCGGCGATCGTCTCGCAGGACCTCGACACGGATCGAACGCCGCGATGGCCATCTCGATGGTGCGCGCGATGACGATGACGACGACGACGACGACGACGACGACGACGACGCGGAAGACGACGCGGACGACGCGGAAGACGCGAACGCGAACGACGACGCGAGCGGGAAACGTAAACATCGCGGACAACGTGACGCAACTCGTGGGATGCACGCCGATGGTGTACTTGAATAAGACGTCGGAGGGATGCGGGGCGGAGATTGCGGCGAAACTCGAGATAATGGAACCGTGCTGCAGCGTGAAGGATCGCATCGGATGGAGCATGATCGCGGCGGCGGAGGAAGAGGGGAAGATTACGCCGGGGAAGACGACGCTCGTGGAACCGACGAGCGGGAACACCGGCATCGGATTGGCCTTCATCGCGGCGGCGAAGGGGTATAAGCTTACGCTTACGATGCCGGCATCGATGAGCCTCGAGCGACGGATTCTGTTGAAGGCGTTTGGGGCGAATTTGGTGTTGACGGACCCGGCGAAAGGGATGAAGGGAGCGGTGCAAAAGGCGGAGGAAATCGCCGCCAAGACGCCGAACTCGTACGTGCTGCAACAGTTTGAAAACCCGGCTAACCCGAAGGTACATTTTGAAACCACGGGACCGGAGATTTGGGAAGACACCGCGGGACAGATCGATATCTTTGTCGCGGGCGTCGGGACTGGCGGCACCATCACCGGCACCGGTCGCTACTTGAAGAGCAAGAACCCGAACATTAAGATTGTCGCCGTCGAGCCGACGGAGTCTCCCGTGCTCTCGGGCGGTGGACCGGGTCCGCATAAGATTCAAGGCATCGGTGCGGGCTTTATCCCGGGTATTTTGGACATGGACGTCATCGACGAAGTTGTGCAAATCGCGAGCGACGACGCCATATCGATGGCCAAGGAGCTCGCGTTGCAAGAAGGTTTGATGGTCGGTATCTCCTCCGGTGCCGCGGCCGCGGCGGCGATTCAGCTCGCCAAGCGCCCGGAGAACGCTGGTAAGCTCATCACGACGGTGTTCCCGTCCTTTGGCGAGCGTTACTTGTCTTCCGCGCTGTACAGCACGATTCGCGAGGAAGCCGAAACCATGACTGCAGAAAGTTGAGTAAAGGCGCGCGAGTTTTCCAATAGCAGTTTTGAAAATCCCACGAACTTACGTAACGTGTGATGTCAATAAAAAGCACTATCAATCTATTTATACTTCGAGTGCGCGATCACAATCCTACTAATTTTACACCGCCGCTCAGAGCCGCTCGCAAAGGCGCTTGCGGCGCCGACCGCTTCGCCGACGTAAAGGAAGAACCTCGAGCAGTCAGCGCACGAAGAGGGGCATTAACGGCGATGTTTACCGTAACATCGCGCCGTTGTCGCCGATGAGCGATGTTTCGTGGGGATGTCGATCGCATGCTCGCCGTCGGTGCCACCGCCACGCCCGGACTCTTCGCCTTGTCTACCCGAGACGGCTTCAACGCCAGGACGCCGACGGCGCTCGCTACGCCCACGGCAACGGCGCCAGCAAGAAGGGCGCCCGAAAACACGAATTTATCAATACTCACGATGTACGGCGCGACGACGGCGAAACAACAGATCAAAACGAGCGTCATGGCTTGCGAGCTCAAGACAATCGCCGCCGCAAGTTGGCCGTCGTTTTCGTGCTCGGCCGAGTATTGCATGACGATGGACGGCACAGGCATCACGCACAGCGCGGCTATGACGCCTCGCGCGAGCGCGAAACTTTGTGGAATGAATAATGTACATACCGCCGCCGATAGCAACCCAAGACCGTATTTCACGCCGATAAATTTAGCCACCGCTTGCACTTGCATTCGGTCCATCGCTGGCTTGAAAAGGACGCCGAGCGTGAGCAACACGATCGGGTTATTCGCGTTCGCCAGCGGCACGACGAGCTGCGAAGCAGTCTGAGGGAGTGCAATACCAGTGAAGTTCATCATACTGGCCAATGTCACCGCGATCACCGGTGGAAATTTCGCCACCTTCCAAAATAAATCCTTCATCGTGAGGTTGCTCGCCTCGGCGGCTTTGCGAGCCGTCGATACCGCCGCGTTCGTCGCCGCAATCGTCCCTTCGCAATCCTTTACCGTCGTAGCCTCGACAAACTCGTTGTCTTCCCATAATCCCGCCTTGACAGCGCCCGTGCGCAGCACGCGAATCCCCGTCCCGTCGAACCGACCGCGCTTGAACTCGCCGGCGTACGAACCGCCCTTGCCGTACGTGTACACCCCCAAGCCATCCTTGACGTTATTCTTCCACTGCCCTTCGTACGTCGCCCCGCTCGGGTACTTGTAACACCCGTACCCGTGCTTTTTCTTATCTAACCACTCCCCGTCGTAAATCCCGCCGTCGTCGTGCACGGCTCGAGACGCGTCGCCGTGCTTTTGCTCGGCGGCGAAAATAGCCTTCGCCGCGCCGAACACCACCACCGCGTTCGGAGCGTCCCACATCGCGCATAGCGCCAGACCAGGCACCCCCCATATCGCTTCCACGAACGGGTACGCAAACATTCCTAAATTCACCCCCGTCGCGCTCCCGACGGCTAACCCTCTCGCGCGCGCCGGCGACTTGCGATACGCGAGGTACGCCCCGAACGAACATCCCACGCCCACGAGCAACGAGCACGCGGGAATGATCGCGCTCACCGTGGATACGGTCGCACTCAATCCACTGGACGCGCCCACCGCGCTCGCGCGCGTCATGACGTACAGTAACAGCGCTGGAAGCGTCACGTTCGTGGCAAAGCGAAAGACGGTTTTGCCATCTTCGAGGGTAAGTATTTTCAGCGCGCGCAGCGCGTAGCCGACGGCGATGAACGCCGCGTTCAGAGCGACGCGATGGAGAATGACTGCGCTATCCGTCATGGCGGGAATCCGCTGCGAGAAACGCGCGAGGGTGAGTGAGGCCTCGAGGTGCGGTGGGTGAGGACGGAGACGCGCGTCGCCCGTGACGCTCGCGAAACGATGCGCGGATGCGATTCGTCGGTAGAAAGAGCGTGCGGATGTGGTTATTGTACAGTCGTTTATCGTTCTTAAATATCGCGACGGACGCTCTACGAGTGGGTGGTGTCGCTGTTCGCGTCGGTCACAGAACTTCCTGAATGGGGTCGAGCCGCGAATCGGTCGAGCCGCCGCGCGCGGCGTCTCGCCGTTTGCGTATAATTGGCACGACGAGACGCGTTAGGTAAATCGTGAGGATGGCGCCGAAACCCACGATCCACCCGATCCACCACTTGCTGTCGAGTAGAACAACAGAAACAGAGACGATCAGCTGAACTACTTGCATCGGTGCGCCGAACTTGAGGAAATTGGCGAAAACGTAGCCGCCTGGACCGTACACCATCAAGTTGGTTTGGTAACCAAATGGAGACATGAACGATGCCGAAGCGGCAAGCATGAGCAAGTAGCTCATCTGAACGTTATCAATCCCTTGCTTTTCCGCAGCGCCAGCGGCGATGGGGTACATGAGCGCGGCGGCGGCGTTGTTACCGACGATGTTGCACAACACAACTGTGGCGAGGTAGACGGCGACGAGAATTCCCGGCTTCCCAGTACCCATGCCGTTGCCGGCGCTCACGAGCGTCGATGCAATCCCGGCAGCGACACCACTTTGCTCCATCGCCGCGGAAATTCCGAACGCGGCAGCTATCGTGACAATGACGTCCCATTTGACCGCCGCGCGCGCCTGCTCCTGTGTCAGACATCCCGTGGCGAGCATGACGCCCGAAGCCAGTAACGCGGCGACGAAGAGATCGAGCGCACCGGCGACAAAAACAGCTATCATCACTACTGCTGTGCCGAGAGAAGGAAGAAGCTTGTCGAATTGCGGCGGAGCGGAGTCTTCGATTTCAGAGATGAGCGCAAACGTCGGATCCGACTTATGATCAAGCAAAAAACTCGTCGACGTGTCCAGGAGCAAAACGTCGCCCGCTTCGAGTACGATATCGCCGATTCTCGCCTGTATACGCCCTCCACTGCGTTGGACAGCGATGATGACGGCGTCGTAACGCGTTCTGAAGTGCGTGTCACGGACGCATCTCCCCACGAGCGAGCTCCCTTGTGATATCACGGCTTGCACTAATCTTCGATCAGTTTTACGGACGTGCTTGAGCTTTTCCACTTGATTTTCTTGCGAAACTAACCCAGGAATGCGTCGAAGCGTCTGCATACCGTTCATATCGCCCGCAAACCACAAAATATCTTCACCATTAAGAATTGTCTCGGCGTCCGGTATGCGCATTTCGCTGCTCGCGTTCGATTGAATTGCCGTGCAAAATAAACCCGGCACGTTCGCCAGATCAACGCCTCTGATGGTTTTGCCATCCAACGCCCCTCCACTCACGACGCGCATGGGAATGGCAAACTCGTTAAAGTTAAGTTCGGTCTTCGCGTCGGTGAGCAAAACCTCCAAATCGTTCCCGCACGTGTACGTCGACGCCTCGATGGCATCCAAGGACAAATTCCGTCGCGAACCTGGCGAAGGAAGTCCACGTCGCGAGTTTTCCGCTGACGCAGCTTCACGTTCTTGCTTTTGCACCAGAAGTGGGCTCTCTTGAGAGACATGAAGCATAAGAATATCGTTGGCTCGGAAAATCGTCGTCCCGAGATGCCCTCGGCGGACGTCGTTCCCTGTCCCTGATTTCTCGCCCATACTCTGCACCGCCATTATGGACGCTTTAAATTTGTGCCTAAACTTGCACTCCGATGGCGTTGTGCCGACGAGCGGAGAGTTTTCGAGTATGCGAGCGCGAATGACCTCAACCGACTGAGTGAAATAGTCATGCTCACGCATATCGTCGCTTAATTGTCGTCGACGCTCACCGTGCTTGAAGTTGTAATCTAAACTTGCGCGTCCACTTTGCGTTCTCTGCTCGCTCGGCGGTGATGTGGCGGCTTTATCGCTCGCGCTCCCGTCGGCGTCTTCGTCGTTGCCGCTCGACTTGAACTTGCGAAGCATCTTTTCGTACGTGTGCAACTCTATACTCGCTCGCCCATCTTTTCTCGACTCCCGATGCATCCACGCAACGCCTCGAATACCACTGTCGTCCTGCGACTGACCAGTGAGCGAGGGCGTCCTCGCGCGCGGAGGAAACGTCACCGTGCTTTCGGCGTTTTCACCTGAGCGTTCATTGGTCTTGCGATAATCGTCGAACGAATTCCTCTTCTCTTCTAACATTTTCTCCTCCACTTCGTGCGTGAGCGGCACCAAGCCGTGTGTTTTACACACTTCCCCTATGCGATCGACGAGACCGGTGAAGATCAAGATGTCACCAACCTCGAGAATGAAATCTGGTTGTACTGCGCGCATCAGCATGTCGCCTCGCTGCACGCTGACGAGATACAACCCATTCAACCCGCGCAAGACAGCGACTTCGGCGTCCACGACGGGTGAACCACGCGGAACGACTGCACCTACGGTTAAATCGTCCATATCCATGTCTTGCCCCCCCGCGCGATTGCCGTCTCGCGCGCCGCCCGGCAGCAATGCCGGCGCCGCGATGAGCATGTACGCCAACCCGCTCAGCAACACCGGCACGCCAAACTTCGACAGCTCAAACAACCCGAGCGCGCGTTCATTGGGATATCGCTCCCGTCGCATGCCATCGACGACCAAATTCGTCGACGTCCCGATCAGCGTGCACGTGCCGCCTAAAATCGAGCTAAACGACAGCGGTATGAACAACTGCGCCGACGAAATCTTACACTTCCGCGACCACTTCTGCACGATCGGTATCATGATCGCCACCACCGGCGTATTATTCAAAAACGCGCTCACCACCGCGATCGGCACCATCAACCGCAGCTGCGCGTCCGCCGCGCTCTTCGGCGTCCCCAAGGCTTTGCTCATGTAATAGTCCAGCGCGCCCGTGTTCGATATCCCCGCCGCCACGACGAACAAGCACGCGACGGTGAGCAAGCCTTTATTGCTGAACCCCTTCAATCCCTCGCCCAGGTCCACGATCGAAGCCGCGAGCTCGAGCGCGAGCGCGCCGAGCATCAACACGTCCGGCCCCGCGACATTTTTCAGCAGCGCGATGAACATGACGGCGACGACGCTCACGCAGTACGGCCCGTGCCACGCGGGCGCCATGACGACCGATAGGCGCTGCGCGCGCGCGTCGACGGCGCGCGCGCCGCTCGAGCGCGTCGCGCACCGACTCGCGCGCGCGTCTCAATGCGTCGACATCGCCGAAGACCTCGAGGTCGCGCATTCGCGCGCATCGCGCGCCGCATTCGCGCTCGCGTGCTCGAGCGTCGCGACCGACGCGAGCCGTCGTCGTCGTCGTCGTCGTCGTCGTCGTCGCGTCGTCACCGTCGCGCGCGCGCGGTCGGACCGCGCGCGAATCGTTCCGTCGACGGCGGCGTCGGCGGCGGCGAATCGACGGCGGCGAGCGCGCGCGATGGCGAAAGACGCGGGCAAGCGAACCGCGACGAGCTACGACGCGGATGAAAAGATATCGTTCGAGACGTCGGAAGGGATCGAACCGCGCGCGACGTTCGACGCGATGGGAATTCGTGAGGATTTGCTGCGCGGGCTGTACTCGTACGGGTTCGAAAAGCCGAGCGCGATTCAACAGCGAGCGGTGGTGCCGATAATATCCGGACGGGACGTGATCGCGCAGGCGCAGAGCGGGACGGGGAAGACGTCGATGATATCGCTGGCGCTGTGTCAGATGTTGGACACGACATCGAGGGAGGTGCAGGGATTGGTGCTGTCGCCGACGCGAGAGTTGGCGGTGCAGACGGAGAAGACGGCGCTGTCGCTGGGGAATTTTATGAACGTGCAAGTGCACGCGTGCATCGGGGGACGGTCGATCGGGGATGACATTCGTAAATTAGATTACGGCTGTCACATCGTCAGTGGGACGCCGGGACGGGTGTTCGATATGATAAAGCGGCGGAATTTACGCACGCGCGGGATTAAGATTTTGGTCCTCGACGAGGCGGATGAAATGTTGAATAAAGGGTTCAAGGAACAGATTTACGATGTGTATAGATACTTGCCGCCGGAAACGCAGGTGGTGTTGGTGAGCGCCACGCTGCCGAACGAAGTGTTGGAGATGACGAGCAAGTTTATGACGGATCCGATGCGCATCTTGGTCAAGCGCGACGAATTAACGCTTGAAGGTATTAAGCAGTTCTTCGTCGCCGTCGAACGCGAGGAATGGAAGTTCGACACGCTTTGCGATTTGTACGACACGCTGACGATCACGCAAGCGGTGATCTTTTGCAACACGAAGAAGAAGGTGGATTGGCTCACGGAGAAAATGCGACAGAACAACTTCACAGTCTCCGCCATGCACGGCGACATGCCTCAAAAGGAGCGCGAGGAAATCATGAACGAGTTCCGAGGCGGTACGACGCGCGTATTGATCACAACCGACGTCTGGGCGCGCGGTATCGACGTTCAACAAGTGTCTTTAGTCATCAACTATGATCTTCCGGGCAACCGTGAAAACTACATCCATCGCATCGGTCGCTCGGGGCGATACGGACGCAAGGGCGTCGCTATCAACTTCGTCAAGGCAGACGACGTGCGTGCGCTCAGAGATATCGAACAGTACTATTCCACGCAAATCGACGAAATGCCCATGAACGTGGCCGACTTGATTTAGAAGAAACCCACGTGTAACGAGAATCGTCCAAACCGCGCAATCTTCATACTTCGACTCTCTCTCTTTCTCTTCATCTCTTCATGGCGACCCGCCGTCGCACCGTCGGCCGCGAGCTCGAGCGCTTGATCGATAGAACCATCTATCCCGGTTTCATTCGCTCGCAATTGACGGTGTTTAAAGAGGACGGCTCGATACAACAGGGTGCTGGCAAGGTAGTGCGCGCGCACACACAAACGTTCAGGAACTGACCAACCACAGTACTGCGGTGCCGTAGGATCGATCAAAAAACAAAACGCTCTCTACAGCGTTACCGCACGCGTGCCACGATTTGATTTGTGCCTGAGTCCCAAGGATGTCGACGACGACATCGTTCAGATCGACACCATTCTCGAAGCCTTGGAACCTGGGTATCCTCCGCCAGAGATCGACGAACGTCGCCGTAGTCGCGCAGACGTGAAATATTACGAGAGCGCGAGCACGACGGAGGGAAGCGACGATACAGAACGAAAAGAGCGAAAGCGGTTGAAAAAGAATGAATACAGTCGAATTTACAGAGCACGAAAGATGAAAAAGTTGAAGACGTTGTCGGCAAATCAGCCCCTCGCGTCGACGCACAAGAAATCGCAATCGTTGGTGTGCCCGCATTGTGGTTTTATCGGGAAGCGTGCCGCCGGATTCGCGAATCATCTTCGCGCATGCCGCCGCCGACACGAGGACGAGCCGACGCCGACGCCCTCGCCCGACGAGGCGGCGTCGGAACAACACGAACGACGAGAAGAACAACAAGAACAAGAAGAAGCACGAGCACGACATGCTAACACAATTGACATTCTTGAGGACACAATTGACATTCTTGAGGACACTCGGCGACTCGCAGGCGACCAAATTACGCTCTCGTTGCCTATTATCGTCCTGTCGCCCGAATGCCGAATGACCGAGTCGCCTGAATGCTGAATCGCCCGAATACTGAACTATGTGAAATACGAACTGTACAAACACTACTGGCACGCTACCGACTACTACGTTAATCTACAACTCAGCCACTCGTTTCGTCAACTCTTCCGTTTCCTCGTCATCGCTGTCTTCAGATTCTTCGGATGATTCATCCTCTTCTTCGGCGAGTTTATTGCGAAAGTTGTTTCCCGAGCGCTCGATCGCGTTTCTGGACCGATTGAAATTCCTTTCGAGCGGTGGTAAATCGTCTTCGCTCTCATCGTCGTCCTCACCATCGCTCTCACTCTCGCTCGGTGGCATCATGTCCCGTCTCGGCGCCGCCTCCGGTCCCCCGAGCGTTAACCACTTGTTTTGCGTCTCGATGACTTCCTCGCTCGTGCGGCACTGCATGTACGACTCCAACAGCTCGCGATTGAGAGAAATGAATCCGTGTCCCCATTTGAACTTATTCATCAGCGCTTCCGCGGCATCGCGATACCCCGCGATGTACAGTCCGCCCGCCAGCGCCTCGGCGCACGTCAGCTTACACGGCTTGCCGTAATTCACCGGATTCGCCGCCACCAACCAAGGCAACAGTCTCGGCGCCGCGCTGTGCAATCGCTGAAACGGCACGTCATCCAATCGATTCCACGAACAATCCACGACCGCCAACCCGTTTGCGTTCAAAACCTCGTAATCTTTCGGCGAGATCGTCTCCGTCGCGTTCGGCGTCAGCGCCACGCCCGCCCACCGCTGCTGCACGCGCAGCTCGCGCAGGCACCCGAGCCTCGCCAGCTTCCTTCCGCTGCACCGCTTCGGATCGCACTGCGCCAGGTCCCACATCGCCAGCGGCACCGGGAACCGCGTCGGCGCGCTCGACGCGTCGTCGTCGTCGTCGTCGTCGTCTTCGTGGCGTCGCGCGCACCCGGCGTCGACGCACGAACAGAATCCTTTCCCACCGCGCGCCCAATCGGGCAAGACGCTCTTCGCGTCGCCGCGCCCGCGCCCGCGCCCGCGCGCGCCGCGCCCGCGTCCCGCGCCCTGGCGTCCGCGCGCCATGTCGCGCGCGCGTCGCGTCGCGTCGTCGCGTCCCCGCGTCGTCGCGTCGCCGCGTCGGCGCCGGCCGTCGGCGCGAAATCGCACCGCGTGCAGCGCTCGCCTACACGGTCTTAAGACTCGTCGTGTACGTCGCTCGCGCGGTCATGATAAATGGGCGAATCTCGCGCGTTCTACGTACGTAAAGGCGCGGAATTTTTCAGGTTTTCGCCCCGAAGGCGCGCGCGAAGCCGCATTCCGAGACGCGTCCGCGCCCGCTCTCGCGCGCACAAGATGATGTCTCTCACCTCGCGATCGCTCACGGTGCGTGTGAATATAGCCCCCATCGTCGACGCGCGACTGCGACGCCGCGCGACGGTGATGCGCGACGCCGCGCGACGATGACGACGCGCTTCGGAAGATTCTTCCAGGGTCGTCCGGCATCGCGCGCGACGACGACGACGACGGGGGGACGCGACGCGCGCGACGCGCGCGCGACGCGGCGTCTGGATGAGAAAATTTTCGCGCGTTGGATCGCGCGACGGCGCGGTGACGGCGACGCGCGAGGACGCGCGTGCGTGGGCGCGGGAGGAGGCGCGCGCGAGGGGCGCCTCGCCGCCGTCGGACGGCTGGGGTGCGAAGCCGTCGACGCGACGGCGCGCGAAGGGCGCGACGGGCGCGAACGGCGTCGAGCGTGGTGGTGAAGAATAGTGCGCGAGCGATGACGCCGACTGACGATGATGATTGATGATTGATGACGCGCGCAGACGTCGGCGCTAACGGCGAAGCAGAGTCGACGCGGTGGCGGCCGCCGCCGCGTCGCGATGGTTCGCGCCGAGGCGAAGGATATCACGTTTGACATGAGTTCTCGACGCAAGATTCAAGCTGGAATCGATAAATTGGCGGATGCGGTCGGGGTGACGCTCGGTCCTCGCGGGAGAAACGTGGTGCTCGAGGAAAAGTTTGGGATGCCGCAAGTGATTAACGACGGAGTGACCATTGCGCGCGCCATCGAATTACCGGATCCGGTGGAGAACGCCGGTGCGCAGCTCATCAAGGAAGTCGCAGGGCGAACGAATGACTCTGCAGGCGATGGCACGACGACTGCGTCCGTGCTCGCGCGTGAGATGATCAAGTACGGCTTGCAATCTGTCGCCGCGGGCGCCAACCCGGTGACGGTGAAGCGCGGCATCGACAAGACGTCTGAATTCTGCCGTCAAAAGCTCGACGAGCTCACGATTCCGGTGCGCAACCAGCAAGATATCCGTGCCGTCGCTTCCATCTCCGCGGGTAACGATGTCTCCATCGGTGACATGATTGCCGAAGCCATCGAAAAGGTTGGCCCGGATGGCGTCTTGTCCATCGAAAACGGCACCGGTTTGGAAACCGTTGTCGAAGTCGAGGAGGGCATGGAAATCGATCGCGGTTACATTTCTCCGCAATTCGTCAACGACGACGAACGCTTGATGGTTGAATTTGAAGGCTGTCGCGTTTTGATCACGGACGAGAAGATTGAACAAGTTCAAGTGCTCGTGCCACTTTTGGAAGAGGTGTCCCAAGCGGGGTCCCCGCCGCTCTTGATCATCGCCGAAGACATCACGGGCGAAGCGCTCGCCACTTTGGTGGTCAACAAGATGCGCGGCGTGCTTAAGGTGGCCGCCATCAAGGCGCCGGGTTTCGGTGAGCGTCGTAAGGCCTTGTTGCAAGACATCGCCATCGTCACTGGCGCTCAATACATCGCCAAGGATCTCGGTCTCAGCGTCGCGCGCGCGAACATGGACTGCCTCGGCTACGCCCGTAAGGTTTCCATCGCGCAAACGACGACCACCATGATTGCTGATGGTGCGTCCAAGGAAGACATCGACCTTCGCGTGGCTCAACTCAAGCAAGAGCTCGCGGAGACGGATTCCGTGTACGATACCCAAAAGCTTTCCGAACGCATCGCCAAGCTCGCCGGTGGTGTTGCCGTCATTAAGGTTGGCGCCGCGACCGAAACTGAATTAGAAGAACGCAAGCTTCGTATTGAAGATGCCAAGAACGCCACTTTTGCCGCGGTCGAGGAAGGCATCGTCCCGGGTGGTGGCGCCGCTTTGGTGCACTTGAGCAAGATGATCGACGAATTCAAGCCGACCCTCACTAACGCCGAGGAACGCTTGGGCGCGGAAATCGTTCAAAAGGCGCTTCTGGCTCCGTGCAGACTCATCGGCAACAACGCTGGCGCGGAAGGTGATGTGATTGTGCAACACGTCATGGATGGCGAATTCAACTTTGGTTACGACGCCATGACTGGCGAGTACGGTGACTTGATTGATAAGGGCGTTCTCGACCCGAAGAAGGTCACCCGCTCTGGCGTGCAAAACTCTTGTTCCATCGCGGGTATGGTGCTCACGACGCAAGCGGTCATCACTGAAATCCCTAAGAAGAAGACGAAGGCTGCCGGCGGCGCGGCCGCGCCCGATCCCGAAGCGTTCTCCTTGTAAGAAGCGTTGCGCGCGAACACAAAACATTAGAGCAGTAGAAGCTTCTTAATAAGCGACAACATTATTTTCACACTCATTCAATCAACACGTGTTTCTTTAAATTGACAACTAGCGACAATGTGTCGCTCAAATCTCTAATGTATCTATGAGTTTCGAGGAAAACTCTCCGGCGCTCTCGTCTCCTTCGTATTGTTCCGCCGTGTCCTGATTCGAATCGCCCTTCGAGTCGTCGACTGAACCGCACTGGCCGTTATCGTCGTCATCTTCATCGCTTCGTTCGTCTTCATCATCATCGCTCTCTCTCGCTTTTTCATCACACCATCGTTGCCACAAGTTGCGATAGATGACCTCGAGAGATTGTGTGAAACCGGCGGCGTCACACAGGGGCGAGCGCAGCAATTTCTCTCGCAAACCCCGTCGAAGCTCACGAATCTCATCCATCTTATTGCCATACGACGAAGCAATTCGCACGTACTCAATCACATCTTTCGCAACGAACCTTTCGAGACCAACAGCGGTCATCAACGACTTGCCCACGTTGTGCGCGTGACACGCGCCGGCGAGCGTCAGAACGGGCACGCCCATGTGGAGGGACTCGCATGTCGTCGTCGTGCCAGCGTATGGGAAGGTGTCTAGAGCGATATCGACGCGATCGTACATGGCGAGGTGCGAGGATGTCTCGCGCTCGAGCGGAACGCAGTCGATTCGCCAGTTGTCTACTCCCAACGCAGACATTTGCGACAAAAAGCGTTGGCGAATAACTTCGCACGCGAAAGCTTTCGACTTGAAGTACAAGCGACTTCCGGGAGTGGCGAGCAAGATCTGACTCCAAGCCACTCGGACGTCGGCGGTGACTTTGGCCATGGTATTGAAGCACCCAAACGTGACAAAGCCCTGACTTGCGCACGGCGCGTCCGAAACTTGCTGTGGTGCCTCGGGATTCGGGGTGTAGCAAAGGAACGAATGCGGTGACGGTATACGAACGAGCTGTTCCGTGAACGTCTGTTTAGTGTCCAGCGGATCACAGACTTTGTCGGTGATGCGATAGTGGATCGATCGCATTCCCGTGCTGTTCGGATAGCCAATCCACGTGATCTGAACTGGCGCCGGCTCGAGCGCGAGCGTGCCGAGGCGATTGTTCGCCGTGTGCCCGGTAAGCTCAACGAGAACGTCCACACAGTCACCTCGAATGCACTCGGCGAGTTCACGCTCATCAAGAGACGCGCAATCGCGCCACTCGCCTCCGGATTCCAACGTGAACTTCCGAAGGCGCTCGGTCTGCGCATCGCAAAATTTCGACACGTTGTACACCACAAGCTTGACGCTCTCCTTATCGTGCGAACGAAAAGGCGCAGCTGCGAAATAACTCACCGAGTGCGTGTACATATCAGGAGAGACGTAGCCGACGACGAGCTTTCTTCGCCCTGGCGTTCCAGCACCACTGTCCGAACGAACTGCCCTTCGAGCCTTAAGCGGCGGGCCTGCGAGTTTCACAAACCGCGTCCCCCACGTCGCGTGCGCCTCACAAACGTCTGGTTCTTCGCCTTGGCGCACGTAATTGAGCGCGAGCAAGTAGTTCTGTTCGGCATGACGATCGTTCGGAGAGTTTCGAATGCATTCTCTGTACGACTCACACGCGTGCTCGATGTCTCCCGTGTCCCGCAACAAGACGCCTAAATTGTTGTGCGCCACCGCATACGATGGATCCACCGTCACTGCGCGCTGGAGCGTCTCCAAAGCTTGCTGCGCCTCGCCAGTCATCGTGTGTAATACGCCCAGGTTATTGAGAGGTTGAGCAAAGTTGGGATTGCACGCGACGGCGCGGCGGTAGTAGTCCATAGCGCGAGCGTCATTACCTCTTTCCTTGTACAAGACCCCGGCGTTGTTCCAAATTTCCGCGCACTGCGGCCTTAAACGTCCCGCGTTTTCGTACGCAATGATAGCACGATCGTACTCTTCAGCTTCCGCGCACGCCACACCGAGGTTGTAGTACGCCTCAACGTTGGTCGTGTCGTATGAAAGCGCTCGCTCGTATGTCGCAATGGCATCGGCGAGCAAATTCTTCTTCTTTAGCTCCGTCCCTTGATCCGTGAGGACGAGCGACAAGTTCTTCTTCCCAAGGTCGAAATCGGGCGATATGCGCAGACATTTTTCACACGCGTCAAGCGCGTCATCTATGCGATTCGTCATCTTGAAGACGACGCCGATGTTGCAGTACGCCTCAGCTCTTGACGAATCGAGCGCGATGGAGCTTCGATAAGCGCTCTCCGCCTCGACCAATCGTCCACACTCCACGAGAGACACGCCCATATTGTAATACGCCGCCGCAGCGTGATGCGGTACGGCCGCTATGATCTCCGCGTACGTCTCCATCGCGCGCTTAGATTCTCCGTTCGCCTTGTACGTCGTCCCCAGATCCGTCCAAGCCGCGGCTAACTTTTTCTCTGCCTCCTCTGCTTCTTTCGTCATACCGATTCGTGCGTACGCATCGCGCGCAGCGCGGAAGCAATTCACCGCGTCCGTATACGCCCCCGAGGCGTGCGCCAGGCGCGCCAAGCCGCACCACGCGTCAGGATTCCCGATGTCTAATCCGCGCGAAGAGTCGTACGCACGAAACGCATCCGGCGCCGCGCCGATACCCTCGTAACACTCGCCTCTCAGCGCCAGCGCTCCCGCCTCTCCGCCCAGCGCCGAACACTGTGAGCGATTTATCAATTCAAGCGCGTCCGCGAATCGTCGGACGCGCATGAGTGAGCGAATCGTTTCCACGACGCCGCCGCGACGTTTCAAAACCGCGCCGCCGCGAGCGCCAACATCCAAATGCGCTCTCACCGCCGGCGCGCCCGCGCCCGAGCTCTCGGGGCGACACGCGTGTGTCTCATCGCACGATTCCACGCTCTGCACGCTAGAAACGCGCGAGAACGCGCGGTCGGCGCGGTCGCCGCCAGATCGTTCCGAGTCGACATCTTGCGCCGTCGCACGCGCGTCGTCGGACATCTCGACGCGCGAACGCGTCGCGCCTCGCGAGTCGTGTTCGTTTTCGCGATTTCGTCGCGCGCGACGCGGTTTTCCGGCAGCCGCGCCAACGCTCTTCCGTCAGCCCCGCGGCTCGCTGTGATGCGCGCGGCCGACGTCGCTTTCGTCGATGTGGAACGCAGAAGTTACAACAGATTCTACGCGCTAAAGCTCTTCGCGCGATTGCGCGCTCGCGGTGGACGTTTGCGCGTCAGCCCCGGCGCTCTCGGCGGCGTTCGTCGCGGGCTCGGGGTTTTCTCCACCGTTGCGCGCCGCCGTTTCGTCGGCGGCGTCGTCCTCGACGAGCGCGCACGTGATTTGTTCCACGTCCGGCCGCTTCGGCCTTAAATCTTTCGCTTTGCACGCCAGAGGCGTTCTAAAAGTCAACACATATCTACACGTCGCCGGCTCTTCCACTCCACTCAATCCTTCGCTACCGTCCTCGGCGCACACGAAGCGCACCTCGCTCGTGCGCCGCGTCTCGCTGTACGCCGCGCCGACATCTTCACATTTCGTCCCATCTGTGAACGCGTGCGCGTGATAGCGCTGATTCTCCAGCGCCAACTTCCCACTATCTACGCCTGCTTCCGCACCATCGCCCATCGTCGCCGCTCTTTCGCTCCCCAACTCCATCGTCGCCGCCTCGTCAAACTTTCCAAGCGAGTACGAATTCACCCTCGTCGTCCCCTCTCGATGGAACTGTTCGACTCGCGTCTTATAACACAGCTCGTACGTCCACCAATCGCCATTGCCATAATAAAAGCATCGTCCCTCGAGCGGTCGCAGGTGTTCGTCCACCGTGCGCGCGCGTTCGATGTCCTCCAACCGCGTCGCCTTTGGCGTCTCCGCGTCTTCGCGCGTCCCGCCCAGCGCCGTCTCGAGCGCACCATCGTCCTCGCCGTCGTCCTCGCCGTCACCGGTCGCGCCGAGCGGTATCGTGCACACGTACTTCTTCCCGTCGTGCGCCGTCATGGGCACGCGTCGATGCGGCGCGATGGGGCTGACGTCGAGTGGATCTTTCGGGACGCGCACGACGTAACGAGGCGCGTCGTCGCCGACGAATGCGTCGTCGTTGAGCACTTTCGCGTCGGCGCGGGCGCGCGCGCGCGCGAGCGCGATGACGCACGCGAGCGCGGCGAGCGCGCGGGGCGAACGGAGGCGATCGCGAGGCATGGCGCGGCGCGCAGTGCGGCGGGTGGTTGGCGCGGCGTCGGCGACGCTCGAACGAAGGCGCTCGGATTGAATGACAACGCATTAGTTGGCGGCGAGGTACGCGCGAAGCTTGGCGCACTGCTCGAGAACGCTGCGACGCGAGGTGCCGCCCTCGGTGTCGCGGGACTCGGCGGATTTCTCGTACGACCAAACCTCGGCGACGTCGGCGTCGAAGGCGGCGCAGAGGGGCTTCAAGTCGTCGACGGTTAATGAGGAAAGCGGTACGCCGCGGTCTTCGCTGAGCTTGACGGCGGCGCCGGAGATGTGATGAGTCTCGCGAAATGGTACACCCTTGCGAACGAGATACTCGGCGAGATCGGTGGCGAGCATTTCCGCGCACAAACCGCGTTCCATAGCGTCGGGGTAAATTTTGAGCGTCGCCAAGCAGCCGGCGGCGATTTGTAACGAATCGCTCATATTATCCACGGTGTAGTACATGGCGTGCCAGACCTCTTGAAGATCTTTGTTGTACGTCGTGGGCGTGCCCTTGATGGTGGCTAAGACTGCCATGAGCGAACCAATTTGCGTGCCGCTCTTGCCGCGCAAGAGCTCCAACGCGTCCGGGTTCTTCTTTTGCGGCATCAGGGAGGAGCCGGTGGAGTACGCGTCCGAACACTTCACCATACCAAACTGCTGCGAGCAGTACACGATCAAATCTTCACTCCATCGAGACAGGTGCGTGGCCGTCATCGACGCCCAAAAGCTCGCCTCGGCGATGTAATCGCGATCGCTCACGGCGTCCATGGAATTCGGGCACACGCCGTCGAAACCCAAATCCTTGGCCAACAGTTGACGATCGATGCCGAACGGGTTCCCCGCCAACGCCCCCGAACCGAGAGGCATGACGTTCACGCGTTTAATCATGTCTCCCAACCTCTGATCGTCTCGCTGCCAAGCCGCGGCGTGCGAAAGCAACCAATGCGACCATCGCACCGTCTGCGCGCTCTGCAAGTGCGTAAACCCGGGCATGACCACGTCCACCTCGCGCTCGGCGCGATCGACCGCGATCTCAATCAACGTCCTCAGGTGCGCTCGAATCCTAAGCAACTCCCCGCGCAACCACATGCGCGTATCCGTCGCCACTTGATCGTTTCTCGACCGTCCGGTGTGCAACTTCCCCGCGACGTCTCCGATGAGTTCCGTCAACCGCCGTTCATTCGCGGTGTGTATGTCCTCGTCCCCAGCCTTCGCCGCGAACGCCCCGCGCTCCCACTCCTTTCCCACCTCGCCCAATCCATCGATCAGCGCGTCCCTCTCGTCGTTCGTGATCACCCTCGCCCTCGCCAGCGCCCGCGCGTACCCGACCGAACCCTCCACGTCCTCTCGCCACATCCGTCGATCGAACGACAGCGATTCGTTAAACTTCTCCATCAGCGGGTCCTGCGCCTCGCTGAATCGTCCGCCCCACAGCTTTTTCGGTTCATCGCTCGCCGCGCCGCGCGCGACGTCGCGCCTTCGTCCTCGTCCTCGCGCGTCGCTTTTTCGTCGCGCGTTCGCGTTCGCGTTCGCGTTCGCGTTCGCGCGCGTCGGCGTCGGCGTCGCGCGCGTCGAGAGCGACATCACCGTCGTCGTCGTCGCGTCGTCGTCGTCGTCGTCGCGTCGCGCTCCGCCGCGTCGTCCACGCGCGCCGCGGCGGGACGCCCAGCGCGATGCCCTAGACCCTAGAAAACACCCGCGTGTGCGAGCGCGCCCGCCGACGCCAACCGCCGACGATCGCGCGCACACGACGGCGCGGCGACGCGCTTCGACGCGACGCGCGACCGGTGACGGACGCGCGCGACGCACCGAACGACGGACGACCGAACGAGCGAGAAAGCGACGGGCGAAGGAAAGGAAAGAGACGCGAACGCGAGGGACCGAACGACGCGAAGGCGGGACTTCGGACGGCGAGGGACGACGCGCCGAGCGCGAGGGACGACGCGCGAGCGATACCGGAGACGAGGGAGGCGATAAAGAAACGCGCGATGTTGAAGGCGGTGTTCAGTGGGAAGGATAAGGCGAAGATAACGTCGCATAAACGGACGGGGTCGTTGTTCGCGAGCGAGGAGGGCGAGGCGCTGGACGCCCTGGCGCGGTCGTCGAGTTATCTGAGCGGTAGGGGAGAGACGAAGGAGTTCAACGCGCACGACGTGATTGAGGAGTGTGATGAACTGCTTCGGACGATCTTCTTCGCCGTGGTGAGGGAGACGGCGGGAGATAAGTTTTTGGGGCAGTTGAAGAGCGTGTACGAGGCGAGCGAAAAGTTTGGCAGCTCGCACGACCCGAAGGATTTCGACGCGATGCAGGCGATGTTGGAGACGATGGAAGTGGATGAATCGTTGCAGTTCGCGTCGGCGTACTCGAATCTGTTGAATCTGCACAATATTTCCGAGCAAGTGGCGAACGCGATGGAGGAAAGACACAGACGTTTGGACGATATTCCGCGAGGGCCGGCAAAGACGACGAACGGCGCGATTAAAGGTTTGCTTCGAGCCGGGAAGTCGACGGAGGAAATCTACAGCGCTTTAGCGGTGCAGCACGTTGATTTAGTGCTCACCGCCCACCCCACGCAAGCCTTGAGACGGTCGATGTTGAAATCTTTCGGAATAATTCGTGAAAAGCTGTTGCAGCTGCAACGATTTCGCCTTTCGCGATACGAGCGTGCAGAAGTTTTGGACGAGATTCGATCGAAGGTCGCCTCGGCGTGGCGCACAGATGAGATCCGCCGCACGCCACCGAAGCCTCAAGACGAAATGCGCGCGGGTCTGACGTACTTTCAGCAAACCATCTGGGATGGCATCCCAACTTTCATGCGTCGCGTGGACACGTCGCTCTTGGCAAACGGATGCCCTCGTTTGCCGCTCGACAGATCCATCGTTACGTTCGGGTCGTGGATGGGTGGTGATCGTGACGGCAACCCATACGTCACGGCATCATGTACGCGCGACGTCGTTCTCTTGGCCCGTGTGCAAGGGGTTAACCTACTCTTCCGAGCGATTCAGCGTCTGATTTTCGATTTGTCCATGTGGCGATGCAACGACGCCGTCAAGGCGTTGGCAAAGGACATCTTGGAGAACTCGGAAACGGACAACTTTACGATCTTCGAAGAGCGCAAGAAGCGAAACTACGATGACTTTTGGAAGGCCATTCCCGAGCACGAGCCTTACCGCGTCATCTTGGCTGAACTTCGAGACAAGCTTTACAACACGCGAGAGGCGTTGCAGCGTTGCATCGCGGACAACGACGTCAACATCGACATGAACGACGAGACTATCATTCGTTCCAAGGACGAACTGTTCGCACCCTTGGTGGTGTGCTACGAGTCTCTCATCGAAGTCGGTGACGCTCAAATTGCCAACGCCTATCTTCTCGACGTCATTCGCCAAGTGCAGTGCTTTGGGTTGGGGCTGGTCAAACTCGATATCCGGCAAGAATCTGATCGCCACGCCGAGGCTTTGGACGCGGTGACCAGGTACATCGGCCTCGGATCGTACCTCGAATGGAGTGAGGAACAGAAAATTGAGTTCCTGACACGCGAGCTTGAGAGCAAGCGGCCACTTTTACCTTCCGACCTCGAATGCTCGGACGACGTTCGAGAAGTCCTGGACACGTGTAAGATGATTGCGCACTTGCAACAAACGTGCCCGGGTGCCCTCGGAACGTACGTTATATCCATGGCGACAAGTGCCAGCGATGTTTTGGCAGTTGTATTATTACAGCGCGAGTGTGGCTGTCGCAAACAGGATCTTCTTCGCGTTGCACCGCTCTTTGAGCGACTCGACGATCTGAACGACGCCCCGCGCGTGTTGCGCCAGCTCTTCTCCGTGAAGTGGTATCACGACCACATCGCGGGATTCCAAGAGGTTATGATCGGGTATTCGGATAGTGGAAAAGACGCTGGTCGCATGGCTGCAGCATGGGCGCTGTACGATGGTCAAGAACGCGTCGTGGCGGCAGGGAAGGAGTTTGACGTTGCGCTCACCCTGTTTCACGGTCGCGGAGGCACCGTAGGTCGCGGGGGAGGTCCAGCGCACATTGCCATGTTGTCTCAGCCTCCAGGCACTGTGAATGGTAGCATCAGAGTCACCGTGCAAGGAGAAGTGATCGAAACCGACTTCGGTGAAAAAGAAAACTGTTTTCACACTCTGGATTTGTACACGGCGTCCGTTCTGGAGCACACGTTGAAGCCGCCGGCGCATCCTCGCGATGAATGGCGCCGAGTCATGGATAGAATGAGCGAATACTCATGCGCGCATTATCGTAAGACTGTGTTCGAAACCCCTGATTTCGTCGGATACTTTGCACAGGCCACGCCTGGAGCCGAGCTTGGATCGCTCAACATCGGTTCTCGACCGGCCAAGCGTAAACCGAGTGCGGGCGTCACCGCTCTTCGAGCAATTCCGTGGATTTTCGCGTGGACGCAGTCGCGATTCCACTTGCCAGTCTGGCTCGGAATTTCCACATCATTCAGACGCTTGATCGACGAAGGCGAACTGGAAACGCTGAGGGACATGTACAAAAGTTGGCCTTTCTTTGAGGTGACGATCGATTTAGTGGAGATGGTGCTCGCCAAGGCGGATCCCGTCGTCGTGGCGTATTACGAAAGAGCCCTTGTCGATCCAAAATTGCACGACTTCGGCGCCAGTCTGCGCGGCGAGCTTCAAGAAAGCATCGATTGCATCCTCGCCGTCTCCGAGCATATCGGTTTGCTCGCCAAACCAGAAAAAGTCGAGGCGAACGAGGCGGTTCAGGTGCATAAAAAGCTCGCTCACAAACTTCACAAGCGGTCGCTGTACATCACGCCGCTCAACGTGTGTCAAGTGCGATATCTCATCGCCGCTCGCGCGCTTGAAAATGAAGAAGATGGCGATAAGCTAAGCATGCAAAAAGTCAAGATCACCTTGCTCGAGGGTTACCCGTTCCAAGATTACAATTACAAGGGCGCGGTGAACGACGTTTTAAAAATCACGATGAAGGGCATCGCAGCCGGGATGCAAAACACTGGGTGACAACATCGAAATTTCATTAATACTACCTACGGCTAAAATCAATCCACGAGTTTCCTCTTCGTTCGTCCGAAGTCTACCCAATGACACGAGCCGTACTCGTGCATTTTCGTTGTGCCTATGGTTCGGTCAGCGTTTTCCTCAAAAGCGAGAAAATGCTTGAAAGCATCGTGGTGCGCCATTTGCGTCATGGCTTCCTCGTCGCTCGGGCATACGCACCCTTTCGCCCTCTTTCTCCTTCTCTCCACCACCAGTCCATCGTCATCGAGCGACCAACGCTCGCCTTGACCTTGAAGAGGAACCCAGCGACGGGTCAAATGACTATAACCGTAGCCAATCTTCACAACGGCAGCCACCGTGCCGCCCATCAGACGCGTTGAGATGACGCGCCGCGGCTCAAACGCCGTTCCGTCTTGACAATTATTGGCACGCCGGACCGCGCCATCTTTGTAACAACCCATACGGAATTGCGTAGGATACGCGCGATTCAATTGTGGGTCGAAAATGCGATGATTAATCAAAGAGATTTCGAAATCCTCGGGGTCGGCGTAGTAGGCGTTCAGAAAGCTGTAATCGGCGTTGGACTGGCCACCCCTTACGGCGGCGGCAAGGTTCTCCACGCGATTGAACTCTATCATCGATCGAGCGCCGCATACCGCCATGAGTTTGTAAGGGAAATTCGAAATCGATCGAGTGGCGCAATAAAACGCGCCCCGCCCGAGATGTTGACTTGCATCCTTGGGAAACTGTTCGGCGCCCTTGTCGTAGTGCGCGCGCGCGAACTCGCACGAATCCGCGTGGTCCATCATCGTCACGATGTTCACCTGATACTGTCCCGCCTTGCAAAATGCATTGCGTATGTTTTCTTGCTCGTACAGCTGAAAGTGTCGCGAGCGAGGCGTGCGCCAAAACTGGAACGAAAACGACGCGTTCCGCCAAAGCGCCTTGCGCCCCTCCTCGACGGCGTCGACGTCGAAATCCAACGCCTCGTGACCATCGCAAGATATCCTCTTTTCCCACGCCCACTCGCGTCCTTCGAAATCTCGCTGTTGCTCGTACGACACAAATCCATCGTCCGCGGCGTTCCCACCGTCGTGCTGATTACTTTCGTCCCACGTCGAGTGCTTCATCCGCTGCCCGAGCGCGGCTTTGAACGGCGTCGCGAACGCGGAAGATCCCCGTCCCTCGACCCCTCGTTTGATCCCGAGCGTCATCAGGCTCGACACCGCCATCACCGCGATGGACATCATCACCGTCCCGCGTCGCTCGCTCGTCGACGTCGTCGAGACGCGTCGCGCGCGCGACGTCGCGTCGTCGGACGCGTCAACACCCATCGTTGTCTCGTTCGATTCGATTCGATTCGACGCGCTTCGACGGTTTCGAGATCGACCGCGCGCGCGAGTCGTCGCTTCTGTCTCGCGCGCGACGCGTCGCTTCGGTCGCGCGCGCGCGCGTCGACCGCGCGTCGACGGGTGTCGAGCGCGCGCGCGCGTCGCGCGCGCGACGCGCGCCGACGCCGTCGTACATAAACCGAAAACGCCCCGCGTCGGTTATCGCGACTCGGCTTTGGGTAAAATTACCTAGGTCGACGTTCTGTTTGATACGGGTTCAATCCCCAGGTCGGTCCACGTATATCAGTTGGAAGATAGTTTGACTTCTACGCGAAGCGCGCGAGCGACGCGCGAGTCATCAAAAGGCCGCGGGTTCGAGCCCCGTCGTGGACATCTAGTGGACATCTAAACGCATCTTTTTTTTGGGCGAACGGTTGTCGTTGACATCGCGCCGAAGCGGTACGTCCGCGCGCTGACGACGCTCGCGCGCGCTCGCGAGTCCGAGCGCACTTTTTTTCGCCGCGCATGCGGGACGCCCCGTCCCGGTAGTATGGACGCCCCGTCGTGGACAGGTTTCCATTTTTCCATTTTGCCATTCAATTCGATGCGATGTGCGTTACACTCACTACGCGCGCTCACGCGGCGTCGGCTTTCGCCTTTCGCGCGGCGGATTCTTTTAAGAGGTACTCGCCGAGCCACGCGAGCGGGTCCGCCGGGCGCGCGGCGTTGAGCGCCACCAGGGCGTCGTGCAGGACGCTCGTGACGTGAGTTTCGAGGTACACCTTCGCCGAGGCCTCATCGCGCGCGTCCTGCGCGTCTTGGCTCGGCGGCGGGCGCTCTGTCGTCGACGACGTGTCAGCCGTCAGTCGTTCGTTCGCGCGTTCGCGCGTTCGCCCGCGCGCGCGCGTCGCGTCGATCGATCGCACCCGCGTCCGCGTCCGTCGCCGCGTCCATCGCGCGCGCGTCGGCGTCGTCGTGTGAGGGAACGCGCGCGGCGCCGAGGCGCGCGCGGTGGTTGATTGGTCCGGTGCGGTCTCGAGTCACACACGGACGACAGACGCATCGACCGCGGCGACCGCGCCGTCGCGCGACGCCTCTTTGAAGCGCGCGACAGCGCCCGTCGACGACATCATGGCCCCGAAAGGTGCGAACGATATTCTCGCCGCGACGACGGCGCGTCGAACGCGACGACGGCGCGGCGCGGCGTCGAGAAACGGCGCGCGGGCGCGACCGACGCGCGATGGGTCGATCGGCGGGATGGATCGTCGTCGCCGCCGCGCGTCGTGGGAACGCGGATGCGCGCGAGTGAAGCGAGTTGGAGAGACGACTGACGATGCGTGGGATGTTTTCGCGGGCGTAGACACGAAGAAGAAGGTTTCCACCTTTGTCATCGACTGCGCGAAGCCGGTGCGTGTGAAACCCTAAAATACAGGGCGAGCGGCGAACGCGCGACTCGAGACGACGACGAGGGACGATGACTGACGATGCGATATTCTTTGATGCGAATAGGTCGAGGACAAGATTATGGAGATTGGTTCGTTCACCGCGTTCCTCACCGATCGTATCAAGGTTGGTGGTAAGGCGGGCGCGCTCGGCGAGGCGGTGAGCGTGTCGAGCGACAAGACGAAGGTGACGGTGACGAGCGAAGTCGCGATGAGCAAGCGCTACATGAAGTACCTCACGAAGAAGTACCTCAAGAAGCACAACGTTCGTGATTGGTTGCGCGTGATTGCGTCCAACAAGGAACGCAACGTGTACGAGTTGAGATACTTCAACATCGCGGACGACAACGAGGAAGAATAAATTTCGTCCTCGCGACGAAGTTGACGTGGGTGCTGGTCAGCGCGCTCTTTGAGGGCGTCGTGAGACCCGGGGGAGCGTTCGCGTTAGATCGCGTTCGCTTGAAACCGATAAGAAACACTCTAGGCATATAAAAAAGAGGTGATAGCGTTTTTATGAAAGACAAAAGTCGTCTCGATAAATTGTTTTACACGATTTTCGCCGTTAATCCGTCAACGCCGCCGTGGCTTTGTCGCTCACCGCTTTACTGAGCTCTTGCACTTTTTTATTCTTAATGAAAAACTCGTGCGTCAGCATGGCGGCGACGAGAACGATGAGGAGGTAGATTGGGAAAAATTGCGGGTACTGGGTGAAAACCTTGCCGAAGAGTTTCGTCGCCACGACGCGCTTGTAAAACACCTGACCGATGGGACCGTGTAAGATGTAAATCGGGAACGAAATCGTTCCGAGGTACACCAAAGGTTTTAGCGAAAGAATCTTCGAGACCAAAGACCCCTCACCGCCCTCGCGCACCGTCTCTCGGTGTACGTTGACGGCGAACGCGGAGAACAAAACGGTGAAAATTGTCCTCGATAACGCGTCGTTGACTGCGACGACGCCGAGCGCGCGAGCGGCTAGAAACGCCACCATGGCCACCAACGGCGTCGCCGAGCACGCCAAAAGTTTGTTTTGCTTCGGCACGGACTCGCCCTCGGCGCTGTCCACCATGACGGTTCGCGCGGCGACGGCGCCGAGTAAGACGTCGATCAAAGCGTTGAAGGGTGAAAATCGCACCGAGTTAAAGTACAGCCAGTTTGGGTGCGTCTTCGCGGACATCATGCCTTCCATGAAGCCCCATGCGTTGAGATCGTAGGAGTACGCGATCTTCGCCAAGAGAGACACGATTATCAGCACCTTGAACACCGAATGCAAGTGCTCGCGCTTGAAGCGCGCCACGCTCGGCAACGCGAACGGCATCGCCGCCAAGGCAAACGTGAACGCGCTCAAAAACCACGTCGGCGCGTTCCAAAGCTCGGCGTGCATGGGGAACCACGCTTGGGTGAGAGTAAACGTCATGAAACCGTGCACAGCGGCCGTCAACGGCCCGTTGTAAAACGAATCCGCATAAAAAAACATCGGCGCGAAGACGCAGTTGACGACAAAGTACAGCGGATAAAACCCCATCACGCGACTGACGAAATACTTTGGAGTCGGGCGTAATCGCCCCGTCTGCGCTTCGTACTTGCCCAGCTCCGTCGTCGTGTACGCCGCGACGTACCCACTGAGCACGAAAAACGCTCCGACGACGACGTTGACTTGCGAAAACGCCGCGAGCGCGAGCGCGTTCTTCGTCGCGCACGCGATAAAGTGCCCGACCGAGATGTACGTGATCAAAAAGAACCGCACGCTGTCCAGCGCGGGCAATCGCGGTTTTTTCACCGACTCCACCTTCACGCCTTCGCCCGCGGCGCGCGCGATGACCATCCGCGAGCCCTTCCGCGCTCGTTCGCGCGTCCGAGGCGCGTCGCCCTCGCGCCCCGTCGCCTTCCCTCGCGCCTCGACGACCATCGACGTCGATCGAGCGCCTCGCCCGCGTCCAAGACGCGCGCTCCCGCTTCCCGCGCCGACGCACCGCGCGCTCGCGCGCTCGCGCGCATCACGCGCGCCGCATTTCGCGCGCGCGCGCGACACCGAATGTCCCGACAGTTGCGCAGTCAAACGCATCTCTCAAACGCGCACGCCGCCGCGTCGTTCGCTCGCGTCGCGCGTTCGCGCGCGCGCGCGATCGTCGCGCGTCCCGAGCGCGTCGTCGCGCGTCGACGCGACCGCGCGTCGACGATCGCGCGCGTCGCGCGTGTCGAAGTGTCGCCGGCGCTTCTCGCTTCTGGGCGAATTCCGCGTCATTCCTCGACGCCCGCGCGCGCGCTCGCGCCGTCATGGACTTCAACCTCGAGGGCCTGCGCGTGTTCTTCCCGTATCCCCAGATATACCCCGAGCAGCTGGCGATGATGACCGAGTTCAAGCGCTCGCTCGACGCGCGCGGGCACGGCGCGATCGAGATGCCCACGGGGACGGGGAAGACGATCACCGTGCTGTCGCTGTGCGTGAGCTATCAGATCGCGCACCCGGAGTGTGGGAAACTGATATACTGCACGCGCACGGTGCCGGAGATGGAGAAGGTGCTGGCGGAGTGCCGGACGTTGGAACGATTCATAGCGGCGCGAGCGGGCGAGGACGTCGCGGCGATGCTGGCGCTCGGGCTGTCGTCGAGGAAGAACATGTGCGTGAATCCGCGAGTCGTGGACGAGGGGTCGAGGGAGAGCGTGGATGGGAAGTGCCGACGGTTGACGGCGAGCTGGGTGCGAGAGAAACGGTTGGAACGGGAGGCGCGAGGGGCGAGCGAAAACGAAAACGTGGAGGACGGGGGCGAAGGGAACTGTTGCGAATTTTTTGAGGATTTTGAGAGCGCGGGAGAGAAGGCGGTGTTGCCTCCGGGGGTGTACACCTTGCACGATTTGCGCGCGTTCGGGCGAACGAAGAAGTGGTGTCCGTATTTTTTGGCGAGGAATATGATTTCGTTCGCCAACGTCGTGGTGTACAACTATCAGTATATGCTCGACCCGAAGGTGGCAAGCTTGGTGTCGAGTTCGTTGGAAAAGGAGTGTATCGTAGTGTTCGACGAAGCGCACAACATCGATAACGTGTGCATCGAGGCGTTGAGTGTGAATCTTCGCCAGCAGACGTTGGAAAACGCGGGGCGGTCGATTACGTCGTTGAACACGCGCATAGACAGGGCGAAACAAACCGACGAGCGGCGGCTTCGTCAAGAGTACGAGCGCTTGGTGAACGGGCTGGCGCAGCAAGGCGTGTTAGCGCGAGGCGGTGGCGAAGACGTGTTGATGAACCCGATTATTCCGGATGATATTTTGCGCGAAGCCGTGCCGGGGAACATTCGACGGGCCGAGCACTTCGTCGCGGTGTTGAAACGATTCGTTGAGTACCTCAATATGCGATTACGATCGACGCAGGTGGAACAAGAAACACCGACGGCGTTTTTGCAGCACTGCGCCGCGAACGCGGGAATAGACGGGAAGACGTTGAAGTTTTGCTACGACCGCTTGACGAGCCTGTTGAAGACGCTCGAAGTCGTGGACATGGACGAATTCAACGCGCTATCTTTGGTGGCAAACTTTGCCGCGTTGGTTGGGACGTACTCAAACGGCTTTGCGCTGATTCTCGAGCCTTACGATGAGCGTTATCCAAACATTCCGGATCCAGTGTTGCAACTCGCGTGCTTGGACGCGTCGCTCGCCATCAAGCCCGTGTTTGAGCGTTTCCAGTCCGTGTTCATCACGTCTGGAACGTTGAGTCCGATTGATTTGTACCCAAAACTTCTTGGGTTCAATCCTGTGAGCGTACGGAGTTTAGCAATGACGCTTACGCGCGATTGCTTGTGTCCGATGGTGATCACTCGTGGGGCGGATCAGCAAGCCGTGTCGACGAAGTTTGACATGCGCGACGATCCGAACGTGATTCAAAATTACGGGCGAATCTTGATTGGTCTCGCGCAAACCGTTCCCGACGGCATTGTCGCTTTTTTCGTATCGTATTCTTACATGGAAAACATCGTGAGCAAGTGGCACGAGACGGGAATTTTGCGAGAAATCATGCAACACAAACTCGTCTTCATCGAAACCACCGACGTGGTTGAGACGTCTTTGGCGCTCGACAATTACCGACGCGCGTGTAACTGCGGCCGGGGCGCGATTTTCCTCTCTGTCGCGCGCGGAAAAGTTGCGGAAGGGATCGATTTCGATCGGCACTACGGCCGCGCCGTCGTCATGTACGGCGTACCGTATCAGTACACGCTCTCGCGCATCTTGCGCGCGCGACTCGAGTATTTGCGAGAGACGTTCCAAATCAAAGAGAGCGACTTTTTAGCGTTTGATGCGGTGAGGCAAGCGGCGCAGTGCGTCGGGCGAGTCATCCGCTCGAAAAAAGATTACGGTCTCATGGTTTTTGCGGACAAACGATACAACTCGCAGGACAAGCGCGGAAAGCTGCCGGGATGGATCACCACGCACTTGCGCGAAGAGGTACTGAACTTGTCCACGGACATGGCCATGCAAGTCGCGCGGACGTTCATGCGCTCTATGTCCCAACCGTTCAGCCATGATGAGAACACGCAGTCCCTGCTCGATCAAGCGATGGTCGATCGACTCGCCGTCGAAGGGGGTTGGCGGGAGGCGTTGCCGGCGCTTTCTCGAAAGTTGGCGCCCGAGATCACGATGCACCTTTCTTAGATGAGCACAGAATTAGCAGAATATAGCTTTATAGTTTTAATAGTACAAAAAGGAAACCGACTAGCCGCGAATCGTGTCCGTGTGCGCACCGCGATCGCCGGCGGCGACTTGCGCGCGCCAACCTTCGAGCGACGCCTTTGCGATGGTTTCCAATTTATCCATGGCGTCTCCGACTGAGTCGGCGCTCCACAAAACTTCTGAAATGGCGAGATGCGCGTCTTCGCTCTCGCATCGCAACAGACGCTCAATAATGGGTAAGTTGTCTTCGACCTCACCGTCGACCGCGAACCCGAGACGCGATTGGAGGAGCGGATCGTCGAGCGGCCTGCCGCCGAAGACGTCTTCGGGCAGCGGGCGGTATCGACAAAAAAAGCCTAGATGCCACGGAAAAAACTCATCAAACCGTCGCTTACCCAGTTCGTCGTCCCCGAAGCCTTCCCGCATGTAATTACGCAGCGTGTAATACACCCCCACGCGCTGTTCCACGGTTGGATTCCAGCACTTGCGCTCGCGATACTCTTTGAATATCCACGGCTTGATCAACGCCCCTCGACCGACCATCATCGCAGCCACTCCAGAGTGCTCCATTCGATCGCGCGCATCGTACCACGTCAACACGTCGCCGTTGCCTATGATTGGAATGTTTCGTTCCCGAACGATGTCTCGAATCACGTCGTAATCCGCCGCCTTGGTGTACCGCTGCTCCTTCGTCCGACCGTGCACGACGACGGCGCTCGCCCCCGCATTTTCCAACCCCTCCGCGATTCTCCGCGCCTGCGACGACGAATCGATCCCAAGTCGAATCTTCACCGTCAACGGCACGTCGATCCGACTCGCGATCCCCTCCACCAACCGCTCCAATTTCGCCGGCTTTTTCAACAGCGCCGCGCCGAGCCCGCGCTTCCACGTCTCGTGAATCGGACATCCGCAATTCAAGTCCACGAAATCCGCGCCAAACTCCCCCGACGCGATCAACGCCGCGTTCACGCCCTCCTCAATGGCGTTCGTCGCGATCTGCGCCCCGAAACAATCGCCAGCGTCGCCCTCGTGTCGCCGCACCCGCGCGCGTTCCACCCTCGCCCCCTTCGCGAGAAATCGCGCGAACGCCATCTCGCTCACCACGACCTCCGCCCCGAATTCGCTCGCGCACAACCGTCGGAACGGCGCGTTTCCTCCCTTCGTCAGCGGCGCCAGCCACAGCTGTCCGCGCGCGACGCGCTCGCGGAACGTTTCGTCGCCGCCGCCGTTTCGTAACCGTCGCGCGTCCGAATCATCGTCGCCCTCGCGCGCGTCCGAGACCGCGTCTCCGCGCGCGCGCGTCGACGCGCGACGCGGCGCGAGACACCGCCGACGCTTGAGCGCGCGCAGCGCGACGCGCGTCGTCGCCGGCGCGATCGCGCCGACGCGCCGCATGATGACGCCCGACGTCGCACATCGCGCCGCGACATCACCCGCGCGCGCGCTCGAGGCGCGACGCCGCGCGCGCGACGCGCGAGACGCCGCGTCGCGCGATGCCGGGCGCGGACGCGACGCGCGAGACCGGCGCGCGCGAGCGGCGGCGTCGGAAAGATCATCGGCCGCATCACCATCGGAGACACGCGTCCAACTCGAGTTACGACGCGCGCGAGCCGATCCTGCGCGCGCGGGACGGCGCGGAGGAGGCGCGCGATGCGGTCGACGACGACGACTCCGCGCCGTCGCCGCGAACGCCGCTGAACGCGGTGAAGACGCGCGATGGGAGAAAGTCTCCGCGAACACCCGATGATGAGTCGGAAACGTCTTCGTCGTCGGATGACGCGACGCCGGGGCGAGGGGAGCCGTTCAGCCCGCGACGAGGCGGACGGTCGAGCTCGGAATCGTCGGGAAATCGCGCGGGCGGGGCGTTCGGGCGGCGGGGAGGGAGGCGGAGCGGGCGGGCGAGCGACGCGGAGCAGATCGCGCGAATGCTGGACGGCGAGGCGACGTCGAGCGAGAAAGGGACGGGAGGTATGAGGGACGACGTCGACGATGCGAGCGGTGATGCGGTGGAAGTGAAATCGGCGCTCGATGCGGCGGAGATGGAGGGAGATGGGGGAGGGAGTCGACGGACGACGACGTGGGGGGCGCTCGTGGCGTATCTGCGATGCTGCGTCGCGCCAAAGTCGACGACGGAGAGCGAGCTCGAGTGCGCTGAGAGCGCGGCGAGTGTGGTGCATCAGACGACGACAGTGTCGTGCGTGCCGTGCGTGGCGCAGCCGAGGGCGTGCTTGGAAGATGGGTTCGTGTTGCACGAAGGCGACCCGTTCATCGGCGAGCCGGACTGCGCGTGCGACGCGTCGCGCTGGGGCAAGTACGCGACGAAGGAGATTTACAATCTGCGTGATGGGGCAACCAAGTATAAACCGTGTTTAGTGCTCGACTTGGACGAAACGCTGGTGCATTCGAGCTTTAAGCCCGTGATGAGAAGCGATTTCATCGTGCCGGTTGAAATCGACGGCAAGATGACCGACGTGTACGTGTTGAAGCGCCCGTGGGTGGATTTGTTCATGCGCGAAGTTTCGAAAGACTGGGAAATTGTCGTGTTCACGGCCAGTTTACCGAAGTACGCGAATCCAGTGATGGATTTACTGGACGTCGAGAAGACGGTTCGTTGGCGGTTGTTCCGTCGACACTGTTACGCGTTTCAGGGCAACTACGTCAAAGATTTGACGTCTTTAGGCCGAGATCTATCGCAAACGGTCATCGTGGATAACTCACCTTATTCATACGCGTTTCATCCGCAGAACGCGTTCCCTATTTCGAGTTTCATTGACAACCCCAACGACAACGAGTTGCTCAACGCGATACCATATTTGCGAGAGCTAGCGAGAACTAAAGACGTTGTCGAATTTTTGAAGAAGTCGCGAGGGTGTATGCCACGTCAATCGTACTTTTCGCGCAAAGAAATCGAAGAGCCGGCGTACGATCGAGTTGGTAACGCCATTGTGCCATAGTGCCATAGACAGAAGCTGCGTTGTTTGCCTTGTTGAAATGTTACAAATCCGTGGAAAATCGACATACGTTACATCATTCGTCATCCTCGATGGACAAAAGAGAGAAGACGTTAGTGTTCTCCACGCGCGTCACGACTTCTTCTTGAATCTTGAGCACGGGAGTGTGCACTTTTTTCTCGTGCTTCGGCGTCGGAAGCTTTGCCGGTTCGCGGTGCAACTCGGCGTCAATCTTCTTCTCAACCTCGGCGAGAATTTTGCTCGTGTCCACTGGTTTAGCGCCACCGAATATAGACGCAGAACCGACGGCGATCGGAGGCTCTCCGGAGTCCCTCTCGATGCTTCGCGGTTTGAGCACCAATTTGGGACGCTCCGCGGCCGGCTCGACGATTTTCGGCACCGGCGCGGCGTTGCCCACAGACGTCCACTGATCCTCGCGATGCGAGTTTCGACGTTGCCCGCGATCGGTAGAACTTCTTCGTCCTCTGTCCATCGACTTCCGCTCATCCGCGACGTTGACGCGCAACGGGCGTTCGCCCATGACGAAGCCGTCTGCCTTCAACGCTTCGCGAAGACTGTCCGCGTCTGGAAACTCCACAAAGTACCCTCGAACTTTCGTCTGACTCCTATCCGTCATCGCGCGGACGTTTACTGCCTCTGGCGTCGCCCCGCACGCCTTCAACACCTCATCCTGCGTCGCCTCAAACGGAAAGTTTCCGACGAACGCGACGTACGGCGGCTTTGTGGGAAAAGCCGCCGGCTCTCGTTCTCGCGGCGCCGTCCGTTCCCGCGAGCCTTCTTCGCGGTGATGCGTCTCTCGATGTTCGCGATACTCCACTTGCATCGCCGTGGGTTGATGCGTCTCCCCTCGCGTCTCTCGAAACCCGCCGCCGCCGTGCGTCTCCGCGCCGTGCCAACCGCCCATGCGCTGAGTCGCGCGAAAATCAAACAATCGTTCGGGTGCTCGCGCGCGCGCGCGTGCGTCGATCTTCAGATCCTACGCACCGCCGCCGATCGAGCGCTTTCGTCAGTCTCCTTCGTCGCCTCTCGAGCGCGGTCGCACCGCGCGCGACATCGCGTCGCGCGCGTCGATTCTCGAGAATTCTCGCGATCGTCGTCGTCGTCGTTCGCGCGCTCGAGATCGCGTCGTCGAGCGGTTTCGCGCGTCGGCACGCGGTCGATCGATCGAGCGATGTGCGTTTCATCGTCGAGCGCGCGCGCGCGACGAGTGACGCACCGTGCGCGCGAGCGCGAGCGCGAGCGTGTGCGGAACGGTGCCGACAGTTACCGAGCCGTGGGTGGCGCCTTCGGGGACGAAGAGATCGAGAAATTTCGAGACTCGCAAAATGTGCAAACATGCGCGTTACAAGGATGGCGTTAAAAGGACGCGTTAAAAGGAAGAAGCGACGTCTTCGAGGTTACCGTACGGAACGTCGTTGTCGCTTTCGAATAAGTACGCCTTGGCGTCGTCGCTGAGCGCCAAGGAGAGGCTGGCGACGGAGGCGCCGTCGGCTTTCGCAGCCCGCGCGCGCCGCTGGAGGGCGTCCGACTGCGCGTTTAAATCGGATTGGCGCAAGGGCAAGTCCACGGCGCACGGATCGATGGTGTAACCCATACTCGTGGCTATAGACGCCATCATACAGTTGCTGACGACGCGCTCGGAATCAACGGTGTGGTCAGCGCTGATGGGCAACCAGGCGGCGGTTTCGGCAAAGGCGCGGCCGCCGCGCGCGCAACCCAACTGGTTGAACTTTTTGGGGTTGAAGTCCATTTCATCGATGTCGGGTTGCGGTACGGACTCGCTGACGACGCGTTCATCGTCATACCAAGTCGGGACGACACCACCGAGCATTGATTTATCGAGCTTCTTCGTTTGCGCGATGTAGCAGTTGAAATTCAAACCGTCGGCGTGCTTTGCGATGCACTTGGAATTTAACCAGGTGCTGATCATCCCGGCTCCATTCGTCGCGACGTAATCTCGAAGTCTCTGCGCGCCCCGTTTCGTGAACATCAGAGCGCTAGTGCCGACGCCGCCGCACATATGGTTGTGCTTGTACAAGTACACCGACGAAGATTGGTTCACGCACTCCTCGGCGCCGTGCGTGTGCTCTCCCCACGTGCCGGTCGCGCTCGACTTGATCTTCTTCACGAACTGCCCCGGGCTCAGGTAATCAGGCTCGAGAAACACCATGTCGGTGTTTTCCGGAAGCTCACTCTCGAGCTCGGCGTAATCGAGCGGGCTAACGGCGTGCTTCGCCAAGGCTGTGGACTCCCAAACGACAAACGAGTCGGCGCCAGAGTCGAGCGCCTTTTTCCAGACAGCCATGTGCGATAACATGGAGCCGAGGTGCTTCTGCAGACCCAGCTTACACGCTTCCCCGACGCAGTGTTGATCTTTGTCAGCCAGCGTGGCTTGCACGTCCTTAACGGGAAAGCGCACGTCGTCGCCTTCAGTCATCCCCATCATCGCCACCTTGGCTGTCTCGAGCGTATCCGGCCAGCGCGCCGGAAACGTCTCTTCTTCGATACTAGCGACCTTAGCGGCCTCACTCGAGTCCATACCAGCGTATGTCTCGAACAGGTTGGCCACGTACGCTTGCGCACTCTTGGCGTTTTCAAGTTCTTCGCCCGGCTGGGTGTCGGAGATGATGTAAATCTTTGGAGTGTTCGTCGGGAGTGCGGATTCGGTACTGCCCGTCGCCGCCGTTCCTCCCACATCGGTAACAGCTGAAATCGCCGCTTTCGCGCGTTGCTGCTTTCTATGCGCCACACGTTGCTCGCGTTTCGGATGCTCCTTGTTGAGTTCCGCTTCCTTGGCAGCGAGCGCTTCCTGCGCTCGCTTGGCCGCGGCTGCTATTCTCTCGTTCCGCGCCTTGGCAGAGTTCACGTGATGCGCCGGGCGCGCGTGGTGCTGCGCACCCAAAGCCGCGACTTCGCTCGTCTCTTCGCCGGCGGCGATCGTGGAGTTATCCGCGATCGCATCACCGACGACGAGCGTGGCGTTGTCCGCATCAACGAACGTACCGTCGACGACGAGCGTGGCGTTGTCCGCGTCGCCGCCTTCTTCCTCCGCGACCGCCGAGCGTTCGACGTCGACGACTTCGTTCCGCTTCGCCGCCTTCTCCACCGCCGCGCGTCGCGCCGCCCGGTGTTCCATGCGCTGCTCCCGTCCCGGATGCGCCTCATTCAGCAGTCTTTGTCTCTCCGCCTCCGCTTCCTCCGCCGCCTTCGCCGCCGCGGCGATCCGCGCGTTTCTCAGAGCCTTCGCCGACGCCGTCGGCTTCGATCCGAGCGCCGCCGCCCCTCCCGCGCCCGCCGTCCCTCGCACCGCCCCGATCGTCACCGCCGTCGCCGCGAGCGCCGCCGCGACGACGACCGCCACCCGTCGCCCGCCGCGCGCGCGTCCGTCGCGGCGTCCCGCGCCGTCGTCGCCGCGCTCGACGTCCAACACCGCCGCGTCCGCGTTCGCGCGCGGCGTCGACGAGACGTCGCGTCCGAGCAGCGCCGCGCGTTCACCGCGCGCGTCGGTCGTCATGTCCGCGTTCGTCCGCGTTCGCGCGTCCCTCGGCGTCGCTCGGCGTCGTCGAGTGAAGCCGTCGAGTGAAGGGTGTTGCGAAGGTTGGTTTTATCGTGCCGTCGTATTTCGGACATACGTGTATGCACATTCAGTCATGTATAACTCAGAGACAACGTTTCCACAAAGTCGTATAAAACCACATACGAATTCGATCAAAATCACCGCGGCATCGCGCGCGCGGCGCGCGCCCCGTCGCCGCGCGATCGTCGCGGCACACGTCGACGACGCCGCGCCGCCGCGCCGACGCTCGACGAACGGCTCGGAATCCGCGCGCGCGCGCGCCTCGACGCGCGCGCGCCTCGACGCGACGCGCCGCCGCGACGCGTCGACGCGACGCGACGACCGACCGGTCCGACGCCGCGACCGCGCGCGAGGGTTGATCTCGCGACGCGCGCGTTCGACGCATCTTGCGCGCGAATTCGCGCGTGAGCGCGAATCGGGACGTCTCGGAAGCGCGGGAGGATGATGCGCGCGGAGAGTGATCGCGGGGGGGGGGCGAACGCGGCGGTGAAGACGGAGGGAGGGGGGACGAGCGATGGACTTCCGGGGACGGCGGTCGGGGCGCGAGGCGGCGAGACGACGACGAAACGAGAGCGGGAAGCGGATTGGGCGAACGAGATACCGCCGGATGTGCTCGCGGAGGCGTTGGGGGCGCGAAGGAGCGGACGGAAGACGAAAGCGCGGGTGATCATGATCGATGGGGAGCCGGTGTTGAGGTCGAATAATTACTCGTTGACCGAGGGCGAGCCGAGCGTGTTCGACAAGGAGCTCGGGGCGGGAGAGGATGGGACAGAGGAAGAGGCGGGGCGAACGCAGTACGTGTTTGAACCGACCAAGGTCCGCAGACAGTACGTGCGAAAGAAGCCCAGAGTGCCGAAGGTGGCGACGGATGAGGAGGTCAAGTGCGCGAAGAATAATCGAGAAATTTCCAAAGCGATTGAGGACGCGCACATGCGTCGGTCCAAGTACTTACAGGCGCAGATGAAGGCCTTGGACCCGTTCATCACGCCACAGGTGAAAAACGCCATCCTCGATCGCGCCGAAGCGTACGAGGCGTCGCAGAAAGGTCCGCAAAAAGTGCTCATGCCCGTGGAGAACCAACCCGCGATGATCAAGGCGGTGTTGCGCGAGTATCAATTGGAAGGTTTGCGATGGAACGTCGGAATGTACGATCAAGGATGCTCGTGCATCTTGGCGGATGAGATGGGTTTAGGTAAAACGTTACAGTCGATTTCGTTCTTGGCGTGCATAAAGGAGATGCGTCACGCCAACGGACCGCACTTGGTCGTGTGCCCGCTCTCCGTGCTCTCGTCATGGATGGACGAGTTGCAAAAATGGGCGCCGTCGTTCCGCGTCGTGCGCTTGCATTCCGGCGACGAAAATGAACGTGTTCGTTTGCGAAAAGAAGTGGTGCCGAACACCGAATCCTACGACGTCGCCGTGACGACGTACGAGATGGCGTGTAACCCGGCGTTCAACGTGACGTTGACACAAAAGGTCATGTGGCGTTGCTTGATTCTTGACGAAGGTCATCGCGTGAAGAACGAAGAAACGGCGGCGCATCAAGTGCTAAAGCGCATCAAACGTCAACACACGCTTCTGTTGACTGGTACGCCTATCCAAAACAACTTGCACGAGCTGTACGCCATTCTTTCCTTTTTGCATCCCGACGTCTTCACGTCAAGCGAACCATTCGATAAGGCGTTCAATTTGAACACCTCAGAACACAAGGTTGACTCAAACTTACTGGAAAAAGCACACTTTCTGATGCGTCCATTCATTTTACGCCGCGTCAAGGGTGAGGTTGAAGTGTCGCTTCCACCAAAGACAGAGACGAAGATTATGTGCCCGTTGTCCGAGGCACAGACGTTTTGGTATCGACGACTCTTGCTTCGGGAAGCGACGGCTTTGCAGTCGCTCGAAAAGGCGACCAAAGGCGAAGGTGGTGCGGATAACTTCCAAAAGCTCAATTCGTTGTTGATGCAATTGCGAAAGTGCTGCAATCATCCGTTTTTGTTCACCGGTACTGACGTGCCCGAAGATGGCGTGCCGATCGAGGATCTCATCTCGGCGTCTGGTAAACTCGCCGTGCTCGACAGAATGTTGCAAAAGTTAAAAGAAGGCGGACATAGAGTGGTGTTGTTCTCACAGTTTACTTCCATGCTCGACATCTTACAAGATTTCTTGACTTTGAGAGGGTACACCTACGCTCGTTTGGACGGGTCGACGAATCGCGTGCAGCGTTCCATCGACATCGCCGCCTTCAACCGTCCAGATTCACCCATGTTTGCGTTCTTGCTCTCCACCCGTGCCGGTGGTTTAGGTGTAAACCTTCAGACTGCGGACACGTGCATCTTGTTCGATAGCGATTGGAACCCTCAAGTGGATCTTCAAGCGATGGCTCGCGTGCACCGCATCGGTCAGAAGAAGATGGTGCACATTTACCGACTTGTCACTGCGGGTACTGTCGAAGAGCGCATGACGCAGCGCGCGGAGAAGAAGCTTTTCTTGGATCAAATGGTTTCACGAGGTTCCACGAAGGCTGCAGAACAATCGGATAACCTCGATAGGAACGATTTGTACGCCATGTTACGATTTGGAGTTGACGCCGTCTTCAGTAAAGCGAGCGGCGATCCTCCAACCGATGAGGAATTGGACATTCTCATGGACCGCACACCCGCGGGCGAAAAGCGACGTAAAAAGCTCGGTGACCTCCAAACCGATGTGACGACCGCCGAAGACTACATCGAAGGCAAGGCTGAAGCGGCGCCCATCTCCACCTTCATGCTTCCCGAGGCGATCGCCAACGACATGGGCGTGAGCGCCGACGCTGTGAGCGAAGCCAAGGCTAACAAGTACAAATCAGTCAAAGACATCGCTGCAGAGTTCAACGCCAACGTTATGATGGGTAAGCGTTCTCGAACGAAGACGACGATTGAAATCGACGGGCACACTGTGCTCAAGGCGAACAATTACAACATGGAGGATGGCGAACCGTCTGTGCACGCGCGCGAAGCTCGAACCAAGGTAAAAACTGGCCCGGAGTCGAAGAAGCCGCGATCTCAAATCGCGGGGAGAGATTACGGTCATAGTTCAGTGTGTCAGTCGTGCTGGGATGGAGGTGAAATCGTGTGTTGCGACTTGTGTCCGGTCTCGGTGCACCCAGACTGCATAGGGATCACAATCAAGGATATCACGCGATACCATCGGTGGTCTTGCCCGCATCACTCGTGCCACGAATGCGGCCGCAAGGCGGCGGCAGTAGGTGGTATCCTTTTCCGTTGCGAAGCATGTCCGAGAGCTTTCTGCGAAGATCACTTGCCGAACACCGCAGAAATCATCGGCAAGTGCAAGCGATTTCAAGACTTGGGCCAAAACCACCCGGCGCAAGCGTGCTTCATTCACTGCGACAAGGAGTGCTCCAAGTGGGCTTCGACGCATATCGCAGAAGAGTACGGTAAAACTGCTGAGGGCTGGTCAATCGGCAAGAAAGTCGCCATTACCGATCACTGGATTGAGGACCGCGATGCCGAGCTCGAGCTTCCGGTGGAGAACGGCACGCGCACCAAACCGTTGGCGCACGCAACGTTCACCGATCTCGTTCAGTTCTTGCTTCGCAACGAAGGACCGAAGAAGGGTGGTAAGAAAAAGAAGAAATCGAAGGCATCCGATGAATTGATCGAACCGCAACCGGGTGAGTTGTTGGAGATGCGCGGCGTGTTGTGTTACTACACCAGAAATGGAGAAAACGTCGCGGCCGTGTCTGAAATGCACAACGTCGACTGGAAAGATATCATCGACTGGAACACGGGTTGGGTGCCGGGTGCGTTCTACGGTAAGGGTACGTACTTACTCGAGGGTACGCGACTTTGGCTCGCGCCGCCGCCGCGCAAGACTCTCGATGAGATGACGGAAGACGAGCGAATCAAGCGCGTTCAAGAAGATCGCGAAGCAGCCTTAGCTGCGGTTGCGATGGGCTTACCCGGTGCCTCTCAGATGCTCAACGAAGGCGAGGTCAGTGTTCTCGGCCGCGGTCTCAAAGGATTGCGTCAAAAGGATCTCTTGCCGTCTGAACGCGACGAAATTGTCACGGAGATGTTCAAACGCGTCCGCCCGCTTTTGGAAAAGAAGATCGCGGCTTCGCGTAAGCAAGCAGAAGACCAAGCCAAGAAGGCGGCAAAAGTTGACGAAGAAGAACGCATTCGTGCGGCTGAACGTAACGCACGAACTGCGCGTCGTGGCGACGGTATGCCCTCCGACTCGTTCCTCGCCGCCGATCTTACGACGGGCGATCGCGCTCCGGCACGTCGAGGCGCACCCCCGCCCATCCCTGCAGTGCATGGCGGCAAAATCTCCAAGAGTTCGCTTGATGCCATTAAGAACGCTATTCTCCGCGGTTTGGACTTGGTCGGCGCGACAAAGACCGGTGAACATTGTCCTGCGATGATGCTCAAGGTGAGAATCGCGCGCGGCCACGCCGGGTCGCAGTTATTGACGGATATGCGGACGCGCTGGACGTCGGATTTGGGTGAGGATTTAGGTTTCACGCTCGGCGTTATTTCACTTGAACGCGACGGTGCTTTGGATCTTGAACTTCATCACAAATTTCCCGAAAACGTTGAGCTTGCGTCGCTTCGATTATCCGCCAAGGCCAAGGTGCCACCGAAGCCAAAGGGCGAGCTGTCGCAAGAAGCCCCGAAACAATCTCGGGCCACGTCTTCGCAGTTTGTCCTCAACGAGCAAGAGGTTAAAGTTCAATGCGGTGATCTTGATGGTTTCTTGCGCCCGGGTGTTAAACGCGGCGATGAAAGCGTCGAGTTTATGGATTCTGAAGGCAAGAAGCACGTCGTACCGGCGGTTGAATTCGAGAGATTGGGAGGTCGCGGTTCCACTCGCAAATGGCGTCAATCCATTCGACTCGGCGTCGACATTCCAGCTCGCGAGATCACGGACGACAGCAAGCGAGGTCCGCCAATTGGAAAGTTCTTGCGCGATGAAGGCATGGTGTACCGCGAAAGTGTCATCGGCCGTTGCCTCGAGATGTGGTTCCCAGAAATTGAGCAGTACTACCCCGGCGAAGTTATCGATTACAAGTCTGATTCGGGCGAGCACGAAATCCTGTACAACGACGGTAACCGCGAGTGGGTGTACTTCTGCCTGCAACAAACTCGATGGCCCGACGGTCTTCCTACTCGCCTTGAGCCCTCCAAGGAAAAAGCCGGTCGAAAGCCGAGCGAAAAGTCGGAGAAGGAGAGTGGCAAACGCGGTCGTGCGGCGGCCGTCGTATCGTCCGAAATGGTGTCCAACGGCTATCGTGTCTTCGTTCTCAGCGAAAAGATGACGCTCGAGCAGATTTCGGCGCAAGTCGGAATAGCATGCGACGAGTTACTCAAATTCAACGAGCCTTACATCCCCAAGTTGTCGATCACGACGAAATTACCCGAGGATAGTAAACTTTACTTGCAAGCTGGTCCGGATCCTGACGAGCTCGCGGCGATGGAATTGGTCGAAGCGAGGCTCGAACAAGCGAAGCAAGCCGAAAAGGACGCCGCGGAAAAGGAAGCCAAAGCGAAGGAAGATGCCGCAAAGGCCAAGGCGAAGGCCAAGGCGAAGGCCAAGGCGAAGACTAAAGCCAAGGGAAAGAAAGGCAAGGATGAGACCCCGAAGAAGGGAGGTAAGATCGTCAAACGTGCTGCCGCGAACAAGGCGAAGAAAAAGTTCGCCGAGGTGGACGAGGATGATGATGACGATGACGATGACTTTGATTCCGAAGACGAAATAGAATCCGAATCCGAATATGACTCCGAAGGTGACGAAGATGACGAAGATGAAGAGTTTACAGTATCAAAGAAGAAGCCGCGGTCCAAGCACAGCGCGGCAAAGATGGCAGAGATGGCGGCGGCTGAGTTCAAGCTCGAACTCGAGGCGCCGTGCGTCGTTCGAGGAAGCGCTGTGCCCATCGTGTGTGGTGGACTCGAAGGTGTCTTGACTGGTGGTCATCTTGTCGTGCTGCACACAGATGCCAAGAAGAAATCGACGAGCGAGATGACGATGGAAGAATTCATGAAACTCGCCAAGCGCAAGGGTCACTGGCAAGAAGAGGTGAAATACAACGGTGCCGGCGAGATGAAGGGTAATCCCATCATTCATTATCTTGCAGAGCGCGGACTTGCTATTGGTCGCGGCGCGATCGGTAACAATGTGGACATTCTCCCGCACGGGACCGCCATGCAATTTTTCCCCGCGAAGATTGTGAGCTTTGACGACGTCTCTGGTTCGCACGAAATTCAGTACTTTGGCAAGGAGGAATTAGAGAAGATTCATCTTCCCTTGGCCACCATAAGATGGTTACCGAAGATGTGGGAACCATTCGGCGGCCCCGAATCGGTCAAGGTGCCGGATGCCGAAGGCGGCCTCATATTTGCTCTGAAGCCGATTCCCATCGGCTGCGGCGGTATGCGAGGCGTTTTACTTCCGGGAGGCAAGCGCGGCGAAGAAATGGTGCGATACTGCGTCATGCGTCGTGAGCGAGAGCGGTGCATCGTCGACGAGCTCACAATTCCCGCCACAGAGTTCGAGCGTCTCAGCGGCAAGGGTACGGCGAAGAAGTGGCGTCAATCCGTCCGCGCTCTCGACGCCGACTTCAAATTCGGCGACTCAGTGAGCAAGCTTCTCAAATCCATCGGAGAAGTCTTGGGCACAAAGTGTGTCAAGCGTGAAATCGAAGTCTTCTGGCCCGGCGACGAGTGCTTCTATTACGGCACCGTCGAGGGTTTCAGACCAGAATCTGGCGAGCACGAGGTCGTTTACGACGACGGCAACAAGGAAATTTTACAAGTCGCGATGCAAACAGTCCGCTGGGGTGCGGCGCCGATCGTACGCAAAGGGTCCTCGGCGCCACGATCGCAAAATGCCAAATCGCCGCCGAAGCCAAAACCAAAGACGTCTTGGATTCAATGCGACTCGTGCCAAAAGTGGCGCATTGTACCGCAAACTTACATGGACACGCTCAGCGACGACGCTCAGTGGAAGTGCGCGATGAACCCGGACTCGGAGAAGAGCCAAGCTGGGTGCGACTTAAAGGAGGACGTCGAATAGAAAACGTTTTAGATTCTGTTCGTTAGATTTGTATTGAGAAAAAGGAAACAATGTTCAACATCATCACTAGCCCGTGGCGTTTCTCGCTTTGCGTCGTTCGCCCTTTCCGACGGCGCGGAAGCCGCTGGCGATCGATCCTACTGAACGCGACGCACCGCACGCTTGGCATCGGCAATACGACAAACGGGACGACTGCTCCTTCACCAACTGCGTATCCGAAGATTTGCACATATTGCAAATGACGTAATCGATGAAGTAATGCCGCAACACGCCCTCGAAAACCTTGGGCAAAAACCTTCCCTTGAGCACCAAACGCTGTTGTCCGTCCAACGTTCCGCTCGTCCCCAGCTCGGCCAACAAGTACTGCGTCACGTGTTCACTCGGTCGATGCATCGCGTTACAAATCTCCATCAAGTTCGCAAATACCGTCTTTTTTGTCCCTTCTCTCAGCACCTGCGGCGGCTTGATGATCGTCTTCGATTTTTCGCTCAACTGCGGATTCTTTTCCCTCAAAATGCCAAACACGCGTCCCAACATTTCGTCGTAATGGTAATCCCGCGTCGTACCATCCCACGACGTTCCGCTCCCCGTGTTCGTCCCATCTCGTCCCTCACCAGCGTACACGTCTGCCTCTTCTCCGTCCTCCAGCTCCACCGTCTTCTTTTTCGAGCTCTTCTTCTTCTTCTTCGTCCCGAACTCCGCGTCCAAGTCCTCGCCCTCGTCCGCCGTCTTGTCCTTCTTCTTCTTCTTCTTCTTCCCGAACTCTCCATCGTCCGCGTCCAGGGTCAATTTATCGACGCCGTCCGCGACGTCGCCCGCGTCGCCGTCGCCGTCGCCGTCGAGATCGAGATCGAGCGCGACCTTCTTCTTCGTCTTCTTCTTCTTCAGCGTGGGGTCAAAGTCATCGAGCGACTGTTCGGCGTCGGCGTCGGCGGACATCGCGCGTGCGTTCGCGCGGCGCGTTCGTGCGTGCGCGCTCTCGAGCGTGCGGGCGGTTCACGCGCGAGACGGGCGCGCGGCGCGGTGTGACGCGCGCGATCCGATCGAAGAGCGAGGGTTTGAACAGCGCGCGTGAACCCTACGTCGCTTCGGTCGGCGAAGCGCTCGCGCGCGCGCGTGCGCATCTCACAAAAATGAAATCAAACGTGGTGCCCGATGAAGTGAATCGCCGGCGTAAAGATGGCGAGAGCGGCGGGGAGTCGCGCGGCGCGCGAGCGCGGAGCTAACGAGGCGAATTACGCCGGCGGCGAGGCGATTTCAGCCTCTTCTTCGTCTTCTTCGTCTTCATCTTCTTCTTCCTCGGCGTCCTCGGCGTCCTCGGCTTCGGCTTCTTCTTCCTCGATCTCTTCTTCTTCCTCGGCTTCGTCGTCTTCAGCTTCTTCTTCCTCGACTTTCTTCTTCTTCTTGGCCGCGGGTTTCTTCTTGGCCGGCGCCGATTTCTTGGCCGGCGCCTTGCGCTTCTTCGCGGGCTCTTTCGCCTTGGTAGTTTTCTTCTTCGGCGCCGGTTTCTTCTTCGGCGCCGGTTTTTTCTTGGCCGGTGCCTTTTTCTTCGCCGCGGCGACGTCGCCGCCGCTCACCGTCTCCAACCACTCGCGTTGTTCCGCGTCGACGCCGTCGCCGAGAAGCAAATTTTCCAGACACGCCTTGACGTCGTCGACGTGCTCGTCCTTCAACTCTTTCAAACCCGGAAAGTCATCCACCGCGCCCGCGTCTTCTTCTCCCGGGTGCTCCAGACGCCATTTTTCGAGGTAGTTTAAGGCGGATTGTTCGCTCACGCACCCGAGATGATACGACGCGGAGAATCTGTCGCTCTTCGAGTCCCAGCGCAGTTGCCCGAGGATGATTTTCCCGGGCGACGTCTCGTTTGAGCACTTCGATCCCGCTTTGCACTGCGCGCCAGCGGCGGACTTGCCGTAGAGAATGGCGTAATTGTTTTTGCTTGGATCTTTGGGAGGCATGTTCGAGCGCGCGCGCGTCGGAGAGTGCGGGCGCGTCGTCTCGCGCCGAGGCGAACGACGACGCCGTCGTCGATCAGCGCACGACGCGCGGATCCCAACAAAACTTTTTGTGATGACTCGAGAACGCGCGCTCGAGGATGGCGGCGTGATGTGCGATGGTATCGTCGTCGGTGTGCGTGGAGGAGAGGGCGGTGAGGTTTTCCTCGGTGTGCGCGCGCGAGCTGGATTTGACGACGACGGAGCAATCGTTTGAGAGCGTCCATCGAATCAGCGCAGGCGCCGGGGCGAGACCGATGGCGTCGGCAAACGCCCGCACGCTTGGATGATCGAGCAACTCACCGACACCGAGCGGTGAGTATCCAACCGTGTGCACGCGAGGCACGAGAGACGCGCAGTACGCGCGGACTTCGGTGTTCGGGTACGCCGGATGGATCTCGATTTGATTCACCGCCGGCGGAACGTCGCAATACGACAGCAATTCGCGCATGTGCGCGATCTCGTAGTTTGAAGTCCCGATCGCGCGGCACTTGTGATTTCTTAACGCGTTTTCCATGCATCGCCACGTCCTTTTGCGCGCTTCACCGTGCGCGTCGCTCTCGGGCGCCGCCTTCGATCGTCCAGGCCAGTGGACGAGCAACAAATCCGGCGCCCGTCCCAACCGCGCCACCATCCCATCGATCGCGCGATTTGTCGCCTCTTCGCTCGTCATCTCATCCGGCGCTAATTTCGTCGTAATCCACGTTTCGTCACAAACGTTTCTCGGCGCGCTCTTCAACGCGTCCGCGACGGCGTCTTCGTTGCGGTAACAACTCGCCGTGTCGACGGCGCGAAAGCCCACCATCAGCGCCTCCCGCACGGCGTCGCGGCACGCGTCGCCGCGAAGCTTAAACGTCCCAAACGCCACCGTCGGCATCTCAACGCCCGGCGAAATCGTCACCGTGGCGGATTTCGCGCCGCCCATCGCGTGCTGACACTTGGGGACACTTTTTACGTTATTCGCGCCGCATGCGCTCGCGCGTGGACGTGAACGCGGCGTAACCGAGTCCTAGGGCGAGACAATACGTCAGCGCACCACCGGGCGTGCGCGGTGGGAACGCGGTTGACATGCGACGGGATGTGACGTTCGGCGTTGGGGCGCGGTTAGAGTGTACATTACCGCAAAAGTTTGAGTCGCGCGCGCGAGCGTTACGCTTCGTGTATCTCGTATATCTTGAATGCTACGCCTCTTTCGGCTTGGGCGGCCCTTTGATAGCCTTGCGGATCATGATGCCGAACCAATGCGCGTTTAAACCGGCGCCGGCGCCGACGAGGACGTTGAGCGGCAGCGCGACGCTCGCTGGCACCGCGTCGATGATGCCCTTGTGTCGCACCCAAAGCATGTGGGTGTAACCTAAGCTATACGTCACCACTCGCGCGAGGAAAAACGTGAAAACGAGCATGAGACCGGCGAAAAACTCCAACTGCTTTCCAGCGTTTTTAGGCGAGCTCACGCGTTCGCCCTTGAATCCAAACGCCTTGGCCACCTTGACCACCTTTTCGCTCTCGAGCGAATACGCCGCGCTTTGAATCGTCCAGCGAAGCGTCAGCAGCGGTGTCGACGCTTCACCGAGCAACAACCAGCAGAACGGCAGCATCATAGTCTGCGATGCACCGGACAAAATAGACGCCACCATGAACACGCAGTGGTGCGCCAACATGTCCGCTTTGCCCATCCTCGGAAAATTCCGCACGATGTGCGTCGTGTCTTGCACCAAGTACCCCAAGAACAACCAATTCGTGAGTTCCAACAAGTCTCTCGTCCCATCATCCATCCCGATCCCCGCACCGCGAATGTAATACATATCCGCCGCTTCGTCCAGCGCGACGACTGCGCGCAACAGCTTCGCCGCCAGCGCGCTCACCACCAGCGCGTGCACCGCGCCCGTGTACTGCTTCGGCGCTTCGAACCGCACCCGCGCGGTCTCTTCGTCTTCATCATCGCGCTTCGGCAGCACGACGAGCGCGATGCGCGCGATGACGAACCGCACGAGTTCCCACACGAGCACCGCGACGAGCAACTTTTTCAAAAAATCCATCGGATTCTCCGCGGGATTCATCGCGCGTGGCCCGGCGTAGCGCGCGCGACGCGGCGCGGGCGATCGTCGGAACATGCTCGCGCGGCGCGCGCTCGCGCGGCGCGCGCGCGCGCGCGGGATTATGAAGCGTCGAAGATATTTGAAATTTAAAGTCGAGTTGACTCGGCACACGGCGACGGACATGGCGACGACGGCGACGACGACGAGCGAGACCCTCGGCGCGGTGTTCGGCTGCGTCGGGTTCGCGCTCATCGTTTTGTGCTGCGTCGGATGGAAGCGAGGATGGATTTACGTGGAAGGGGACAGTGGCTTCAATCGGCCGGGCGCGGGGGGCGCCGTCGCGCTTTCGGTGATGTGACCGCGAGACGGTCGCGCGATGTGGTGCGTGTCGTCGTGGATTCGTCGTGAATGTTACTTGTTTTGTTGTGATGATGTATGTACTATGAAATCGTGCTAAGAGTGATGCGACCGAGACGGGCGCGCGTCGACGCGGCGGATGGTTTGCGCCACTTGTCCGCTATTCATCTTTCTTCGGTTTCGGCGGCCCGCGCAGGGCTTTGCGAACCATGATCGAAAACCAGTAATAATTTAATCCCGCCCCGCACGCGACGAGGACGAATAGGGTGTTGGTGACGGATTTCGGGATCGGGTCGAGGACGCCGCCTCGCCACGCCGCGAGCATGCTCGCGAATCCTCCGGTGTACGCCACGATGCGAACGAGAAAGAAGACGATCATGAACCCGACGCTGCAGCCAAATTCCAGTTGTTTCCCAGCATTCGTCACTGAGCTCACGGCGTCGCCCGTGTATCCACACGCGCGCGCCCATCGCACGACGACGTCGCTCTTCAACTCGTACGTCAACTGTTGAATCAACCAACGCGCGCACAAAATCGGCGTGGAGTACTCGCCCAACAGCAACCACGAAAACGGTAGCATCATCGTCTGCGAGTGGCCGGCGAGCAGCGAACACGCGATGAAACACGCGTGATGCACCACCATGTCCATCTTGCCGAGCCGCGGGTACTCCTTTAAGACGTGCAACAAGTCGCCGAACATGTACCCGCAGAATGCCCAATTCCACCGCTCGATAAATTTCAAATCCGCCAGCTTGAACGCGGTTTTCGCGTGCAAGTAGTACCGATCGTTCGCGTTCGGCAACATCACCGTGATGTACCCGATTTTCAGCCCCGCGGTGGCGACGACGAGCGCGTGCAGCGTCGACATTACGTACGCCGGCGCCGCCGCGACGAAGCGTTTCTCCTCTTCCCTCGTCGTCGCGCCGTACGTCTTACGCACCATCGCGCTCGACAGCGCGCGCGGGATCTCCCACAGCACGACGCACGTCGCCAGTTTCGCGGCGAAGTCCAGGGGCTGGTTTAAGTTCATGCTGAAGCGCGTGTAGACGTGCGCGTACGCGGGAAGTTTCGAATTTTGAAACATGTCCCGAAGCGGTTGGTTTTCGTCTGCGCGCGGTATCGACGCGCGTTGGCGCGCGCCGCGGCCCGGATCGCGCGAGCGCGCGTGTGGGAGTGTCTACAGCGCACGCCGCGACCGGCGACGGGCGTCGGCGCGTCCAGAACGCGGCGGGGTGTGCGGCGCGGCGCGGCGATTGGGACGCGGGGACGCGCGAGCCGACCGGGACGCGCGGCGGTCGAGACGACGGTGAATGGCGACGGTGCGCGGTGCTACAATGCTAGTATCTGGTTGATTTTCTTCGAAGATTCGCGCGCTCTCGCGAGGCGTCGGATAAGGAAGAGTGGGGGGGAATCGACGCGCGCGCGTTCGGCGGCGAGGCGAGCGTGGCGTACGCCGCGACGTCCAGCAACTCGCCGGCTAGAATAGAGTCAACGAGCCACTCGTGACGCACGCACGGTACGCCCAGTCGCTTCGACGCTCGAATCCAAGCCGAGTGGGGGTTTTCACCGCTCTGAGTTATGAGGTAATCGAATCGATCGTCTGTTTGCGGGTTGCGCTCGAGCGTCGCGCCGGCGTGCGACAGGAGCGAGGTGAAGTCTTTAACGAACCCTTCGTTGCCCGTGATGGCGGCCTTCACGTCGCGGAAGAGCTTACCCAAGCACGCGCGATGATGTTCTCTAGGATTTCCTTCGGCATCGAGGGGCTCGTCGATTTGAATCATTCGACCTTCGTCCGCGCACGCCTCGACCCAAGCCGGCGTGGCGAATCGCGCGCCCGCGGCGATGCCGTAGAGGCATTTCATCGTTCGTCCCATCGTAGGTGTGACGACGATGACCGAGTTCACCGATATGTCCGAAGAAGGTTCGCTCAATACCGTGCCTCCGTGCGCTTTGATGATATCCTTCGTCGCGGTGCCAACTTTGCCGAGGCCGGACAAGAGGAAATGAAGCGACGCGAACATCTTCGCCGACGAGCGCTTGTTTGGCTTGTTTTCCTTCCCAGCCGCGGTCTTCGTACGCTTGGACATCGGCGTTTTGGACATCGGCGTTTTGGACGCAGGTGTTTTTGACGCCGAGTGCGTCGCGCGTCGAGCGCTTGATTTCGACGCTGACGCCGCGCTCGCGGAATCCACCGAAGACTTTTTTGATCTTCCGCGCCCGCTCGGCCAAATACCATTCTTTGCGTTTTCGCGTATCGTCCGGCATCGCCCGCACCCTTTCACGGCGTGACGACACTTTGGACACCCGAGCGGCGGCAATGGCCGTTCTATTTCGTCCTTGGACGGCGTCTTCTCGGAAGGAGAAGGCGCGACGATGCGACAGCCGCTCGCCGCGGTGGTTCGGTTGACAACCGTCGGCGCGGGTAAACTCGATATCCTCGGTCGAATCAGACCACCTTCGTTTTCTCGCTGACTGCAATCCACGAATTCACCCTGACTCGCGGGTTCGTCTTGCGTCCCTTGCGTCATCGACTGCGACAAGTCGTCGTCGATGATTTTATACCGCTTTGACGGAGTTTCTTCGTCAAATCTAGGTGGCGGTGGGGCTCGACGCCTCGGCTGACGCCATTGGTGCTGCGAAAGCATGATTCTACTGCGAGGCGACTCCACCTCGGGCTGTGACATGGGCGGGGCGAGCGAATGGATCAACTGTCTCTTGAACGGCGACTGCGAGTGTTGGGTGTGCGGTCGCTGCGGCGACGCGACGTCGGCGACGTCCTCGTCGTCGTCGTTCATCGGTCGCTGTGAATAGAGCATGCCGATGTCTGGTGAGCTCGGTGCCGATTCCGGCCCGTCTCCGACCAAAGCGTCGTCCTCTCCCTCGGCCGCCATTGGTGTCGCCTCGACGACGTCGTCCGCGTCGTCGTCGACGAGCTGCGAATCGTCGTCGCACTGCGGCATCGACATATCCAACCCGAGAGGTTCATTCATTTTCGCACGCGCGCGCTTGACGGCCTCGATCGCCGTGCGCGCGACGCCCATGACTTCGCCGTGTTCGGAGCCGATCGAGCCCAGTGGTCGCGCCGACGCCGTCACCATGGACGAGTGCTCGTGCGTCGGCGCCCGCATCGCCCCGGGTCGCTTCAGCGTCGGGGGCTTACTCGGCTGCTCAGTCATCGCATCGATGGGCGTGCAATCGACGCGCTTTGAATCGTTGAAAGTCGAAAGCAGGGTGGTTCCATCGTTTTCGCGCGCGTCGTCGTCGTCGCCCTCGTCTGCGTCCTCGACGCCCATCGTCGGTTGCGTGTCGGCGTTCGCGCGCGGCACCGAGGCTCTGTCCACTAATCCGCGCGTGTGTCCTACCCTCTCGCGGCGCGCCCGCTCTTCGGGCGGCGTGTTCGACGCCACCGCCCACAGCGACGTCGGTGCCGCCGGGATCGACGGTGCCTCGCTCGCTCGCTCGCTCGACTTCTTCGTCCTTGGAAGCGTCAGCGGCGACGCCGAGAGTTTCAGCCCAGTCGGCGACGCGCGCTTCATCGGTGATTCCACGACTTGCGTGCCACCGATGAAATCGGCCTCGATATCTTCCAGCGCTTGCGTTCCAACGACCGGTTCGTCGTCGTCGTCGAAATCTTCAAACGCTTGCGTCCCGCCCGCGAAATCTTCCTCCCCATCCGTGACTCGGCCGTCTTCGTCCGCCCTCGCGCCCGCGTCGACTTCCTCATCCTCGTCGCCTCCGCCGCCTCTGCCGCCCGCGAGTTGACTGAACACATCACTCACCACCGCGCACGACTGTTTCGCGCGCGACCCGCCCGCGGACGCGCGTTGACTTCGATCGTCCGGCGCCGTCTCCCACCCGTCGGACGCGTACTCCACCTGCGCCAACGCGTCGTCCAAATCATCCTCCGAAAGCGCCTCCGCCGCCGCCTCGCGCGCGCCCGCCGCGCTTTCGAACCGAAACGCGTCCAACCCGATCTCCGCGCGCGCGCGCTTCACCCACGCGCACACGTCCGCGAGGATTCGTTCGCGCTCGTCGTCGTCGTCGTCGTCTTCGTCGTCGTCGTCGTCGTCGTCATCTTCGTCGCTCGACCTCGACGCCGACGCCGACGCGTCGCCCCTCGCGTCCGCGCCCTCGCGCGCCCCATCCCGGTCGCCGCGCGCGCGCCCTCCCCCGTCGCCGTCGCGCCGTCGCCGTCGCCCTCGCGCCGCGCGTCCCGCGCGCGCGCCGATCGCCAATCGCTCCGTCGCGCTCACGCACGCGCGCACGGCCGCGCGCGCGTCGCCCCTGGACGCCGCCAGCGCGTGCGCGCGCGCGTCCTCGCGCGACGCCGCGATCGCGCGCTCCATCGCGTCGCGCGATGGCGCGAGGACGCGCGCCGGCGTTCGCCGTCGCCGGGTCCGACCGACCGCATACGCACAAACAGTCACACATAGATCACGTCGCCCCGATCGCGCGCCGCGCGATCGATCGCGATCGATCGCGATCGACGCTCGCGACGAGGGTCGCGCGTCGTTCGCGACCCTCGACTCGAGGTTCGCGAACGCGAATCGCGATCGATCGCGGCGCGCGCCCGGCGACGAATATTCCGCACATGGCGGACGAACGGTTCTGGCCCCTGTTCGAGGGCCTCGCCGGCGCCGGCGACGGCGCGCTCGACGGCGCGGTCGACGACACGCTGGTGCGCGCGACGACGCGCCCGACGACGCGCGCGCGCGACGACGAAAGCGCGACGCGACGCGATGGACCGACGACGCGACCGAGGTCGAGGCGACGACGACGACGACGACGACGACGGCGCGCGATCGAGAGCGGGCGACGAACGACTGACGCGCGAGACGCGAATCGCGATCGTAGGATTGGTTGGACGACGTCATCGTGCGCGGCGCGACGAGCGGGAGGGTCGAGGACGAGGACGCGCTCGGCGAGGACGCGGCGGAGGACGACGACGACGCGAGGGACGGGACGCGGGCGAACGACGGCCGGGGGGGGGGGAGGAAGCGAGCGAGGGCGAGCGGGGACGCGCGGGCGTCGACGTCGGGGCAGGAGAAGCGCGCGAAGGCGAACGCGGGACGAGGGAAGGAGGGAAACGCGACGCGGGGGAGGAACGGTCGAGGCGGCGCGCGCTTGCGATGGACGCCGGAGTTGCACAGAGAGTTTATCAACGCCGTGAATCAGTTGGGGGGGTTGGAGCTGGCGACGCCGAAAGGCATCATGCATATCATGGCCATGAGCGGGATGACTATTCAACACATCAAGTCGCACTTGCAAAAGTATAGGTTACAGGAGGGCGCCGGCGGGTCGCGAGGCGCCGAGCTCGACGCCGAGGCTGATCGCGAGAGACGCGCGATGATAAAACGCGCGCGCGTGCAACAGCAGGCGGAGATGAAACAGCGGGCGAGCGAGGCAGATTTGATGGGTTTGGACGTCGCGAGCGCGGCGCCGATGGGTAGTGGTTTATCGAGCGATCCGCCGTCGACGCCGGTGACGACGGCGCAGTTGTCCGAGCTCTTGAATAGCACCTCCGCGATGAAGGCCAAAACGCTGGGATCGGAGGGTAAAATCCATGCCTTGGACGCAATTTTAGCCCAAGCGCTCAAGCCCGCCGCGACGTTGTCGGACGAGGCCGCCGCCGCCGTCGTCAGCGCGGAACTCATCGAAGACATGCCTCACGTCGGCCACGCTTTGCTGAAACAGCTCGAGATGCAAAAGCAGCTCCACGACCAGCTCATCGCGCAGCGTCGCTTACAAACCGCCATCGAAGAGCACGGCAAGTACTTGGCTTCGATTTTAGCGCAGGAAGTCTCCGGCAAGACCAAGCCGCCCGAGGCCGCCCTCGGCGACGACGCCGTCGACGGCGCGTGAGCGCCGTCGACGTGCCCTTTCGTATTAGGAGCCTTAAGTTGTCAACACATCTTAGCGCCATCGTAGAACTCGCGCGCGCCTCCCGCGGATTCGCGGATTCGCGAACGCGCGCCGGCGTCGTCTCGATGTCCCGATGCTGGTGGCGTGTGAAAACAACGCGCCACATCGACGCATTCCGCGCGCGACGCCGCACACCGCGACGGCGCGCACGCAGAGCAAACATGGGCATCACGTTCGCCAAACTCTTCCAGCGCCTGTTCTCCAAGAAGGAGATGCGGATTCTGATGGTACGTCGAGTCGCGCGCGACGCACGACGCGGACGCACGCGACGTGAGATCGTTCGCGACAAGATGGATGTTCAGACGGAATCGGGACGCCGCGCGCGCGCGCGACGTCGCGCGGGCGTCGCGCGGGCGCTCGGATGATGCGTGGATATCCGTCACATCGGTCGCGCGCGTCGGACGGCGCGGGACAGGCGCGCGCGGGACGTGGGCGGTGGAAGATCACGCGCGGGCGATGGTGAAGATCCAGGAGCGGGGCGCGCGCGCAGACGAGACGCGGGAAAAGAGACGCGGAACGCGAAGACGCGCGCGCGTTCGACGAAAGAACGACGTGACTGACGAGTGTGTGTGACGTGTGTGCGAACGCGCAGGTTGGTCTCGATGCCGCGGGTAAGACGACGATTCTTTACAAGCTCAAGCTCGGGGAGATCGTCACGACGATTCCGACCATTGGGTTTAACGTCGAAACCGTCGAGTATAAAAACATTTCGTTCACGGTTTGGGACGTCGGTGGACAAGATAAGATTCGCCCGTTGTGGAGACATTACTTCCAGAACACGCAGGGTTTGATTTTCGTCGTCGACAGTAACGATCGCGATCGTGTCTCCGAGGCGCGCGACGAGTTGCACCGCATGTTGAACGAAGACGAACTCCGAGACGCGGTGTTGTTGGTGTTCGCCAACAAGCAAGATTTGCCGAACGCGATGAGCGCGGCGGAAATCACGGACAAGCTTGGCTTGCACTCTTTGCGTCAGCGTCACTGGTTCATTCAATCCACGTGCGCCACCTCTGGTGAAGGTCTCTACGAAGGTCTCGACTGGCTATCCTCGAACATTTCGCAGCGTGCGTAAGCGGCGGGCGCGACGAGGCTTGGATGTTCGGCGAGTGAGACGATTTAAACAAAATAGAGTGGTAGAGCGGCGGTGAGTGCCGTCGAGCGTGCGCGCGTATAGGCGAAGTAACAGTTAAACGAAGACCTGGGAAAGGAACGTGTAGTGACAACGAAGAGAAACAGGAGCGCGCGAGCGCGGCGTTGTGATGAAAATTCAAACCAGATGATGCAATTCCTTTCTAATGTTAAACGTGCTACGTCTCGTCTACTTGGATTGTATCGTGACTACTTCAGCGCGCTCGCGGCGTCCACGAGATCGCTCACTTCCAAACGCGCCGATCCTTTGCCCATGGTGCTGCTCAGGTACGCCTTTCGCACGTACTTGCTCGCGTTCGGCGCACCTTTCCCTTTAGGTCTCAGCGCCAAGAGCTCACGAAACACGGTGGCAACGTTTTCCACCAAATGTTCCTCCTCGAAGTTCACTTTTCCAACCATGACGTGCACGATGGCGTTTTTCTCCGCTCTAAACTCCACGCGCCCGCCGAGGTGTTCGCGCACCGCCTCGGCGACGTCCGTCGTCACCGTCCCCAATTTCGGATTCGGCATCAACCCTCGCGGGCCTAAGATCCGCGCGATCTCCTTCAACTTCGACATCATCCCCGGCGTCGCGATCGCCTTATCGAACTGAATCGTCCCCGATCCGCCCTCTTTAATTTCATCCACCAACGCCGCGCCGCCAATCGTCGTCGCCCCCGCGTCTCGCGCCGCCTCCGCGTCCTCCCCCTCCGCGAACACCGCCACGCGCACCGTCTTTCCCGTCCCGTGCGGCAATCGCACCGCGCCTCTGACGATCATATCGCTCCGTTTCGGGTCCACGCCGAGGTGCACCGCGAATTCCACGCTCTCCGCGAACTTGGCCTTCGCGTTCGCCTTGACCCAGCGCGCGGCGTCGACCAGGCTCAACCTCGGCCTTCGCTCGAGCTCCGCGCGCGTCGGCGCCTCGGGCGCGTTGGCGGATTCGATGTCCACCGTCGCGCTGACGCGCGGCGCGGCGTCCGCCGTCGTCGCGAACGCCGCGCGAAGGCGATCGAATTCGAGAGGTTTTGACGTCGAGCTGGCGTCGCGCGCGAGCGGCGCGACGGCGCGCGCGCGCCGCGCGAGCGCGCGCGCGGCGTGCGCGCTCGCGCGGCGAAGCGACATGTCGAGCGCGGGCGACGCGGACGCGTTGAACGACTCGGTCGGGGACCGAGGCGGCGTGTGCGGACGGCGGCGGGACGCGCCGGCGGGACGAGCGCGAGACTTCGGGCGACACCAATCGGGTTTAAGATGATACTTTACAACGGGATGGGATCTCACGCGACGCGAGCGGGCGACGCGGAGGTGTTAAATAACTTTTCGCACGACAGGCCTCGACTGAGTTGTCTCGAGAGCGTGTCGCGCGGGCCGACGATTTCGGGCGATCGAAGCGCCGCTTTGAAGGCGCCGGTGGGCGATACTCTTCCGTCGGCGTCGCGCGCCATCGAGCTCAGGGACTGCGAGCGTGAAACCGCTTTCTGAGCGACGACTTGCGGGGTTTCGCGCGCGCTGTCCAAATCTGTGGGCTTGAGATCGTGCACGCGCTTGGACTCCTCGCTCACGCCCATGTTGAGCGTGCGTCTGGGCGATAACAACTCGTGAAGCGTCGTTCGACGGCCGTTAGCGCTCAAACGACGGCGTTGGCGAGGAATACCGAGCGGAGAGCTCTCGCACACGTCGTCAAACGGTTCAGGAACGTCAATGCTCAATCGTTTGCGATTCGCCGCCACCGGAGACATGGACCCAATCTCCAACTTCCGCTTCGACGTTTCGACGTAAAACGGCATCTCCTCCAGCAACGGATCGTCGAAAATCGACACCGGTAACGCCATCTCATCGTCGTGATGCGCGCTCGCGCTCTCACTGTACGTCGGCAGGTTCACGTAAACGTCTCGCGGCGCGCCCATCACCGCCGCCAATGCCGCCTTGGCGTGCGCCTCGCTCTCCCGACGCGCCGCCGTCCCCCTTCCCGCGCTTCCCGGCGACTTCACCCTCTTCCCCGCCGACGTCGACGCGATCGCGCGTCGACTCCGACTCGCCGCGTCGTCGTCTCGCGCCGCCGTCGCCTCCAACACCCGCGTCGACGGTCGTCGCGTCCTCCCCGACCCTCCCATCGCGCGCGCGTCGCCGCGACCCCCCTCGAAGTCGCGTACCGTTCGCCCGCGTCGCTCGCGTCGCGCTCTCGCCGTCTCGCGCGCGCGTCGCGTCGCGATGCGTCTTCGCGCGTCGTCGCGATCGGCGTCTTCCGGCGTCCACGATTCGCGCGCGCGCGTCCTCCTCCGCGGCGCTCGCGCGCGCGCGTCGATCGCGTCGCGTCGATCGCGGTCTCTCTCGCGGTTCCTCGCGGTTCGCGCCTCCCTCGCGCGCGCGTCGAGCGCGCGCCGTCGTCTGCGGCGCCGTCGCCGTTTCCCGCGCGATTCGTCCGACACGCGTCCGACACGCGTGCGACACGCGCGTTTACATACCACAAATACCACACAGTGTACGACCAACATTACCGTACTGTAGAAGAAATGATGGTCACTCGATGTATACAGACCCCGTCACTGATCCCCATACGCGACCGACCGCCCCGCCCGGTGACGTCGGCGCGCGCGCGCGTCGCCACACGACGCCGCGCGCTCGCCGCGCGCGCTCGACTCGCGCGCCGCGTCGCGCGCCGTCGCGCTCACCGCGCGCCCGCGACCGCCGGCGTCGCGCGTCGACGACGCCGCGCGGCGAACGAGGGCGCGACGCGACGCGATGACGACGGTCGCGGAGATCGTCGACGACGACGCGCGGCGCGCGGGAAAGGGCGCGACGACGCGACGACGACGCGCGACGACGCGCGTCGCGCGCGATGACGCGCGCGAGGCGACGTACACGGCGGCGGAGGTGGCGAGGCACGCGCGCGCGGACGACTGCTGGGTGATCGTGCGAGGCGGCGTGTACGACGTGACGAGGTTCGTGCCGAGACACCCGGGAGGGAACATGATATACGTCAAGGCGGGGGGCGAGTGCACGGCGCTGTTCGACTCGTATCATCCCGAGCGCGCGAGGGCGACGCTGGAGAAGTATAGGATCGGCGCGCTGCGGAGGGACGCGGGGGAACGCGAGGACGAGGACGTGGTGGAGTACTTGAAGGACGATCTGAGGGAGGGAGAGTTTTACGCGGATTGTAAGGCGGGGGCGGCGAAGTATTTTAAGGATAATAAGCTCGATCCGCGCGTGCACTGGGAGATGTACGCGAAGACGTTGGTGATTTTGACGGGCGTCGTCGTCGGACACTACGGGTCGTTTTTCGCGCCGTCGGCGTCCTTCGCCGCGGCGTTGGCGCTCGCGGTGCTGCACGGCACGTGCAAGGCGGAAGTAGGAGTGTCGATCCAGCACGACGCCAATCACGGGGCGTACGGAAACAATCGCACTTGGTTGCACGCGATGCAGTTGACCTTGGACGCCGTCGGCGCGTCGAGCTTCATGTGGAAGCAGCAGCACGTCGCCGGACATCACGCGTACACCAACGTCGAAGGCATCGATCCCGACATTCGATGCTCGGAAAAGGACGTGCGACGGGTGAACGAGCATCAGCCTCACGAGCCGTACCACAGAGTTCAACACGTCTACTTGGCGTTGATGTACGGCTTGTTGTCGTTCAAATCGTGCTTCGTGGACGACTTCAACGCCTTCTTCTCCGGCCGAATCGGTTGGGTGAAGGTGATGAAGTTTACTCGCGGTGAAGCCGTGGCGTTTTGGGGAAGCAAGCTCGCGTGGGCGTTTTACTACCTCTACTTGCCCGCCAAGTACTCCCATCGCTCGATCGGTCAGCTCTTGGCGCTCTGGACCGTCACCGAGTTCGTCACCGGTTGGTTGCTGGCGTTCATGTTCCAAGTCGCCCACGTCGTCGGCGACGTCCACTTCTTCCGCCTCAACGAAAAGAACCAGCTCAACAAGGGCTGGGGCGAGGCGCAACTCATGACTTCGGCTGATTTCGCGCACGGCAGCAAGTTTTGGACCCACTTCTCCGGCGGCTTAAACTATCAAGTCGTCCACCACCTCTTCCCGGGCGTGTGTCACGTGCACTACCCCGCGCTCGCGCCGATCATCAAGGCTGCCGCGGATAAGCACGGATTACACTATCAAATCTACCCCACGTTTTGGTCCGCGCTGCGCGCGCACTTCTCCCACCTCGCCCGCGTCGGCCACGAGGCGTACGTGCCTTCCCTCCGAACCGTCGGGTGAGCGCGCCTCGCGCGCGGCCATTTATTCATACCTTTACCTCACCCCGACGCGTCGATCGCTCGCCGGCGCTCCCATCGCATTTATTTTAATCTCCACGTCTTCCGTCCATCCCTCGCGCCTTCGCCTCGCGCTCGCGCTCGCCTCGCCTCGCCCGGGCTTCCTCCCCACTCCGCCGCGCGCCGTCGCGCGCGCGATGCCCGTCCCGCCCCCCCTCGTCGCCGTCCTCGCGAGCGTCGCGACCGCCCTGGCGCTTCGCGCGCCGCGCGCGCGCGTCGCGCCGCGCCCGCCCGCGCCGTCGTCGTCGCCGCGCGCGCCGCCGCGCTCCAACAAATCGATCGTCCGCCGTCTCTACCGCGAGGTGTGGAACAACGCCGACCTGGCGTCCGCGAACGCGAGCGCCGAGCGGTACGTCAGCGACGACCACGTGCTGATCGATCCGTCGAACCCGACGCCCGAGCCAGGGGTCGAGGCGTACATGCAGCACGTGCGAGGGAATCGCGAGGCGCTGCCGGATTACGTCATAGCGGTGGATAACGTGATCGAGGAGGGCGATAAGTGCGTCGCGCAGCTGAGTTTCACGGCGAGCCTGAATGAACGCACGGCGCGATGGACGGGGACGTGCGTGATGGAGTTTGAGAACGGAGCCATCGTGAAGTCGTGGGTGAACACGGACGCGATGAGCGCGATGATTCAGTTGGGATTGATGACGGATTTGGTGCACACGGGAAGCCTGAACTCGAGGCCGGTGACGCACGCGCTGATGGGACGAGACGAACCGCACCCGGAGACGGTGCTCACGGGGAAGGAGTGGCTGCAGTATTTCGAGGAAGTGCACGAGAGTTGGGAACGGAGGTCCATCGATAGCGAGAGCGCGCGGTCGCTGCGAACGGATAAAAAGTCAGGGCTGCAGGTTGTGATTTAGCGCGTCGAACGCGCGAGCTGTTTCATACGTCATCTTCGTTGCGACGGCGCTCGTCGATCGCGCGCGCGCGTCTTGTTATTTTACTTCACCGGTTTCATCACAACTCGTCGTCGTCCCAAATTCTACGATGAAGCGCGTTTTGCGAAAGCGACTGCGTGAGCCAATGCGCGTGTTGCACCGTCGACGGCTTCGCCGACGTGCGCATGATGAATTGTAAGACTTCAAACGCGGTCAACTTCCCGTCGTTCATGTCCGTCATGTACCGAGGCCAATTTTTATTCCCCGCCGCGAACATCGCCACCGTCGGCGCCTGCGCGTCGCTCCCGTACGGCGGCGGCACGTCGTTGTGCGTGCCATCCACGAACGCGATCTCAAACCCCTCGCGCGCGGTCTCGTTCGACGCGAACATCTCGCGCACGCTCCCCAACGCGGCCGCCGCGTAAAAGTGCCCCCACTTGTCCAACTTTGGAAATCCCACGTACGCCACGACGTCCGCGTCTCGGCGCACCACCGCCTCGTGAAACGTTCCCGCCGTCACCTTCAGCATCCCATCCACCGTCTCCCCGTCCGCCGGTCTCTGCTCCGATCGATACTTCCTCGCCTCTCCGTCGCCCGCGCCGTCGTCGTCAAACTCCGCGAGTTCGTGCATCGCCAACTGTTCCCTGCACGCGCCCGTCGCGCGTCCGCACACCTCGTAATTCCAATTCCATCCCACCGGATCGTACGCCCCCGATCTCGCCTCCGCCACCGTCACCCTCGACCCGTCTCCGCGCGTCCCACCGCCGTCCCGCGCCGATCCGCCGCCGCGTTTGATCCATCGATGATACGCCGCCGCGACGTCGTCCTCTCGCGTCTCCATCAGCCTCTCGCACGCCTTCCTCGTCGTCGCGTCGCGCCAGGTCGCGCTCAATCGGCACGCCGGCGCCAGCGCGGCCTCGATGAGGGCGTCCAGCGCGCCGTACGTCGCTCGAGACGCCGGTTTCGCGCGCTCGGCGGCGATGGATGGGATGAGATTTTCATTGAGCGCGTTCACCAGGGCGTGACACGCGCGGCACCGCGCGTCCCTGCCGAAGACGTCCAGGCCGTTGGGGAATATCGGATTCGACGGCGCGCGATCGTTCGCGCGAACGACGTCGACGGCGCGCGATCGAGGGACGAAGGCGAATAAGACGGCGCAGAGAAGGAGCCTCGACGACATCGAGCGCGCGGCGCGTTGTGAAGGAAACGACGAAGACTCGCGAACGCGCGTCGCGCGAGACGATGCGATGGGATTCTAGATTCTATGAACGACGCTATCGCTATCGCGGCGAGGCTAAGACGTCTTTCACGGCGTCGTAGACGAGGAGCTGGGCGAAGACGATGAGAGTCACGTGCGCTATTCTCGCGCGCCAACCCGTCATCAGACCGACCGGCCCGAGCTCGATCGCGACGTCGAGCGGCGAGCGACGCGGGCGCGGAGACGCGGTGGTGTCTTCGTCGTCGCCGACGATGACGCACCGACCGGCGTTCGTCGCTGAGAGTAACGTGTCGCCCGGTTGCGACGCCAACGACGCCAAGACGCCCGCGGCCAACGCCGCCGCCGGTCGCGTCGTCGCCGAATCGAGCGACATCGACGCCAACGTTCGATTGAACACGTCGTACGATACCAACTGCACCGCGGTGTACGGAAGCATCTTGGCGTACACGACGGGTAAATTTGACGCCACCGACGAGAGCCCGCCGTTTGGCTCGCTCGCGAACCGCCTCGCCGCCGCCGCGAACGAATCCCCCGCGTACCGCGAATCGCTCACCGTCTTGATCCTGATTTGTTCCAACGGCGTCAACACGGCGCTTCCAACGACTTCGGCGCTCGCGGCGCACGCGACGAGCGCGAGCAATCCCAGCGCGCTCTGGTCGCCGCCGGCGCTCGCGCTCGCGCACCGCTTGAGAAACTCAAATCCACCGTATTTCAGCGCTCCCTGCGCGCCGTACCCGAAGAACGTGCTCTCCCACCCCGCGGTGAGCGCACCGACGCCCTCGCGCCGCACGATCGCCGCGCCGACGCCCAGAACGGTGGCGTCGTCGAATTTTTCGCACTGCAGTCTGGTTTTGATGACATCCAAGGGCACCGAAAGCGAGTGGCTCGCGCACGCGGCGATGCCACCGCTCAACGCGAACGCACCGACGTCGAGCGCGTTGACGCGCGCGCGCGAGCGCGCTCGAGCGGAGGTCGAGGCGACGGGCGCGCGCGTTGAGGTGGGTAGCGGCGCGCGAAGCGTCGGCGGCATGCGAGAGGCGCAAAGTGACGGCGAGACGCGGGCCGGAGGAAGAAATCATGCAAAGCTATCGCCTCAGAGGTGTTAAAAAGCACGTGGAATACTAAATCGCCATCCAATTCACGACGTCGTCGACGAGGGCGTTCATGAGGATGCGGTTTTCGTCGACGCCCGGCGCCGAGCGCGCCTCCTTGGCTTGCGTGCGCGCGCGGTCGAAGCCCTCTCGGAGTACACCGAGCGGCGAGCTATCGGCTTTGATCCCGAACGCGTCCCCGAACGCGGCGAGAATTTCGCCGCCTTGCTCCGCGGCCTCGTAGACTTCGTCCGGAACGTCGATGCCGGTGTCGCGCCAGAGCGGGAAGACGTGGTCGCCTTTTCGCGTGCGCACGGTGAGATCGATATCCTCCGCCGCCACCGCGCCCGCGAGCGTGGCGGCGAGCGCGCTGGTCTCGTCGATGGTGTCGTCGGTAAACTTGATCAACAAATTCTTGCGCACGGCGTAGTACTTCCTCACCAATTTCGCCGATTCCTCGGGCGTCGGCGTGAACTCGGCGCGCCCGTCGGCGACTTCCAAAATCACCGGCTCGAGAGTGTCCAGGATGGGTAAAAGCTCCTTGACCAAAGGCGGCGCGAGCTCACGAAGCTGCGCGTCGGCGTTTCGCTGCAACGCGCGCAGCGGCGACTTTTGCGCGGCGTCGAGAATGGGCGAAAGTCCTTGCAATCCCGGGGCGAAGAGCTCGGCGAAGAGCGGAATCGCATCCGTCGCCGGCTTGTTATTAAACGACATCAACACGTTCCCCCGTCGCTTCGTTTCGTATCTCGACCCGATGAGCACGGTCACCAACGCCCCCAACGAGTGTCCGACGCCGTACACCGGCAGATCGTCGAACCCGTCCATCGTCTTCCTCAGCGCCCTCGACGCGCGCTCGTACTTTTGCCACGCCTCGTCCGCGACGCGCAGGTGATCCAACCCCAGCTGCACGGGCGTCGCGATCACCACCACCTCTCCCCGCTCCACCAATCGCTCGCAAAACTCCCCGTACGTCACCTGCGGCGACGCTCCCACGAACGCGCCGCCGCAAAAGTGCACCACCGCCTTGGCCTCGACGCCCGCGCGCGGCGCCAGCGCCCACGCGTCGTCCACGCGCGTCCACCCCCGTCCCGACGAGCTCGACGACCCGAACGACGCCGCGTCCGCCAGCGCGCGCTCGAACGACGAGAACGCGTCGTCCCGTCGCCTCGCGCTCTCGCGCTCTCGCGCTCGAGCGTCGTCTTCGTCGTCGCCCGTCGCCGCGCGCGTCTCGCCCTCGTTCGTCGCGCGCGCGCGTCGCGTCGTCGTCGTCGCGCGCGTCGTCGTCTTCGTCGTCGCGCGCGTCGTCGCCGCGCGCGTCGTCGCCGCGCGCGCCGTCGTCGCCATCGTCGCGCGTCGGTGTGACGTCGTCCGGTCGGTTCGCACCGCTCGATCGACGACGCGCCGGTCGCGCGACTCGATCGAACCTCGCGGCGAGGTTCGATCGCGACGCGCGCGATCGATCGACCCGCGACGCACGCCACCAGACCTTCGCGCGCACGCACGACGCGCCGGATGCGCGTTGAAGCGCGATCGAAGCCCATCATCGCGAACGCGTGGGTCGATCGTAAAACCAACGCGCGCGCGCGCGCGCGCCGCGAGCGCCGCGCCGTCTTTCCACGACGCGACGCGGACGCGAACATGGTGCGTCGCGACGCTCGACGGCGCGGACGACGCGAACGATTTCGACGCGCGCGGGACGCGGGACGACGGGGCGCGCGCGCGCGCGAACGCGCGAGCCGACGGCGACGACGGTGACGCCCGTCGTGGGGTTTCGCCGATCGCGGGGCGACGCGCGATCGCGACGGGACGACGCGCGCGCGCGGAGAGGGGCGCGGACGCGCGCGCGAGGACGTGGGGGATGTTTTGAGACGGCGCGCTCGAGCGACGGCGCGGGCGGCGGCGGCGTGGGGGGGGGGCGCGCGAGGGACGCGCGAGGGGGGGGCGATGGGCCAAAGCCCTAACGACGACGCGACGAGAGAGACTGACGAGAGCGCGAACGTGTGCGACGCGCGCAGTCCACGGCTGAAGAAGACGCCCTCGTCGGGGTTCCGCGTAAGAAGAACCCGTACAAGAAGTTTTCGTACCGCGGGATCGATCTCGAGGGGTTGCTTGAATTGAAAAACGACAAGCTCGTGACGCTCTTCAACGCGCGCATTCGTCGTCGATTCAAGCGTAACGGTTTGGTGCGCAAGCACAAGACGCTCGTCGCGAAGCTTCGTAAGGCGAAGGCGGCGGTGACGGGTATGGAGAAGCCGGAAACCGTGCGCACGCACTTGAGAAACATGCCCATCATCCCGGAGATGGTTGGCTCCGTCGTCGGCGTGTACAACGGCAAGGTGTTCAACACGGTTGAAATCAAGCCGGAGATGATTGGGACGTACCTCGGTGAGTACGCGATCACGTACAGACCGGTGTCGCACGGTCGCGCTGGTCTCGCCGCCGGTTCCAAGTTCATCCCGCTCAAGTAAGCGATTACTGAGTTGGTTTGTTAGTCTGGTCGCGAAGGAGAAGAGAAGCGCCGCGAGGCGCGACGCGCGCGAACGAGAAGGGAGTTTGTCTGTTTCGAACCCCATCCCGTTCGTCGTCGATCGCGTCCGCGGCCGGTAGAGAGAACACGTATGTTGTAGTTATCATTGACGCGCATTCGTCTCACGCGTCGCTCGCCCATCGCTCTCTCTCTCGCGCGCTCGCCGTCTTCGCCGCGATTCGCGTCGACCTCACCTCGCGCCTCTCGGCGCCATCCGCGCGAAGCGATGTCCTGGATCCCGCTCGATCCCATCATAAATGAGCTATCGAACGTTCTCACCTCGGGAGAGCTCGTGCACGACGCCAATTTCTCCCTATTCGACGCCATGAGCGCGCTCGACATCGGCGACCTGAAGATGGATGCCGGCGCCGTGCGGGACGGTTCTCGCCTCACGCTCGCCCAGCTCCTCGCCAGCGGACGCGCACCGAAAGACATCACCGGCCGCGATCTGGTGCGCGAGCTGGACGCGATGCTGTGCGCGGAAGGGACGTTTCGAAAGGGCTACGCGGCGGCGACGACGGTGTGGACGAACGCGCACTGCGCGGGACATCGAACGGGACACTTGGACGACGCCACGCCGGCGCTGCGAGCGTTCACGCGCGCGACGCTGGCGAGCGCGTCGATGGCGCAGCACGCGGTGAAAACGGGAGACGTGTACGAGGAAGAGGATTTCGCGGTGCTCGGGGACTTTGGAGAAGTCGCCGGGCGCGAAGCGTGGGCGACGGCGGAGGCGGACGACGAGGTTTTGATCGAGCTCGCGAGCGCGCTGATGAAGATGGAGGATAGTGGGGGTGATCGCGACGTCGAAGCCGTCGTCGCGCGGTTAGAATTTAGGAGGGCACATCACTTGATGATGAAGACGTTGACGGGAGCCATCGGGGCGGGGACGGATGCGAGAAACGAGGCGCGACAACACGCGAACGCGGCCAAGGCGCGTTTGAAAGAGATGCGAAATTATTATAGCGAAGACGTCGTCGACGATGAAGACGCGCTGGATTGGGATCCCAACGCGGGAAGCTTTTCGAAAGGGTTGAGTTTGCACATGTTGGGTGGCGCGCCGCCGAGGGAGGTGCACTTTTTGAGCACTCGACGAGCGTTTGAATATTTCGAAAGAGAGATCGACGACGTGCTCGTCGCCGCCGAGGTGTTCAAATTTCGTGCTCGTAAGGAAGCGCCGACGATTGAAGAGGTCCTGGAGTGTTTAGAACGACTCCAGACTCGTCGACCGGGAGCCATCGCGCTCGGACTCGCAGCCGCCGAGTTGATGCACGAGAAAGAGCTGTGCGGATGGCACTTCGGTCACGTTGGACTTCATTCCGTTTGGACGTTCGCTGGTGTAACGACGAAGACGCTCGAAACGTCGTTCGCGCACCCCAAGGACGCGGTTGACGCTTTCATCGACGAGTGCGTGCAGCCGTTGACGGTTGTGGTTCGATCGTTTTGCGTCAACCGGGCGCGCTTCAGGCGCGTACTCAGGCGGTCGCTCGGTGAGTTCAGTCATCTGCAAATCGCTGCGGACGCCCTGGACGCGGCACAAGACGACGCGTTAGCGACGAGCGACGAGGATCGGGCTAAAGTCGAGACTTTGCGATCGCTTCAGGCGCCTTGCATTGCCTGGGCGGAACACTTGACGTGCTACGTCGAACTCAGGCATCTCGAGCTCGGGTTTTCGCTCGACTTGTACTTGCCCCACGAGCTCGCGATGGTGTACTACTACATGCACTATTTGCAGCGGCTTCGTGTCGTCACGCTGAGGCGCAAGGCGATGACACCGTCAACGCAGACGATCCAGACGCAACTTTGCTTCTTGGCCGAGCAACAAAAGCTCTCGATGTATTCGGCGCTTCGGTTCACCTTCGCCGCACTCCTCGACAGTGGCAAGCTACGACCGTGTGTTACTGCGTTTAGTGGCGAAGATCTGCGCTTTTGGCAGCGATTCAGCACGTTTCAAACCGTCGAACTTCCGCCGCCCGCGCACTACGACGACTACAAAGCGTCCATCGAGGCCAATCTGAGTCACTTTCGAGGTGAGCTCACCGACGCCGACGAGGCTGTCTCCGACGTCACAGTCTTCGCCGGAATCGCCGATCGATTTTTCCAAGAAGCCCGTACCGCGGCTGACTTCGTGACGGAAAAATTTGAACCTCACGCAGCGAGCGACGCCGTCGTCGCCTCGCTCGTCGCCGACGTCGTCGCTTCGCGCGTCATCTCCACCAAGAACCTCGTCGCTCTGCGTCTTTTGTTCGCGACCGACATGACGTGCGCGTGTGACACGAAATCACACGACTTATACGCGCAAATCACCGCCTGTAAGCCGTGACTTAGCGATCGTAATAGAACATTAGAGCTCGCGCGCGCGTCCCGGCGCTAGAAATCTTCAGCTAACCGTCGCCGAGCCGCGCGCCATATCCGCGCGTGCGCGCCATGCGCGTCGCGCTCGCGACGCGCGGTGCCAAACGAAAGCTACGCGACGCCGCGTCCAGGCGTTTCGCCGTCGCCGCGGCGCGCGCGGCGCGAAAAATCGACGGCAAACGCGCGTCCGCCGCCGACATCACTCGCGCTTCTCGCGCGCTCTTTCGCGCGCTCGAGCTGTCGATTTCGCAGAACTCGCGCGTCTACGCCGAGTTCATCGCTTTATGTGTTTCGTACGGCCGTTTAGGGTTTCGTTCGACGCGCGCGTTCGCGCTGGCGTCGATGACATTGCTCGCGGCGTATCGACGCGCGTCCGCGGCGCGGCGGCGCGAGACGTCCGCGGCGCGCGAGGGTCGTTCCATGGGAACAAAGTACGCTCGAAAGCTTTTAGAGCGTGGATCAGCGCTCGCGGGGGCGGTCCTAGAACGCGTCGCGACGGCGGAGACGATGCCAGCGCAGTTGCGACCGCGCGGTTGGCGAGTGCGCGTGGAGGACGTCGAGAGCGAAACGACGCGGCGGACGTCGAGCTCGAGCTCGAGCTCGAGCGTGAGCGCAAGCGCGAGCGCGAGCGATGTCATCTTCGTCGGCGAGGCGCGTGCGGTGGGAAAAGCACGCAAAGAGAACAGTCATTGGAGTTCGCAGACGCGCGCGTTGGGCTTGCGCGTGCAAGGCGTTGTCGAGGACGGAAATTGTTGTTTTCGGTCCATCGCTCACGGCGTCAAGGCGCTCGCGAGGCATAAACTTTGGGATGTTAAACGCGCTGGATCGGATTGGCGCGACATTCGAGCGCGAATGTGCGACGAATTAGAGAAACGGCGGAACGAGATGCGCGGGAGGACAGAAATACGTGCGCTATACAACCTACTGATGAACGGCGACGAGGGGCGACGCTACCTGCGCGTTGGCAAATTTAAGCGAGCGAGCGACGACGAGCGCTTCAAAGAGTACATTCGCACGATGCGTAAGGACGCCGCACCGTACACGGCGACGAAAATCTGGACTCGCTTTTGGGGCACCGACGCCGAGCTATGCGCCATCGCGAGTCTCAACGACGTAGCCATCGTGTGCGTGGAGACGACGGACGAACGCGTCCCAGCGACGGCCAAGTCACCTTTCTTCCTCGCCGCACCGCGTCGCGACGAAAGACACCGCGCTTTCGCACCCGCGAGATACCTCGCGGACGGTCGATTTCGTCGCGACGGTAAAACCGTCGAGTGGCGTTGCCGCCGCGCGCGCGAAACTTTCACCCTCTCCCTCGTTACCGCCGCCATCGCGCGCCGCCGCTGCCGCCACGGCGGTGATACCATCCCTGCGCTGTGCGTCAAGCACTTTCCCGGCCACTTCGAAGCGCTCGTTCCCGACGATTCATCTCTCGCGCTCGTCCTCGACCGCTCGCAGTAGCGCCGCTGGAACACAAACCGTCATTATCCGCCGCGTGCCGCCCGCGCCATGCCTCGCCCGCGCGACGACGCGCGCGACACCGCGCGCGCATCGCCGTCGGTCGACTCTACCGCGAGTCTGCGCTCGTTTGTCGCCCGTTTGTCGTCGCCATCGTCGCGCGAACGCGCCGCCGCCGCGGAATCACTGCTCGAGCTGCGCATCGGCGACGAGGGTCACGGCGCCGCTTGGGCGCTCGCGCTGTGCGCGTCGGGGTGCGTCGTGCCTTTGTTGAGGTCCGTGCAAGCGGTCGAGCGCGACAGCGCGACGGGGGCACCGGTGGAGAGCGCGGACGCGGACGCGCTCGCGGCGAGCGACGGCGCGCTGTTGGTTTTGAGCGAACTCGGCGGCGTCGCGAATGGATTGCTCGAGAACGAGGGGTATCAGGTGGAGCTCGACGAGAGCACCGGACAACCGATTTTCGTGGATTCGTCGAGCGGGATGGCGAGCGCGACGACGCCGACGTTGAGAGCACAGGATGAATTGGACGCGGAGGAGCGTTGGACGTTTGCGTTGTTGATCGAGACGTTGACGTTGGTGACGCCGTTGGGGGTCGACGCGCGCACTGGGAAGTTGACGTGGAGCGTAGAAGTCATTGAGCACGTGGAAAGAGCGGAAGACAGTGGGCTTGAGGCGCTGAGTGTGATCGATATGGCGGTGGAGGATGGGTCCGGGGGCGAATGCACGAGAGCGCTCGTGCGCGGCCCGTGGAGAGGGAGCGACGGTGCAGTCGAGGCGGAAAAGGACCCGAACGAACCGCTCGGATTGGCGTTAGATTCGTGGAGAGATGCGACGTACGTCGCGGTGGCGATGGCATCGCCGGGGGACGGTCCAGTGCGAAGGGTGTTGGCGCTGGGATGCGCCGGAGGCGCCGCCGTGGCGTCGTTCATGCGCACGTACTCACCGGAGACGCGCGTCGACGTCGTCGAACAAGATGGCACGGTCGTGGACTTGATGGTGAAATATTTTGGTTTGGAGTGCACGCGATGTGATAAAAAGGTGCACGCGAGCGATGCAGGCGCTCGCGGGGAGATTAGAGTTTGGAGCGAAGACTTTTTAGATTTTCTCGAACGCGCGAGCGGCGCCAAGTACGACGCCATCGTAGGATCTTGGCCACAAGGCGACGATGAGACGATCGTACTGCGTGTACGAACGCTTATCAACGCCGATACCGGTGTTTTGGCGTTATCGGGCATGAATGGATCCGCTTTGGAGGCGCTGGGCGACAATGCGCACTTGCTGCGAGATCCCGCCGACGTCACTTTTGAGGACGTGGAAAGTCGGCCAGAAAAGCGTACGAGGACGAGCGCAACGAGCGATGTGAGAGAACGCGATATCGTATGCACTTGGTTCGACCCGTCGAAGAATGTTGAAAGTTTTCATCCCGAGCACTGGCACGCGCGACTGCGAGAAAAGCTTGGCGCCGACGCCGCTCGATTTCCTTATCGCATCGCTGATGTCGATACACACGGGCACTTTACTGTGCTCGATTACGCCGCCAACGACGAGGACGAGGACGTACGAAATTTACCAGCGATCGATGACAAGAACTCGGCATGGGACGCGTTCGGAGACGAGGGCGAAGATGCAGCTCCGGGAAAGGCAATTTCGACGAACGTTTTCGACGCAACCTACTGGAACGCCATTTTAAGCACGCACGGCTGCGCGGTGTCAAGCAACAGCGATGCGACCGTGAGTGAAATCGACGCTAGCGCAACGCAAGAGCACGTGGCGTCGCTACAAGAGAACGGCTACGTGTGGGGCGATGTTATCGTGCCGATTAAGGATACCAACGCGCTCCGCAGCGGCATCGAGGCGCTCGTCGACGCCAAGTGGCCGCCGGCGTGCATATTCGTTTCCGACGTTGCCTGGCGTGTCATCGACTTGCTATTCGCGCACGCGGAGGTCCTACTTGGCGGTGAGTGCGTGTTAGAACCATCCGTTGCCGCGTTCAAGCTCGAAAAAGACGCATCTGGGAAGCGTTACATCGGTAACAACTTTGGCGTTCCGCATCGCGACTACTCCCTCTCGGACGCCGTCGACGAAGATGGTAAAACGCAAGTCCTCAGCCTTTGGCTCCCGTTGAACCGCGTCACGGAAACAAGTGGGTGCATGTACGTCGTGTCGAAGAAAGACGACGAAGATGGTGGGCGAAGTGACGTTTCAAAATCCGCCCCCGAGGTGCCTCGCGGCGCCGCCAAGCCCCTCGCCCCCGTCGACGCCGGCGCCCTCCTCGCATGGTCAGGAAACATCATCCACTGGGGCAGCGCGTGTGAAATCGACAGCCCAGATCCACCACGCATGAGCGTCGCCTTCGTCTTCCGTAGGCGCGGCCGCGCTGAGGCGCGAGCCGACGCCCGATGTCCCCCGCTCGATCGCGCCGCCGCGCGCGCCGCCGACCTTCGCCGCCGTCTCGACGTCATCCATCACGCCATCGGCGTCTTCGAGCACTGGTACGGCGACACCGACGAAATCAAGGCTCGATTGAAGCAATAGCCTTAGCCATAATCGTTTCAATCGATAGTCTACATTCCGTCGCGTTCGTCGCGTCCCGTCCCGTCCCGTCCCCGTCGCCGGGAAAGCAGATAAACCCAAATCGCGACGCCACACGTCGACGCCGCGCTCCCGCGCGGATCCAGTCGACGCGACCGACGCGACGTGCGATGCTCTCCGCGTCCGTCGCGCGCTCGCGCGCGCTCGCGTCCACCGCGCGCGGCACCGCGTCGATTTTCGCGCGCGACGCGGCAACGACCACCGCGTCGTCGAACGCCGTCGGCGCGCTGCTCGACGACGACGAGCGCTCGCGAGCGTCGAGCATGATCGAACCCATCGGGACGAACAGTCACAGGCGCGCGGTGGACGACGTGGTGGTGATGCATCCCGACACGTCGCGCGGCATCGAGGTGCTCCACAATCCCATATACAATAAAGGCACCGGGTTCAGCGCGAGCGAACGCGAACGATTGGGCATTCGCGGGCTCGTGCCGCCGCGGTTCTTCACGATCGGACAGCAAGCGGTGAAGATATGGGCGCAAAATAAAGCGCTGAAGCGTCCGCTGGATCGGTGGAGTCACCTTCAAGATTTGAAGGATCGTAACGAGACGTTGTTTTATCGCCTGGTGCACGATCACATCGAGGAATTAGCGCCGGTGATTTACACGCCGACGGTCGGAGACGCGTGCCTTGAATATTCAAAGTTATTGCGCCGGGCGAGAGGGATGTACTTTTCGCGCGAGGATAGGGGCGATTTTAACTCGATGATGTTCAACTGGAAACGGAACGTCTCCGTCATAGTGGTCACCGACGGGTCGAGGATTTTGGGTTTGGGCGATCTCGGCATGAATGGTATGGGAATTTCGCAAGGGAAATTGGACCTGTACGTCGCCGGGGGTGGTTTTGATCCGCAGCATGTTTTGCCAGTCGTCCTCGACGTTGGCACGAACAATCCAGATCTTTTGAACGATCCCTATTATCTCGGGTCGCCGCACAAGCGACTGGAAGGTGAGGAGTATTACGCGTTTGTGGAGGAGTTTATTCGCGGCGTGCGAAACCGGTGGCCAAACGCGTTGATTCAGTTCGAAGACTTTCAAACGAAGCACGCGAACAAAATTTTGCAGCACTATCGCGATGAAGTTCTGTGCTTCAACGATGATATCCAAGGCACCGCGGCCGTCGTCCTAGCCGGCGTGTACGGAGCGATGAAGTGTCTTCATGGTCATCGCAAGGATATTGTCAAACAAACCTTCGTCATGTGCGGCGCTGGAAGCGCGGGATGTGGTATAGCATCATTCCTACACCAAGCTATGGTTGCGAATGGATTGACGGCCGAGGAAGCATACAAGAGATTTTACATCATCGACGCCAACGGGCTGGTCACCGCCGAACGCGCGTTGGACGATCCCGGACAGGAGCCGCTGAAAGGTTTCGCACGCAACCGAAACGACATGCCCGAGGGCGCGTCGCTCATGGACGTGATTAAAAAGGCGAAACCCACGGTTTTACTCGGCGTTTCCACGGTGAAGGGGCTATTTTCGAAGGAGGTGCTTGAGGAAATGGGTAAAATAAACGAGCGCCCGATTATCATGCCGCTCTCAAATCCGACGTCTCGTGCCGAATGTACGGCGGAGGACGCCGCGAACGCGACTGACGGAAGGGCTATCTTTTCATCTGGTTCGCCGTTCAGCGATGTCGAGATTAATGGCAGAGTGATGAAGGCGAATCAGGGCAATAACTTTTACGTCTTTCCCGGACTTGGTCTCGGTGCGTTGCTGTCGAAATCGTCTGTCATCTCCGACGCGATGCTTCAAGCCGCCGCGATGGCTATCCCAGCTATGCTCACGCCCGAACAATACACAGAAGGCACTATCTTTCCGCGTATCGATCGCATCCGCGATATCTCGGCGTACGTTGCGATCAAGGTCATCGAAGCCGCCGCGCGCGAGGGTCGAGTGCCGGAAGACATTCGTCACATCGTCGCGCAGGGCGAGGAAGCGATGAGCGAGTACGTGTATTCAACCATGTATGTCCCGAACTATCGACCGACGGTTTTTTCGTGTTCGAGTAGGAAGTAAAAGTCGCGCGATTCCATTATTTAGAAGCGTTGTCATTCTTGAGATGTTTTTATATTTCAACGTGGACGGATTTGTACGAATAAAATCGTTTACGCGGCCTTCACGGCGGCAATAATTTCAGTCGCACGCTTGGAGATGGCGTCCCAATCACCCGCCTTGATGGCGTTTTGATCGAACGCCGGGGCGACGAAACCGAGAGAGGCGGCGCCCGCACGCAAGTAGTCGGCGGCGGTGTCGATTTCGACGCCCGACGTCGGGTTGATTCGAAGCATCGGAAGCGCCGAGGCGACGGCGCGAACCCAGTTAGGGCCACCGGCGACACCCGGGAAGAGCTTTTGCACGGGGGCGCCGAGGCTGTACGCGCGGTACAACTCGCTCGGGGTTTGGCAGCCCGGGATGCAGACGATTTTGTTCGCCGCGCACCACTCGACAACTTCCGGAATCAAAATCGGAGCAACGATAAATTTCGACCCAGCGTCCAAAGCTCTCTTGGCGTCGTCGATGTTGAGAATAGTACCGCAGCCGGTCAAGACGTCGGTGCGGGAGGCAAATCGGGAAACCGCGTCGAGGCAGCCTGGGGTGGTGAGGGTGAATTCAACGAGCTTGAAGCCGCCTTGGACGGCGGCGTCCATGGCGTTGTACGCCGCACCTTCGACTCCCGTGCGGAGGACAGCACACGCCTTGTGCTTGGCAAACTGATCGAGCACTTCGTTGAACTCGGCGTCGGTTCGCATGTACGACTTGTGACGAACTTGTTGGCTCATCGATCTGCGCGCGCCGAGCGTATTGCGGCTCTTCGGAATACCACCGAGACCGGCGCGAGCGCCCGGGTTCGCGGCGGTGTGCGCAAACTTGCTCGAGTCGTAGCCCTTGCTCGCGAGCAACTTGCACAACGGCGAGTCCTTCTTGATCTTGCCGCTCACAAACGGATAAAATTTGCCCGGCGGACCCGGATTTGTCGCGAGCTCCGTCTTCACGATATCCTCGACAATCTCTCGAGAGTGCGCGATATCGTACACTTCCTGCGCGTGAGACGCTGGAATAACGACAACGCCGTCTTGATCGCCGATGATCGCGTCGCCCGGTCGCACGACGATGCCGCCGCACGTGATGACGCCGTTCGCCTCCCACGGCTGGTGCACGTGCGGTCCTTGTCTCGGCGTCGTCGAAATCGAAAACACCGGAAATCCGTACTCCCGCAACACCGCGGTGTCTCTCACGCTTCCATCGGTCACTAATCCCGCGCATTTAAGCTGCGCCAATCGTAAAAACTTGATATCGCCGCCGACGCTCTCCCACGGCCCGACGCTCTCCATGACCACGCACTCGTTCGGCCCGGTCTGTTCAAACGCCTCGTATTCCGGCGATTCCATCCCCGCCGGTTTACTCGCCGCGATATCCGGTCGCTGCGGCACGAATCGAAGCGTCACCGCGCGTCCGACCAGTTTCTTTTGTCCCTCCGTGAGCGGTCGCGCGCCCATCACGTGGCTCGTCGGCCATCCCATGACCCACAATCCATCGATCAGCGCCTGCGTGGACAGCCCGCCGAGCTTCGCGAGCAGATCGTCGGAGATTTGTTTCTCGTGTCGCGCCGGGCCCGTGGCGTAGGCGCGGAGCGCGTCGCGCTTCAGCGCGGCGGCGCGATCGGGTGTCGCTCCAGGGTTCGCGACCGGGCCGAGCGGCGCGCGCGCGGCGCTCGCGCGCGAGAGCGCGCGCGAGAGCGCGCGGCGGAGGTGCGCGGCGTGCGACATGACGAGTCGAGGTCCGCGCGAGGGAACCGTTCGCGGCGAGGCCGACGCGTCGCGATGTGCGGACGAGACGTGCGGCTAAAACTAAAACCCTGAGGGGAGTTGTGAGGGTTTGGTTCGAGCGCGAGCGCCGACTGGCCGACGAGACGCGAATTAAATGAAGGCTAGGCGCGAATTAAATGAAGGCTAGGCGCTACGAAAACTATGCGCCGCACGAGCGCGAGGGCGCGTCGCGACGCGTCGCGTCGGGCGTCTCGGCGTACTTGGCGCGCGCGACTAAACAGACGCCGAGGATGGTGACGGCGATGCCGACGCCTCGATCCCACGGCAGACGCTCGCGAAGGAACACGCGACTGAGAACGATGGTGAAGATGACTTGGACGCCGGAGTAGACGGTGGGCAAGACGCCCTTGACGCGAGCGACGGCCCAAGAATTCAGGGAGTGGGCGAAGACGGACGAGCCCCATCCCGCGAAGACGACGGCGCCCCAGGCGGACGCGGGAACGCGGGAGACGTCGAGTCGGGCGAACGCCGGAATCGCGATGAGCAAGACGACGAACTCGGCCACGGCGGTGGCGAGGAATAAGAACAGCAATGGATACGGGTACGTTTTCGTCGCCACGCCGAGCATCACGACGTAGACGGCGTACGAATTCGTCTGCGACAGCAAGAGAAAGATGTCCAAAAAATTCATCCCGCCCGTTTGAAAAATTTCGTACGCGCGCAGCGCGGTGACCGTTCCCGCGAAAACGACGATCACGCCCAGCGCCTTCACGCGCGTCATGCGCTCCAATCCTATCACATAACTCATCACCGCCACCGACACCGGCATGATCGGCTGCACGCACGCCACGAGCGTCGGTCCCGAGCGCGCGTTCGCCACGAAGACCAACAGATACGCCGCGCCGATCATCGCCCCCATCGGCACCACCCACGTCGCGACCGCGCGCCACGGCAGACTCCCGCCCTCCTTCCTCGCCGATATCGCCAGAAACGGCAGCGCCAGCGCGAGCCTGAGCGCGCAGAACGCCGTCGGCTCGACGTGCTCGAGCGCGTCGTGGCTCAGCACGTGCATGAGCGCCCAAATCAACTGCGCCGTCCACAGCGCCGCGTGATTCACGATCTGCCCTCGATCGTGCTCGCTGAAGCTCTCGCTCAGGCTCGACCGCCTCGCGAGCGTCCCGTCGCCGCGTTCGGCGTCTTTTTCCGTCGCCATCCCGTCCCGTCCCGCCGCCGCCGCCGTCCCGCGCGCGCCCTCGCGCGCGCCCTCGCGCCGCGCGCGCGCCGCGAAGAGCTAGAGATAAATCCCCGCGCGCGTCGCTCGCATGTCGTCGCGCCGTTCGCGCGCGTCGCGCGTCGCGCTGTCGCGTCGCGTCGCGCGGCTTATCCGTTGACGCGCGCCGCACTCGCCGTCGCGCCGCGCGACGTCGCGCGCGCCATGTCGCGCGTCGCGCCGGACGACGACGACGCGCGCGCGTCGCCGACGTGCGCCGTCTGCCTCGCGCGCCCGGACGCGCGCGACGTCGCGCTCGTCGTGGCGTGCCTGCACGCGTTCTGCGCGTCCTGCGTGACCAAGTGGGCCGAGTTCACGCGCGCGGGGGCGCGGACGCGGTGCCCGCTGTGCCAGGCGTCGTGCGAGCGCGTGCTGGTGCGACGCGCGCTGGACGGACGCGCGCTCGAGGACGGGGGGATGCAGGAGGAGTCGCTGTGCCTGCTGCGGCGCGCGCGGTGGGCGACGAGGGGACGCGAGGGCGAGGGATGGGACGACGGCGACGAGGACGGGCGAGACGGGAGCGACGGGAGCGATGGGAGCGATGCGCTGGAGGAGGCGCTGATGCGGGGGCGCGCGCGAAGGCTGGTGCTGGGGAATCGAAAGTTTGGTCGAGGGGGGTTCGTGTCGAACGGAGGCTCGAGGAGCTACGCGCGACCGACGGCGAGCGGGCGAGGGAAAGAGCCGGCGGCGACGGCGGCGGCGAAGAAGAAACCGCCGAAACACGACGGGGAGGCGTCGGCGTCGCCGGCGTCGGCGCCGAGGGCGGTCGGGGACGATGGACGACGCGTCTCGGCGCGGTCGACGTCGCCGGGCAAGCTCGGTCCGAAGAGCGCGAAGCGGGCGGAGAGCAAGCAGAAAAAACAGGAGAAGGAAGCGGCGAAGGCGGCGGCGCGCTTGCGTCGACGCGAAGAGGAGCACGCGGCGAAAGAGGCGCAAAAGGCTGCGCTCGCGGCCAAGGCGCTCGAAGCGCTCGAACTCGCGGCGTAAGACGAACGAGCGCGCTGTACAATGTCTCGTTGTAAGAATATTATTATCGCATTTTGTATCCAACAACGCCGCTACACGCTTACCTTTTTATGCTCGACAACACGGCGTCGCGCATGAGCTCAACCTCGGCCTCTTTCCCGGTGAAGAGCTCGAACTGCCTCGCCGCTTGCCCGACGAACATGTCCAGCCCGCTCGCGATTTCGCACCCACTCGCCTTGGCTTCGCGCAAGAGCCGCGTCTCGAGCGGGGTGTACACCGCGTCGAAGACGACGGAAAACCCTCCGAGTACAGACGCTGGCGTCGGCGTGTCTTCAACGTTCGGTTGCATCCCGACCGAGGTGCTATTGGCCAAGACGTCGCCGACGACGCTACCGCTCGCTAAATCTTCGAGCGACACCGCGACGCCGCCGCACGCGTCAGCGAGCGCCTGTGCGCGCTCGACGCTGCGATTGGCGATGACGACGTTGGCGCCCTTAAACTTAGCGCCGAACGCCAAAGCCTTGCCCGCACCGCCGGCGCCGATGACGACGACTGTTTTCCCAGCCAAGGACTTCGCGGCGGCGACGCCCGTTTTCTTCTCCATCGCGTTTTCGATAGCCTCGATCGCGGCGACATAATCGGTGTTGTAACCCTTTAACGATCCATCCGGTTGACGAACCAACGTGTTCACCGCGCCGATTTGCTTCGCCACGGGGTCGACCTCGGCGCAGCACTCCAAGGCGTCTTCCTTATGCGGAATCGTCACGCTAAACCCCACAAAGTCCTTCGACCCGAAGAGCGGCGACGCGAGAAAGGTTTTGATATCCTTGACGAGTAACGGGACGTAGCACGCATCCACGCCCGCGGCGGCGAGACAAGGATTGTGTAACGCCGGTGACTTACTGTGTCCGATCGGGTTCCCGATCACGCCCATCACCTTTGTCGCCGCCGTCTGCGTCGGCACGCGATACAAATCTCGCAGCTCTTCGAGCAACGGCTGCCCCGGTGCGCTCTCTTCCCCTCTTCGAATCGCCCCGAACGTCAAAAAGCTTCCAAACTTCGCCGCGAGCAATCGAGACACTTGTCCGTGCTCGCTCATGCCCAAAACGATCGTCTCGATCTCCCTTCCCTTCGTGCGCAAGAGCTTCTCCAATCGCGCCACGTCCTCCACCGCGTTACACACCGACGCCATCTTGACGATATCCGCCCCCAAGCGCACGCACTTCGCGTGAATCTCCGCCAAAATCTCATCGTTCGGCGTCTCATCGTAATTATGCGAGCTCAAAATGATCTTAGTCTTCCCATTCCTCAGCGTCGCCGTCGCCGGTTTCGCCGCGAAGAATCGCTCCGCCGCGAGCGCCTCGCAATCCACGTACGCCGCCCCGCACTCGTGCGCCCTCCAAAGCGCCTCCAACCGCGCGCTCTCGTCCCCATCATCTTGCCCTCCCTCCCAAGTCGGTCGATTCGTCACGATCACCGGCACCGGCGACGCTTTAATCAGCGCTTCGATCGCGTCGCCCAGCGTCCCGCGCGCCGCGTCGTCGCGCAAGAAATCCACCCTGAGCTCCACGACGTCCGCGCCCTTCCTCACGGCGTCGTCCACGTCCCGCAGCGCGAGCTCCAGGTTCGGCGCGATGACGGACGTGGTCAGTTTGCACGCCGCGCGCGCGCGCACGCGCATCGCGCGTCGCGTCGTCGTCGTCGCCGCGCGCGTCGTCGCGCCCTCGCGTTGATTTCCCCGTCGCGTCGCGCGCGTCGCCGCGCCGGCCGCCGCGCCGGGCGCGCGCGCGGTCGCGAACATTCGCGCGCGTCGAATCGCGTCGCCGCGACGCGCCGCGGACGCGCGCGCGAGGCGCGGTCGCGATGTGACGCGCGTTAGGGCATCATCGGCCGTCGCGTCACATCGCGACCGCGCATCGCGCGCGCGCGGACTCGCGCCGCGCGATGAACGGCGCGCTCGGCGACGCGGTGCCGCTGTTCGCGTCGCGCGAGCACGAGATCGAGCGCGCGCGCGTGGGCGCGAGCGAGACGAGCGATCTCGCGTTCGGGACGCTGGATGAAACGATTTGGGCCACCGTCAGGCGCGATTGCGCCGTGGTGCGGCGAAACTGCGCGGCGGTGCTGCTGCCGATGAACTGGGGGGCGAACGGCGCGACGCGGCTGCGAGAGTGGGACCTGTGGGGACCGCTGGCGTTCGTGCTGACGCTGAGCGCGACGCTGAGCGGCGGCGCGGCGAACGCGAGCGAGACGTTCAGCGTCGTCTTCGCGACGGTCGGGCTCGGCGCGGTGGCGCTGACGGCGAACGTGCTGTTGCTGGGCGGGAAGATCATATTCTTGCAGAGCGTGGCGCTGTTGGGGTACTGCGTGGTGCCGCTGTGCCTGGCGAGCGCGCTGTGCCTGGCGAGCGAGAATAAGGTGTACAGATTCATCGTCGTCGCGGCGGCGGTGACGTGGAGCAGTAAAGCGAGCGTGCCGTTCGTGAGCGCGGCGATGCCGGCGTCGAGAAGGGCGCTGGCGGTGTATCCGGTGATGTTGATGTACGTGTTTCTGGGGTGGTTGTGCGTGGCCAAGTCGTCGGCGAGCGCGGGCGGCGCGCCGACGCCGGCGCCCGCGCCGACGCCGACGCCGACGCCGACGCCGACGCCGAACTCGTCTTTAATCTAGCAACTAGCGCCCGCAAATTTCGACGTCGCGCGCGCGACGCATGTAACGCGTAAAACGCGCTCGCGCGTCCCGCTCCGGTCCCGACGCGTTCTCCCGACTCCCGCACACGCGCGCGCGTCTCGCGCGTCGCGCGGCATGCTCAAATCGATAAAGTGTACGTCTCGGAGCGCTCGACGCGCTCGACGCGCGCTCGACGCGCGCGACGACGCGACGACGCGCGTTCGGTCAACTTTTAACCACCAGAGGACTGACGTAATCAATCGCAAACGTCGCGACGCAGCGCGACTGAAACGACGAAAAGAGCGCGGCGATGGCGCGGGCGCGCCGTTTACCGTCAACGCGATGCGCGCGGCGCCGCCGATGTCGACGGACGAGGCGGCGTCGGCGATGTACCAAGTGGACGCGCTGGACGCGGGCGGGACGGCTGCGCGCGCGACGGCTTCGGCGCGCGCGCGAACGGATGGCTTCGACGCGCGCGAAATGCAGTTCGCGCTCGAGGCGAGCACGAAAGAGACGAGCGCGGATGTGCTGGCGGTGGAGCTGGAATTTGATGCCGCGGATGCCGCGGGAAAAGGACGGGGTAAGGGGCAAAGCTTGGCGTCAAAGTTTTGGATCTCGCAAGCGCTCGACGCGGACGAAGTCTTGGATGAGACGTGCGACGGGTTTTACGACGTCTGGGGCGACGCGTTCGAGAGTTCAGTGGATGGACAATTGCCCGCGCTCGGAGATCTGCTCAAGAGGCCACCGGTCACGGCGACGGAGGAAGTTTTCGTCGTGGACAGGCGCACGGATATGTTTTTGAACGCGCTCGACGAGTTGGCGCGGGAGACGTGCTCGCAGGTGCCGAACGTACGGGCCCGGTGCGCTGCGCTGGCCAGATTGGTGAGCGATCGTTTGGGCGGGTCCGTGAAGACCATCGACGATCCAACCCTTGTGCTCGCGACGGCGGAGGATCGCGAGCAGCTGTTGAACGCGAGCAGTCAGTCGGGATGTTGTCTGCATGTCGGGCATTTATCCAAGGGAGTCGAACGCCATCGAGCGATTTTGTTCAAAACTTTAGCGGCGAGCGCGGGCGTGCCGTGTCGATTAGTTCGTGGGGAGTACTACTGTGGGAGAAATTCGGCTCGCGTTATTTTCGCCGAGGAAGGATCTGACATGTGGGTAGATTTGATGCTGTGTCCGGGAACGCTGAAACCGTGCTCCGAACCAGACTTCGACGGTGCGCCGCCGACACCGCCTCCGTACACGTACACGCACTCGCGAAAAGAGCCGACCATGTCGAGTATGCGCGCAGACAAGGGCAAGTCGCCGCTAGAAAAGCTTCCGAAATCGCCGCTCGCAACGGGGTCGAACTCATCCATCGACGATTTAGTGTCGTTCGCCCGGGGCACGCAGTCGCAGGCGGCGGCGGCGCCGACGTCTGCGAGAGAAGAGGAAACAGAGTTCTTGGACGATTCAAACGCGGAATTGATATCGGCCATTGCGATTGCGCATGGAGTAGCGTTAAAGAGCGCGCAAACCGCGTTCAAGCTGGCTGAAAACGGTTCCGAGCGCGCCAATCTGCTCTGCAACGCTCTCGGGGCGGTGTTGGAAGACGACGCGGCGCACTCGCGCGGCTTGGGGGAGCCTGTTTTGCTACAAGAAGTGTTCAACATGCTCGTGAGTAAGAAATGGATCGTCAGCGATGCCGTTGGCGCGATTCTTGCGCGGCGGCGGGAGGAAATCGACGCACAAGCGCTTATCAAGGCTGCGGAGCAAGAGGAGCAATCGCAAGCGCAACGCCGGCGGCGAGAAGAGCAAAAAGCAAAGGCGGCTGAAGATTTGATCAAAGCCGCTGAAAGTAGAGTCGCGACGTTTCGGGAAGCGCGGGAGAGTCGACACGAAGAAGAGCAAAGCACCGACTCAATTAGGGAAGAATTTAGACGAGAATGGGAGACGAAGGTGGCTTCGTTAAATTTGGCGGAGACTCTCGAGTGTTTCGGCGTCGCGGTCGAAGGTGGCGCGCACGCGAACGCGAAGCAACTACGTAGCGCGTACAGGAAAGCGTTGTTGCGCTTCCACCCCGATCGTCAAGGCGCGAAAGAGTTGCGCGAAAGAGTCGCCGCCGAAGAACGCTTCAAGATTCTCTCGCAGAAAATGGAACAAGGGTGATGCGCGACGCGTCGAGAGCGCGTAACGCAAGACAACATGCATCATCACAAGAGCAAAACATATTCACACGCGCTACCATAGCATAGAGCATACATAACACACAGACCGACGAACGATTAATCATCGGATTTGAGCATGATTCCGATGACGCCGCTCATGTAGACCCACAACGAAATCAAAGCCAACGCGGCGGAGATCCAGAGGCACCACACGCCCCCTCGCACCAACAAAGCATCGTGCGCCCCGTTCGCGAAGAAGTCCGACCCGTCTCTGACGAGTAATAACACGCTCAGCGCCACCATTTGCGTCGCCGTCTTGTATTTACCGAGATTATTCACCTTGACGGCGGCGTGCGCCTCGCCGCCCTTCGCCGCGCACCACTCTCGCAGCGCGCTCATGGTGATCTCGCGTCCGATGATGACGATCGACGGCACCGCCACCGCCCACGCCGCGACGCCTCGCGGCGCGTGCGTGCACAGCAGGCACAGGGACGCGGCGACCATGAGCTTATCGGCCACCGGATCCAAAAACGCGCCGAACGCGCTGCTCGCCTTCAACCGTCTCGCCAGGTATCCGTCCAACCAATCCGTGATCGCGGCGCCGATGAACATCGTCCCCGCGATCGGCGCCGCGTTCGCCAGATCGCTGTAATACACCGCCGCGAGCAGCGGCACCGCGGCGACGCGCAGGAGCGTCAAAAACGTCGGGAGCCACCGCAGCGCGACGCCGCGCTCCGCGTTCGCCAACCCGTACCGCGCCGCCGCGTCGTCCGCGCCGCCGCTCGACGCCCTCGCGCGCGCGGACGATCGCGATCGCGATCTCGCGGGCGCGCGCGGCGCCATCGCGCGCGTCGTCGCGCGAGATTCGAGCGACGCGACGCGTTCGCGCGCCGGGGGAACGGCGGACGCGCGCGCGAGGAAACGCGCGCTGGAGCGTCGCGCGTCGCGCGTCGACGCGCGACGGGGCGCGGAGAAGGCGCGGGAGACGACGCGGGGGACGCTCGCGGGCGAACGCGCGCAGAGCATGCGCGGCGCGACGATGTGTGCGGCGGCGGCGAGGCGGCGGCGTATTTTACAAAAGCGAGTCGATCGGTGCGTCGAGCGACGGCGCGACGTCGACGGGCGGCGACGCGACGTCGATGGTTTCGACGCGTTTGAGCGCGTCGAGGACGACGGACGGGGGCGGGATGACGGAGAAGACTTCCAACGGCGCGGGCGCCGCGCGCGCGGCGTCGTCGACGGCGTCGCAGAGGACGAGGGACGGGCACGTTTGGACGCCCAAGCCGAGCGCGACGCACGGAATGTCGACGTTGACGGTTTGTCCAGGGGATAAAGCGCCGACGCGCACCGCGCGCGGACCGTCGATGTAGACGCCGGAGACGACATCTTTGACGCGGACGACGCAGGCGTCGGCTTTGATGGGCGCGAGGGCCTCGACGGCGGCGCGCAGGATGAACGGCGTTTCCGCGTACACCGTGCTCACGTCCTCGGCGTCGGGCGGTCGTGGGTGGACGATGATCGACTGACGCATCTTCGCCGCGACCGGGGAGGGAGCGGTCGATCCCGCGCTGCCGGCGGTGATGACTTGCGTCTGCAACCGGCCGGGATCGCCCATGGCGCCGCGCCAGCGGAGCTCGAGTTTTCCGAGCTGTGTCTGCGGCGTCAGCGGTTCCTCGCTCGCGTTCGCGCGCGTGATTTCGAAAAGATAGTGCGCAGCCCCGGTCGATGGATCGAGGCGATACACCGCGCGCTTACCGAGCGAAGGTAAACCGGCGTCCGGGGAGTCGTCGACGCCGTGGAGCGTCGCCGCGGCGCCGCCGAATTCTGGCGTCATGTCCTTCGCCAAGATCCCATCCACCGTATCGAAGCGCGCGCTATCGAGCAACAACGCATACCTCGTCGTATTTTCGATGCACACCTCGAGAAACGCGCGCCCGCGCGGCGCCGCGCGAACCTTCGTTCGCACGCTCAGCGGATTCGCCACGTTGAACTTGAAATACTGCGGCGAATACTTCCGCTCCCCCGCGGCGTCGTAATACGTCGCCGAGCACACCAGCGTGTGCGCGCCGAGCTCTTTCAAATCCTTCGTGACGATCAAATCCACCTTCTCCCCCGGTCGCAGCGTCTCAATCGGCGTCTTCGTCCCGTCTCGCAGCGTCGTTCGCCGCGTCTCCGTCTGCAGCTCCACCTTGATCCCGATCTCCCGCGCCGTCCCGCTCGCCCCGCTCGTCGGCTCTGAAAAATTCCCAAACGTCACGAACGAGCTAAACCGTTCGCCCAGCGCGACGGCGCCGAACGATTGCGGCAGCGTCAGCTCGCCGCTCGTCGTCTCGCGTTCGCGTCGTCGCCGCGCGTCGTCGTCGTCGTTCCGTCCCGCGTCCGCGTCCGCGTCCGCGCCGCTCGCTCGCGCGCCGCGCGTCGCGCGCGCGTCGTCACCGTCGTCTCCGTCGTCGATCGCGCGTCCCTCGCGCGCGCCCGCGTGTTCGTACGCCGGCGCGCGCAGTCGCATCACTCGAAACTCGCATCGCAGCGCGCCGCCGTCGCGCGCTCGCGCGTCGCGCGCGCTCGCGCTCGCCGACGCGCTCGCCGACGCGCCCGCGCGCGTCGCCGCGTCCGCCATGCGCGCCGCGCCGCGAGACGCGCCTCGCGCGTCGTCGTCTGTCGACGCCGCGCGCGTCGATCGCCGCACTCATCGACGCGTCGTCCGTCGCGCGCGTCGACAGCGCGTCGCGGAGGCGTCGCGGAGGCGCGTCGATATCGCGTCGCGACGCCGCGGCGGTCGCGCGCGACGCGCGAGGTCGAGCGCGGCGCGAATCGCGCTCCAGACGCCGATTCCAAACCTACGCGGCGATCGACGATCTCTGACGCGTCGCGCGCGCAGAAGACGCGCGGCGCGGCGAGGCGCGCGCGAGGCGACGGACGATGTCGTCGAGGATCGGTAAGGCGATCCGGCGCGACGCGGTGGCGTCGCGGGCGCGCGTGTACGCCGAGGCGAATGATGAAAAGGCGCGCGAGTACTGGGACTACGAGGCGCTGAGCGTGCAGTGGGGCGAACAGGACGAGTACGAGGTCGTGCGAAAGGTGGGGCGCGGGAAATACAGCGAGGTGTTCGAGGGACGACGGACGGAGAGCGGGGAGAAGTGCGTGATCAAGATTTTGAAACCGGTGAAGAAGAAGAAGATCAAGCGGGAGATTAAAATTTTGCAAAATCTGGCGGGCGGCGTCAACGTGATCAAACTGTTGGACGTCGTGCGAGAACCGTCGACGAAAACGCCGAGTTTGGTGTTTGAATACGTGAATAATACAGATTTTAAAGCGTTGTATCCGACGCTGACGGATTACGATATTCGGTATTACATCAACGAATTGCTCAAGGCGTTGGATTTTTGTCACTCGCAGGGCATCATGCATCGAGACGTCAAGCCGCACAACGTGATGATTGATCACTCTAAGCGAGAGCTGCGTTTGATCGATTGGGGGCTGGCGGAGTTTTATCATCCCGGGAAGGAGTACAACGTTCGCGTGGCGTCGAGGTACTTTAAAGGTCCAGAGTTGTTGGTCGACTTGCAAGACTATGACTATTCGTTGGACATGTGGAGTCTCGGGTGCATGTTCGCGGGGATGATTTTCCGAAAAGAACCATTCTTCGCCGGTCACGACAACTACGATCAGTTGGTGCGCATCGCCAAGGTGCTCGGAACGGACGAGTTATACGCGTACTTGAACAAGTACCGCATCGAACTCGACCCGAACTTTGAGACGCTCATCGGGCGACACTCGCGCAAGCCGTGGAACAAGTACGTCACGGCGGAAAACCAACACCTGGTGAGCACGGACGCGATCGATTTCCTCGATAAGCTGTTGCGCTACGATCACCAAGAGCGCATCACGGCGAAGGAGGCGCAGAGCCATCCTTACTTTGACGTTTTGCGACAACGTAAATAAATTCGAGAGTCCTCGAAGCACGCGAGAGGCACAGACGAATGGAATTAGCGGGTAGAGATTAGTTCGCAGGGCGCGTCGCACCATCACGCCCTCTGACGCGCAAACGGCCGCCTTACATCGACACGGTTTGTAGTATTCCAACGGAGCAAGATTAGCGCACGAGTCACTTGCGACCTCCACTTTTTTTCTTATTCTTCTTCTTGCCGCCGCCGCGTCCGCCGGCGACGGTATGCGGCTTCGGAATCGTCGCGGAATCGTCTGCAATTTTCGTCGCAGCGATATTCTCGGTGATCGCTTCGACGTCCTCGTTCGACGCCGGTTCAAGACTTTCCAACGCGTCTTTCGCGTCGCGCGCCACCGCCGGCGGTTCATTTTCGCTCGCTTCGATTTCAATCTCGTCCGCGGTCGCGGCGATTTCGGCCGCCGCCCGCTCTTCCACCGCCGCCGCCTTTTCAACCACGATCTCGTCCGCGACGCTCATCGCCTTCACCGGCGCGCTCTCGATCTCAATCTCGATCCCCGCCGACGAGCTCTCGCGTTCAAACGACGGCGCGCTCTTCGGCGCGTCCCGCCGGCAATACAACTCCCCGTCAAACTTCACGAACGTCGTCAAACTCAGCGCCACCCCGCACGTCGCGCACTTAAAACACCCCGCCCGGTGCCACTTCTTCCCGTCGACGTCCACCGACTCGATCGGGTACGCCGCCTTTCCGCACCGCTCGCACGCCGACCGCGTCAGCGCCGCCGTCGCGCTTCCCGCGGTCCCCCCCGTCGCGCGCGCCGTCGCCGACGTCCCGCGTCCCGTCGCCGCACCCTCCGTCTCCGTTTTCACCCATTCCCTCGCCGTCGTCGTCCGTCGATTCGCGTACGTCGCGATCTCCAGCGCGTCCGCGCCCAGCGCCGGCTTTCGCCGCACGTCGCGCTCCAGCGCGTGCCGCCGGCAGTACACCTCCTCGCCGATCTTCACGAACGTCGCGATCGCGCACCGCGCGCCGCAGTCCGCGCACTTGAAACACGCCGCGTGGTACCGCGTTCGCGCGTCGACGTCGACGCTCTCCGCGTCGTACGCCGCGCGTTTACACCGCGCGCACGAATGCGCGCGCGTCATGAATCCGTCGACGAAATCGCGCGCGATCGGCGTCGCGCGCGTCGCACGGGCGCGAAATCCGGCGCGAAGACGCGCGGGTTCGAGCGACGCGCGGGTTCGAGTCGACGCGGCGCGTCGGATCGCGACGCGAGCGACGAAACCGCGCGTCGATCGATGGCGATGGATGATTCGCGACACCGCGGCGCGAACTCGCGATGCGCGCCGACGACGACGACGCCGGCGACGCGCTTGGGCGTCCCGCGGCGTCGTCGTCGACGGCGCTCGACGCGTCGGCGCGCGCGTTCGCGCCGACGACGCGCGGACGCAAGGGCCAGCGCGCGGACTTTCTGCTGTGCTTCGCGCCGCGCGAGCGACCGGAGGCGCGCGCGACGCGGCGCGAACGACGCGGCGCGCGCTCCGAGCGCGAGGCGAGACGACGAAAGCCGCGAGGCGCGCGCTCCAGCTCGCGGGCGCTCTTCTTGCAGGCGAATTTTCGGTTTTTGGTGGCGGACAGCGCGGATCTGCGCGCGAGCTCGAGGGACGCGGATCGCATGGCGTCGTGGGAGGACGTCGTGCGCGTGGACGTGGCGAGCGCGGAGGCGTTTTCGTGTCCGGTGTGCCTGGAGGACGGCGCGGGGGCGATCGCGCCGCAGACGACGACGTGCGGACACGCGTTTTGTTTTCCGTGCGTCGCGCGGCACGTGCTGACGACGAGGGACCGGGGGACGCCGGCGAAGTGCCCGATGTGTTTCGCGGAGATTCGATTGGGGGATTTGCGGTCGGTGTCGCGGCGGTTGATCGCGCCGCCGAGCGCGGGGAGGACGCAAAAGTTTGCGTTGATGGCGCGGAGACGGGATTCAAACGTACCGGCGCGACGCACGGCGAAAGGGACGCCGCCGCCGGCGTCGGAGGCGTGGCCGAGAGCGCTACCGGATTGTGGATGCGACGCGTTCGCGAAGTACACGCTCACGAGCGAGGAAGTCGCCATCGCGACGCAAGAGTTGGAATCCCTCGAATCGTACGTCGCCGTGTTGACGGAGCAAAGCGAAATCGACGCGGCGAGCGAGTTGCCGTTCGCGCTGGCGTCGATCGACGCCCTAACGCGAAGGCTCGATCGATGGGTGGAGCGGCGATGCGCGAGCGAGGGCGTGGCGGCGCCCAAGCCGCGGGCGCCGCCCGCGGGCGTCGTCGCGCCGACGCCGGCGCCGGCGCCGAAAAGTACGCCACGCGAGGAGGCGTTCCCGTCGTTACCACCGCCGGGGAAGAATATGGCGTATTTGAAAGGTTCAAAGGTGCGCGTGGAATCTGCGTTCACGGATGACGAGGACGAGGACGAGGACGAGGACGAGGAATCGGATTCCGAACCGTCCGCGGAGGATTCTCCCGGTGCGAGCAAGCGTGAAGCCGACGCGACTACCGTCTCGCGACGGACGCCTCTCACCGTATCGACGTCGTCGCCACCGACGGTGGCGCCGACCGCGACGCCGACGAGCGATCAGCGAACGGATGTTTATTACTTTTACCAAGCCCCAGATGGTCAGCAAGTTTTACTCCACGGCGCTTGCATGCGCGTACTGCTGGAGCAATTCGGTGCGTACGAGGCGCTCCCGCTCGAAATCGAAGGTACTGTCATCGAGCTCGAGCATCGAACGCAAGACGAAGACGTACGTCGACGCGCCGCGCATTTGCGCCACTTGCCGCTGACCACGGAATTTGTGATGGTGGAACTGGACATGAAATCACTCGTTTCAAAGAAAGTCTTGGACGGACCAGCGGGAAGTGAGTTACGACAGCGAGCGAAGCGACGTTCGCAGAAGAACGCGGCGGCGGCGCGCGCCAAGGCAAAGGAGAAACGCGCTGAGGCGACGGCAAAGGTGAATTCACAACCGTTCGCTAAATCGATTCGCGACGCCATGCCGGAGTTGGGCGCCACAGGTAAATTGACGCCAGATACGTCCATGGACGCCGCCATCGCGAGACAACTCGCGGAGGAAGCCGAAGAGGAGATGGAGCGTATGTCGATGTACGAGGAAGTGCAAAACGCTCGCGGCCCGGGTGGGCGTTCGTTTTCCAACATCGTTGGATTGGGCTTCGCCTCTGGGGGTCCAAGTTTGAACTTCAACACGGAAAGTTTCGGACCAGCACTCGGTTCATCGGCGCCGGTGGCGCCGCCACCCCTATGGGGTGCCCGCGCGGCGGCGCTGACGGAGACTGCGATCGAAGGCGATTCGTCCCGCTCTGGGAAGAAGAAGGGGAAAAAACAAGTCTTGTTTAGAATGGGCTGATAGCATAGCGACGTGACGACCAGGAAAGATTTAGAGATGTAGTAAATTAAACTTCAAAAAAAAAGAAGAATGAATGTGGAAAGTGATCTACGCGGATGCGACTTCAGCTTCGTCGGTCGAAGACATATCAAGGGACTGACCGACGCCGCCGTAGTTGACGCTGGAATAGTCGGCGGAAAATTTGCGCGATGACAAACTCTTGAGATGACTTCGTCTGTAGTTGTCAATCGCCACACTGATGTCTTGCGGCGACATTTTCTGCTCGCGCAAACATGCGGCGGCGAGCTGAAGGGACGGTTCGAGGGCCTCCGGAACGACGGCTTTCGCGCCCGCCTTTTCGAGAATCAAACCACCCTCGACGCCTTCGGCTCTTACGTACGTGTGGATGTTGCTAAAGTTCTTCGTCAACGACCACACGGCGCGATAGTTCGCGGCCGGCGAACTGAGGGCGACGATAGCACAAGACGCGCGAGCGGCGCCGATGGCTCTGAGCACTTCAGGCGAGCCCGCATCGCCGAAGTATACGTTTTGATCGGCGGCGCGACCTTCGCTGACGATTTCTGGATTCACGTCCAACGCTACGAATGGAATCATATTCGCACTGAGAATCTCGCCGATAATCTTGCCGTTACGGCCGTACCCGGCCAAAATGACGTGACCTTTCAAGTCGTCCACTTCGTTTTCCTTTGGTTGCAGCGTAGCGACGTTACCACTCTTCCACACGTCCTTCATGCTGTTACCGACCTCGGCGAGGTAGGGCGTGATGGCCATCGTAAGCACCACAGCCAAGTTGAGCTGCGTCGCGAGATCAGGGCTGAATAAACCGACACGAACCGCTTCGGCAAAAGTCACGAAGGCAAACTCTCCGCCAGGACCGATGTACATACCGGCGCGAATACAATTCAAGAGCGACAACCCGAACATGGGACCGACGGCGGCGACGACGGCGATTTTGCCGATTAAGATCGCCGCCATCATGCTCACTATGTTGCCCGCACTCTGCGTGAACGTCATCGGGTCGATGGTCATCCCGACTGTCATGAAGAATAAACCGAGCAGAAGCCCTCTGAACGGCGCGATATCGTTTTCGACTTGTAAATGAAATTCCGTCTCCGCCAAAAGTAAGCCAGCCAAAAACGCGCCGAGCGCCATGGATAATCCTAGCGACTGCGTCAAGAGCGACGTGCCGAGCGCAACAAACAACGTCGTCGCACTCATGAGCTCGGCTTGGCGCAATTTTGCGACGCGATCGAAAACTGGTCGTAAAACCACGCGACCGAGACCAATGATGGAAACGATGGCGGCAGCCGTCTTTACGACGGCTTTGAGTAACGAGCCGCCGATGGCAGTAAGACTCCCGCTATCGGGACCAGCCAATAACGGAACGAGCATGAAGACCAAAACAACAGTTAAATCTTGAAAAAGCAACACGGAAAACGTCGCGCGACCGTGGCGACTCGCGGACTCGCCTCTGTCGGCGAGCACTTGCAACGCAACGGCGGTGGAAGAAAACGCGAGTCCCAAGCCAACAATCACCGCTGGAGGTATGGCCAACCCGCACGCAACGGCGACAGCGGCACCAACTGCGGTGCTCAGCATCATCTGCGACGAGCCAAGTCCGAAAATATACTTGGCCATGGACACGAGACGATCATACGAAAGCTCGAGACCGATGTTGAAGAGAAGGAAAACGACGCCGAATTCGGCGAGCACCTTGACTTGTTCGACGTGCTGGATGATTCCGAGACCGAACGGACCGACGAGGGCACCACCGACGAGGAACCCTAACACGGGTGAACCGCCCGGAATTTTGCTCACGATTGTCACCGCGAGCACGGACGTGAACAAGAGCCAAAGTAAATCTGACATGCCTGTTTCTTCGGCTTCGTGGGCCGCGTGCGCAGCCAATTCGCGCTCACTCGCCGGAACGACGCGTTCGATGATGTCAGCCGCACCTCGTCGCAACACTCCCGTTGTTGATTTCGCCGCGCTGCCTGCTCGGACGAGCGAAGTTCCAATCTGCGCACGCACCGCCTTGCATTTCGGCATAGGAAGCATCAACGTCGCGGTGCCCAGCAACAACAAGCCGGTGAAAATCTTTTTAATGATCGTCTCTTCCGTCGGTCCATCTTGTTCGGCAGTGGAGAAGTAGCCCGCGGGCATGAACTTACTCGACTTTTTCACCGATTGGTCGTCCGTGCCCTCCGCAGCTTCTTGCGCTTCCTTCTCTTCCACCTTTTCCGCGCGCTTGACCGCGAGTTCTTGCACCGCCTCCGCCTTGATGTCTGCCTTGGTCTTCGCCGACATCATTTCGGTTACGGACGCTTCGTCGAACTTGACGCCATCAATTAACGCTTGTTTATCGTTGATCTCCTTCTCGAGAGCCCCCACGCTCTCGCTCAGCGCCACCATGGCTTGCATCTTTGACGCAACCTTCTCCATGGCTTGATCCGCGCTCTCGTGCGCGCTCAGCGACAACTGCAACGATCTCTGCGCCTTCGTCGCGCACTCCTCTGCGAACGCCTCGCGCTTCGTCAATTCCGCCTGCGTTTCTTTACGAACAAAATCCGCAGCCTCGAACGCCGACTTTGAGCGTTCGCTCGCCTCGGCGAGGCTCAAATCGTCCTCGTCCCACCACGACGTCTCGGGAAGCACGCCCATCTTTCGCGCCAACGTCTCCGCATCGGACTCTTTGTTCGGGCGCTTAAACTTGACCACACTCAGGACGTCATCACTCTGTTCCGCGCCGTCTTCGGAGGGCACCAATCGCGCCTGCACCACGGCTTCTTCCACTCGCCGCATACGTTCGGCGACGGCGTCCGAAAGCGCCACAGCTTCCACCACCGCCTTGCTCGCCTCTTGCGCGCTCTTCATCGCGCTCGTGGCTAACTCATCGTCCTTCTCGTACGCCTCCGTCGCTAACACCGCCTGTTCAGCCATGGCTTTCGCCTGCGCCTCGCCCTCCGCGCTGTCCGCCTCCGCCGTCTTCAATCGCCGCGCCCCCTCCCGCTGCTCCTCTCGAAGCCTGCTAATCTCCCTCGCCATCGCCTCCGCCTCATCCGCCGTCATCGGTTTCAACGGTTCCACGTCCTGTTCGCTCGCCCAGACGCGCGCGTCCCGCCCTCTCGTCGCGCGCTTCGTCGTCGCCCGTCGCGCGCGTCCCCCGTCTCTCCCCGCCTCCTCGCGCGTCGCTCCCGTCCTCGCCTCCGCGCGCACCACGCATCGTCGTCGTCCGACGTTCCCATCGCGTCGCCCGTTCCCGCGGCTCCGCGCCCGCGTCGCTCGCGTCGCCGTCGCCGTCGTCGTCGTCGTCGCCATCATGTTGACGTTCGCCCTTCGCGCGTTCCGGCGCTTCCGCTCCCGGAAACGACGCGCGCGCGCCGCGTCGACGGTCGCGCGCGCGCGTCCGACCTCGCGCGCGTCCGTCGCGCGCGCCGGGGCGTCGCTCGATCGATCGCGCGTCGCGCGATGCCGCGGCGGCGACGTTGGTTTCCGGGTTTTCGCCCCGTCCACTGCGAACCAGTGAGAGGTCTACTATACACACACTCGAGGTCTCATATCGATCTCTACATGCGTACTGTACTGTGTACACGAACGTAGTGTAGACGCCATATACCCATGCCGGCGCGACGACGCGACGACGCGCGCACGCCATCGCGCGACGCGCGGCGACGCGACGCGCGCGATGCCGATGCCGCCCGACGACGCGCGCGCGCGCGAGTCGCGCTCCGACGCGATGCGCCCGCTCCACCACCCGCTCGCGCCGTGCTCGATCGCGGAGTTTGAGCGAGCGACGGGAAAGGATGTCCTCGCGTGCGTCCTGCGACGCGACGCGCGCGAGGACGTCGCGAGGGCGCTCGCGTCGATGCAGTGCGAGGAACTGCGCGCGATGTGCGACGCGATGAGCCTGCGGAAGAGCGGGACGAAGGCGGCGCTCGTGAGGGCGATCGTGGGGCAGATGGGGAGAGGATTCGCGAGAGGGACGACGCGGCGAGGCGACGCGGCGCGAGCGACGCTGAGGATGGTGCGCGACGGGGCGGGATGCGCGTTCGAGGACGCGTTCGTGTGCGTCAAGGCGGGCGAGGAGGAATCGTTCGCGACGGCGAGCGATCAGGCGAGCGCGGGGAGGGTTTGGAAGGAGCGGTACGCGTTGGCGAATTCGAGCGTCGACGGATATTACTCGACGGAGACGTCGAGGGCGGAGCGAGCGTACCTGTTGTACGACGCGGTGTACGAGGAATTGCCGCTGAGTAAACGGCAGTGGATCGATGCGATGGATTGTCCGATGTTGCCACCGGCGCGGTTCTGCGGTGAGGGGCATTGGTCGAACGATCCCAGGGCGAACGCGCGGGCGATGGATAGGTTGTACAGCCTGTTTGGGCAACAGTCTCCGATAGAACAAGTGCACTCGTTGACGCCGGATAGGATTCACGGCGAGGTCCGGAGAGCTTTAGCGTACGTCAGAGCGCCTGAGAATGCGTCGATGTTTCCGTACTGGCGATCAAAGCCGAAGTGTGCTGAAGACAGGCGCGCGACGGGTTCGACGGCGACGGCGCCTCCGGCGACGGGTTCGACGGCGACGGCGGGTCCACCGCCCACGGCTGACGAGAACGCTGGGATGGAAAATTTAAGTAGAGAAATGTTTCGACGCGAAGTCATGGCGCGCGCATCGCCGATGAAAAAGGCTGAAAAAGTATCTTCGCCAGAGGCGCGCGCCAACGCGCCGTCGAAAGCCGCGGCTACGCTTCCCGGAGCGACGCCGGAGGAGCGCACGTTCTATCAGCGGCTGGAGAAGGCTGATCCCATGTTTGAAATGATCTCATCGGCGGACAATCCATCGTATCCTCCAGGTGATTTAGTGAAACCACAAAAAGTCGTGCCGATGAAGACGTTCCAGCAGTGCTTCTTTTTGTCCGCCACGGATTTGCACTTTTTACAACGCGAGGACGAGTTCGAGCTGCAAGCGGTGTGCATGTTACAAAACGACGATGTGAAGGAACGCATGCAGTGGCCATTAGACGTATACCTCACCGCGAACGATCACACGTTGACCGTGGTCAAGCGATCGACGGTGAAGAGCGTGACCAAGTCGACGAGAGATCCCTCGGTGCGCATTCCCGCGTCTCGCTTGCGAAGCGGTTCAAATCATTTCCGCATGTTTCATCGAGATAGACGCGGCGCTTTCATGATCGCTTTGCGTATCGTACGAAAGCGCACGCTCGAAGAAGTCGCGGCGTCTATACCAAAAGCCGCCTCCGTGGGTGTGGCGCTACGAAATGCACTCAAACATCTCGGATTCACCGAGAAGGACGACGAAGTCATCATGGAAGACGTCGCGTTGGTCTCGCTACGTTGTCCAATTAGTGGGCAAGTTTGTCGCAATCCGGCGAGATTATCTTCGTGCGTTGGCTTGCATGCGTTCGACGCGGAGAGCTTTTTGCAACTCAACACGGTGAGTCGAAAGTGGTGCTGTCCGGAGTGTGGTAAAAAGGGCGGTCCGTCGGATTTGCGCGTCGACAGCTTCATCAAGTACTGCGTGGATAAAGTTACAGAACGAGCGTTGAGCAAGGTGAGCCGAATAGAGATAAACAAAGACGGACATTGGCGTCCTCGCGAAGATGCAGGCGCGCCCCCGTTAGATGCATCGCAACTGAGATGGTACGCGCCGGTGATTTCGGGTTACAGCGTCACTTGGAAACTCGACGGCGACGACGGAAGTCCGACGAGCACGGCGACGAAAGTCAACGGCGTCACCGTCGCCGAAACACCGAACGTGGAGTCGAAAGAAACGATCGAGTTGGTGAAAACTGACGACGACGGCGAGGACTCTGAACTCGATGAAGAGGAAGAATATCGACGAGCGATTCGCGAAGCCGCGGAATTTTGCGGCGCGGGCGGCGCGAGGGCGCCGGGTAAGAGGAAACGCGAACCCGACGTCATCGTGATCTCTGATTCAGAAGACGATAACCCCGTACAACGAAGTGCTGCGACTCAGTCGACGACGAAACGTCCGAAGTGTAAGCCGTCGTCTGCGCTCACGGCGCGACCTCCCGGCGTCCCTCGTTCCGTCGACTCGCTCAGCCCGCGCTCGCGCGCGAGAGAGATCCACTTTCGAATGACACACAGACCGAACCCGTTCTGTCCTACGTCGACCGCGCCGCGCAATTTGTGATAAGAAACGTTACTTACATCGGGTTCTCGGGGTACACTTTCGCGATCGCCGCGACTAATCCGTCGACCTCCTTGGTCAGCGTCACCTGACTCGCCAGGCGCGAATTCGCGCCCAACCCCGCCGCGACGTCCTCTAGTTTATCCATCTCCAGCGCGTCCAGCGCCGGGAGCCGCTTCAAGAATGCATCGGGAATCACGACGTGCGCGTCCGGTCCTCGATCGATGCTCATCACCGGCACCGCGGATTTCATCGTCGCGTCTCGCGCCAACGCGCTCGCCAGCGTCTCGCCCTCGCGCGCGTCGATCGTCGCGCGCACGCCGTCGCGCATCACCGTCACCGAGATCCTGCGCGCGACGCGTCATCACCGCGCGCGCTCGTCAGTCGCGTCGTCGCGTCGCTCGCGCGCTCGCGCGCGTCGTCGTCGAACGCCGCGCGCGCGCGAGGTTTCCGCGCGCGTTCGCCCTCGCGCGTCGTCGAAGCGCGCGCGCGCGTCCGCGGTCGCGCGCGTCGATCGCGCGCGCACGCACGATGCGTATCCGCGCCCGAGCGGTCGCGCGAGCGCCGCGCCCGCGCGTCGGAGCGCCATGACGCGCGTCGATCGTGGCGTCGCGGAGTGCGTCGTCGGCGCGCGCGACTCCGCGACGCGCGCGACGCCGCGACGGCCGCGCGCGAGAGAGCGCGCGCCGACGACGCGGACGCGCGCGACGGCGGCATGCGCGAGAACGCGCGCGCGCTGACGAGCGCGCAATCGAGCGATGAGATGTTTGAAGTCATGGCGCCGCCCGGCGATGATTTCGACGCGTTCGTCGACGCGCCGACGCCCACGGGCGCGGTGAAGCGGCGCGCGGACGTCCACGCGGACGGTGATTGGCACCGGAGCGCGCACGTGTGGCTCGTGGACGCGCGAACGCGAAGCGTGGTGGTGCAGAAGCGAAGCGCGATGAAGGACACGTTTCCCGGCGCGTGGGACGTCGGCGCGGCGGGACACGTCGGCGCGGAGGACGGCGGATCGTCGAGGCGAACGGCGCGACACGAGCTGGCGGAGGAGCTCGGGGTTGAGTTAGAGCGCGAAGACGCGCTGGTGTTTCAGTTCACGGTGCCGGCGGCGCAGGCGTCGTTCGGGGGGTGTAACTGTTTCGAGGACGTGTACTTCGCGCGATGGACGCGACGGGACGAAGGCGAAGACGACGAGGATGAATTCGCGATCGGTTTGGCCGAAGTCACGGCGACGAAATGGATTGAATTCGATGCGTTAGAGCGCGCGTTGGCGGACGCCGCCGCGCGCGTGGACGCGGTCGGGGCGAAGGGGCCGTACGAGTACGTGCCTCGCTCGCCGCTGTATCGCGAGCTCTTCTTCGAGCGGCTTCGCGCGTTCGTCGCCGACGCCGACTGCGACGCCACCGCGGCGTAGCGACCGTTCGTAAATCGCGGACTATATTATTTAGATTGTAGTCACGATTAGCCGTTAGTCAGACGTCGCGTCGCGTCGTCGCGTTCGCGTTCGCGTTCGCGTTCGCGTTCGCGTCGAAATCATTTTTTTAAATCTGACAGCCAGATCGCGTCACTCCTCGCCATGGTCGCCGACGCCTTCGCCGCCCTGCGCGCGGCGCAGAAGCCCAAAAGCGACGACGGCATGCCGTGGGTCGAGAAGTACCGCCCCAAGACCCTGGACGATCTCGTCGGGAACGACGACGCGGTCGATCGCATGCGAACCATGGTGCGGAGCGGCTTCATGCCAAACTTGATCTTTTCCGGTCCCCCGGGGTGCGGGAAGACGTCCGCGATCGGCGTGCTGGCGCGAGAGCTGCTGGGAGATAAATACAAGGAGGCGGTGCTGGAGATGAACGCGAGCGACGAGCGAGGGATCGATGTGGTGAGGAATAAGATTAAAATGTTTGCGCAGAAAAAGGTGACGCTCGCGCCGGGACGAACGAAACTGGTGATATTGGACGAGGCGGATAGCATGACGACGGCGGCGCAGCAAGCGATGCGAAGAACGATGGAGATTTACAGCGCGACGACGCGGTTTGCGTTGGCGTGTAACACGAGTGAGAAGGTGATCGAACCGATTCAGTCGCGGTGCGCGATCGTGCGGTTCGGGAAACTGACGGACGCACAGGTTTTGAAGAGGTTGATGACCGTGGTGGAGGCGGAGAAGGTGACGTACGTGCCGAAAGGTTTAGAGGCGATCGTGTTCACCGCGGATGGGGACATGAGACAGGCGTTGAATAACTTGCAATCGACGGCGCTCGGTTTCGGGATGGTGAACGAGGAAAACGTGTTTCGAGTGTGCGATCAACCGCATCCGAACATCGTGCGAGACGCGTTTTCGTTCATTTTGCAAGGGAACGTCGATGACGCGTACGCGCGCTTGAAGTCGCTGCACGACCAAGGGTATTCGGTGTTCGACATCATCGGCACCATGTACCGAGTGTGTAAAAATTTTGACGATACGGCGATGCCAGAGTTCATCAAGCTCGAGTTGATTCGCATCATAGGATTCACGCATTTGCGCCTTTCCGAGGGATGCGCGACGATGATTCAGATCGGCGGCGGCGTCGCGCGCATGGTCGAGCTCGTGAGCGACGCGAAGAAGATGGGCGGATACAGCGCCGAGCTCGGCCTAGACGCGCTTTAGAGCGAGACGCGTCGGTCGTTTGTAGATTTCATGAAAATTTCGTTGTCATTCACACAGCGCACAAAAATCGATGAAAAATCCGTCGCATCGCGCTCAGAGCATCTTCATCTCCTCCCGTCGCGTCGCCTCGTACGTCCTCGTCAAGTTTAAGTGCGTCTTGATGCTCTCGAGCTCGATCTTGGCCAAATTCGCCCGTCTCCGCGCCTCGACCATGCGTTTAATGTGATCCTGATACTCCTGCGACGCGTACGCCTGCACCTCCGCCGCCGCCTTCGTACCACCGTCCCCGATGTAATGCAGCGTGATCGTCGCCAACACGCACTTCTTCGCCTCCTCCAGCATCTCCGCCTCCGCGTGCGCGTCCGCCCACTTATTCCCCAAGTGTTGCATCTGATGATACACCGCGTCGATGTCCTCCGGCACGATCCCCCCCAGCGCGGGTTTCCCTCCGCCGTCGCGCTCGCGTCCCGTCGTCCCCGCGCCTCCCGTCGGCGCCCGCGTCGGCGCTCTCGCCGCCGCCGGCGGCAACGGCGGCGCGCCTCGCACCGGCGTCGTCGCTCGCGCGCCCGCCGTCGCTCCCGACCCCTCTCGCGCGCTCCCGACGCGCGTCGCCGTCGCCACCGTCTCCGACGTCCCCATCGCGCGCGCCGACGTCCCGTCCATCGCGAATCGCGCGCGCGTCGTTCGAATCGCGCGATTTCGAATCGCGCGCGCGATCATCGAACGATTCGTCGCCGCGTTCGGTCGAATCGCCGCTCGTCGCGTCGCGCGCGCGTCGCCGCGCGGTCGCGGTTCGACGCGCGCGATCGCGCGCGCGAGCATCCGCGCGTCGCGCTGGCGTTCGCGCGTCCGCGCGACGCGCGCGGCGAATCGTGTCGTGCGTATGGCGCGCAGTCTGGGCACGCAGAGAGGTCGCACGCGTTTCCACACATAGAGTGTTACTAGTGATTATACGTGTTTAATGTACATACACAAGAGTAGATTTACGGCATATCGAAGATTCCGACGCTGCGTCACACACAGAGAGGTCGCACGCCGCGCGTCTCGCTCCACGCATATTGATGGGGTGTTACGAGTTACTCTACGTGTTTAATGTACATACAAAGGCGTATATTTACGGTATATCGAAGATTCCGACTCTGCGCAACACCCCCGATCCGCGTCAGCGATGATGGATCGGCGTCGTCGACGGCGAACGACGCGCGCGCGACACACGCGAGCGCTCCCGCGACGCGCGCGCGCGACCGCGAACGTACTCGAACGCTCGAACGCGCGATGACGCGACGCGGCGCGGTGACGGCGGCGACGACGGAGGAGGCGGATCGCGCGGACGACGCGGCGCGCGGCGAGGGTGACGGCGGTCACGTCGGCGGTCACGCTGTCGGCGGTCAGGGCGGCGGTCACGGCGGTCACGGCGGCGGTCAGGGCGGCGGTCACGGCGGTCACGGCGGCGGTCACGGCGGCGGTCACGGCGGTCACGGCGGCGGTCAGGGCGGCGGTCACGGCGGTCACGGCGGCGGTCACGGCGGCGACGGCGGCACCGGCGGCGGTCACGGCGGCGACGGCGGCACCGGCGGCGGCACCGGCGGCAATGGCGGCGGCGGCGGCGGCGGCGGCGGCGGCGGCGGCGGCGGCGGCGGCGGCGGCGGCGGCACCGGCGGCGGCGGCACCGGCGGCAATGGCGGCGGCGGCGGCGGCACCGGCGGCGGCACCGGCGGCAATGGCGGCGGCGGCAATGGCGGCGGCGGCGGCGGCACCGGCGGCGGCACCGGCGGCAATGGCGGCGGCGGCGGCGGCGGCGGCGGCGGCGGCGGCGGCGGCACCGGCGGCAATGGCGGCGACGGCGGCTACCCCGCTGGCGGCGACGCCAACAACCCTTGCGAGGGCTTCTGTCAAGCGAAAACCGACGCGGACTCGTGCGACGCCATGCTCGCCTGCGAATGGGGCGACGCGGACTCGACGTGCGTCCCGCACCCTGAGTCGTACGCCATGGGCTTCGACGCGTGCCCGAAAACATTTGGCGAGTTACAGACGTTCGTCAAGACTACCAACAACATTCAGCAGATCAACCTGTGCGAAGTCGAGTGTTCGATCATCGACGACCAAAGTACGTGCGAGGCAAACGCTGGTTGTGAGTTCGACAAAGGTCCTGAAGGCGGCGATGAAGGCGGCGATGAAGAAGGCCTAAACCCTGAAGGCGGCGATGAAGAAGGCCCGCACTGTCGTCCGAAGTTCAACCTACCGGAAGTCAACACTGGCTGCGAAGACGCCTTGGCTCGCGTGGACGGCGGCGACGGCGGCGACGGCGGCGGTGGCGGCAACGGCGGCGAAGGCGGCGAAGGCGGCGAAGGCGGCGAAGGCGGCGAAGGCGGCGAAGGCGGCGAAGGCGGCGACGGTGACGGCACCACCGGCCACGACGGCGGCGATGGCGGCGACGGCGGCGACGGCGGCGGTGACGCCACCAACCCTTGCGTGGAGGTTTGTCGAGAGGGCACCGATGCGGACTCGTGCACTAGCATGATTGCCTGCGAATGGAACGAAGAGCTCCCGAACGGAGCACTTTGCGTCCCGCACCCTGAGTCGGACGCCATGGGCTTCGACGTGTGCCCGAGAACATTTGGCGACTTGCAGACGTTCGTCAAGGAAACCAACAAGCAGATCGACCTGTGCGACATTGAGTGTTCGATGAGCGACGAAGACCAAAGTGCATGCGAGGCAAACGCTGGTTGTGAGTTTGACGAAGGTAACCCTGATGACGACGATGAAGAAGGCCCGCACTGTCATCCGAAGCCCAACCTACCGGAAGTCAACACCGGCTGCGAAGACGCCCTGGCTCACGTGGACGGCGGCGACGGCGGCGACGGCGGCGACGGCGGCGACGGCGGCGAAGGCGGCGAAGGCGGCGACGGCAGCATCGGCGGCGGTGGCGGCGATGGCGGCGACGGCGGCGACGGCGGCGACGGCACCACCGGCGGCGATCACCCCATCGGCGGCGATGGCACCACCGGCGGCGGTTACCCCGTCGGCGGCGATGGCACCACCGGCGGCGGTTACCCCGTCGGCGGCGACGGCACCACCGGCGGCGGTTACCCCGTCGGCGGCGACGGCACCACCGGCGGCGATCACCCCGTCGGCGGCGACGGCACCACCGGCGGCGGTTACCCCGTCGGCGGCGACGGCGCCACCGGCGGCGGTTACCCCGTCGGCGGCGACGGCACCACCGGCGGCGGTTACCCCGTCGGCGGCGACGGCCCCGTCGGCGTTCCAACCTTGGGCCGAGCCCTCTACGCCGCCTCGAACTCCCACGCGTCGCTCATCGGCCCATCCGTCGCTCTCACCGGTTTCCTCGCCTTGGCGTTCGTCGCTTACAGGCGACACCGTCACGCGTCGCCCGAGGCCGCGCGTCTCCGACGCGGCGCGCGCGGCGCCTACGGCGCCGTCTGAGCGAAAATTTTGTCAACCCCGACCGTCGCGCTCGATCCTCGATCGCGCGATGATCACCGATAATCACCAATAATCAATCACCGCCGCGCGTCCTCGGTGCTCCGCGCGTGTGTTTTAATTTTAATCAGCTGAATCCACACGGACCTTTTGTCGTTCAACACCCAAAACTCATGAGCGGGCGCGTCATCACACCGCGACCGCGCGCGACGGCGGCCATGAGCGAGCGCGCGGCGCTGCTCGGACGCGGCGGCGATCGTCCGTCGTCGTCCCGCGCGACGCGCGACCGCGCGCGCGCGCGCGACGACGCGTACGACGTCGAGCGCGCGCGCGGCGAGATCGACGCCGACGACGGCGCGCGCGACGCCGGCGACGACGCGCGCGGCGGGAAGACGACTCGAGCGAGCGACGGCGCGGGAAGGGATGCGCGGCGACGCGGACGCGCGGCGTGCGTCGCGCTCGGCGCGATGGTGGCGGTGCTCGGGGCGCGCGCGCGAGGGACGGCGACGGGGGACGCGCGCGCGCGCGAGAGCGCGGCGCTGGGATTGACGCCGGTCGAGCGCGAGGCGTTCACGCGCGTTCCGGATAACGCGGGCGTCGCGTTGAACGGATGGTTGCACCTCGAGGATTGGTTCTTCGCGAACGGTGAGAGCACGTTGGTGGATTCGCCGCTCGGGCGCGCGCAGGGAAGGGTGTTGCCGCCGTTTTTCAATTCAGCCGAGGAGCTCGGTTTTTCGTGGTCGAGCGAGGGGGAGTTGGTGGCGAAACTCGCGAAGAAGTATGGGAATTTGAAGACTGTGAAGATTATGAACGCGTATCGATCGAGTTGGATGACGAACGCGGACGTGGAGAAGATCGCGCGAGTGGGATACAAGACGCTGCGACTACCTGTGAATTGGGCGGCGTTCATGGGCACGGAGAAAAGCCCGACGCGAGTGGTCGAAGACCCAAAGTATAGCGATCGAGCGCAGGTGACTGTCGATCAGATGACGTTGACGAACGTTCTTCGAATCTTGCACAAGAAGACTGGGGCGCGAGTGGTAGTCGACATGCACAACATGCCCGGTGGCAGCTCGGAGGGCACGTACAACGGCGTGTCTCCGCACCCACCGGCGTTTTGGGACGACGCAAAACTTCAAGACGTGGGTGTGAACGCGATTCACAGTATGTTCAAGTGGTACAACCACCTCACTGAGGATGATAAGGATTTTGTCGATGGCTTCACGCTTTTGAACGAACCCGCGCACTTGATGCCGGCGAAACGCGACGCGATGCTGGCATGGATGGAGAAGGCCATCTTTGCGTATCGTCAGCTCGTGGCGCGACCCCGCGAGATGTCGGGCAAGCGCGTGCCAAAGCTGTACGTCAATTTGATGGAAACGAGTGGGCTAGCAGTACAAGAGTACGGGAAACTCATGAGAAAGTGGTTCGATCGCGAAGAGCTTAGAACGTGGGCGGTATTAGACACACACTTCTATCTCGCTTGGGGAGTGAATGGATGCAAGTCTGGGTGCGCTTGGAGTTGCTCGGACTCGTCGCAACACATCACTGAAACCGTTCGATCTGCCATGGCCGGGCACATCGCGAAGGTGAAGCGCACGGCGGAGGACATCGGAGTGCACCAATTTAGTGTGGGCGAGTGGTCGCTCGCGACGCATCACGACAGCGCCATGGGCTGCGACGAAGATAGAGTGAAACATGCTGTGTACAGGGGTCAAATGCGAGCTTTTGAGGTCGCAAACATGCCAAACTTTTTCTGGGGTTGGAAAATGCAACGCGCTGGGAAGCATCAAGATTTCTGGAGCATGGAACACTTCCAAGCGTCCCTCGGCGCGTTTCACGACGACTCTGAGGTGAGTGGTGGTAACGTCACGACAAACGCTGGTCGAACCACACCGGCAGAACAGGCGCAAGCGTTGCCACGTCCGACGGCAGCGAGGCTTGGTGCATCGCAGGAAGACGCATCAGAGGAGTACTCAGATCCCATGACGCTGGCTGACGCGATGAAGGCAGCTACTTCAACGGACGTGTTACCTACGCCCGTGGCGCCGGCCTCATCTTCCCCAGTTCCAACCACCAGCCCGAACGCAGCGGAACAGCAGTCGCTGACTGGCATTGAGGCAGCTACTTCAACGGACGTGTTACCTACGCCCGTGGCGCCGGCCTCATCTTCCCCAGTTCCAACCACCAGCCCGAACGCAGCGGAACAGCAGTCGCTGACTGGCATTGAGGCAGCTACTTCAACGGACGTGTTACCTACGCCCGTGGCGCCGGCCTCATCTTCCCCAGTTCCAACCACCAGCCCGAACGCAGCGGAACAGCAGTCGCTGACTGGCATTGAGACGAACGCAACCGAGGTCAATAGTTCTAGCACATTGGGATTCGAAGGCCACGCGGCGCCCTGGGAGAAGGCGTCGAGAGGTTTACCGCCCGTAGATTTCACGCAAGAAAACCAGAACGGCGGACCGAATCGCGAGCAGAAGCATCACAAGAGCGACATTTCGGACGAGTTCGAAGAAGTCGAGCCGAGACACAGCAGTCACAAGGAACAACCGCAAGCTGACCGCGAGCAGAAACATCACACGGTGCGGCAGCAACCGATTGCTGCGCAGCCGACTACGTACCAGCAACCGCAGCAGACGGCCACGTATCAGCAGCCAGCGCAGCCGACTACGTACCAGCAACCGCAGCAGACGGCCACGTATCAGCAGCCAGCGCAGCCGACTACGTACCAGCAACCGCAGCAGACGGCCACGTATCAGCAGCCAGCGCAGCCGACTACGTACCAGCAACCGCAGCAGACGGCCACGTATCAGCAGCCAGCGCAGCCGGTACCCATGTCGGGATCGTCACAAAGTCGTCCAGCGCTTGCGCCGGCGCGCCAAGTGGTGCCATCTCGCTTTGCTCCGGCTGTGCAAGCCCCGGTCACTTCTTCGACAACTTCGGACAAGCCAATTGTGTACGCGAAAGATAGACACGATGGTTCATTTTGGGGCACCTCGTATGGATTAGACGCGCTCAAGCCTCCAGAAATTCATCAAAACTCGCTCATGATTGACGACGAGCAAAACGTGGACGAGACAGAATATTACGAAGAACCGCGCGAAGCTGTCGCTGCTCGCACTGGCGCCAAGTTGCCGACATACGCTGATGACGCGGCTGATCATTTGTATCACCACCGCTCGACGTACTCCATGCACGACGCCAAACATATGAAGCACAAGATTTCGTACGATCTCTTCTCCTCGAGCGCCTCCAAGGCGAGCGACTCGTACGACGATGACGACGACGACGTCGACGAGGACACGCGCGATGCACACGGACATGGACGAAAGAAGCATGATGAAAGCGTCGACTTCGAGGCTCTCGCGGAATCACAGAGTTTTGTCCCTAAAGAATCTTCCAAGCACAATAAGAATCCGTGGGACGACTCAGTTGAGCGCGCGCCGAAGAAGAAGAGCTCTCATCGCAGTAGTTCCGCGGACTTTGACGAAGACGACGACGAGGGTGACGAAAACCTTTCGACGCACGCTCAGCACGGTTCCTCGAAACACTCTCACAAGTCCAAAAAGCACGCATCAAAGTCGGACGCGTACTCCGCCGACGCTCTCGAAGAATCCTTCGCCGAGGACGACGTCGACCACGACCACGAGCACGAAGACGACGACGAGGGTATTCCAGCCTGGATCCAATGGGACGCCGCCACGGCCGCGTAAAGCGCGCAACATTCCTGTAATAGCTTTACACAACCAATCGTAGCTTCCCGCCCTCCCGTCGTTCCGCGCGTCGTCGAAAATCTCTCTGGATAACGAGAGATCGCCATCGCCGCCGGAGCCGCGCCCGCACACATCGCCTCGTCCGCGGATCCATCGCTGCCTCGCGCACACCGACGCGATGTCCACCTTGCGCGCCTCGACGCTCGCCGACGTCGCCGACGCCCGCGCGCGCGACGTCGTTCGCCGCGCGCGCGCCCAAAAACCGCTCGCGGCGTCCCGACGCCCTCGCGCGGTGCGCCGCGCGCCGTGCGCGCGCGCGTCGAGCGGTGACATCGATCCGCTCATGCTGCGCGCGATCCGAGGCGAAGACGTCGAGCGACCGCCGATCTGGATGATGCGACAGGCGGGGAGATACATGAAGGTGTATCAAGACTTGTGCAAAAAGCACACGACGTTTCGAGAGCGAAGCGAGACGGTGGATCTCGCGGTAGAGATCTCGCTGCAGCCGTACGAGGCGTTTAAACCCGATGGGGTGATTTTGTTCAGCGATATTCTCACGCCGTTGCAAGGGATGAACATTCCGTTCGACATCGTAAAGGGAACGGGGCCGATCATCTTCAACCCGGTGCGCGAGATGGACGATATCAAGAGCATCACGCCGTTGGAGCCGGAGAAGAGCGTGCCGTTCGTCGGGGAGTCGTTGAAGGTGTTGAGAAATGAAATTGGGAACGAGGCGACGCTGCTCGGGTTTTGTGGAGCGCCGTTTACGTTGGCGTCTTACATCGTCGAGGGCGGGACGAGCTCGCACTACAAGGTGATTAAGAAAATGGCGTTCGATTCGCCAGCGGTGTACGAGGCGCTCATGAATAAGCTCACGGACGCCGTGATCGAGTACACGCGGTACCAAGCGGACTCTGGGGCGCAAGTGGTGCAAATTTTCGACTCGTGGGCAAGCGAGTTTTCGCCCGCGGATTTCGAAGTGTACTGCCTGCCGTACCTCCAACGCATCGTCGCCGAGTGCAAGCAAACCCACCCACACGTGCCGCTCATCCTTTACAGCTCTGGAAGTGCCGGTTTCTTGGAGCGCTTAGCGACGACGAACGCGGATGTTATCAGCTTAGACGGGACGATTGACATGGCGGACGCGCGCGCTCGACTCGGTATGGATCAGGCGGTGCAAGGGAACATGGATCCGCTCCACCTCTTTGCGTCGCAAGATTTCATCACGAAAAAGGTGCACGAAACGATCGCCAAGGCTGGAAACAAGAAGCACGTCATGAATCTCGGTCACGGGGTCATGGTCGGCACCCCAGAGGAAAACGTTGGACACTTCTTCAAGACCGTTCGAGACTTCCGGTATTAAGCGCCGAGCGGTTTTAAGCGGCGCGCTCTCGCAAAGGCAACTGCGCAAAGGCGCGCTTTAGTTTGGAAATTGATTTAATTTGAAACTTTCTCATCTCATTCACAACCTTTTTCGACTACACACCTACTATTTTTTGGCGAGTGTCAAAAATCTAATACCCGGTGGCTTCGATCAACTGTTGCAAATCGCCGAGTTGCGCATTCGCCGCAGCCTTGGCCGCGGCAAACTTGGAGTTAGCCTCCTTCTTCTGCGCCCAGTACTCAGACGCCGCAGTTTGGCGCTTCGCCTCGAGCTCCTTCACGATCGCACCATGCTTCCACCCGATTTGTTCGCAGAAGTCGCCGAGCACGCAGAAACGGTGCCCCTCACCGAGGCGCAACACCTTGAGCGCTTCCGGAACGACCGCGCGCTTAACCTTGTCGTACGGCGCCGGGATGCCTTCGTACGCCTTGAAGCGTTCGAAAGCAGCCGCACCACGCACAGTCTTGTGCGGAAGCATACCGCGAACCGTCTTCCAGAAGAGTCGAGACGGCGACGTGTAGTGGTACGGACCCTTCTTCGGGTTCGTGTTCATCCTCTTGTTCTTGTAGCGGTCGTGCGCCATGCGACGACGAACCATACCACCGGACATGCAGATACCCTCGGTGCGAACCACAACCTATTCGTTACGCAAACCATCGCGCGTGCTTTCGTCAGTCTTCGCGTTCGTCGTTCGCGCGTCTCGCGCGTCAAAGCCCTAATCCGCCACCACCGATGCGACCGACATCCCATCGTCCCGCGCCTCATCTGCGTCTTGTCGACGTCCAACGCGCGCGCGAATCATCGCATGAATACCACCATATCCATCGCTCGCCATCGCGTCGCGCTCCGTCGCCTCCACGGTGCGCGCGCGCGACGCGATGATCGCGCGCCCAACGCGAACGCGCGCGCGTCGCCGAAATCGATACGCACCACGTGCTGGCCTTGCAACAACTGCTTGGAGACGATCGAGGCCAATCGCCCGAAAAGGTGTCCCTTGGCGTCGATGACGATAACCTGCGGGTGCGTCGCGCGCGCGTCGGCGTCAGTCTTCGCGCGTCGGCGTCGTGGTCGATCGCGAAACCCTACGCGATGCGGGGCGTCGCGTCGATGTCGCGCGCGTCGCGCGCGTCGATCGAGTCGATCGCGAACGCGCGCGATGTCGATGAAGACGTGCGCTTCGACGCGCTCGGCGCGCGCCGTACCTTGTCCATGGCGAGCGTTCGAGGGCGTCGCGTAAAGACGGATCGCGCCGCGGGCGTCGGAAGGTCTTTGGCACTTTTGACCATGTTATTATACGAGTCTCGGTGCGCAATGTGTCTGTTTTTATGGTATGAAAGATGTGTGATTGTATTTAACACACGGACTTTGTCCGTGGTCACCGCTGCGCGGCGGAGACTTGCCTGTGAAGCTGCACTAGGAACTCGCCGTAGGACGACGCGCCGGGCACGTTGGCCGCGCCTCGATCTTCGATGAGGTAAGGGAATAATTGCGTCTCACTCGGATGGCCTTGGATGACGACGGTGAGGGCGAGATGACGCGCGCGGGACGCCTCGGCGCGTATGTCGTCGACGACGGCGCGCGCGCGACGCGAGACGTCGGTGTCCAGATGAGGGAGGTTGCAGTCCACATCCGCGCTCGGAGGACCGCTAGGGCCGAACAAAGCGGCGACGAACTGTGGGTCGAGCATCTTTCCGAGCCATAAAAGCAGGCGACGACCGTCGTCGACGAGGTAGGCGCCGCGAGCGTCGATGCGCTCGCCCGCGAGGACGGTGCGCGGCGGCAAAATCACTCTGCCGTATTCGTCCTTCGTACCCGCTTCCTCGGGCATCGTGTGCAAGGCGTGCATCGTGGGATACAGCAGCTTTAAGATTTCTTCCGTCGAGGCAGACATGAAGTCGTACACAGCGGCGATCCGCGCGTCGACGGGGACGTCTCGCGGGCCGCCTCGCATCGCCGTGCTCTTGCTCGCGGCGAAGATCCACAACGGAAGTAACTTCATGCTCTCGGGGAAGATGAGCCTATTGAACGCTCTCGACGCTTGCGTGTTGAGCAACTTGAACTCACGCAACGTGGCGACAACCTTGGTCATCACCGCCTCGCGCGCATCTTGCAATCGCACCGTGAGCGTGCGCTCGGCGCCCAAACGCGCCATGAACGCGCCCATGGCGCCGCAGTCCACGGCGCGGTACATCTCTGCTATGTCTGTCACCACCGGAACCGCCATCGTGTGCACTCGGATTCTGCGTTCTCCTTCTGCGGAGGTGTACAGTAGCGCACACTGCAAGTACGAAATGTTCGTGCTCGGAACCACTTCGTCGTGCGCGATGTGCACGCCGTACGCCTTGTCGCCATCCGTCGCCGGGAGCGCGAGCAAGTCCATCGATCGAATGAAGAAGTGCCCGTTGAAGGCGCAGATTCTAAATCCTCGACTGCATCGCACCCGACACACGGCTTCCCACGCGGTGAAGCGCGTGAGATTATTTTTCAGCTCCTTTGCGTACTTTACCCCATCCTTGTCCGGCGTAAAACCGGGGTAATGTCGCAACTCGCCTCCGGTGAACTTGCACAACACCGCCATGGAGGCCAAATCAGAGAACGGCGCCGCGATGGTGTACAAATCGATACAAATCTGATGTCGTGAGCACTCTGCCGAGGTCTTCTTGAAGAAACCATCGACCGGGCCGCGAAGCAGGTGTTCCTTCGTGCTATCCGTGCTCGCTCGCGTGTCGTCGCGGTTGATCATGCGTCCCGCGCCGAGCGTGGGCAGGCAGGATTGGAACACGAGAAGCTTACCACCGATGTGAGACATAGCTAAGAACGCGGCTTGAATCGCCGGGCCCATGGCACTTTCCATGTTTTGCGTCTGCGCGTACGTATCGCACACCATGTCTAAAAATGCATCAATCACCGCGCGCGACTCGGCGAGATTCACCAGCAAGTCGTCTGGCATCGGACAAAACGGGTCGTCGAGCTCGGCGACTACCATCATTTGCGGCTGAGACTGATTCGCCTTCAGGCTATAAAAGTGTAACGTCGAATCGTACGTCAAGAATCCGACCCGCGTGCGCTCGCTCTTCTTCGACATGACGTCGAGGGAGTCCCGAATCACCTCCACCGTTTGTTTCAAAAAGCCGCTATTCACCGCCGTGTGCGACACGTCCAAGGCGAAGAAGTAGGACGGCGGCATCGGCGGTCGCACCATGTACTCTTGGCTCGCTAAAAATTCAACCGTTCCACTGTTCAACTCAGGGCGCTCGGCGATGTCTCGACGCACCCCGTTCGCGTCGAGCGTGCAAAAGTAATCCACCGGCACTTCGTTGGGCAGCGCGCACACGTTGCACCTAAATCGCCGCCCGCCGTCTGTGAATTGCACGAAAGGGTTTATGTAAGTTCGACATCTGCGGCATCGCACGATACCCGAGCTCCCGAAATGCGCCGTCTTCACCGTCGTCTCATCTCCAGGTCTGAGCGGCTGGACGATGCATCCCAGCGGCATGGCGAACCTCGTCTTCAAGCTCGGGCTCGACGGCAGCGCCCCGCACGTCAGACGCATGTACTTGGGATCGCACGAAAGCTCCAAGTTCGGACGCGCTTCGTCGTCGCCCGGTCGAGGAAACGTCGCGGGATCCATTCCAGCCTCCCCACCGGGACCACCGCCCGGACCGAGGTTCAGAGACGCGAAATCCTCCACAAAGTTCATCGCCGGCGCGCCGTAACCGCCCGCCTGCGGGTACCCTCCCATCGCGGGCATCCCCGGACCTGGCACCGGCGGCGGCGCCATCGCCCCCATCGGCGGTTGCGGTGCCATCCCCATCGGCGACTGCGGCGGATACTGCGGCGGATACTGCGTTGGATACTGCGTTGGATACTGCGGCGACTGCGGCGGCGCGCCGATCGGCGGCGCGCCAATCGGCGGCGCGCTCGCCGTCGACGGCACCATCCCCTGTCCGTGCGCCATCGCCGCCATCCCTCCCATCGCCGGCGGCGCGTGCATCCCTCCCATCGCGCGTCCCATCGTCACCGGCGGCGCGATCCCGGTCCCCGGCGCCCCCGGCGTCGGCGCGCTCGCGCTCGCGAATCCGCCGCCTCCGTCGAATCCGCCGCTCGATCCCATCGCCGGCGCGCCCCGTCCCGCGCCCGCGCGCGCGTCCGCCGCGACCGCGCCCGGCGCGACGTGCGTCTGACCGCCCGCGTGCGTTTGCCCGTTCGGTTCGCCCGCGCGCGCCGCGCGCGCGTCCGGCCCATCCATCCCGCGTCCCGGCGCGCCGCGCCAATCGTGCGTCGAACGCGCGTCGCGCGCGCCCGCGTCCGCGCCCGGCGCGCCGATCGGCGGCGGCGCGCGTCGCGGCGCGCCGATCGGCGGCGGCCCGATCGGCGGCGGCTGCATCGGCGCGTCGCGAAGTGCGGCGTCGGCAGATCGCGACGCCCGGCGCGAATGCGCGTCGCGATCGCGCCCCGCGCGCGCGTCGCGACGCCGCGCGCGGCGCTCGGCGCGATCAGGCGCGACCTCGTCGACCTGCCGGGCGATCCGACGCTCGTCGTGCACACGAACGTGGACATGGGGTCGAGGAAGCGCGCGTTCATGCTCGCGGCGAGCCGAAGCGTCGCGAAGACGCTGAAAAAGCCCGAGAGCTACGTCGCGGTGTGCGTCGTGGACCGCGCGGACATCGTCTGGGGAGGGTCCGACGACGACTGCGCGCTGTGCAGGCTGACGAGCCTGGGAGGGATCGATCTGGAGAATAACAAGGCGGTGAGCGAGGACGTGTGCGCGCTGTTGGGCGAGACGTTCGGAATCGCGGGAACGCGCGTGTACGTGACGTTCGAGGACGTGGCGCGAGAAAACATGGGATACGATTCGGCGACGTTTGCGGGGTGACCGGGGGGGGGAAGCGAGCGGCGAGGAAATCGCGGGGCGAGTCGACGCGCGCGTCGCGGAGACGCCGGGGACGTCGTCTAGCGCTAGCGCGCGTTACAATGTGTTACAATCAGCGAAACGCGACGCCTTCGTCGCGCGAGGCCTTCGTCGCGCGCGCGAACGAACTAAATCATGCGAAGCTTGACGATGTCGCTCGAGTGAGGAAACGCGTCGACGAGCAAGACGTTGGGATCGTCGTTCAACTCGTCCACGATGCCGTGCCAATAAATCACCATTCCGGGCCCGAATCTGTTGACGTATCCCTGAAACTGTTCCACGCCCTTCTCCACGTGCACCAAAGGATCGCTGAACGACGCCTTGGAGTCTATCCAATTCACTATTCGCCCGCGCACGGCGATCGGCACCTCGAGTTTGATATCCGGCGTCCGCGCGTGTCCGTCCGCGCGTAAATCCCGCTCCGTCACGAACGGTATCCCCTCCGCCGCGAGCATCTCCTCCAACAATTCCTCGTACTCCTTCCCCGCGTTGTGTCGCAGCGCGTCCACCGCCGGCGACGCGTGATGATCCCACGCCGTCACGCGTTCGACGTCCAACCGCAACCGCCGACACAGCTTCGCCCCGCGCGCCGCCGCCGGCGTCCCCGCCGCCGGCGTCGCCGGTATCTTCCCGTGCGGGTCCCTGAGCAGCGCCCCCACCGCCTTGTGCCCCACCCCGAGCAGGTGTTCGAGCAGCAACCGCATCAACTGACACGCCGGAAAGTCTAAGTTCTGCGCCACGCTGAACACATCCTCCCCCAGCAGGTACCGCCGCGCGTGCGCCTCGATCGCGCGCACCTGCCGTCCGTGCGCGGCGCGGATCCTTCGCGACGACTCCTGCGACGCGATGCTCACGAGCGCGTCGAGCGTGAGCTCGGGATGCGCCGCGCGAAGCGCGTCGACGTTCGGGTGGGCGTCGCACGGCGTCGCCGCGATCTCGCGTCGGATCGCCTCGTACGTCTCCAGCCGCATCGACGGCGCGGCGTTTTCGGCGCCGGACGCGCGCGGCGTTTTCGGCGCGGCGCGGAGTGGCGCGGCGCGGCACTGATCGACGCGTCGAACGAACGATTCACCGAACGATTCATCGATTCGCCGCGATGCCGCTCGAGATCGCGAGCGAGTTCGGCTGCGTCGTCGCCGCCGTCGGCGCGTGCTTCGTGCCGCTCGTCTACGGCGCGGTGCGCGTCGCGCGCGCGCGGAAGGCGCACGGCGTCGAGTACCCCGACCTGTACGCCCCGCCGGGACACGAAAAGAAGAAACAGTTCGACTGCGTGCAGCGCGGACACCAGAACACGCTGGAGAACTACGCGCCGGTGATCGCGATGGGGACGGCGAGCGGACTGGCGTACCCGCGGGCGTCGGCGATCCTGCTCTGCGTGTGGGCGGTCGGTCGCGTGGAGTACATTCGCGGGTACGCCACGGGAGACCCGGCGAAGCGACGGCTCGGGGGACTCGTGTCGCACCTGGCGGACGTGCCGCTGTTCTTCATGACGTTTTTCGCGGCGAAGAAGATCTTGGACGCGTGAGCGCGCGGACGCGGAGGCGTCGCGCGACGACGACGACGCGCGCGCTTTATCCGGCGCGACGCGACGCTCGACGCTCGACGCTCGACGCTCGATTTCGATCGGACGCGCGCGACGCGCGGCGCCGCGGCGTCGCGACGGCGCGTCGGAGTTTTCGTTTTGTTGTAATTTTGTTTGTTTCGGCGTCCATCGCGCGCGCGAATTCGCGTTCGTCTCGTCGCGCGCGTTCGCGGCGTCGGCTCGCGGTGCAACAGAATCGGACGGGCGACTCGTCGTCCCGTCGCGCGCCGCAGACGACCGCGCGCGCGCTCGCGATGCGCCGCACGGCGAATAACAACTCATCCGTCACGGACTTACAAGGTGCGAATCGCGCGCGCGGCGTCGATCGACGCGCGCGAAGCGACGAAACGCGGAATCGGAGTCTTGGGTTTTTTGGTGATTCGAGCGGTCGAGACGCGCTCGCGGCGCGCGCGCGCGCGGGCGTCGCGCGAGAACGACGGACTGACGATGCGCGCGATGTGGTCTGCGAAACGAACAGCGCTGATCGGGGAGGACGCGAACGATGGGAAGCCGAACACGATCGGCGGGTCGAGCGCCGATCTCAGCGGGGCGAGCGGGGCGAGCGAACCGCGCGTCGAACGCGTCTTCATCGTCAGTAATTCGTTACCGCTGAAGATGCGAGAGGACGCGGAGGCGGGGAAACCGTACGGACACAAGTATGCGTTCGAAAAGGATGGGGATAGCATTTACGATCAATGTCGGGAAGGAGCGGAGGCGAACGGGCAGTACGACGCGGTGATAAACGTCGGACAGTTGCCGATGCAAGTGCCGTTTGAGTTGCAAGAGGCGGTGGCGAACGATTTAGAGGCGAGATTTGATGCGGTGCCGGTGTTTTTGCCCGAAGATACCAAGGAGAACTTTTATAAGGGGTTCTGTAAACAGTATCTGTGGCCTCTGATGCACTACGTCTTGCCGATGTCGCCGTTGGATTCGCGATTTCAAAAACATCAGTGGCAGGCGTACATCGCGGCGAATAAGCGTTTCGCGGATAAGCTGATGGAAGTGGTGTGCAGTGATGACGATCAAGTGTGGGTGCACGATTACCACTTGATGCTTTTGCCGACGTTTCTGCGTAAACGCTTCAACGCCGTCAAGTGTGGTTTCTTTTTGCACTGCCCGTTTCCGTCGAGCGAAATCTTCAGAACGACGCCGAACCGAGATTTAATCCTGCGCGGACTTTTAAATGCCGACTTTGTCGGTTTTCATACGTTCGATTACGCTCGACACTTTTTGTCGTGCTGCACGCGGTTGCTCGGATTAAATCATAGGATGGAGCGCGGGTCGCTCGTCATCGACAACTTCGGCAGACTCGTGTCGGTTAAGATTTGTCCCACTGGCGTGAAGACGTCGCGTTTGCGAGATGTTTTAGACGCACAAATGTGCAAGGATCGTCGGAAAGAACTCGTCACCGAAATTGCGGGGCGCAAAATGTTGCTTGGTCTCGATGATTTCGACGAGTTCAAGGGAATCGATCAGAAAATCGCGGCGTTTGAACGCATGCTCGACGAACACCCAGAAATCGCCGAGCAAATTGTGCTGTATCAAGTGTGTAATCCACCTCGCGGAAGTGGGCGGGACATTGATGATTTGCGAGCGACCGTGGATTCGATGGTGGCGAGAATAAATGACAAGTATGCAAAGAATGGTGTCAACGTTGTGAAGTTTGAAGTGAGGCCCGTGCCGCTGCACGAGCGCATCGCGTTGTACTCAGTCGCGGACATCGCTGTGGTCACGGCCACGCGCGATGGTATGAACCTTGCGCCATACGAGTACATAACTTGTAGACAGGGTCCGAATGACGAGTCCCAGGGCACGTCCGATGGTTTCTCGTTGCCACGACAATCCTCTTTGATTATTTCTGAGTTCACCGGGTGTTCGCCGTCGCTCTCAGGGGCGCTTCGCGTCAACCCGTGGCACGAAGAGGATGTCGCGGATTCCATGTACAAAGCACTTCAAATGAGCGGTCACGAGCATGAAGCTCGTCATGAGAAGCACTGGCGCTACGTTAGCGAGCACCACGTCGGCTTCTGGGCGCAATCTTGCCTCGCCGAGCTTCAGCGCGTGACAGAGAAGGCTCAGAGCAACCGATGCTACGGTTTGGGTTTCGGGTTGAACTTCCGTGTCGTGCATCTCAGTTCGACGTTCCGAAAGCTCGACACGGCCGGTGTGGTGGCCAACTACCTCAAGGCGACTCGTCGAAAGCTCGTGATCGATTACGACGGTACGCTAGTACCACTGGCATCCTTTGCGCAGCCGCCGACGGCGCATTTATTGTCCCTCCTCACCGTCCTCGTAAATGACGACGCAAACGAGGTGTGTATCGTGTCTGGACGCGAGCGCGAGACTTTAGACAAGTGGTTCGGTAATATTCCTGGTCTTTGCATGGTGGCTGAGCACGGATACTGGTTCCGCCGCGGATCAGACGTGGCGTGGAACGAGCTTGCTCCGAGTGGCACGGACAACAGCGTGCTCGAGTGGAAAGATACCGTCCTACCAATTTTAGAGCAGTATGCCGAAGCGACGGACGGTTCGTTCATCCAGTCCAAAGAAAGTTCTTGCGTGTGGCACTATCGAGACGCCGATCCCGATTTTGGGGCTTGGCAAGCCAAGGAACTTCTCGATCACCTCGAGAGCGTGTTACACGGCGACCCCGTGGACGTCATCGCCGGAAATGGCACCGTCGAGATCAAACCCAAGGGCGTGCACAAAGGTCTGGTGATAAACCAACTTTTAGACACGCAATCTTCCGCTGACGTCGCCGATTTCGTTCTCGCCGTTGGCGACGACCGTTCGGACGAGGACATGTTCGTCGCCGTCAACACGCACGCGCAGCTCCCGCTCTACGCCGGCGCGTCCATTTACACATCAACCATAGGTCAAAAACCGAGCAAGGCGCCTGCGTATCTCGACGACACCGACGACGTGGTCAACATGTTGCAAACGTTGGCTCAATACAACGTCTGCCACAGACACTGATTCAATTTTGTATTACTATCACGGAAACGTATCCATCTCTTTTTCGCTTGCATCGTCTTCAAACGACCGCGCGCGGTTTCGCCATCGCATGCGTCGCGCGCGCGTCGATATGTTTCTCACATTCGTTCGTACCGCGTGCGCGCGCCCACTGGCTCCGGCCGAACGACTCACGCACGCCGAGGCGACGCCGAGGCGTTTGAAGTTGGACTCGTCCCAGTCGGCGACGACGACGTCGTTTCCATCGCGCACGCGAGGCTTCGCGCTTCGCACGCGCGCGCAGGCGAACGCCGACGATGCATCCGAGGTGCCTAGGAAGAAGACGCGCGCGGACGTCTTTGAATCGCTCAAGAATCAACCACTGAGTGGGACAAAGTACAAATCCACCGGAGCGTTTCAACCGACGCGCGTGGACGACGCCAAAGCGCAAATCGTGCGATTTCTCGAATACAAACCGCGCACGCGTAAGGAGTTATTTGATAAATTGACGATCGATAAGGGATACGAGGCTGAGGATGCGAACGAGGCGTTGGATGCTATGCAACGCGCGGGGGTGCAAAGCGACGCCGCGTACGCAGAGGCGTTCGCGAGGTACAAGTGGAGAAACTCGAGATGGGCGGCGTGGCGCGTGCGAGGGGCGCTGCGACAGAAAGGCGTGGATGATCGAGACATAGACTTAGGATTTGGGCCCGTGTTCGCGGAGGGTGGGGCCATAAAGATTGATTTATTTGAAGACGACGAGGACGACGACGAGGACGACGACGAGGACGACGAGGAAAATTTAGAACGAACGCGGGCAAAGGAACTCTTGCAGGCAGCTCGAACGCAGTTTAAGAGGAATAAACGCGGAGACTTTCAGGCGCGCGTAAGACGTCTGATGGCTTGGCTCGAACGGCGCGGACACGGCGGTTCGGTGATTCGCGATATCGTCACCGTGTTGAAGCGAGAAGAGGAGTACTCGGACGACGACGAAGACGACGGCGCGTTGCACTTTGACGATTAGTAAACACACGTACAATAATTGAATTTCAATCAGCCTCGACAGCGCGCGCGCTACACCGCGCCCGTCTTTGCCGTTTTGGCGGCTGCCAACAGTCCGCCGAAAGATGACAATTCCAGCGGTACGCCCGTGAGCGCTACGATCAATCCAAACCCGGCAAACATGTACGCAAAAGTCCCGACAACGTTGATGCAAAACACAGTCAACGCAAACGCCCACTTCTTATCGTTATTCGGCGCGTACCTACGAAAGAACTCCACGATTCTATCCGTCCCCGGGGAGATGGCCACCGACAACGCGAATCGCGCCGGGCGCAAAAAGTTTTGAATCATCCACAACCCAAAATACGACGACGCGAACGTCTTCATCGACAGCGAATTCACCAGCGGGCTCGCCCCCGTCGTCTTCACCGCCGTGTACGTCGCCAGCATCAACGACGTCACGTAAAACACGTTACTCACGAACCCGTACGACAGCAACGCCGCCGAACCGAGCGAGGCAATCTTCTTCTTATCGATCTTCGCCGCGTCTCGCCACCACGCCTTGACCTTTGCCATCCCACTCGTCTCGTTCGCGTCGTCGCTCGCGTCGTCGCTCGTCGCCGCGCGCGCGACGACGACGCGACGACGCGCGTTCGCGCACTCGTGAGACGCAACGATGTCGACGCGCGCGCGCGCGCGCGCCGCGCGACCGACCGCGATCGTCCCGCGTCGCGGCGTCGGCACCGCGCGCGAAGGCGCCACCGACGGGCGCGCGCGCGCGATCGCGCGCATGTCGCGAATCGGCGCGCGTCGCGGTGTGAGGCGCGCGAGGCGTCGCGCGCGAAGGCGTTCGACGAACGCCGTTCGTCCGCGCGGTCGTCGCGGCGAAAGCGTCGAGTGCTATCATACAAACGAACGTTTACGGCGCGTTTTCGTGAGATGAGAACACGGCCACCGCGCGACCGAGCCAGAGACGCGTTGGCGAGCCGAACGCGCTCTTGAGAACGATTTTGACGGACGACGGCTCGCGCGCCGCGGTGGTCGGAGAGTCGTCGAAGCCGGCGAAATCGGCGATGATTTCGACGTAGCAACCGGCGTTCCAGTCGCTCTGCGCGCGGGCGATGCCTCGAAGAAACTCTCCGGGCGCCGCGCGCGTCGTCGTGGTGTTATCGCTCGTCGACTCGAGGTCGAAGACGAGGCGCGGAAGGGGTTGGGGCGGGGCGTGTCTCGCGATCCAGAAGTGTGCGGAAGTGAGCCGAGTGTCGTTTCGCGCCGTCGCTCGAAACGCCAAACCACCACCCGAGTGTACGAGGATTTTCAACGACTTTGAAGCGCCATCGACGCCGTGCGCGTCGTGCGGTGCGACTTCCACCTTGTAACTCCAATCCTCCCACGTGCGTGTGTTCAAGCCGAAAATCGGACTAAAGATGACGCTTTGGTCGTTTCGCGAGAGACGCACAAACGATTCATTCGAGGGAATTCGACACGCCGTCGAGTTCGGCGGTCTCGGCGTGCCGCACTCAAGGCTCGCGCAGCGTCTATCAATCTCATAGCTATGGACCAAACACTGCGGTAAATCGTTCGGATCAAGTCCGAGCGTGATGTTCACGTCTCGACGTCGAACTCGCGCGGCGTTTTGGACGCCGCACCACAAACCGCATTTGCCTTCGGCGCAGCAATCACCGTATTCGCTCCAAGGACCGACATCTGGGAGCGCGCACGAAGTGTTGTCGAATCCTACGCGTGGTCGAAACCGTCTGAACGCGCGCCCACGTCCGTTGAGCGCGGCGACGCGCTCGGATGTCCTTGTCACAGAAATCATATTCACGTCATCTGTGTCTAAATCAGATTGGAAATTTCCTTGCACGAAGACGCCTTCGGGGTATTCGCGGCGAGCCCACGTCGCGCGACGTCTGAATTCTTTCGCGTCCCTGACGACGAACAGGGTGCGACCGGCGCCGAGAACGGTGCCCGGTTTCAGCGTATATTTCCACCCGCCTCGAGTTTCGACTATCCAAAACGACACGTCCACGGCATAGCCGTTCGGATTACTAATCTTGACGTACGCTTCAACGCCATTCTTTTGCGCGTGTGAGACGTACACTCGCGCATTCGAAGGCGTCGACGATGGTATCATGGAGCTGTATTGGTTGAACAATTGGTCTCGGCGTTTCGGGACGATTTGCGAGAGCAGCTGAAGCACGCCTTGGTCGATAGCTCGCACGGCGCCGACCCCCCACTTCTCTGAATCCCGCAGAGCATCTTTGCGTATAATGTTCAACGTGCGCCTCGCGTAGTCGTCGATGAACGACGTTGCCAAAATCTCATCCATAAGCGTGCGCAAGCGGGTGAAGTACATCTCCTTGACTGGCCAGACTGCGAGCATAACGTCTATGAGAACATTGTACGTTGATCGAGGGTCTTGCTCGGGAGATTGAGCGTAAAAGATGTCCTGGGGATGATTTCGGTCGCAGTACAGCGGCGAGTTGAACTTTTCGCACGACAGAATGCAATACGCGGTTGATTTCTTGTCGCATTCACTCGACTTACAGAGGTCGATGCCGTATCGTTTATCTCCCGGAAACACGTCTTCCACGTCCCACGGAATACGCGACCATTCGCCCGTCCAGTCTTTGTGCATGTAGTAGTTCTTTGTACAGCGATCGGCTCCGAGCATGAGCGTTTGTGCAGCCATTTCGTTCACCAAGGCGGGAAGATTGGTATGATCGTACAGCAAGTACGCCTCGCCCCCGGGATTCCTGCGTACGCGCTCGATCACTTGCGTGAGCTCCCACAAATCGTCCCAATTGTCACGATTCGCCTTTGAAGCTTTACGATAGATTTCCGGACAACCGTCGTTCATCCATTCTCGCTTGTAATCGGGCGTAGCGTACGGGCAAGGCAGGTTCGGATCTCCCGCTCGAAGATTGCTGTACTTCCAATTCACCGCCTTATACAACGCTCCTTCAGGATCGAGATAGTTCCGGCGAAGGAAAGTCGAGTCGACTTGCTCGATCAACGAGAATAATCCGTAGAACTCGTTATTCACGCGGACTTGTACGTGCTTGGTCAGCGACGCCGGCACGCCGGCGCGGCGCAGTATGGCGAATCCGAGATTCTCGCGTAGGTACGTCTCTTCCCCTGGCTCTTGATAATGCGACTGCAAATTAATTTCCTCTACCTTGCGCTCGTTCTCGTCGAACTTGAACACCCGACCGTGAAAATCGAGCTTAAACTTGTGCTTGGGCCAATTCGCGGCGGACAAATCGACCCCGATCACGGCTTCCTTACGATTCGATCCTCGTCGGCGCATGAGGACGTCGTCGTAATACCGCCCCTCAAAGTACACCCCAACCCGTTCGCCCTCGTCGGTGGTCATCTTCCGATAGTCCGGGGCGAACACGTGCACGACGCTCAGACTCGTATCCGCTCTTAAATCTTTTTCGAGAACCGTCCCGTAATATCTCGCCCGTCCCGTCGGCGCGAACGCGCGTTCCGGCGATTCCACCTCCCATCGCCACCGCACGCGTTCACCCGCTCGCAAACCATCCGTCGAGCACTTCGCCGCGTACACGCCGTCGTTCGCGACGTCGTCCGGCCATCGTCCGTCGTCGCGCGCCTCGACGCGCGTCTCGCCTTCCCACCCCTTCGCGCACCGCGCCGACACCCGCGTCCTCGCCCGCGACCGATCCGTCACCACCCGCGCGCGCACCACCGCGTCCTCGCCCGTCGCGACGAACCCGATCGACCGACTCGTCGCGTCCTCGACGACCGCCGCCTCGACGATCGCCGCGCACGCCGCGACGACGACGACGACGCCTCGCGCGCGCGCGCGCCCGCGAGGGTTCGCTCGAGCGGTCCCATCCGCGCGCGACGCTCGATCGCGCCGATCGCGCGCCATGCCGAGGCGGAGAAAAATCTTCGCGTCGCGCGCGCGCGCGTGTGCGCCGAGAGACGGCGGCGTCGCGCGTCCTCGTGCGTCCGAACGCGCGCGTTGTTGCCCGCGCTCGGACGCCGCGACGGCGCGCGGCACTTCGTCGCGCGCGCGCGAACGACGTCGCGCGCGCGACGCGACGCGCGGGTTAAATTATTGCGCCGCGAGCGCGCGCGACGGCGGGCGATTCGCGGGATCGGCGCGTCGACGCGGGTTTTCGTGAATCGGTTCGCGACGGGACGCGCGCGGGCGAACGTCGAGCGGAATGGTGCGACCGTCGCGGCGCGCGCGCGCGACGCGCGACGCGGACGCGGGAGGAGACGGATGCGACGGTTTCGCGCGTCGCGGACGACTGACGGTGGGACCGGGACGGAACGACGCAGAGACGGAAGCAAAAACCACAACGCGTGGAGCTGGCGGGGCTGGAACGCGTCGGCGACGAACGGGACGGCGAGGAGGAGGAAGAGCGCGCGACGGCTCCCGGAGTGACGTTCGACGTGGATCGACAGAGAGATGCGCGAGCTATGGAACACTCGAAGGCGCACCCGCGGATGCTGAAGAGTGCGTGAGAGATGTGAGGGGGAAACGCGGGGAAAGCGGCGCGCGATCGCGGAGAATCGGGACGATCGCGGAGACGGCGAGTCGCGGAGACTGAAGACTGACTGATGCGGAGCGTCGCGTCGTTTTTGAGCGCAGGTAACGCCACGAGTCACGTGTGGCCGTTAGGGGCGCTCGCGGAACTGATCGATAAGTGCGTTTACGAAGCGGAGCGATGCGATTTTGAGAGGCGCGGTGAATCTCGTTTTCGCTCGATTTTCTTCGTTTCGACGCGACGGAACGCGAGACTGACGCGCGCGTTCGCTCTCGCTCGAACGTAGCGCGCAAGACGCGGAGTGTGGAGCCAAAGCCGTACACGTCGACGTCGTAGAGCTTTCTAAAATGGTCGATCCCAAGAATAATGTGGGCATCATCGTTCAAGACGACGGCGTGGGCATGGATCGTCGGCGACTGGTCGGCATGCTGTCGTTTGGTTTTAGCGACAAGGAACACAAGGCTGGGAACGTCGGGCGGTTTGGTATCGGTTTTAAGTCTGGATCGATGCGATTGGCGCGAGACGCGTTGATATTGACGAAAAGAGATGGGTACGCCCACGTCGCGTTCCTGTCACAGACGTTTTTAGATGACGCCGAGCTGGACGACATTCTGATTCCGATGTTTTCGTGGAGGATGGAGCGAGACGCGACGACTGGCGGCAGGGTTTCATACGTCGCGAGCGAACCAGCGAATACGAAAAAATGGGATGAACACATGTCTGTGATCTTGCGATATTCATTCGTACCCTCGGAGCCACAGTTGATGCGAGAGTTGGACAAGATAAGAGGTTCACACGGGACGCGCATCGTACTTTTCAACTTGCGCGATCCGCCCGAGTTGGATTTCACGAGCTACAAGGATGACATTCGTCTGGTGGGGGCTATCCCAGATGACGAGCGAGCGGTGCGCGGACCGATTTTCCAACAATCGCGCGAAGGCCAGCAGGCGTCGATTGATGTGCAGGAAGACTATAGTTTACGTGCTTACATGGAAATTTTGTACCTGAAACCGCGGTGCGAATTCACGCTTCGCGGGCGACCAGTCGTGCCGCGAGACCCGATCGCGCATCTCGCGCGAGAATATTATGTGTTTCCGGAGTACAAGCCGCGAGGCTTGGACGCGGGAATCACGATTCACATCGGATACGCCGCGGATGAAACTTCGAAGAAGTGTGGGTTCCACATTTACAACAAGAACCGATTGATTCGCATGCACCAACGCTTCGGTTCGCAGCTGCAGGCGAACACAATGATGAAGGATATGATCGGTGTCATCGAGGCGGACTCCTTGGAACCGACACACAACAAACAAGCATTCAAGGAGGCCGACATCACCTATCAAAAGTTCAAGCGTCATCTAGTGCAATGCATGCAGGATTATTATTTCGGTATTCAAAGGTATCGTTTAGCCGGCGGCGGCGGCCGCGGCGCGGGAACGACGTCTTTGAAGCAAACGGCGAAGCGACGAAAACGTTTGCACAAGTCTAGCTCGTTCGACGAAGACGATGAAGATGGAGGGAGCGACGGTGCGAATAAGGCTCCAGCGCCGCGCGGTAGGCCGAAAGGCGGACGTGTCGCGACCCCACTTACCCGCATCAAGTCGATTCATCGCTCTCTCATGGTACACAAGAACGCGTACATTTTCTTGCGTCCAGTCGATCCGGTGTACTGGGAGATTCCAGACTACTTCGAAGTCATTAAAAATCCGATGGATCTCGGTACGATTAAAGAACGCATCGACGCGGGGTATTACGACGAGAAAAATGTCGAGGCGTACGCCGCCGACGTTCGACTGGTTTGGTCCAATGCGATGACTTACAACAAAGACGACACGCCAGTGTTCAAGATGGCGCGCATCATGTCAAGAGAGTTTGAGTATCAATGGCAAACTAGAATTGAAGACGAGGAATTCGTGGTTCCTGCGCTAGCGTCGCACGCCGCAGCGGACGCACGCGGGCCGACAAGAACGGAAACGGACACTGGCGACGCGTTCCACTCCGCACCGACGTCCGCACCGACTGCGGTGTCGCGGCGCGAGAATTTAATGCGAGAGGCTCAAGTGCGCACTGCGGTCGATGATCAAACGGTCGAGCCTTCGCCTGCTATTGCCGTTCCTCCACTTTTGGTCAATAAAGTCGCGGCAGCGGCAGATGCAAAGAAAACAGTCACTGAGAAAGAAGAAAGCAATATGGAGCGTCCTGATGTCAAAGCAGAGCCAAACCAGATGGTTCGAGTTCCCAAAGCGCTCTCAACCGTCATCGATGAGAGCTTCTTCAAGATTCTCGAGGAAAAGTTCGTGCAGCTCGAGACAGAACTCGCGGAGGAACGCGCTGCAAATGCGCGTTATATTGATCAGAATATTAAGAGGGGCATCAACGGCTCTTCCACCGTGAGCGTAGAGGAAATGAAATCATACGCAGGAGAGCTCGAAAGATTACGAGTACGCGTGCAAACTCGTGAGTTCCAGCTCGACAGTTCGCGCGCGAAAGTACGCGCTCTGCAAGAGGAGAATGTGCGACTTAGAGATCGGTTGGAGTTGAAGAAGCCGAAAACGACCGCCGCGAAGCCAGTCAGCGAGGTTCGCGAGACGAAATTCGCCGTCAGAAACGCGACAGCGAGCGAACTTGAGAAATTGTACGCGTATGTCGAAAAGCACGCGCCCAATATCGACATTCGCGGTCGCGGCTGGCGTGTAGACGTGTTTGAGCGAAAAGGTGGACGTCTTGCGGGGACTTCGTACAAAGAATTCCTCTCACCAAGCGGCCACAAATTACGTTCGATGAAAGAAGTGCTCGCTTACGTGGCGATGATCGATGACTATCGAGCGACTCATTTTGTCGACATGAAATACTCGAAAGGCGACGCCAAACCCACGCAAGAGCAGGGGGGTGCACACCCGCTGCAAACCAAAACGGTTCCGGGCGTACCTGTGGCCGCGCCCGCGCCGATGGACACTGATGACGTGGATGCACCGGCACACGAAGTGCACGCGACTACTTCCATCGAAGGAACCGTCGATGATGCGCATGCACCGGCGCCTGAAGCGCCCGCGACTACGTAGTAACATATATTAGACGCAACCGCCGCGCGCGAAAGCTCAACTAACCGCCGACCACGCCTCCTCAGACCTCGACGACATGCCCGACGGCGTCGACGGCGCGCGCGCGCGCGAATCGAGCGCCGCGTCGAGCGCGCGCGCCGCGACGTCGATTCCGTTCTCGCACCTCACCTACGCCCCGCGAACGAGCGCGAAGGCGACGAACGCCGACGATTGCCTGAGCTGTCGAGTTTTAGGCACGTCCGCCTGCGCCGTGGGCGCGGCGATGGTGACGTGGGAGGTGTACCGAGAACCTCGACGCGTTTTGTCGCATAAGATCGCCATGGGGGCGTTCGCGGCGGCGTTCGTCGCGCTCGGGGTGTACCGGGCGGTGATGTAGGGCGAGAGCGGGACCGTCGCGTCGAGCGTAGCGTAGCAGAAATAGTTGTATTGAATCGATAGCGCGCACTAGGTCTTCTTCTTCATGCACTCCGGCCACTTAGACAAGTCCATGTGCTTGATCGGCGCGAAGGTTTTCCTGTGGTACACGCACGGGCCGTGTTTGTCGATCGCCGCCATGTGCGCCTTGGTGCCGTATCCTTTGTGGTCCTTGAAGCCGTACATCGGAAATTCCTTGTCGATTTCGAGCATCATTCGATCCCGCGTGACCTTGGCGATGATAGACGCGGCGGCGATGGCGACGTTCTTCGCGTCACCTTTCACGATCGCTTCGGCTTTGCCTTCCAGCGGCTTCGGAACGCGATTCCCGTCGATTAACACCCAGTCCACGTTCGGCACGTCGGCGGCGCTTCGGTGCATCGCCTCCATCGTGCACTCCAAAATATTAATCTCATCGATGCGATCTTGATCGATCACGCACACCCCGTACTCGATATCCTTATTCGCCATGAGCTCCTCGAAGATCTCCTCTCTGCCCTCCTCAGTGAGCTGCTTGGAGTCGTTGACGCAGTCGACGACGCAATCCTTCGGCACGAAGCACGCCGCCGCCACCACAGGTCCTGCCAACGGTCCCCGTCCCGCTTCGTCCACGCCTACGACTCGATGACGACCTGCTTCCCAGTGTTTCTTTTCGTGCGAGCGATCGGGGCCGGGGCCGGCCGCTTTCTTCGCGCGCTTCGCCGGCGACGCTTCGAACGACGCCGGTTTTGAAGTCTTTCTCCCGCGCGACGTCGTCTTCTCCGCCTTCGTCGCCTCCGCGCCCGCGCCTTCCGCGGTGTTCGTCGAAGCGCTCGCCGCGTTCTCTTTCGCCTTCGCTTCGACGGCGACCGCGCGCGTGGGCGCGCTCGCGGCGAGGATTTTGTTTTCGCTCATCTTGACACCCTTGACGAGAAAAGCGCCGAGCCCCATCTGCGCCTTCGGTTTGGCGGCGCCGAGAGCGGTTATTTTGTTCGACATCGTGCGTTGTAAGACGATTTGAAATCGCGCGCCGACGCCGAGGAGCATGCGCGAGAATGCGGCTGTCGTCCCGCTCGGCTGTCCCGAGCGAGTTTGAAAACGCGAGGTTGAAAAGGTGAAACGTCTAATTTCAAGCGCTACGAGCGTTTAGCGAACGATTAGTTTTCCACGAACGCATCACTGCGCGGTTTGCATCTGCGCCATGACGAGCCAAGACGTGGCGATCAAACCGAACGTGCACCACCCGAGGACGTCCCAATAAAAGTCGTGCTCGTCGTCCGCCTTATTCGCCCCGGCGCCCATCCCACCGCCGCCGCCCATCCCACCGCCGTACGCCTGCTGATGCGCCGCTTGTTCCGCGAGCTGTCGCTGCAACTCTGCGTGCAAACCTGGCGCTTTATCCGTCATCTCCAGCGCCTTGCGATAAATCTCGTTATTCGGCTCCTCCTCCAGCGCCCGTCGGAAGCACGACTTCGCTTCTTCAAAGTACTTCATCGCCTCGCGCGCTTCCGGGAACAGGAATCCTTGACTCGTCAGCGCGTTTCCCAGGCACCACAGCGCGTCGTGTTTCTTCGGGTTGATCTCCAACGCGCTCTCAAACTTTTCCACCGCCTCCTCGATCATGTCCACGGCCTCTGGGCCCTGTCGAAAGTGCGCCAGCTCCAGCAGCGCGCCGCCCCATCGCGTGAGCACTTGCGCGTCGTGCGGGTTTTGTCTGTGCTCGGCCTCGGCGCGCGCTCGCGCGTCCTCGAAGAAGAGCATGCGCTCGACCTCCTCGCGCGGTAATCCTTCCGCCATCGCGATCGATCGGTTTCCTCCGCGTGCGTCGCGCGCGTCGACGGTCTCGCGTCCCGAGTCGCGAAGTGCGACGGTTTCTTACGATACGCGCTCGCGAACGCGCGCGCGAGGCTTTCGAGGCGCGCGCGAACGCGTCGAACTGTGACGACTCCATCGAGGTTAACGCTGAAATCGCACAGAGCGACGCGCGCGCGGCGCCCATGGCGGTCCTGCTCGAGACCTCGAAAGGGGACATCGTCATCGACCTGTTCGTCGACGACGCCCCGAAGACGTGCCTGAATTTCGTCAAGCTGTGCAAGATGAAGTATTACAACCACTGCAAGTTTTTCGACATTCAAAAGGATTTCATGGCGCAGACGGGCGATCCCACGAACACCGGGCGCGGTGGAGACTCGGTGTTTAAGTTTCTGTACGGCGAGCAAGCGCGGTTCTTCGAGGATGAGATACACGCGACGCGGAAGCATGAAAAGTTTGGAACGGTGAGCATGGCGCCGGCGGCGGAGAACGCGAACGCGTCGCAGTTCATCATCACGACGCGCGCGGGCGCGGTAGACGCGTTGGATGGGACGCGAACGATATTTGGGGAGGTTTCAGAGGGGATGGACGTGTTGAGGGCGATTAATGAGGCGTATTGCGATGAAAGTGGACGACCGTGGCAGAATATTCGCATAAAGCACTGCGTCGTGCTGGACGACCCGTTCGACGATCCCCCGGGGTTCGCCGAACTCGTCCCGGACGCGTCGCCGCCTAGAAAAGAGGACCCCGATGATGATAGGTTAGAGGATGATTTCGATGTCAACGCGGAGATGAATAAGGATGAGGCACAGATTGAAGAGGAGAAGCGTGGGCGCGAGGCGCACAATCGAGCCGTCGTCCTTGAACTCATAGGAGACTTGCCCGATGCGGACGCAAAACCGCCGGAAGAATCGCTCTTTGTGTGCAAATTGAACCCAGTGACTACGGATGAGGATTTAGAAATCATTTTCAGTCGATTTGGTAAGGTATTGTCGTGCGACGTCATTCGCGACTTCAAGACGGGAGCGAGTCTTGGGTACGCCTTCGTTAACTTTGAGCACAAACACGAGGCCGAGCAGGCGTACTTCAAGATGGATAATGTTTTGATCGACGACAGACGCATTCACGTCGACTTTTCGCAATCGATGCATCATCTTTGGAAGAATTTCAAGCGTTTCGGGAAAAACGGTGGGACGGAGGAGGACTTTGACGAGGCGGATGGTAAATCCAGTCGAGGCATGAAGCGCACGTTTCAGGGCGCTGGGCGAACGTTTGAGATCAAATCTAACGCCATGGGTCATATCAGCGGTGGCAATGCGCGTTACGCCATGGTGCAAGACAATAAGAGCGCGGGCAAGCGCGACGACAAGCATCGCGACCGCAAATATTCGCACAGAGACAAAGACGAGCGTCGCGACCGCAAGCGAGACCGGTCGCGATCACGAGACCGCGATCGCAAGCGAGATCGATCGCGATCGCGAGACCGCGATCGCAAGCGTGACCGATCGCGAGACCGAGAACGAGGACGGGACGACGGTCGCTCGCGACGTTAAACGTCGACGTTTCGCCAATCTTTTCACTCAATCGTAGACGCGTTGTAAATCAGTCGCAAAGTAGTTCTAAAGTAATATTTACAGTCATCAGCCGCACCAACGCTACAGTTTCGAACGCGTGACCGATCCCGCCGCGGCAGCGGCGGCGAAACTCTTTTCATGCATCACGCGCTCGCAAATGACTTCGGCGAGACGATACACCTCGCGCCACGCCGAATCCCACGCTTCGATCTTACTCACGTTTGCATTTGCTTCGCGCGCGTCTCGCATGTGTTCATCGATTCGCTGGCATAAATCAAGCTCGATCTCCGACTTTACCCCGACCGCGCTGCGTTGATCGTTGCGTTGAAATGCGCCGAAGCAGTCGCGCGCGAGCTTTTGCGACAAAATACGGCTATCTCCTTCGGCAAATTTGCAGCACTGCAGAAAGTCCGTGTTGTCGAATCCTGTGCCAGACATCAAGGCATACGACCCGACTTCTTGCTTCAGGCGAAACGCGAGATCGATCGCGCCCTCCACGGCTTTTATCTTCGCCACGGCGATGGCTTGGACTAGAACCGCGTCTGGGATTTCGCGTCGCCGCAAGCACTGGCACAATTCATTTTCGCACTGCTTCACGTACGCATCCAAACGATCGATCGTCGCGTAGCCTTCATCGTAAAGCGCGCGCAGTTGAGGTACGTCCGTCAACGCCGGCGAATCACCGCGCATAGTGCAGGGCTTCTGGTCCGAGTACCGCTTCGTGTCGTCGAAGAGTCTGCGCACAAACGTCAACGCCGCCTGCGCCACAGCCACGCGCCCGGTGAACAAACGCTGACCGATCATGTCCATCGTGCGAATCCCTTCTTTTTTCGCCACGTACTCACCGGTACTCGCGTCGACGTCCCCATATTTAGCCAGTAACGACTCCGCGGGCGCGCGAAAGTCGTCGAATCGCACCCAGGCGTTGTCGAGATCGTTACCAGTCGTTTTCAAACCCATATCGCCGACGGTGATCCCTCGCGCCAGACGCCCGAACGCCCCCTCGCGCATCGTCACCAAAAACCCGTGCGGTCCGAAAGATCGACCCTTCACGAACAAATTCGCGACGACGACCGCCGCGTCCGCCGTCAACCCTTGCGAAATCCAATTCTTCGTCCCGCCGTCCCCTTCCCCGCTGTTGATCACGTACCCTCCCGTCTTCCCGTCCCAATCCGCGCGCGTGTGCACCACCAACCCACTGTTCACCCCCGCGAGCCGTTCCGTCAAACAAAAGCACCCCAGCGTCCCGCGCCGTCGCAGCGTCTCCAACCGCGCGCGCTGCGCCTCCGTCCCCAGCGCCGCGCACGTCCCCGCGAACAAGTTATACTGCACCGTGAACCGTATCCAAAATCCCGGTCCCAGCGTCGTCGCGTGCGTCGCCAGCGCGCGGTGCGCGGCGAAGAACCGCGCCGGGTCGTCCTCGACGTCCGTGAACGTCAGCGCGCCGCGCCGCGAGACGAGCGCGCGCAGCGCCTTCGCCGTGCGCCGCGTCGCGCGTTTCGGCGCCCTCGCGAGCGCCCTCGCGACCGCGTGCACGTCGGCGTGGTCGTCGCGCGTCATCGTTCGACGGCGCGCGACGGCGAATCGATCGCAACGGCCGACCGACCGTTAGGGTTGACGCTTTTTTTATCGCGCGATGACGTCGTATTTAGGGGCCACGCACCGGCATCGAGTCTCAGGTCTCCCGCGCGAAAGACGCGCCTCGCGATGGACACCCGCGTGTGACCTCACGGTCGGTCGGTGTGTGCGCAAACAGTGAGACGTCAATTTGCACAGCGCGTTCGAACCGACCGCGAACCGACCGCGACGACGCCGCGTCGGATTCGCGCGCGCATTCGCGCGCACACTCGCGCGCGAATGTGCCGCGGCGTCGAGATCGCGACGCGAGGGAACCCGTCGATGTCGACGATCGCCGCGGGACGACCGGGACGCGAGACGGGCGTCCGTCTCGCGCGACGCGCGCGAGGGAAGGCGCGCGCGCGAACGAAAGATGGACGACCGGGACGCGCGTTCGCGACGCGCGCGGGCGGAAGGGGGGAGAGGGGGGCGCGACGGCGCGCGGAGAAGACGCGGACGCGGGTTTTACCGCCCGAGGCGCCGGATTTTTTCGTGCGGATGAGTCAGCGGGCGACGGAGCTCGGGGAATTCAACGAGGCGTTTTTGGCGAGTTTCGTGACTTCGGCGTGCGTGGGGGCGACGGCGTTTATGTGGGAGCGCGCGTGGAAGGGGCGAGTGTTCGGGAGCGATGCGAGCGATGATGCGAGTAATAGGGGTGGATGGGCGTCGGCGCGAGCGGAGAGCGCGGATGCGTCTTGGGTGGGGGAGTCGCGGGACTTTGACGGGAAGACGTTGCACGGCGTCGACGTGTCGCGATACGCGATTTTCCAAGAACCCGAGGTGAAGCGCGCGCTGGCTTTCGCCGCGTCTTGGCACCGCGGACAGCGCAGAAAGAATGGGGACTCGTACGCCAAGCATTGCGTGGAGTCAGCGAAGATTTTAGCGGCGAATTTACCCGGGAATGGGTCGAGAAGTCGAGACGCCGTGTGCGCGTGCTTGTTGCACGACGTGTTGGACGACACGGCGTGCACGGATGAGACGCTCAAGGCGACGTTCGGGACGCGGGTGTATAATTTGGTGATTCAGGTCTCACGCGTGGGTCAGATGAACGAAGTCATGCGTCGCCGACGACGAGACGTCGACGACGTCGAAGTCAAGGCGAAGCTGAGCGAGGAAGATTTGACTCAGCTGCGCAAGATTTTGTTGCTCATCGTTCGCGACCCGCGGGTGTTTTTGATTAAAATCGCCGACCGTTTGCACAACATGCGAACGATATACGCGATATCAAGCGAGGAAAAGGCGATGGACATCGCCAACGAAACGCTTCGCGTGTGGTGCTCGCTCGCCGAAAAGCTCGGGATGTGGGCCATCAAATCAGAGCTCGAGGATTTGTGCTTCGCCGTGCTCGACCCGGAGAATTTCGACGGCATCATGACGGCGCGATCGAAGGCTTGGAAACCGCGCGCGAAAGACATGAGTGGCCGCGCGCGATCGAGCTCGAAGTCAAAGCAGACGGGGCAAACGGAATCGTCTCCGAGTTCGTTTTTTGGTTTGGACGCTGTGTCGTTTTTCGGCGCCAAGGAGGAAACGGAGAGCGACTCGTTTGACGGAAGCGGGTCACACGATGACGACCGATATGCGCCTTGGCAGTTAGATGTGAAGCATCGCATCGAGAGTATACCTTCTTTCGATTGGTTGTCTACTCGCGAGGGTGATTCGTTGCAAGTCGAAGGATTGACCGCGCTACCTGGGAGCATCGCCGCGTCGCTGAGCACTCTGGACGCGATTCGCGGTCGATTGTGGAGCGAACTTCTCATGGATGGCTATACGACTCAAAGCGATTTGAACATCTCGGTGTCTTCGCGGCTAAAGAGCGCGTACAGCACGTACATGAAGATGAAGCGCAAGAATTTACCATTCGAACGCGTGTGCGACACGCGCGCGATGCGCATCGTCGTCGGTGACGCGAGCACGTCTGAGCGAGGCACAGAACGAGAAATCGACGCATGCTACGCGCTTCTCGACTTGATTCACAAGATGTATCGCCCAATCGAAGGAGAGTATGACGATTACATCACCAACGCCAAGAAAACCGGGTATAGGTCGCTTCACACCGCCATCGGTGGACCCGACGGCGCACCTCTCGAGGTGCAAGTGCGCACGCGTTCGATGCACGACGCCGCTGAGTTTGGTGTCGCTGCCCAATGGATGTACAAAGGGAAGCCCAAGTTCGCTTCGAAGTCGTATCAAGATGCGTCACACACGGACGAAACTCCTTCGGTCGGCGGTGGCGTACAACTCGTGTCAAGCGGGCGCCGAAGTTGTGGCGTCGTCATCGACGCCAATGGCTCGCGCATGCTCGTCGCCGAACCGATGCGTAGTGAGTGGAGTGACGTCGCGGCTTGGATGGCTGATAAACATCACGAAGCGCTCATGAAAGAGGTCATTGCGTCCGGTTTGACCAGCGCCCGTCAAGGCACGAGCGAATTTTTCATCTCTGAGTTTTGCTATTGCGTCGACCAGCGCTGGCATCGCGTCGACAACCTCGGGCACAAGACGCGCGTGACGGCGGAAATTGTCATCGAGGGCGCGGATGATGCAAATGATTCTGACGACGATTTGTCGTCGCTCGACGACGATGACGTCGATATGCGGATTCGTCAGCTTCAAACCGTCGCGGGAGAGCTTTTGAACGAATCCATCGACGGCGACGACGCCTCTGGCGAGGACAAGGAAACCTTGCTGAGCAACTGGTCCGCCACCGCCGCAGAGATTGAAAAGCGCAAGCGCATCGCCCGCGCGAAACAAACTCAGCTCGCCCGCGAAGAGCGCTGGCGTCGTGGCGAAGAAGAAGCGCCGGCGCTCAATATCCTCATGGCTGGAAAGCGCACCACTCCCAAGCCGAGCAAAGGCATCTTCCAAACCGAAGAAGCCGCGAAATTCGAAGCCGAAGTTGCGCTGAAGAACCCGTCCGCCAAACTTCCCAATGTCGATCTCAACAACGACGGCGTCATGGTCATCACTTGGAAAGATGATTTACCCGAAGTTCGCAGCGTCCGACGCGGGTCAACCGTGGCGGAAATTCGTGCAGAAGCCGCGTCTTCCGCCGACGCCGACGCGCGCGTCAACGTAAACATGGTCATGGTGCCGCCGTCCACAAAGTTAAAAGACGGCGACATGATCTTCTTATCCTCCGACGGCGACACCAAGGCTCGAGAACACGTGTCTTAATTTTCTTGCATTCACCTTGTATTTTACTTAGTTTTGTTTCCGTTGTACAGACGATATTCTGTCTCTTCGACTGTCGCCAACCAACCCTCCCGCGCGTCGCGCCATTGGACGACGCCTCACCGAACCGCTCGCGCGCGATGCCTCCTGCGCGCATCGCCACGCGCGTCACGAGATACGTCATGCACCGATACGCCGTCGACGCGCGCGCGCGACGCGCGTCGGCGACGCACGGCGCGTCGGCGTCGCCGCGAGTCGCCCAACAAACCTCGACGCGCAGCGCGACTTCGTGCCGCGTGCGCGCGATGCGCGCGCCCGAGTGCGCGTTCAGTGGCGCCGCACCGCGCATAAACGCGCGACTCGCGCGTGAGAGCGACGCGCGCGGACGCCGAGACGACCGACGGGACATTCGAAGGTTCGGGACGGTGAACGGCGGCGCGGCGGCGAGCGTGGCGAACGATTTGGTTGACTTTTTGAACGATTCGTGGACGGCGCATCACGCCACGGAGGCGTCGGTGAAGCTTTTAGAAGCTGCAGGATACTCCAAGATCAGTGAAAGCGTAGAGTGGGGAGATCTGAAGAGAAATGGAAAGTATTACGTGACGCGAAACCAAAGCGCGTTGGTGGCGTTCGCCGTGGGCGGGGCGTACGAACCGGGTAACGGGTTCAACGTTGTCGCCGCGCACACCGATTCGCCGTGCCCGAAGTTGAAACCGGTGTCAAAAATTAAAAAAGGTGGTTTCATGCAAGTGGGCGTGCAGACGTATGGCGGGGGGTTGTGGCACACGTGGTTCGACCGCGATTTGAGCGTCGCGGGGCGAGTGCTCGTCAAACGAGACGGAAAGTTGGCGCACGAGTTGGTGCGCATCGATCGACCGATCATTCGCATTCCCACGCTCGCGATTCATCTTGATCGTGAAATCTCGACGAATGGGTTCAAACCGAACACGGAGACGAATTTTGCGCCGATTCTTGCCACCGCGATAAAAGGCGAACTCGAGGAAAAGGTGGCCAACGACGGCGGCGCCCATCACGCTCTTTTGCTCGCCGTTCTCGCGGAAGAGCTCGGGTGCGCACCAGGCGATATCGCTGACTTTGAACTGAATGTTTGTGACACGCAGCCATCCGTCATCGGTGGCGCGGCGCGCGAGTTTATTTTTTCGGGACGATTGGACAACTTGGCGTCGAGCTATTGCGGCGTTCGGGCTTTAATCGAAGCCACGAGCGCGGCGGCGCTCGCCGAGCAAACCGGCGTGCAAATGGTGGCGCTGTTCGACAACGAGGAGGTTGGAAGCTCGTCATTTTATGGCGGCGGATCACCGATGATGTTTGAATCCATCAAACGCGCGGCGTCGGCGCTTAGTAAGGCGGCGCCGAACCAAGGCGGCGAAGGTCTCGTTGAACGCACCGTGCGCAACTCTTTCCTCGTCAGCGCCGACATGGCGCACGCGTTGCACCCGAATTATATGGATAAGCACGAAGATAATCATCAACCAAAGATGCACAAGGGCATGGTGGTGAAGCACAACGCCAACCAGCGATACGCGACGACAGCGGTGACGTCTTACTTGTTTCGTGAGTGCGCCAAGATGGAAAACGTTCCGACGCAAGACTTTGTGGTGCGCAACGACATGGGATGTGGTTCCACAATCGGTCCGATCATCGCCGCCGGCGTCGGCATCCGCACCGTAGACGTGGGTATCCCTCAACTAAGCATGCACTCCGTGCGCGAGATGTGCGGCACGGAAGACATCGATATCTGTTTCAAACACTTCACGGCGTTTTATAAAAATTTTTCGAAAGTCGACGAAACGGTGACCGTCGATGGATGAATTGATCATTTTCTTTTATTCAACAAGTTTGTAACTGATGTACACATTCTCTAATCTCCTTGGTAATTCTCCAAGTGTTTTTTCGTATTGAATCGCGAGACTTCAATCTCGTTGACGTAAATGTGCTGTAAGCACGACGGCTCGTTCCAATTCACGTTTTTCGGCGCCGAGATGTGCGCCTCGATGAATTTCTTGCTCACCTGCACGGCCAATCTTGACGTAGCCTGCAAATCGGGCCAGTCGGGCCAGCCGTTGTCGAGCGCGACGCCGCGATGGGGCGCGTCGTCGTCGTCGATTTGAAAGCTCCTACGCGCGGCGGCGTCGGGCACCAGCACCACGGTGGAGTCGCTGTGCACGAGCGACGGGTGACGCTGGTATAACACGAAATCTGCACCGTATTGTAATCCGCTGCGCGGTAACCAACCCGTGAGTCTGAAGTGCACCGTCGCCGCGCACTTCAATGCGAACGCGTGCCCACAATCGCGTCGAAACACGCGCCAAAGCGTCTCGCAGTCCATCTCCCGCGTCCCTAACCCGAGCCGAATTTCCCGCGCCGCGTCTTCGTCCCCGTCCTCGCTCACCACTAAACACCGCAAAAACGCGCACATGTAATACGCATCCTCGCAGCAGACTCGTATCACGAGTTCGTTTCCGGCCCCATTCGGCGTCAACGGCACGCCAATCTCCGTCCCCGCGCGCGCTCTTCGCCCCAAACACGTCTGCTCCAACAGATACCCCAACCGCCGCGTCGCCCCGATCCAAACCTGCCCCCTCGCGCGCGTCCCTCGCACCACGCCGAACTCCCGAATCAGCGACTCCACCAATTGTTCGGGTCTCTTATGTTTCAGCGCCGCTCTGCGTTTCCCTCGCTTCCACTTCACGTCCCGATCCCCCGTTTCCCTCCCTCGCGGCATCGCTCGCCGCGTTCACCGTCGCGTTCAGATGATCCCGCAGCACCGCCTCTTCGAGCTGCAGGTTCAACAACCGTCCGAACAGGTACTGTCGCGTCTCTTTCACGCTCTCTTTCTCCCGTCGCAGCGCTTCGAGGACGCGATCGCACCCGGCTTTGCCCTGAAGTCGGTACTTTTCTCGCGCCGATTCCGCCGCGCCCTCGTCGTAGTCGCGCTCGACGCGCTCGTCGTCCGACGTCCGCGCGCTCGGTTCCGACGGCGCGGGAGACGCCGCGCGCTCGTCGCTTTCGCTCGCGTCAGGCGCGGGTCCGGGCGATGGTTTGCGCACGCTCGTCGGGAACATGTATCGATCGATCGATCGATCGCGCGCCGAGCTGTGGCGCGAACGCGAGGCGAGGCGAGACGCGAGCGGAGCGAACGACGGCGACGGCGACCGCGACGACGCGAGCGAACGCGCGGGTCGAGCGATGACGATGGGAAAACACGATTTCATTCGTCGCGCGACGCGAGACGCGTCGATCGAGACTCGCGGAGATGGTTTAAAATTGCCCGAGTCGAGTCGCGAGCGCCGAACGGAACGGAATCGAATCGAACCGAATCGAATCGAATCGAATCGAATCGACGCCGTCCGAGTCGTCGACGATTCAAAACCGCGATCAATCCAATCCCGAGATCGACCCCGTCGCGCCCGTCGACGGCGGTCGTTCGCCCGGCAGGTACCCGTACTTGGCCTTGAACGCGCGCTCGTACCTCGCGCGCTGCTTCCTTCGCTTCGTCTCCGGGTTCAGCGACCCTCCCGGTCGTTTATACTCCCACAGCGCCCACGATCCGATGACCAACAGAATTACCAACCCCCACGCGCTCGGTTGTCCCTCGTCGCCGGGATTCCATCCGTCGTCCCACGCCTCCTCGTCGTCGTCGTCGTCGCGCGGCGGTTGCCCGTCGCCGCCGTACCCAAACTTTCTCTGCTCCGTCGTCTCCATGCGCAGCGGCGCCGCCCCGGGTCCGCGCGAGCCGCCGGGCGAGGACGATCCCTTCAGCGGGAACCCCTTCGGCGCGCTCGACGCGCCGTCGGCGTCGTCGTCGCGCTTCGCCGCGACGATTCGTCCGCGCGGTGCGGCGCATCTTCGGCGGCGCGCGTCGACGCGCGCGACGATCGCGACGCGCGACGCGCGCGCGGGCGCGACGGAGGCGAGCATCGCGCGCGTCTGCGCGCGAGTCGGACGTGCGCGGGCGCGTCGGCGACGCGCAGTGCGGCGAATCGCGATCGCGGCGGGACGGGTCGAATCGACGTCGTCGTCGCCGCATCGCGACGCGCGGCGCGGGACCGAGCGCGCGCGACGATGGCGACGACGCGCGCGACGATGGCGACGACGACGACGGCGCGCGGGCGCGGGCGCGCGCGCGAGCGCGACGCGACGCGACGACGACGCGCGGTCGGGGTTTCGCGCGCGACGACGACGACGACGCGACGACGATGGGAGACGCGCGCGGTGCCGACGGGCGAGGCGATGGAGATCGCGACGTCGCAGCTCGCGGGAGGGCTGGAGACGGCGCGCGCGGTCGTCGGCGCGGCGACGGTGGCGCTCATCATGTTTCAGGGGCCGAAGGGCGACGGCGTGGTGAACTCGCTGAACGAATCGCGAATGTTCGGGAGCGCGAGCAAGGCGAAGAGCGCGGTGGATTACGTGACGTATGGGTTGATATTTGGATTCATAGCGATGTCCGCGGTGCTCGCGGCGAGCGGGTAGGCGGGCGCGGGAGGTTGTAAAGAGAGCGCGAATTTTTTGTTTGCGATTTTTCAGACGCCGAGCTAGCGGCGTCGAGAGCTAATTTTTGTCGACGTTTCGATTCGATCGCGCGGACGCGCGGGGTGACGTGGTTTTGGGCTCGGGCTTGGGCTCGGGCTTGGGCTTTGCTCGGGGTTTGGGTTTCGCGGTCGCGCGGTTCTTTGGCTTCTTCGGCGACGGCGAAGCGACGCGGTCGCTCGAATACTGCGACAAGTCCAAGTCAGCGAAATCGGCGTCGTCGCCGTCGTCGAGTTTAGGTTCCGGGTCGGAAACCGCGTTGTCGTGCTGATCATCGTCGTAATCCACGATGACGTCTCCCAACGCCTCCTCGCGAGTTCTCTTGAGAATCATCGCCGCGACTTCGGATCCCGAGGCGTTGGTGAGATTTTTCACCGCGTCTCCGAGACGTTTCGAGCGGAATTTCGCCACTCGCGAGCTCACAGCGTGAGAAGTTTCGAAGAAGCTATCGATGCGACGCTGGTCGTCGCGTTTCGACCACGATTTCATCATCGGGAGCAAAATTTGATCCGCCGCGTCTCGCGTCCACGACAACGTCTTGATGCAAAACAAGCGAAGCATGTCCAAGTCAGGCTTTCCCCACTCGAAAGTTTCTTCGCTTTGATCGACTGACGGATACTGGTACGCTTTGACGACTTCTAGGGATGGGTAATTCGCGGGAACTTCCCAACTCTTTTTCAGCGAGCGATGTTTCTCTTTGAAGGCGGCGGTGATCGCGTCGTCCGTCGCGCTCTCCGCGGACGTTTTCGACGGCGAAGGAAGCAAGCGTTCGGGAACCATGGTGAGTTCTTCCATATCAATCCACTCTCTGAACGCTTTACTCGCATCCATAACGTTTCCTTTAAACACGCTGACGATTTCGAGCGCGTTCACGATGCCGACGCCGCCGACGCCTTCGGTGTAATCGCTCCCGAGCAAGAGCGCGAGTTGAATGAAACGATCTCGATCGAGTCCTAGTTCTCTCTTGATACGATCTGCGGTGTAGACTTCGCAGTATTTTTTCTCCGAGAAAAAGTTTCTGTACACGTGCGATGCGCCAAACAGAAAGACATCGCTATCGTCCGTGATGACGGCGTCGACAAGCTTGTGCTGGTTGAGATACGCGCACTGCGCTTCAGCTTCTTGCGGCGCGATGATGTAAGGAATTCCGAAAAGCGTGAGCAGTTCTTGGACGTCTCGGTACATCTCATCCGTGACGTGTTCGGCACCTTTCTTGGCTTGACGAATCTCATGCTTCAGACGCTCTTGCTCTTCCTCTGCTTCGCAAATTAGACGTTCCACTCGGGCGCGCTCGGCGATGCGTTCAGCTTCGCGCGCCGCCTCGATCCACTGCTCTTCTTCCGAATCGATTTCTTCTTCTTGCTTCGTTTCTTCAATCTCGACGACGTCTACTTCTTTAGAATCATCCGACTGTTTCAAAGAATCGTCGACGTGCTTGGCCAAACTCATCGCTATCGCTGCTTTCAACCCGTCGTCATCTTTGTCATCATCATCATTGTTGTTTCCGTCTTCACTCTCGTTCGTTTCTAATTGTGCTTCAACTTCCACACCGTCTGCGGCTGCCTTGGTCGGCGACTCTTCCTCGCGCGCCGTAGCGACGCTCATCGCGATGGCCCTTTGCAACTGCTCACTCTCGTCGTCGTGATTCAACGGCGCTAACGCTTCTTCATCTCCTCGCACACCGATGGCTATTGCGGCGTCGACGTCTGCTTCTGTTTCAGCCTCCGCCGCGGCTCGCACAGCAGCCTCTTCTTCGTCGGCGTCCCATCCACCCAAGCTTCGCCCTTTGAGAAAACCGTGGCTGAGAGAGTACACGCTCTTGCGTTTCAACGCGGTTCCATCGCCGTGTGACTCATCATCGGCGTCGTCAGCGTCTTCACTCAAATCCATAACGTCATCGTCATGACGGGCTAGCGGTGACGGCGCGGCAAGCGCGAGTTTCGCGGGCGACGGTTTGACGTCGTCTTCCACGTCTTCCCATTCCTCGTCGGCGTCGGCAACGGCGACGATGTCGTCTTCGTCTTCATCGGCCGCCGTGGCGTCGTCCGCGCTCGCGAATAACGGGTCTTTCGCCGCAGCTTTGATATTTTCCGTGGTGAATGAGATTTGCAAATCCAACGTCGATGGCTCTTTGCTCAACACGATGGGCGTCTCCGCGACGGATTTGGCGACTGATGGCGTCGGAAGCGTCGGGTGAAGGTTCGTCACTAAAAATCGTTCTTGCGGCGCGACGAGCGCCGTCGGCGCGCGACCACGTCGCCCCGTTCGCACCCCAGCGAGTTGATCCGACGCAAACGTACCCGTCGTCAAACCTAACACCCCCGACGTCGACGGCGGCGGCTGCGGCGGCGCGAGCGCCAGCGCTCCGCTCGAAGTCGTTCGATTCGACGAAGATGGTCCGGCAAATATAAAATCGCGATTATCCTGCGCCGCGACGCGTTTGGACGTCATCGGATCGTTCAAATCCGATTTCTGCATCACGCGATCGATCTCTCGCTTCAATTTCGTCCCTTTAAGATACGTCTCCAACTGCAACGCGCTGAAATCTTGCATCTTTCCCGAAGCCGCGGCGAAATGCTCTCGATTATCCGCCACGCGCTTATCCCGCATTCGCATCACGACCTCCATTCGCACCGACGGCGGCAGCGCGCCGAGCACCTCGGGATCGATCGATTCGCCGTCCGGCACGAACACGTCCAACTCCTCCTCCTCCTCCTCCTCCGCCTCCGCCTCCGAATCCCGCTCGTCGCCGTCGTCTCCATCGTCCCCATCGCGCGCCGCGATCGCCACCCCCCCTCCATTTCCCACCTCCCCTCCGTTCGCCGCCGCCACCAGCGCCCGTCGCTTCAGTTCGTTCAACAAAACCTTCTCCGCCGCCACGCGCACCTTCGCCGCGCTCCGCTCCCGCGCGCGTCGTCGCGTCGCCGTCGTCCGCCTCTTCAGCGCCGGCGTCGCCCCGTCGAACACGAACACCGGTCGCGCGCCGTGACGCAGCAACCGCGCGATCCTGCGAAAGAACCCGGCGACGTGCGCGCGCGCCGCGACGTCGCCGTCTTCGTCGCGCGTCGCCTTGATGAATTGCACCAGCCAGATGGACGCGTCGACGGCCACGCGCTTGCCTCGCACGCTGTCGGCGTCCGCGCGACGACCGCTCGGTTCGAGCAGCCGCCACAGGTCGCGGACGCCCATGGCGCGGCGCTATCGCGACGCGCGCATCGTCGACGAATGGCGACGAATGGCGACCGCGGATCGAAATCGCGACACCGCGACGCCATCGCGACGCGTTTCAGCGCGCGGCGTCGACGCGCGCGGAGACGACGCGCCGTCGGCGTCGACGCGGGCGCGCGATGCGCGACGAGCGGCCGCCGAGTCCGAGATTGAGCGAGGCGGCGCTGCGTCGGCACGCGGCGGCGATGCGCGGCGAGCGCGAGCGCGCGGCGCGCGCGGCGAGCGCGCTGCGACGCGAGCTGGATGATTTCTCGCGACGCGGACCGAAGCACGACCTGCACACGCCGCTGCACGCGGCGTGCGAGGACGGGGAGGCGAGCACGGCGAGGGCGCTCCTCGTCGCGGGCGCGGCGGTGGACGAACGAGACGAGCGAGGCGCGACGGCGCTCATGACGGCGGCGCAGTGGGGACACGCGGAAGTGTGTCGATTATTGCTCGAGCGAGGGGCGGACGCGAACGGGAAGGACGAACAGGGGGACACGGCGCTGCACGAGGCGGCGCGCGCGAACGCGCTGGACGCGGCGGAGGTTTTGGGGGAGTGGAAGGGGACGAATTTGGAGGCGAAGAACGCGCACGGATGCACGGCGCTGCACGTGGCGTCGCACAGTGGACACGGGGCGATGGTGAAGCTGCTGGTTCGACTCGGGGCGGCGGTGAACGGGGAGATGCGAGGCGGGTACTCGGCGCTGCACGTGGCGGCGGCGAACGGGTCGAGTTCTTCCCTGAGCGCGCTTCTCGAGAGCGGTGCGAACATTCGACACAGCGCGTCGGAGAGTAACATTCTTCGCTCGGCGAGCGGCACCGCGCTGGAGCTCGCGGAAGCGAACGACCAGGTGGAGGCAGCGCGTCTGCTTCGCAACGCGAGTCAGAGAGAGTTTGAGCAAGGCGGATTGTTCGGGAAGGAGTAAAATTACATAAAAATAAGTACGGTACAAACCTTGTAACTATATCGTATAAGCATGTATGCGGCGTTAACATCGTGATCACAAGCGCTGCGCGCGCGTGCGCGGGTCTCGCATGCGAGGCGGCGGAGGTTTCCAGTTTGCCTCGTCGTCCGGCTTGCCGAGCTGTCCGCACGCCGACATCTCTTCGTCCCCTCGAGACTGTCGAATCGTGCACGTCACGCCCGCATCGCTGACGCGCTGGCGAAAAGCGTTGATTCGCTCTTGATCGCTGCACTTGAACTCCGAACCGTCGTGCGTGTTGAAATAAATGAGATTGATTTTGCACGGAATGTCGCGAGCGATTTCGACCAATCGATCCGCGTCCTCGTCGCTGTCGTTCACGCCTTCGAGCATGATGTACTCGAAAAATACCTGTCTTTGGTGCCTACCGAGAGATTGGCGCGGAAACTCGCGACGGAGCAATCCAAGAAGCATTTCGAGGTTGTATTTGCGATTGATGGGCATGATCCAGTTGCGAATGTAATCCGTCGTGGCGTTGAGCGACACGGCCAACGACGCCTCACTCTCGCGTAAAAATCGCTCCATCTGTGGAACCAGCCCAGACGTGCTCACGGTGACTTTGTTACGCGAAAACCCCAATCCTTTGGGATCCAACAAGATTGATACCGCCTTTAACACCTCATCGACGTTGTGCAGCGGCTCCCCCATGCCCATAAAGACTACGTTCGACACCTCGCTCGCGCCCACCATCCGTCTCGCCTGCACGACCTGCTCCACGATCTGCGCCGCGCTGAGATTTTTCCTCAACCCCATTTTCGCCGTGTAACAAAACTGGCAATTCATCGCGCACCCGAGCTGCGAACTCACGCACACCGTCGTTCGACCTCGCTCCGTCAGCGCCGGAATCAACACGCTCTCCACCGTCCCGCCCCCGCTCCCTCGCAGGTTATACGTCACCTTCCGCGTGCCATCCGTCGCTAATCTCGTATCGCTCAGCTCCAAATCGCCGTCGAAGCTTCCCAAAACCTCCAGACGCGCTTTAAATTTATCGCCGAACGCCTCGCTCGCGTCGGCGTCGCCGCCGAGCTCGCGATACATGGCTCTGAACACCGAGTCCGCCCTCGACCGTTTCTCCCCGACGTGCGCGAGCCAATCCGCGAGTTCGGCGCGTCGCATGCCCTTGAGCGCGTACTTGCCGCTCGAGAGGCGAGGGAACGCGTCCAGGGCGTCGACGTCGAGCGGCGCGGCGTCGAAGGCGCGGACGTCTGGAACCGGCGGCGGCGCTTCGGGCGACGCCGCGACGGTGAGAACGCGCGCGCGCGCGCGACGAACGCGCGCGCGAACGCGCGCTCTGCGCGACGACGCGCAGGCGCGAGCGCTCGAGAGCGCGGCGCGAAGCATGGCGTCGGCGAGTGCGGCGTCGAGCGCGCGGCGCGGCGACGACGACGACGGTTCGCGGCGGCGACGATTCAACGGCGCAGACGCCGCGAAACGTCCGACGTTCGAGCGCGTGCGTCGCATACATTATTTCTACCCTAATCCCGCGTCGTCGTCGCCGTCGCGATCGCTCGACGCCTCGCCGTCTCGCGCGCGTCGCGCCGCCATCTCCCGGCTCGCCGCCGTCGCCTTTTCCACGCTATAAAACGCCGACGTCTGCCCCTTCGGCGCGCGCACCACGCCCCCGTTCCCCGCTTCGCTGCTCAGAAACCTCTCCCACGACTGCCACGGCAGGAATCCGCCGCACGCGGTGCATTTGACCAACCGCGCGCCTCGCGAGCGCTCGACTTCGACGAGGCCCGAGCCCGCGCAGAGCGCGCACCGGCGCTGGATGAGCACGCGCTTCCCGAATTCGTACGCCGCGATCGCGAACGGGCTGACGCCGGCGATGAATCCGAACCACAGCTGCCACGCCTCGACCGGGGCGACGTCGGCGTCGGGGAGCGCGCGCGGCGGTCGGGACGGTGGATGACGTCGAAAGCGTCCCGAGCGCGCGCGCGGCGCGCGCGAGAGAGAGAGAGACGGCGGCGCGCGCGATGTGGTCGCGCGAGACGCGACGCGCGTCGCGCGCGCGCTCGGGAGCGAACGCGCGCGCATGGTGCGCGCGAGAGAGTGCGGTCGACGCGAGTGTCTGTTCCTATTCTCCTATTCTCCTATTCTCCTATTCTCCTATTCTCCTACGCCTCCGCGCTGCGGCGTCTGGACGGCGACGCACGTCGACGCGCGTCGACCCGTGCCGTAGACGACCACGTTTTTCCCGGGAAAGGGAAGCTCGGCGACGCGCACGTCGGTCAGACCGGCTTTCTGCACGAGATGGTCGACCAAGTGCGCGTGCGTGGTGACGCGGGAGCCGTCGGCGAGCCGGCGTTTGCCGAACTCTTTCGCGTACACGCAACACGGAACGACGGCGAAGGGAAGATTGCGCTCGAGGGCGAAATCGACCGCCGCGTCCGTGGCTTGGTCGGGATGCATGGCGACGACGATGGAGACTCGACGGAGGACGTCGTCGAGCGCGGAGACGACGGCGTCCTGGTCCAACTCGATTTCACCGTCGGCGTCGTCGCCGGCGTCGCCGGCGTCGTCGTCGGCGTCGTCCTCATCGCTTCGACGATCCGTCGACGGCGCGATATCGACCGCGCCGTCGACGACGCGCACCGTCGCCCCCGCGTCTTCGTATCGAGCGTCTCTCCTATCGTCCGCGACGAGTCCCGACACGCACCACCTGCTCGCTCGCGCCGCGACGTTCGACGCTCGCACTCTCGCTTCCCACGCCGCGTCCTCTCGCGCGTACACCTCCCGCGACCAATACACTCGCAAGTGCTTCGGTTCTCGCACGCGTATCGTCGCGGCGTCGCGTTCGCGTTCGCGCAGATGAAATCCCAGCGCGAACCTGCGCCTGAGCCTTCCCAGGCGCATCGCGCGCGGATCGATCACCCACACCTCCGCCGCGTTCGTCGAGTTCATGAGATCGAACGCCAGGACGCCCTTGCCGCCGGCGACGTCCAGGACGACGCCGCCGTCGAGCGCGTCGGCGAACTCGCGCGCGAGCCACTCGCGAAACCGTTTCACTTTTTGCCGCGAGTCTTTTCGGCGCGTTTTGCGCGACCTCGAGCGAGGCGCGCGCGCGGCGTCGGCGTCGCGCGCGGCGTGGGCGAATTTACACGCGTCGCCGTAGCGACACGCCCCGCGGAGGAAATGGCGACAAGGCGGCGACGAGGACATCGTCGCGGCGGCGTGTGCGGGACGAGACGGCGAGACGGCGAGACGACGGCGACGCGCGGTTCGCGACGGCGAGACGGCGATGAAAAATTAAATGAAATACAAGCGATGCCGGGCGCGCGGCGGTGACTGGCTCGATCGATGACGCCGAGACGCCGGACTATTTTTGAAAGAAGACGAGGGAGAGGACGAAGTCGACGACGAAGATGGCGGTGAGACTGATGACGACGCTCGCGGTGGTGCTCTCGCCCACGCCCTTGGCGCCGCCCGTGGTGGTGGTACCCCAGCCGCAGGAAATCACCGCGATGACGGCGCCGAAGGCGATGGATTTCGCGGTCATGATGCCGATGTCGCTCGGTTCCAAATACTTGGCCGCGCTGTCGATGATGACGTTCGGCGACACTCCGTAACGCAAATCCGCGAGTAAAATGCTCGCTCCGAGCGCCTGCGCGAAAGATATTATGCTCAATATCGGCAGCGACACCGCGCACGCGATGACGCGCGGGATGACGAGATAATCCACGGGATCCGTCCCGAGCACCGTGAGCTGGTCCACTTGCTCCGTCACCTGCATCGTCCCCAACTCCGCCGCGATCGAGCTCCCGATTCTTCCCGTGAGCACGATCGCGCAGATCACCGGCGTCAACTCCCGCGCGAACGCCAGGCCCAGCAACCCCCCGATCGCGTTCTTCAGCCCAACCTTCGCGAACTCCTTACAAAACTGAATCGTAAACACCATCCCCACGAACGAGCTCGTCAACAGCGACACCCCGAGCGTTTGCGGCCCCACGCGCGCGATCTGCTGCAACGTCTGCTCCCAATTCACCCGTCGCGGCTGTCGCGCGCACCGATACAGCACGCTTCCGAACAACAGTCCCGTCGCCGCGCTCCGCCATAAAAATTTCGGCGGCGTCCACGCGCCGAGCGTCCGCGTCGCCCACGCCCGCGCCGCGCCCTCCAACCGCGCCACCGCCGAGTCCGCCGTCCCCGCGACGTCCGCGCGCCTCGGCGCCGCCGCCCGCGTCGCCGCGCCTCGCCTCGCGCCGTCCGAGCGCGCGCGCTCGAGTTTCGACGCATCCGTCGTCATCGCCGTCGTCGTCCCCCGCCGCGCCCGTCGCGTCTGCTCGCGCGCGCATCGCGTCCACGCGCGCGTCCGCGTCGCGTCGACGCGTCGCAGCGCGAGCGATCGCGGCGACGCGCGCGCGCGCGCGCGCATCGCGCGTCGCAGTGTGTGGACGCCGAACCCTAACGACGCGCATTTATCTGCGTCGAATCGCGTTCGAACGCGATGCGCGTCGCTTTGTAGACATCGCGAACGCGATGTGCGAACGCGTCGAAGGGCGTATCTTCGACGATGAGGCCGATAAGGCGCCGCGCGTCGGCAGACGACGACGCGCGGCGAACGATGATGGGCGCGCGCGCGACGACGACGACGACGGCGACGGCGACGGTGACGCGGAAGACGACGACGACGCGCCGAAGCGCGGCGGCGGCGCGCGCGACGCGAGGGGACGACGAAACGATCGCGGCGAAGGTTAAAAATTTCGCGATCGCGACGACGCTCGCGACGACGCTGAGCCTCGGCGCGGTGACGAGCGACGCGAAGGCGGGGGAGATTGAAATTCTCGCGACGCCGGCGCCGACGGCGGGGTACATCGTGGACGACGCGGGATTGATGTCGAGGTCGACGGCGACGGCGGTGAACAAGACGCTGAAGGAGCTGGAGGACGCGACGGGATTTCACGTGAACGTGATCACGGTGAGAAAATTGGTGTTTGAGACCGATCCGTTCGCGTTTGGGGATAAGGTTTTGGAGACGTGGTACCCGACGGTGGAGGAGGGGAACGATAAGGGTAACTTGTTGCTGGTGAAGTCGACGAAGGACGGCGCGTTGGTGGGGGGGCCAAAATTTTTGAAACAGGTTGGCGATCCTTTGATTGACAGCGTTTTGACGAGCAACTACGGTATTAATCTCGAGCAAGAAAAGTATAACGAAGCGTTGACGTCGTCGGTGAAGCGCATCGCGGCGGTGCTCGAGGGCAAGGACGATCCCGGCCCTCCGGCAAAGTTTGAGGCGCAAAAGGGAAGCAACTTCAAGACGAAGAGCGAGACGAGCGAGAAGCGTGACGTGTTCGCGAACGTCGTCATCGGCTTGCTCGTCATCTCTTTCGTCGTGCCGATGTTGCAATACGCCGGTTACGTCGTCGGTGACCCGGACTTTGACGAATAATCGTCTCGACGAGAGCTTCGGCTGTACAAAATATCGGATCGACTCGCGCCGCGCGACAGTTTTATAACCATTTTACCACAACAAATCTCCAAAACTGTCTAGCTTCTCCTATTGCACAATTCTATCTCGAACATCGCCACGCGTCCGCTCGCCGCGCGCGCGCGGGCGGCCTTTCCAAAACTACTGCTCGACGTTGGCCGCGAAGACGTACGTCACGCACCGGCCCAAGTCGTCGGCGCTCGGCTCGACGTCCTCGGCGTCCTCGGCGGGGGTGTCGCAGTATTCGTACCCGGGAAACTCGCTCGCAAGAAATTCCACGCTCGTTTTAAACACTAAACGCGCCTTGAGCGCCAGACCCTCGACGTTCCACTTATCGTACGGCGCCCCCGTTTGCATCGTCAATCGCAGTTCCCCGTTCGACTTCAACAACTTTGGCGCGTTCTCAAAGAAACTCGCGATCAGCTCCCGCTGCGCCCTAACGCTCAGCATCCCAACCTTCCCCACCCCCGCGTCGGGAAAATTAAACACCACGCGATCGAAATTCGACCCTCCCGCGCGTCCTCGCAGCGTCGCGCTCCCGCTCTTCGTCCCCAGCGTCTCGCACTCCATCCCGTACACCACCGACGCCCCGCTCGCCTCCAGCGCCTCCACCGTGTCCTCCATCGTTCCATACATTTTTTTCGCCCCTCTTTCGCTCGCGTCCGTCGTCACCACCAGCCCCGGCGCGTCGTTTCCGAACAGCGTCGCCAGCGCCAGCGCGAAGCTCATGTTCCCGTCGCCCACGCACAAAATCTTCATCCCTCCGTGATACCCCTGCGGCGCCGTCGCCGTCCCTCGCGCCTCCGCCCGCGTCTTCGCCTTATCCTTGCGCTTTCTCCACGCCGATCGCTTCGACGCGCTCGCGCCGTCGCTCGCGCTCGGTCGCGTCGCCGCGCGCTTTCGCAGCGCGAGCGACAGCGGCTCGCCGCGAATCTTCGCGATCGCGCGCGTGATGCGCGCCTCGCGCCCCTTCTTCGCCATCGCGCGCCGTTCGGCGCGCGCCCGACCGCGCGTCGCGTCGGCGCGGCGCGGCGTCCGGCGGCGCGGCGCGGCGTCGGCGCGGATTCGTCGCAGAGCGCGGCGCGCGCGAATGGCGCGCGCGTACGACGCGCCGGGCTACGACGTCGGCGCGGCGCCGCCGAAGCGCGCGCCGACGACGCGCTGGCGCGAGCTCGCGACGTGGGCGTCGCTCGAGCGCGCGCGCGAGGGCGCGCGCGGCGACGCGAGCGACGGCGATGGTGTTGCGGCGACGACGACGGATGCGACGCGCGCGTTCGCGGTGCGACGCGATCTGAACGCCCTCGTGCGCGTGTGCGCGTTCGATGGACGCGACGCGACGTCGCCGTGGCTGCTGGACTGCGAGGTGGTGACGTGCGCGGGACGGGAGGGGGCGAGGGCGCGCGAGGCGAGCGGCGACGCGCCGGGCGCGACGCTGACGGCGCTCGCGGGGAGCGACGTGTGGCGCGAACTCGGGACGAACGGCGAGCGGGCGAGGACTGGGGAGTGCGCGATGACGTCGGGAGGACGGTTGCCGGCGCGGAGGATCGCGCACTGCGTCGGGCCGAGGTACGCGGAGAAGTACGCGACGGCGGCGGAGCACGCGCTCGTGCACTGTTACGTGAGCGCGCTGACGAAAGCGGTGGACGAGTGCAAGGCGAGGACGGTGGCGTGCACGCCGGCGTGCGATGAGAAGAAGGGGTATCCGAGCGATTCGGCGGCGATGGTGATGGTGCGGACGATTCGTAGGTTTCTGGAGAAGTGGAGCGGTAAGTTGGACTGCGTCGTCGTGTGCGCCAACGCGGCGGAGATGGATGATTATCGAGCGGCGCTTTCGGTGTTTTTCCCGAGAAACGACGAGGAAAGAAAGCTATCGGAGGAGGCGCTGAAGGATAAGCCCGGGTACAACGAGTACGGAGAGATGATTTTGGACGAAAGACGTCTGCGCATCGCGGGGCGGTTGTCGTCGGCGAGCGATTTCACGGGCGGGATGAACAAGACGATGGGGGTCAGCCTGGATGATTCCGACGCCACCGTCGTGCCCGCGGTGAGCAGCGTTTTCATGTCGATGAGCATAGATCCCGAATCCAGACGCCAGCGCGTTGAAGAGAATGACGGTGATGTAGACGCGAATTGGGCCGGGGCGTTGGATCGTCTCGCCGTGGGCGCGAACGAGGAAACCGGGCTCACGGTGTCGCGAGACACGCGAGACGTGGAGGATGAACAAACCCGCCGAGCGAATTTGCTACGGCGCGCGGAATCTATGGATGTGAGCGATGTGAGCGACGCCAAGGCGATCTATCTAGAAAAGTCTCGCGATTACATCGGTCGACGAGTCGTCGTCGTCATCGCCGCGTTTCTCGAGCGCTTGATCAAGTCGGGCGAAGAGCAAAGGCTCCTGGCGCACGTGGCGAAGGAACTTCGTGGGGTGACGGATAATCCGCGAGGATACGTCATTGTGTATCATCACACCGGAGGTGTGTACGGCGCGCCGCCTAGCTTGGACTTCATTCGCAAGCTGCACGTCGCGCTCGGGCCGCAGCATCGCGACACGCTGAAGACGGTGTTTGTCGTGCACGCGACGGCGATACTCAAGGCGGCAATCTGGACGATGGACATGCTTCAACTCGAGTCGAGGTTGTGTAACAAGGTTGAGTACGTCGAGACAGTGTGCGATTTACGCGACTACGTCCGACTGGAAGGGATCAACGAGAAACTCGAAATACCTGCGCACGTCGAAGAATACGAACGAGACCTCGCTCGAAACGCGCAGACTTCTTTCTGGTAGATTTGTACGATACGATATATGCATATAACGGCTTGCGTGTGCCTGTGTACTACATTATCGCTGTGCTAACAGCGGTGCTTCTATGGAATAATGGCGTCGGTGCTACATCGCGTTCAATGCTTGCCTCAGCTCGATGAACTGGGAGGACAGTGCGGCGACGCGCGTTCTAATCTTTTGCGCTTCGCTTTCTTTCAGTAACTTGCCGTACTTTTGCTCAAACTTATCGGGGTGCCACGACAGCGTCGCCTTGGTCACTTTTTTCTTCTTCTCATGCAAGCCATCAGCACCGGCGAAGAAAGCGATGTTGTGCGCCGGTGGCCAAGGAATGTCGGTTTCGCACAGCGATCCCACCGCGCGCGACTTGAGATTTTCGAGCGATGTCAGATGTGATTCCCACATCGCTTTCGTCGCCGTTGGCACCGAGTTGGCTCGAGAATTTTTGCGAATTTGCTCTGCTTGTTGCGACTTCCATTTTTGGTGCGAACGAGCCTCTTCTTCTTGTCGCGCTTTTCGCTCGCGCTCAAGTTTTGAATCCATCTGCGCTCGCCGCGCCGCCTCCTTCTTTTGCTGCGCCTCGGCTTGTCTGCGACCGAGCTCTTCCCTCGCAAGCTTTTCTTTGAGCTGCCTCTCGAGTTCAGCCTTTCGAAGTTTCGCGATGCGTTCCTTTCGGCGCGCATCCTCAGCCTCGTTCGTGGCCTTTTCATTTTCCTTCTCAGCGCTAGAATCGTCAGAGTCGTCGTCGTCGTCGATGACTATCTTCGCCTTCTTTTTGCCGTAGAAGCTCCCGGGGGACATCGCCTCGGGTTTTCCCTTGCGCTTTTGAGCTTCCTGCGCTCGAGCTTGCGCGCGTCGAGAAGCCTCTTCGCGCACGCGTTGCGCTTGCAACTCGTCGTTCTTTTGATGCTTTTGCATGAACGCCAGACGTTCGCGATCTTCCTCGAGCTCTCGCTCGAGCTTGGCGATGCGCTCCTTCTCCTCCGCGAGTTCCCGCGCGCGGTCGACGTTTCGAGCCTTCTCTTCCGCCAACCGTTGCCCTTCAATCTCAGCCAGTTTACGTTGGCTCTCCATTTTCGCTCTCTCCTCCGCAGCTTCGCTCGATTGGCGCTCGAGTAATCGACGCTCGTCTTCGAGCTCTCGCCGACGTTGAACGATGGATTCCTTCTCTCGTCGCAACGCGTCGCGTTCACCCTCGATATCAATCTTCAGCGACGCGATTTCCGCCTTCGTGGATTCCACCTTTAACTTTTTCTCCTCCAGCGCGCGAAGCTGGTCCTCCAACTTGGATTCCTTCGCCGCGCGTCGCTCAACCTCCTCCGTCTCTCGTCGACGCCTCTTCTCCGCGCTCGCCTCCGCCGCGGCCGCCGCCGCGGCCGCGGCCTTATCCTGACGCTCCGCCATTTTCCTTTCATTCGCCTCGCACTTCCCCGCGCACGTCGCACATCGTTGCAATCCCCTCAAATACGCCTGTCTCGCCTCCGTCGGCTGCGATTTCATCGTCGTCAGCGTCTTCATCAACCTCGCGCACTCCCCCGGCGACCCTCTGACGAGCACCCGCGTCCCGTCCTTCGTCTCCACCGTCATCTTCCCCTCTCGCACAAACTTCCCAAATATCGCCTTCACGTCCCCTATCTTCGCCTCGTGCGTCGTTTTCCCGCTTCCAAACCGAAGCGCGAACGCTCTTCCCGGCGTCGCCGCGTCGTTCGCGTCGCTCATCTTTCCGAATTCAAACCGTCCCGTCTTCGCGTCCCGCGTCGTCTCTTCCTCTTTTCGCGGCCGCTCCATCGCGCAGTGTTTCAGCGTCTGCGACGTGACATCGCCGCCTCGTTCGACGCGCGCGTCGACGTCGAAGCACCACATGCCGTCGTCGTCGTCGTCGCCCTTCGTTTCCTCGCTTCGATTCAAATCCAACTCAAATCAAATCAAATCAAATCAAATCAATCAGAGAGACGACGACGACGCGACGACGACGCGACGCGACGAGCGACGAGCGACGCGCGCGGTCGACGCGATGTCGCGGCTGCGCGACCCGACGCGCCGGCGTCGCGCGTCGCGACGCGCGCGCGTCGTCGAGGCGCGATGTGCGGCGTCGCGGGGCGCGCGTTTGAATTTCGTCGTCGGTTCGGACATTCGGATGGATTCGATGACAACGGACGCGACGACGGAGGCGCGGGCGCGGGCGCGGGGCGAGTCGCGGACGCGGGATCAACCCGTCGACGGAGGATTGACGCCGACTTGGTGGAGGTAGCCGCACTTATCTCCCCAGCTGCATCCTCGAGGGGTGTTGAAGAAGGCGCACACGCCGCGGTACGTCTTGCCGTTGAGGTTGAGCGCCTGCTGCGCGGGCACGGGGGCGCCGCCGACGAGCGCCTGTTTCGTCGGTCGCTGCGCGGGCTGTTGCGCGCCGGGTTGGTAAGGGGGCTGAGGTGCGTACGCGGCTTGAGGGGGTGGTGGTGGGAAGGCGTGTTGAAGAGGCGCCTGCGGGGGGTACTGGTAACCGGCGTTTTGATGCGGCGCGTTGGCGGCGAGCAACGTGCGTTGAAGCGCGGCAAAGTCGATGTTCGGAGGAAGTAACGATCCCGGAGCCTGTGGCATTTGGAGCTGTTGGGGCATCGCGGGTGAAGGTTCGCCGCTGTCTTGAGACAGCGGTTCTTCTTGAAACTTCATGTAGAAGGCTGGCGTGTTGTCGAGGTCGAGTTGCGCGTCCTCGTTCGGCGCCTCCGCCGGAGAGTCTGGAATGTCTTTCAGACTCCTGTACTTGACGCTCGGTTTCTCGGCTTCGATGCGAAGAATTCTCTGGGATTCTTCCGACTCGTCACCGGGGACTCTGTCCGACTCTTCCTCTTCCCAACGAGGAATTTCGATGCGCCGAGGCGGGCGCCAGGTTGTCGTGGCGCGCATCTCGTCGAGTCGACGCTGGTGCTGCTTTGCCGCCGCCTTTCTTTCCGCCTCCACTTCCCTGTCTCTCCTCTCGAGCGCCTTGCGGCTTGCGCCATCGGTCCCACCGTCTCTCGTCGGATCTGGGAAAGCCGTTTCCTTCGGTTGCTTGGCGTCCTTCTCAAAGATTCTGACTTGCTCCAAATTTTCATCCTTCGCCCAAGTCACCGTCTTCCGCTTGCGCTTCTTCCCAGTCTTCTCGTCGATTTTATCATCGTCCTTTGCCTTCTCTTTCGTCTTCACCGGCGGTGCGGTGATCTTCGTCGATTGCGAACTCGTCTTGAGCAAATCGTTCACGCTCACGCTCGGTTTCTTCGTCGTCACGCTCGGCGGAGCCACCTTCTTTTCCATCGTGATTTTCGTCACCGTGGTCTTCACCACCGGCGCTTTCGAAGGCGCTGGTGAGATTTTCGACTTCGCACCGAACAAGTCATCGTCACCGAGTTCGACAGCCTTGGACGCGGGCACCGCCGCGGGCGCCGGGTTGACCACGGGCGCCGGTTTCGGCGCCGGCGCCGGCGCCGTGTGGGGCGCCGTGATTTGCGCTTTCCACGCGTTCTTGACCGACTTGGATAACAAGACAACTTTAGTGTTCATCTCGGTGTTGGCAAACTCCTCTTCACCCTCTGGCACCACGTACGACTTCAACTTGCCCAGATTCGGGGCGATCGAAGTACGCGTGAGCGCGTCCAATGTAACTGGAATCATCTTCAATGTTCTAAGAATGCTCACTAAAAGAGTGGATTGAAACTTCCTTTTAGCGTCGTCCATCCAATCTTGCAGCGTGTCTAATCCTTTAATCTCCGCCGACTGACCGAACTGGCGCAAACACTCTTTGTTTTTCGTGCCTCGAATGACTTGGAGCAAAAGTCCGCGTTCCTTAGGCTTGGTCGTCTCTCGCATCATTCGTACAAATTTAGCGATGCTACGCAAGGCAATGTCCCCATCGTAGTCGAGTAAGGTCTCTAGCTGTGACTCAAACGCTGATTTTTTCACCTTCGGCGGCGCCGGCGCGTCGGCCACCTCCCCACCTATGACTAAGCCCGACGGATGGTATCCGTACCTGTCGATCCAGTCTCCGACAGTCATCCCGAGTTTTCCATCCGAACGCACGATGCGTAAGCTAATCTTCCACTTCTTCGCCGACCCGCGCCCGCCCTCGCTCTCAAACTTACTTGGCGTCATCATTTCGCCCTCGCATCGCACGCGCTCCTGAAGTTTCTTGTATCCCTTCTTCAGCTCGAGAACGCCTCTGAGATCGCCGCACGCGACGTCCACGGAGACGTCTCGAGTAATTCCAGGAAACGGAACACCTTCCTCGAGCACCGGCTGCTTAGACGCTGGGATTTTCGGCGAGTCGTCCATAGCGTCGTCATCCGCAGTCGCCGCTTCGGCGGCACCCGGCGAGTACTCGTCTCCATCGGCGGAGTCGACTCCGTCGGCGGCGGCGAGGCGCGCGACGGTTTCGCGCGCTGCCTCCGCTGACGCACGCGACGATTTCGCAAAGGAAGCGAAGATTTTTTCTACCAAATCAACTGACAGTTTCGTCTTCTCCGACCACTCGCTCACGAGCGTGCGCTGGTTGGTGCTCGTCGAAGACTTGGCCGCGGCGGTGAGCTGCGCGCGAAGCGCGAGCGGCATCTTTGCCAACTCAGTCGCCAACACGTCTCCATTGAACCCAGCGTCGCCATCCGATGAAGAAGACGATGCCTCTCCACCGCGTGCGATCGGCGGTCGATCATCGTCTGACGAAGACGACATGGTGATCACGTCCGTCATCGCCAGTCAAAGACTCGCCGAGCGAGCGTCGAGTCGGACGAAACCGCCTCTGTTCTTCCCTTCTCTCGCGGCGGTCGCCTCGAGGAAGTTCCTATTATTTATTTAACAGGCCAAACGCGGTGACGTCTATTATCGTCCTCTCGGAATTTCTCCGATCGAGTCCGGCGTAGAACGTCTACCCGCGCGTCGAGCGCGTTGGTGTTTTTCAATGAAAGAAAATCGATTCGCGAGCGAGCGCGCGCGCGAGAATGAAAATCGTTCAATCGATCGTCGACGGCGCGTTCCGCCTCGCGATCGCTCGTTCTCGTCGGGGGGGGCGTCGGTTCGCGTTCAACCGAGCCTTTTCTACGTCCAAGATCGACGTATCGAAATCAATCAAATCGAATCGACGCGATCGAATCAGACCAATCAATCACACGCAATCCAACGCAATCCAACGCAATCCAATCCGATCCAATCCACCTCTGGACCGCGCCGATCTCCGCCGGCGCGAGATCCGACCGATCGATCGACCGTCACCGCGCCTTCGCCCCACCGCCGCGCGCGTTCGATCGCGCGAACCCTCGCTCGACGTCGCGCGCGTCGCGACGATCGCCGCGCGGCGCGTCGCGATCCGACGCGCGCGCGCGCGCGAATGCGGTCGCGCGCGTCGCCCGCGACGTCGAGCGCGCCGTCGCGCGCGCGCGAGCGTTCGAGTGAAATTCTCTCGAGCGGTGTCGCGCGCGCGCGAACGCGACGGCGCGTCGGCGTCGGCGTCGCGCGCGTCGATCTCCCGCGCGCGTCGCCGAGCCGCACCGCCCTAGGGTGAACACGGACACCGCGCGATCTCCGGCGCGCCGAACCCCAAATTTATCGCCAGCCCACCTTATCTCGCCACAATACGCGCGCGTGATGGCGATTTCGACCGGAGATTCGGTGGGCGCGCGATGGGCGCGCATCCCGTATAAAGATACCCCGAACGCCCATCTCTTGATATCGTCGCTTTCCCGCGTTCGGCGGCGAAACACTAAATTCGTTCGAACGATCGGACGCGCGCGGCACTGCTCGACGACCACCTCGCGCGCCATGTCCGTCCACACGCCGGTCTACATGAATAACCAGCTCTTCGGCTGCACCGACGACGTCGGTGACTGCCTGTACGCGTGCTGCTGCGGCCCGTGCCACGTCGGTACGATCGCGCAGCGCACGGGCTCGGGCGATTGCTTCGGGACGTGCTGCATCAACTACATCGCGTACATGTTCTGCTGTCCCCTAGGGCTCGTGCACGGAGGGAGCGTGTTCAAGAGCGCGCTGTATCGCGTCGGGGTGACGGCCCCGCTCGATACGATCGCGTGCATCTGCTGCCACCCGTGCTTGCAGTGCCAGGTCAGCCGAGAGATCAACGATCGACAAGCGGCGGCGGCGGCGAACCCGCAGGCTGGCGCCCCGCAACCGCAAGTGATCGTCGTGCAAGCGCCGCCGGCGCAAGTGGTGTACAAGTAAGCGAGTCGTCGACGAGCGATCGCGAGGGCTGAATTGAACGTAATTTCAAACGATTGCCGTCGCGACGAGACGTCGAGTTTTGTGTAAAAGCTACGTCTCTCTCGCGCGCGCGCGCGATATAATACGTCAGTAGCGATGGGTCACCGATTATGGTTTTTGTAACTTAACTCGCGCATCTTACGTACGTTCGCGCGGTCTCGCGGCGTGTCTCGCGGCGAGGCGACGGCGAGGCGACGGCGAACTGAAAACATTTCGTTGACTGCGCGGCACACCGCGACGCCGCGATCGCGCGCGCGCGGCTCGAACGACGGCGTTCGAACGCACGATGCGCGCGCGCGCGAACGGTGCGCTCGAGCGGCACAGACCGCCGACGCTCGTCGTCGGCGGTGGCGCGACGACCGGGACGCTGACCGGCGCGACGACGACGACGACGACGACGCGCGCGCGCGCGTTCGAGCGCGACGAAGAGGCGGAGACGACGCGTGACGATGCGCGCGTGCACGCCGCGCGCGGTGCGGGGGCGCGAGGCGACGCGAGCGCGCGGACGAGGCGCGCGCGACTTGAAGAGTCAATTGTTTCGCGCGAGGCGCGCGACGACGACGCGGACCACGCGGCGGGGAAGAGCGCGGCGCGCGTGCGCGTCGAACGCGCGCTGGGCGGAGCTTTTGATTATAGACAAGTCGTCGCGCGCGCGTTGGCGAGCGCGGAGGAGGAGATGAAAGAGAAGAAGGAGACGCGCGCGACGAACGGAGACGAGGAAGCGTGGCGCGGGTTTCCAAACGAGGAGACGAGGGCGTTCGCGATCGATGCGCGACGCGATGTCGAGCGAAGGATGAGGGATATTAGAGATGAGATTGCAGAGGAGATTTGGGGGGAGACGCAGCGCGAGAGACGTCGCGTGGTGGCGCATGAGAGTGAGCGAGAGGAGAAGACGCGGGCGCCGCCAATGAGAAATCGCGTCGGCGTTCGTAAAACGGCGGTCGCTTTCGGGACCACGGTTCGTGCGTAGGCTACGTAGAACCGATAGAACATATAGATTACAATTTTTTCGACGGTGATTACGATTTCTTGCGCTTCTTCGCAAACTTGCCGCCGCCCTCTCTCGCGCGCGCCTGCGCCGCCTCGGCTTTGCCTTTTTCGCGATACGCTCGTTTGAGATTGTCCTTCTTGAGCTGTCCACGCCACTCGTCCTCGATCTTTTGTGCTTTCGCGCGAGCGGCGCGACGCGCGGCTTGTTGTTGTTCGCGCTTCGCGAGCTTTTCGTTGCGAATAGTGTTGAGTTGCTGCACCATGGTGGCGAGTTTGTTCTCCTCCTTGTCTTGAACGACGGCGCGCCGCTGCTCGAGCGTCTCCCGCGTTCGAGCCTTCTCCAACTTCGGCTTCGACTTGAAAGGTAACGCTTGCTGAAGCGCTTTTGGAACTTGCAGTTTGTTGAACACGCGTTTTTGTCGCTCGATTGGCTTGTAAATGGAATCGGGATTGACGGGAATCGGCATCGATTTCTCAAACCGGAGTTGACCGACGGTTTTCATGCCTCGCCATTCCTTCGTGTCCTTCATCATGCCCGACGTGACTGGGTTGTAGAATTTCGGCACATCCACCTTGGTCCACGTGCGTAAGAAGATAATGTCCGATAAGAGAAGCTTATCCTCAAACGAGGCGCGGAAACTACCCTCCTTCATGCCACCATCCTTTGATCCGTGCGTTCCCTCACCCGGCTTGACGGCTTTCTTAATCGTACCTCTGATACCTGAGACCGTTCGAAGCGCAGCACCCTCAAATCGGCTGACTTCTAAGGAAGAATTGAACATACCAGAGATGAAGGCGGTGTTCTTGAACACCTTCGTCGGCGTGCCGACGAGTTTGAGCTTCTTAACGATTTTAATCGAGTGATCAAACTCGAGCACCGTCGCCGTCGCCGCAATTCTGAAGCTCGCCTGCGATGACGTCAAGCTTTGGAACGCAATCACCCCAGTATTTTGCGGATTCAAAGGTCCGTAAAATGTTGCATAACAGTGCATGTGATCGGGTGTGTACTTGATCATGCGATGACGAGAATTCGCGTCCATCATCGAGTACACCGGAATGCTTTGGAATCGTCTCCAGCCGACAGAAAAAATGAGTGGGTCACGATTTTTCAGCGTCTTGCGATGCCACCTATGCTTCTTGAGCCGAAGTTGTTGAAGACCCATGATTTCCTCGCCGGGGAGAATACCACCAATGACGATTGGACGCGTGGGGTCAAAGTTTTCCACCCACTCGCACGGCGCCCTGGCGAGGACGATTCGGAGATACGCTCCTGGGCGGAAACCTTCCATCGCTTGCCGCGTGTGATCGGGTAGAGTGTCCAAAATAGATCGCGACCGCGCCGTCTCTTCCTTCATTTGATTCTTCACCAACTCGAAGTACGACGATGGACCGTCTGGGTCGACGTAATTTGGACTCTTTTTATTCACCGACTTTTCACCACCTTCTGATACGAACTCCTCGTGTTTCGCTCGCTTCTCTTCGAGTCGTTTCGCTTCTTCGTCGTCGTCATCGCCGTCGTCGCCGTCATCGCCGTCATCGCCGTCATCGCCGTCGTCTTTACCGCCCGGCGCACCGGGTCCAAACTTTTCACCCGTCTCTAAGTCTTCAAAGTCGCCAAAGACTTCGTCCTCGTCGCCGTCTTCGTTCTCATCTCGCGGTTGCGCCTCACTTCGCGCCTTGGCCGCGTCCCAATCACCGGTGACGAATCGATTTCTAAGTGCTGGATCGTCGAGATCCAAACCAGAGCGGACTTCGGGTAAGAATTTGGTTCGATCAAACGAATCGAGTGTGTCCATCTTTGAATCGGAATCTTCTTGCTTTCTAAACAAGTCTGATTCGGAGTCGGAATCGGATCCGGACTCATTCACGCGCTCGCCGCGCGTCGTGCCCGTGGTATCGTCGTAGATGAGCTCCATAAGAGTCTTCTCGCGTTTGTACCCTTGCATCATTTCTTTCCACTTGGACGCGCCGCGACCGAGACCTTCGTTGTCGTCTTCCTCATCCTCACCCTCCTCATCCTCATCCTCGCTGTCGACGTCTTCGTATCCTCTCTCGGGTTCTTCGTCAAAGTCAGCGGCGCGACGCGTTCTACCGTCGCCTGCTTTCTGCTTTCTCGAAGGAAAGTCGACGTCTTCGCCGTCGCTACCATTATCGCTCTCGTCGTCCGAGTCGTCCTCATCGCTCGAATCACCCTCGGAATCTCCATCGTCCGAGTCCACGTCGAATGCGTCTTTCTTCTGAAAATCTTCCCCTTTCAACGCTTTACTTCCTTTGAAGAGCGATATTTCGCTGTTCCGAAGCTTCTCGTCGACGGAGATGCGCGTGTCCTGCAAACCGTGCACCATCTCCACGCCGAAATCCACCGCGTGTTCATCTGGCAACGGACGCCCTTCCGCGAGAAGTTTTTCACGAAGCTGGCGCTTTGAGAAGTTCATTTGTTTGTCGTCGACACTGATGTATACCGCGTCTTTATCGTACAATAAACCACCGACGTCGCTCATCGGGGCGTAAATGAGCTTTTGCTTTTCGTCCAATTTTCGCTGCTTTCTCTCCTTGCTCGGCAGCGGACACGGATCGGGCAATTGCGCGATTTCTTTCACCGCCATGTCCCCAACCCCTGCAACGTGCACGAGCTGTCCGTGCTTTAGGTTGCATCCGTGCAAGTACCCATACAGCGCCACCTCGCGATCGCACACGGGATTGTCGTGCACGAGCTCTGGCTTTGTGATGTCCTCGAAACGGTCACCCACGACGTATGGATGCGACGTTCGCCAAATCAACGGTTTGGTCTTCGCCGTCGAGATGAATCGCGCCAAGTTCATCGTGTCCCTGAGATTATATCGCCCATTCGATAAGCCAGAAATGTAAAACAACTTGGCGCCGTCGTAAATCTCCGTCCAAAAGCGATGCTTCAACAACTTCTTCGTCTTCTTCAACTTCTTCACGTCGTGAAACTCGTCGAGATGCGTCAGCACGCCCATGACTCGAGGAAACCCATGCACCTGCAGCACGTTTAAAAACTCAAACGTCTCCATCTCGAATCCGAACGATCCGTCCACGAGCAACAACACCAAATCCGCCACCTTCGCCGCGTCCACCATATCGTTCAGGTCGTTCTTCACCTCCATGATCTGTATCTTCCGCTTCTTCCCCGTCACCAGCGTCAGCGGTCCTTTGATCTCATTCAGCGCGTGTCTCGTGTAGTGCTTCACCAGCGATCGCACGAGCGTCGTCTTCCCCACCCCCGGCGGTCCCTGCACGCACACCACGAACGGCGGCGCCTCCTCCCCCCCCCCCAGCTCTCGCACCGGCGCCCGGAGCTTCCGCTCCGCCTTCTCGATCGCCACCGTCCGCGCCCGCTTCGCCTTTCTCGCCCCGCTGAATATGAACGCCCGCGGATTGTTCCCACCGCGCGTCGTCGCGTCGTCCCCGCCGCCGCCGCCGTCCCGCCGCGCCCGCTTCGTCTTCGCCGTCAGCGCCTTCTTCTCGCGCTTCGCCCCCGCGCGCGGCGCGCGGTGCGGCTTATCGCTCGCATCGCTCTTGAACACCGCGTCCATGCCGCGCGTCGCGCGCGCGCCGTCGTGCCGCGCGGCGCGGACGTCGCGGGCCGTTCGCGCGTCGCGCGCGCGCGATCGAACCATCGCGCGCGTTCGATCGATCGACGCGTCGAGCTTCGTCTCGCGCGATCGATCGACGCGTCGAGGTTCGAGACGATCGCGCGATCGACGGTCGCGACGACGCGCGTCGCCCGCGTCGACGCGACGTCGCGACGCCGCGACGCGTCGGACGCGTCGGACGGCGCGCGCGCGTCGACGTCGACGCCGACGCGGGAACGCGCGCGCGATGCGCGTCGTCGCGACGCCGTGCGCGCGCGCGACGCGACGCGCGACGACGACGACGACGACGACGACGGGACGCGATAAGACGACGCGACGACGCGCGACGCGACGACGCGCGGACGCGTCGCGCGACGACGCGGGCGCGGCGTGGCGCGGCGCGACGCCGAAACAGTCGTCGCTACCGCTGCGCGAGGACGGGACGGTGGATTACGCGCGCGTGGACGCGTCGCCGGTGAGTAAAATCTTGACGCGGACGATTCGCGGGTTGCTGGTGCGAGAGGTGGGCGGCGTCGACCGGGATCCGAGGCCGTGGACGGAGTTCGAGGGGATCATGAGCGCGGTGCGGGAGGTGAACGACATGAAGGGAAACGCGAGGGACGTGCAAGTGCGGGCAAAGCGGGTGTTCGCTGGGATACTGCCGGCGATCGGGATCGGGTTCGTGCCGCCGATTTGGAAAAAGGCCATCCAGCCGAATACGCCGGATTGGGCGGCGAATTACGCGTTCGTGTTGGTGTTCACGAACTTGTTTCCGTGGCTCATGGGACCGATGGAAGGGGTCGATCACGTCGAGGTTCCCACGCCGGCGTGGTTGACGAAGACGTTTAAGAATGTGCCAAAGTTTGTGCGCGTGCCGCAAGCCGTCAAGGCGGAGCGGTGTCGGTTTTTAGAGACGTCGCAGTGCGCGAGCGTGTGCGTGAACACGTGCAAGGCGCCGTCGCAGGAGTGGTTGAAGGAGGACTTTGGGATGGATTTACACATTCAACCCAACTACGACGACTTTTCCTGCCAATGGAAGTTCAACGTCGTCCCGCCCCCGCTGTACGAAGACGCCGCCGTCATGGTGCCCTGCTTTTCCAAGTGCGACTCCGAGTTCAAGGGCGAAAAAGACGCCTTCCGCCAGCGCGTCCGCGTCGCCACGGGCGTCGGCATCGTCGACGGCGTCGACACGTACACCGGTGAAACCCTAGAACAAATCGCCGCCCGCGCCTCCGCCGAGGCGCGCGCCGACGCCGCGTACGCCGACGGCACCGCCGCGAGCGCCGCCGCCTTCGCCTCGCGCGCCGACGACGTCGTCTCCTCCGGCAAGTGTTGGTCCGTCGACGAGCGTCGCGACGCCATGAGCGACGCATCGCAGTAGTGAACGACGCCGTAGTTTCATCTTCATTCATTCACCCGCGCGCCGCGCGCTTTCATTTTTTTCAATCCGTTCGCGCGTCCGCGTCGTCGTCCCGACAGCCAGAGGGGAAAGATCATTCAAAAAATCTTTCCCTCGACGCGCCCGTCGCGCCGTCGCCACACCGCGCCGCCGCACCGGCGCGAGACGATCGCGCAAAAATGGCGACCCGCGTCGTCGTGCCCGCGACGACGTTCGCGCTCGGCGCGGCGTCGCAGCGACAGTTTGGATACGTCGACGTCGCGCTCGATTACGCGCGAAGATCGGACCCGAGCGTCGCGTCGCACGTCGACGCGATGTTCGGACGGGCGTCGGACTCGGCGCGAACGGTCGCGGACGCGGTGACGCGCGCGCCGAGCGCGAGCGCGAGCGACGGCGTCGCGGCGGCGTGGACGCGGGCGAGGGAGACGGCGACCAAGGCGCTGGGCGGGACGACGACGCCGACGACGCTGGGAGGCGCGAGAGCGACGACAGAGCGCGCCGCGAGGGCGACGAGCGCGAGATCGACGACGATGATGCCGAAGATCGGGCTGCGAGGGTACTTCATCGCGGGCGCGGTGACGGGATGCGCGGTGGCGTACGCGCTCGGGCCGGAGCGGTGTAAACGCGCGGCGAGGCGGTGCGTCGACAAGTGCGAGGACGCGATGAAGCGAGCGATGGCGATCGTCGCGGACGCGTTCGAGCGGGTGTTTTCCGACGACGTCAGGGCGGCGATGGAGGACGCGATCTCGCGATGCAGGGACGCGATCGGGGGCGTCGGTCCGAAGCTCGCGCCGATGTTGAAATCGAGCACGGAGAATTTGCACGCGCTGTTGGAGACGAGCGTGGAGCGCACGACGGCGTACACGGGCAAAATGACCGCCTTTGTCGGCGATTTCAGCGAGAAGTACGTCGCCGTCGCCGCGTCCGCCATCAAGGCGCGCGCGATCGACGGTTACGCCGTCGCTCGAGTCGGTTTCAGAGACGTCGTCGACAAATCCTTCGTCGGTTTCGACGCCGCGCGTCGTCGCGCGCGAGAATTCCTCGCCACCGTCGTCGACGCCATCAAACCCTCCAAATCCCGTTAATAATTACGCGCGACGCCCGTCGCGCGCGCGGCGTTCGGCGTCTTTGTGACACCATCCATCCATCGTTCCGTCGTTCGTCGTTCCGTCGCTCCGTCGTTCCACGCATCCGCGCGAGGCGTTTAAAAATCAAAAATCACCCGTCACGCCCCCGCGCGCGCGGTCGGCCGTCGCCATGGACCACGCCCCCGGCGACTGGTTCCAGGACTCCTACGCCCTCACCTCGCTCGCCCTCGCGCCGTCCACGCGCTCGAAGCTCCAGCGCGCGGGCGTGCACAGCGCGCGCGACGTCCTGCGCATCTCTGGAAACTCTCCGTCGACGCTCGCGCGCGAGTGCGCGCTGACGCTGGACGAGGCGAACGACGCGCTGAAAGCCGCGCGATTCAACGGCGAGGGCATCGCGCTGAGAGGGGCGCGGTCGGCGGCGGAATTGCTGCGAGAGGAGCGCGCGCGGTGGTCGGTGTTTACGTTTTGCGAGGCGCTGGACGACGCGCTGGGAGGCGGCGCGGCGAGCGGCGAGATCACGGAGCTGTGCGGATGCCCGGGAATCGGGAAAACGCAGATGGCGATGCAGCTGAGCGTGAGCGCGCAGACGCCGCGGGCGTTCGGGGGATTGGGAGGCGAGGCGGTGTACGTGGACACGGAGGGGAGCTTCACGGCGGAGCGAGCGATGGACATGGCGGAGGCGCTGGCGGAACACCTAGGGCGGTGCGCGAAGAGGTGCGAGGACGAGGACGCGAGGCGAGAGATGGAGGCGGCGCTTGAGACGTGCGCGCCGGAGGCGATGCTGCGAGGGATTCACTTGTTTCGATGTCACGAGGTGACGGAGCTGTTGGCGGCGCTGGAGACGCTCGGGGAGTTCATCGCCGAGCGACCCAAAGTGCGGTTGGTGGTGATCGATAGCGTGGCGTTTCACTTTAGGCAGGATTTTCAAGACATGGCGCTGCGGACGACGATTTTGAGTAAGATGACGAATAGGTTGATGTCCATCGCGACGACGCAGCAGGTGGCGGTGGTGACGGTGAATCAGGTGACGGTGAAGCCGCAGCGCGACGGCTCGGCGCGGCTGGTGCCCGCGCTCGGGGAGTCGTACGCGCACGCGTGTACGACGAGGGTGATTTTAAGCTGGGAAAACGATGAACGCGTGGCGTTCGTCACGAAGTCTCCGCGTTTACCGCAGGCGCGCGCGCGGTACGCCGTCACCGCGGGCGGCATTCGCGACGTGCGAGGCTCCAAACGCGCCGCTCCGTGACGCGAAACGAAACGACGAAACGATTCGAATCAATCTATGTGTATGCATGCATGTAACATTCTTCTAGCGCTAGTATCGATATTTCGTCGAGTAATCCCTCGGAGAGATCACCAAACCCCGCCCCTTGCGCGCGCCCGTGTACACCGTCTCCACGATGTCGATGAACTCCTGCTTATCGTCCATCGCCCAGTTCACCTTGTTGTTGTTCCCCGTCCCGAGATCGATCTGTATGTGCTTGTTCCGGAAGAAGAACATCACCGTGCACGGGTCGTACAGCTCGTACATGGCGTTAAAATCGGGCACCTGCGCGTCGTTCGTTCGTCCGTTCGTTCGTCAGTCGTCGCTTCGCGGCGGCGCCAGCCGTCGTCGTCGTCGTCGTCGTCGTCGTCGCGCGTCGACGCTTACCTCCGAGATGTCCACCAAGTATATGATGGCAAAGTTTTTAATCTTATCCGCCACCCCCGCTAAGGTCTGCGTCGCGCGAACGGGCGAAATCGTCGTCGTCAGTCGTCGGAATCGACGCGAGAATCGGTCGAGTCGCGCGAGTTTCGTCGCGCGCGCACCTCGTCCATGCGCATGCACGTGTCGTCGGCGTCGGAACCGAAACGAATGACCACGACGCGGTCCTCTTCGCTCAAGATCGCCTGGTCGACGGCCCACCCGTTGCGGAGATGGGGAAGAAGGTAAGACATGGCGCTTCCCGGTGTGACGACGCGTTCGACGGCGCGGGGACGAAGGGCGCGAGTCGGACGTTCGCGCGAAGAATGGTTGATTTGGTGCGTGTAATTTCAATCCATATAACGTGATGATCGTCGCGTAAATGTCTATCGCTTCTTCTTTCGAGGCCGTTCGTCGGAATCGCTGGCGTCGGCATCCTCTTTCGCGGCCTTTTCCTCGAGCTCGTCCCAAGACAAACCTTCCTCGTCGTCCTCGTCCAATTCTTCCTCTTCGTCGTCTTCCTCGGAATCGTACACGCTTTCGGATTCGGACTCTTCTTCGGACTCGTCTTCGTCTTCGTCTTCGCTCGGTTCGAACTCGCTCATTTCCTCGTCTTCTTCGTCTTCGCCGTCGGAGGCTTCGTTGTTTAAGAATTCCCAACCGCCGGCTTCAAGCCAGCCGTCGGGGTCTTCTTTGATTTGTCGAAGTAACGGCTTCCAGTTCAAGTTGGCTTTACCTTCGTAGTACTTGATATCGAGCGTCGTCAACCACTGCTTGATGTTCTCCAAGTATTGGCTCGGGATTTGATCGATGCGATGGACTTCGCGGTTGAAATCGCGGAAGATGATCGCCATGTCAAAGTTCTTCAAATGGAAACCGACGCGCTCCAAGTTGACGACTTCGATATCGCTAGAAGCGAGCACGAGCGGCGGGAACTCCGTGAGTTCGACCAAGCACGACGTCGTGGGCAGAATGCGCACCGTGGACTTGTACGCCACCCCTTGGAATGCGAGCTCGTGATACGGCGAGTCAAACTCCAAATTCAACTGCGGGAAATCCTTTTCCCAAATTTCTTGCACGCGCTTGGCAAAGTGGCTAAACTCCTTTTGGATTTTCTTTTGACGCTCGCGCTCGCGTTGTTCGTCTTCGATTTCATCCGGGTCGTACATGTTACGACGCCCGCCGTCTAAGTTTTGCACAGCCTCCATGACTTCTTGGTAGAATTGCACGTCTTGCGTCTTCTTTTTGCCGATCATGATTGGATTCTTCAAGTGGAAATGAATCAAAGTCTTAATCTCCTGCTTGGCCGGTTGGAAGAACGCGAATCGGATGTTATCGTACATAATGTCCACCTGCTCGTCCATTTTGGCGCCGAGATATCGCATACCATTCGTGTGCGCCTCCAACGTGCCCGCCTTGCGACCGCCGCGACCGCCGAACGTCGGGAGCATCCACAAACCCGTCAAGCGATGCACGCGGCCAGAGGAGAGAACGAGACGCTCTTGGCGAACCAAATCGGCGCGTTGCGCGCGCTCAGTTTCACGTTGCACGATGTTACGTCGCAAGGCTTGGATCTCTTGCACCACGTGGTTGGCGTGACGCGCGTCCGTGCTGCGAAAGCTCACCTCCTTCAAAAAGATGGAGTTCGGAAATCGCGCCGCCGCCGCGTACTTTTGTACCGCCACCGCCCCTGAACCGGTGGGATGCTGAAAGTTGATACGAATAAACGCAGCACCGGCATCTTGGCTCACTGAGGCAGACTTGACCGACATGACGTGAAAAGGCACGAGCTGACCGTAAATCGGCACGAGGACGGTTTCGCGCTCTTGGTCGACGGCGAGAACGAGCTCTTTGTTCTTCGGCGTCGGGACTTCACGCATGGACTTGTACGCGACAAATTCTGCGGATGAGCCCATAGTGGCGTTTTGAATCTCTTCTTCGCCCGCTTGCGTCAATCGTTTGTACGTTTCGGCATTCTTTTTGTCCGCCAACGCGCGCTGACGACGCTCGCGATCCTCCGCCGAGCTCGGACCGGATTGCTCGGCGCGAGTCTTCGCATCCATGATGACGCCCCCTTGTTTGATTTGGACCTCGGCTTCTTCGTCGTCGTCGTCGTCATCATCGTCGTTCATGATGTAAGAGATCTCCTTGACGCCCTTTGGGTTCGTGGTCAACACTGACGGCGTCTCGCCCGCGGCGCCCACCAAGACAGAGTCGGCGATCATCACGGCGTACGTTTCATTCTTACTACCTTCCTTGGCGCTCGGCTCCTTCAAGCCTTGCACACCGACGGCGAGATTAAACAACATACCAGCCTTGATTTTGGTTTCGCACTTGCCATTCAACACAAAAGTCATGTCGCGGAATTCGAGACCCATGGCGGTGCCGACATTTTTGTTCAACTTTGAAGCTAACGTCGCGCCGTCGACGCCTTCCGCACTCGTCAGAGAGGACTTGACAGCTTCGTACACGGACGCACACGTCGCATCATCGACGAGAGCGGCGATACCCGCCTCTTGCGCGGCGAGAATAGCGGCGTACGTCGCCTCCTGCGCGGGCGTCGGATCAACCATGTACGTGCGACCGACGTTCGCGCAATACTGCGTGTATCGAGCGCCGACGGACATGTGCACCACCGCGGGCGGGGAAGCGTAGTGAAGCTTCGTGTTCGCGCTCTCTGCGCTGTATTTTAAGTCGTACTCGCCACCAGATTGGAAAATCGGAGGATAGCAAATATCCACGTCCTCTGGCGGGAATTTCAAACCGAGTCTCGACGGATCGATAATCGCATCCTCCGTCATCTCCGACAACTTGGCGTGCGTCAACTTCTTTTCGTCCTCGATCGTGGCCTCCATCTCCTTCACCGCGAACCCCAAAGCCTTGCTCGTTAGCGTCACCGCCTTATTCACGAAACCGAGCTCCTTTTCATCCTTGGCCGCCATGGCGAGCGACACGCCGCTCGTGACATCCTTAATTTCCATCCCAGCCTCCCCGAGCGCCTTCGTCACGTATTGCATCATCGCACCCTCGTTCTTCTCCTTCATCACCATCCCAACCACCAGATTCTCGCTCTTAATCGCCTCGACGACGGCCGCCGCCTGCGCCGCGCCGTCCTCGCCCTTCGGCTTGACGTGCACCGCGAGATCCAACCCGCACTCCTCCTTCAGCACCTCCCGCGCGTTCTCCATCAGCGCCGCCTTTTTCCCTCCCGCCACCACGTGCATCCCGCGCTCCGTGAACATCAACAGCGTGTCCGGCAGCTCGTACGAAAACAACCACACCTCCAGCGCCACCGCCTTCAGGTACCGCAAGTCGTCCTCCTTGTTCGCCCCCGTCCCGACCACCAGCGCGCTCGCCCCGCCGAACGCCCCGTCTCGCTCCGCGCGCCACGTCTCGTACAGGCACCGCATCCGCGCCGCGCACGCCGCGTCGTCCATCGTCGGCGCGCCCATCGCGCGCGATCGCCTCGCCCGTCGCCTCGCCGGTCGCTCTCGGCGCGCCGCGTCTCTCGCGCGCGTTTCCACGCGCGCGTCCACGCGCGCCGCGCGCTTCGCCGCGCGAACTCGCGACGCGCGTCGCGACGCGGCCGCGCGACGAACGGTGCCGCGCTCCGAGCGCGCGCGACGGTGTCGCGACGCGCGCGCGCGGCGCGAGATTTGAAATCGCGTCGCCCGTGGAGGGTCCGTGTGAAGCGTGTCGTTTGAGTTTAGTTTTCGCACGCAAAGTCGAGTCAGGACTCGTCGGAGAGTCATAATAAAGCTTTCGGACTCTCGGATAGTATTGAAGCGCGCAAAAGCGCCATTCGCGCAAACCGTTGGCGCGGACCGATCGCGCGGACGCCGCGCGACGCGCCGTCGCGGCGCCGCGACGCGCGACGCACGGCGGCGCGCGAGGCGTCGCGACGCGCGACGGCGGCGCGACGCGCGGATGGCGGCGCGCGCGGCGGACGCGCGCGCGGCGGGCGAACGCGCGGCGAGAGGCGCGGCGGGCGGCGGGCGCGCGCGCGACCGCGACGGGCGGCGGCGGCGACGAGGCGCGCCGTCCCGCGCGACGAGGGGCGACGGCGCGGTGCGACGCGCGCGACCGGCGATCGCGCTGGACGGCGCGAACATCGCGTGGTGCTACAGCGCGGCGCTGCACGCGGCGTTCGGGTCGAGGAATAAGCAGCCGCTGTCGCGAGGCGTCGTCGCGGCGCTCGAGCACGAGGCGTGGGCGAGGATCGACGCCGACGTCGTGGCGTTCGTGCCGTCGACGTACGTCGAGGGACCGCTGCACGGTCTGGCGGACGGTGGGAGCTTAGGGGTGGTCGTGCCGAGACACGTGCGATATCTGGGGCGCGGGACGTGGCGAAACGAGAGGTTGTTCGCCGAGGTGCGGCGCGGACGGGTGCGGTTGGTGGAGCGAGCGGGCGAGCGGAGCGCGGATGACTTGACCATCATAGATTACGGTCGCGCGCGCGAGGCTCGAATCGTGTCCAACGATCGATACGGCGATCACAAGATGGGTCACGGAGAGCTTAAAAAGTATTTGAAGAATCATTTGTTTGACTATGAATTCGTCTTCGGCACGGACGCGAAGCGCATTCGCGAAGAGGTCGGAGACGTCGCGAGCGTCGAGGTCGGGAGCGCGTTTTTACCGCCACCACCCGTGGATGAGGGTAGCGAGACGTGGGATCAGTCCGTGCACGCTGAGGGGTCGTCCCGGCCGTGGGCGAGATACGCGAAGGACGCGTTGTGGGGCAAGCAGGCGCGCGTGAAGAAACGGCGATCGATGGGCAAGGTGGTGCGCGTTCAGCACGCGAGCTCGGATGATTTAGGGTTTCCGTTCTGGGCCGTCGATGACGCGCACATTCCCGTCGAATTTAATCCTAGCTGTAAATTTTAGTGCTACTGTACTAGTACCGTAATCTAAGTTTGTCTCTACCGTCCGCTCACGGCGGCCTTTTTTCCGTCGGGATCTTCGGGCAAAGGCACTAGCGCCTTGCTCGCGGCGTCTTTTGAAAACGACCACGCGATGCACCATCTCGACGTTTTCCCGTGCGAAAGTTCCGTCGTGCGAATGGCGGGCACGCGATGCGTGTGAAGGAACGAGCGCGTCGTCGTCATCGTGCTCTTTTTCCCGCACATCGTCGTGAACCAATGAATCGAATCCTTCATTGTCAACGAATCCGCGAAAATTTTCTTTACGAACGCCTCTTCGCCTCCTGGAAACACCATCTCCGTCGCCGTGCCCCCGCACGCGGTGTTCGGATTCCTGCCCGCCTCGTCCATCGTTTCGAAAAACGGCGGATTACACATACAAAACGTAAACGTCTCCCCATCCCTCACCACGCCTCGAAGCACGCGATCGCGCGCCCCATCTTCACCCCGCGCGTCCCGTATCTCGATCAGCGACTCCAAGTGCGGATTCCGTCGCACGTTCTCCCTCGCGCTCGTCAACGCTTCGTCGCACACGTCGGTGCCGACGAAGCGCCACCCGCGTCCCGCCGCGCCGAGCAGCGCGTATATCGCGCTCGCCCCCGTCCCGATATCTAGCACCCACACGCTCGCGTCGTCACCGCTCGGCGCCGACAGCGCGCGCAACCGCGCCAACCACTCCAAATACCGCTCTCGATTCGTCGCCGTCGGCACCAACCGCCCGCGCGGCACCGTCCACGCCTCCACCCCGTACTCCTCGCGCAGGATCGCCCCCGTCAGCGCGCGCGTGCTGTCCCAGTCCTTAAAATCCACCACCGCCGTCTCCTCGCCGCGCGCGTCGACGCGCCACTCGACGCGCGCGCCCAATCGCGCATCCTTCCTCGCCAACGCCGCGAAATCGCGCGCGTCGCGCGCGCGCGCGCGCTTCCGCGATCGCCCGGACATCCGCGCGCGTCGTCGGTCGTCGCCGCCGCGCGCGCGCGTCGTCGACGCCGTCGCCGCGCCGCGCGCGCGTGTCGCGTCGCGCGCGTCGGTCGCGCGTCGACGCCGCGCGCGCGCGCGAACCTCGCGATGAGGTTCGATCGTCGACGGTAAACCTCGGTACGAGGTTCGTCGCGAACGCGAGCCCGGGTTCGAACCCGGCGGCCTCGATCGCGCGCGGCGGTTTGAATTCGACACTTCGCGTCGCGACGCGCGACGCCCGGCGGCCGCGATGGCGCCCAACGTCCTGGATTCGTCGAGCGACGACGACGAGACGCCGCTCGCGGCGAGAGCGCCCGCGGCGAGCGCGGATGCGGCGCGAGCGCGGGAGAATTCGGATGGGAATGCGACCATCGGAGACGCGAGCGGCGACGCGCGCGGGACGAGCGCGGGACGAGCGATCGCGACGAACGGGGCGTCGAGCTCGGACGATGATGACGTGCCGCTGGCGCAGCGGGCGGTCGGCGCGGCGAACGGGGCGAACGGGGCGACGGGGGCGAGCGTCGGCGCGCCGGGGAGACCGACGGCGCCGTCTCGGGCGCCGGCGACGAACTTTTTCGCGAAGACGGAGGGCGCGACGGTGGCGAGACCGCCGATCGTGACGCCGAAACCGCCGATTGGTGGAGGGTTTAAGATGTCGAAGCGACCGGTGGCGATGCCGGCGAAGCAGAGCTCGAGGTTGGACAGCTCGAGCGACGAGGCGCCGATCGCGGCGGGCCGACCGGATCAGGGTTTGGACGAACGCCGACGACGAGAGGAGGAGGCGCGGGCGCGGGAGAGAGAGCGCAAGTATCGGGAAGAAAAGTTGAAGAAACGCTTGGAAAAAGCCGCGCGGGCCGACAGGTTGAGCGACGATGAGCGACGTCGAATGCTGAAGAAACAGAAGCGAATGCGCGAGGAGAAGGAGCGCGCGCGAAGCGAGGCGCCGAAGCGCCCGAAGACGAACCGAAGCGAGACTGGGGCGAAGAAGGGCGCGGTGATCATGTGGAAGACGCTCGAACACAAAGGCGTACTTTTCCCGCCCGAGTACGAACCGCACGGCGTGCCGTTGGTGTACGACGGACAAGAGGTGAAACTCTTGCCGCACGAGGAAGAAATCGCCGGTTTCTTTGCCGTGATGAAAGACTCTGACTACGCGACCAAACCGGTCTTCGTGAAAAACTTCATGGATGGTTTCAAGGCGGCTTTGAAGAACGGCCCGCACGCGTTCATCACGGACTTCTCCAAGTGTGACTTTACGAAGATGTACATGCACTTCTTGGCGATCAGAGAGAAGAAGAAGGAGATGACGAGCGAAGAGAAGAAACGCATCAAGGCGCAAAAAGATATCGATGAGGAACCTTACACGTGGGCCACTATCGACGGTCGCCGCGAAAAGGTTGGTAACTTCCGCGTCGAACCGCCTGGCTTGTTCCGCGGGCGCGGCGAGCACCCGAAGATGGGGAAAATCAAGCGTCGCGTCGTGCCGGAAGACATCACCATCAATATAGGAAAAGATGCTAAGGTTCCCGAACCTCCGGCTGGACACTCGTGGAAAGCGGTGATTCATAACGACACCGCCACGTGGTTGGCGGGATGGAACGATGTCATCAACGTGAAGGACTGGAAATACGTCCAATTCGGCGCCACATCTACGGTCAAGGCAGAGAGCGATCAAAAGAAGTACGAAAAGGCTCGCTCGTTGCATAAGTATATCGAAAAGATCCGGAAGGATTACAAGAGAAACATGATGAGTGAATCCAAGGAAATGGCTCAGTTAGCGGTGGCGACTTACTTGGTGGATAAACTCGCCCTTCGTGCTGGTGGCGAGAAGGATGAAGATCTCGCCGACACCGTCGGCGTGTGTACCTTGCGCGCCGGTCACATCAAGTTTATGGATGATAACGTCATCGAGTTTGATTTCTTGGGTAAGGACTCCATCCAATATCTTCAACAACACAAGATCGATGAGGTTGCATACAAGTGCTTGCAACGGTTCGTTCAGGGCAAGGGTCCGGATGTGGACATCTTCGACCACGTCGACCCGCAAAAAGTAAACGCGCATCTTCAAACTCTCATGCCCGGTCTCACGATCAAGGTGTTCCGTACGTACAACGCCTCTATTACTTTGGATCGTTTGCTGAAAGACACGAAAAAGAATGATACGACGCTTCAAAAGAAAGCAACTTACGACGCGGCGAACAAGGAGGTGGCGATTTTGTGTAATCACCAGAAGGGTGTGAGCAAAGCGCACGACGCGCAAATGGAAAAACTCGCGGAAAAGAAGAAGGATCTCGCGAAGCAGGTGGCCGAGATGAAAAAGAAGACGGACGATAAGAATCAAAAGAAGAAGCTCGCGGCGCTGAAAGAAAGGCAAAGCAAGTTGGCGATTCAAATGAACATGAAGGAAGAATTGAAAACGGTGTCGCTCGGCACGTCGAAAATCAACTACCTCGATCCCAGAATCACGCTCTCTTGGTGCAAACGTCACGAAGTGCCGCCAAACGTGGTATTTACCAAGGCGTTGATAGATAAGTTCCATTGGGCGATGGATTGTGAGATGGAGTTCAGTTTCGTTCAAGAAGACGCCGTCGAAGTCAAGCCGGCCGAATAATAAAAAACGTTTTGACTGTTGTTAAAAAATGTGCTATCATCGTACTCAAAAATAACGCGTCTACTCGAAGCGAGCGAGAGTATAATCAGACTCGAGCCAGCGCGAATTCATTTGCGCTTTCGACTCGACTTCGTCACGTTTCATCTCGACTCGCTTCTGCTAGACGCTTCGCGCTCACGCCGAGGCTTCGTTATACGACGCGTCGAGCGGGCGCGCGATGACGTCGTCACCGATGCCCAACACCGCCGCGAACGCGCTATCGGGCGCACCTTTGCCCGTTCGTTCGATTTGTCTGAACAACTTGATCAACTCCGACGAGTGAACCGCTCCGGACAAGATGTGTTGCGCTCCGACGATGAAATTCGGAATGGAGTTGATGCCCATCTTTCGCAAAATTAGCAGCGCGCCTTCGATTTCCATCTCGCCTTCGCCCGACTGCAAAAACTCCATCGCCTCATTCGCGTCGACTCCAACTCTCGCCGCGGCCTCCGCGAGCATTCTCTTGTCGTTGAGCTTTTGCCCATCCTCAAAGTGTCTCTTGTTCAAGTCGTTGTACAACGTCTCGCTCGCCGTGCAGCCGTGATTCTTCGTTACCCACTGCACGAGCCTATGCGACGCCATCGTACTGCTCGCCAACCGATCGAGATTAAAGTGCTTAATTCCCACGTCCTCGCCCCGCTCCTTCAATCGATGCCTCCTCTTTTGCGCGTCAAACTCCCGCTTTCCTCCCCACTTCCGCTCCAACCTCGTTCGATTCGTCTCGCTCCACGCCTCGTCTCGCGGATACTCCGGTTCGAGAAAAAACGGCACCCGCAGCACCGTGAACCGCAACGGATTGTTCGCATCGAGAGGTTCTCGCTGCACCGCGCGCATCGCGCGCTGCAGCTGTCGCTTCCCGATGTATCCGTTCGGTCACATCGTGTCGCTCACCAGCTCCACCGTCACCAATTGATGTTTCGCCCTCGCGCCGCGCGTCCCGACCCTCGCCGCCTCCCGCGCCGCGCGCCGCATCTCGCCTTCGCCTTACTTGGCGTCCACGCTCTCGCGCGTGTGCCCCGGCGGCAGCGCGAACCCGTCGACCGCTTCGCTGAATCGCACGACCACCTTATCGGCGCTGATGTCCGCGCTCTTGACGCTCACCAGCGCGTTGATCACCGCGCGCGCGACCTCCTTGCGCGCTTCGGGCGTGCGACACGCCTTGGGTAACCTGCACGCGCGCGCGCGGCGTCAGTCGAGGTCGCGTCGCGGCGCGGCGCGGCGAAACGCACCACGCGATGTGCACGAACGGCATCGACGACGCGACGCGGAGTGACGCGCGCGCGCGCAGAGCGCGACGCGGGACGACGCGACGCGCGAGACGACGACGGACGATCGCGCGCGCCTCGGCGGCGCGCGACGGCGCGGCTCGAACGCGCGAGCGCGCGCGCGCGGCTCGAACGCGCGCGCGACCGGGACGGCGGCGGCGGCGGCGGCGGCGGCGCGATGAAGATAAAAACCATCTCGCGCGTCGAGGAGGACTACACGCGCGAGCGAAAGTCGGACGCGCTCAGGGTGCATCGAAATCTCGCGCCCGAGCTGCGGCCGATGGGACGGGCGACGGAGTACAAGCGCGCGCTGAACGCGACGAAGCTGGACAAGGTGTTCGCGAAGCCGTTCGCGGGACAGATGAGCGGACACGCGGACGGCGTGCTGTGCATGGCGAAGTCGCCGGCGTCGCTGACGGAATTGGTGAGCGGCGCGGCGGATGGAGAGATACGAGTGTGGGACGTGCCGAGCCTGAAGACGGTGCGGGTGCTGAAGGGACATCGAGGGGCGTGCCGAGGCGTGAGCGCGTCGAACGACGGCGGCGCGGTGGTGTCGTGCGGCGACGACGCGACGATTCGGTTGTGGACGATGCCGAAGGCGGGAATGGGGGAGATGAACGATCCGACGCGGAAGATTCCGGTGTTGGAGACGTCGGAGATGTACGTCGAGAGCAACGGTTTTAGGGACTGCGACGCGCACTGGGGGAAAAAGGAGTTCGCCACCGCGGGGGCGAACGTGCAGGTGTGGAGCATGGAACGGAGTCATGCGCTGCATACGTTCGAGTGGGGTTCCGATACGGTGCTTTCAGTGCGATATAATCCGGTGGAGACGGATATTTTTGCGTCGTGTGGGTCGGATCGATCCATCGCGTTGTACGACGTTCGAATGCAGACGCCGTTGAAGAAGATCATCATGCAGACAAAGTCGACCAAACTGTGCTGGAATCCGATGGAGGCGTTTAATTTCACCGTTGCCAACGAGGATACCAACTTATACTCGTACGACATGCGAAAGCTGGATATCGCGACGTGCGTTCATAAGGATTTCGTGAGCGCCGTGATGGATATCGATTACTCGCCCACGGGTCGGGAATTCGTGGCGGGGAGTTATGACAGAACCGTGCGCATGTTTGATTACAACGCTGGACACTCTAAAGATTGCTACCACACCAAACGCATGCAGCGCGTGTTCTGTACGCGCTTTTCGATGGATGGTTCGTACGTCTTCAGCGCCTCGGACGACATGAACGTGAGGTGTTGGAAGGCGGACGCGAGCGCGCAAATGGGCACGCTCTCGGCTCGTGAAAAGCGCAAGCACGCGTATAACGCGTCTTTAAAGGACCGTTTTAAGCACATGCCCGAAATCAGGCGCATTGCGAATCACCATCACGTACCCAAGGCTATTCACAAGCAAACCAAGTTGCGGCGGACGATGCAAGAAGCCGAGACTCGCAAGGCGAAACGTCGCGTCGCGCACGCCGCGCCTGGCGCGGAGAAGAAGGAATTCAAACCCGCGCGCAAAAAGAAGATCCTCGCAGAAGTGGAGTAGGGGACGATATTAGCTTGCCGCACGAAACGAACCTATGTAACTGGTGTACAAACAATGATTTTACTGCTCACTTGCGAAGAGCGTCGAGGCGCGCCTGTAAATCGTCGTCAAGCCCGCCACCCCCGGTCGCGGGCTCAGCCGAACCACCCTCTAGGACCGCGGTTGGCGCCACTCGTTCGGCATCGACGGCGGCGCCAACCTTACCCGCGGGCGCCGAGATTAATTCCGCCCCGACGTTGCATCCCAGTTCGTCCAACACCGCGTTCACGAGTTCATCCGTCTCCTCCTCTTCATCCTCACCCTCGAACGCATCGTCGATTGCGTCCCCCATCACCTCTGTCGTCATCTCCATCTTTTCATTCTGTCGCTCAAACTCCTTCAATATATTTTGCAACGAGGGTAAATTCAGTTTGGTGTTCATCGACTTCATCGCCGTCGTCACGCCTCGCATCGCGTCCGCCATAGCCTGCGAGCTCTTCAACGTTTGCATTCGCAGCGACACCCCTTGCAACTGGGATTTAAGCGCATAGAACTTCGTTATCGAGTGTCTCGTGCGCACTAAATCCTTCGCCATCACCTACATCGCGCGACGCACGTTCGTTTCGTTCCGTCAGTCGCCGTGGTCAATTCCGACCGCCGCGTCGCGCTTCCACCTTCATCCCCTCCAACGCATCATCGCGCCGACACCGCGCGTTTTCGCCCTCGCGCACGATCGTCCACGCGCGCACCTTCACCGCGCCCATCTGATTCGCCTTGGCCACGCGCTTAATCTCCGCTATGAGCTTCTTTTCTTGCGACATCATGGCTGACCGTTCGCGATCGATTTCTCGAATGGATCTGTCGAGCATGCGCTTGTTCTCGCGCAACAGCTCCTGCGGAGTCTTTTGTTTCTTGAAGAGCCACATCTTGCGCGCTCGACGCGGCGTCGGTGGCGCGAGCGGCGAGCGGCGGCGTGTGCGGCGCGAGAGGGGTGAGGAATCAAGTGGACAGGTGGAATTTCGGGACGCGCGCGCGAAACGTTTGCGAAACGACAGTTTGGTTGGTTGCACGACTAAGGACCGCCCTTGTTGATGAAAACTCTCGCGGCGATGGCGATGGCGCACGCGATGGCGAACGCGGAGGGACCGTACTTTAAGACGGCGTCGCGAGAGGACGCAGAGGACGCGCCGGTTTCCACGTGGGCGGCGATGACAGATTTTAAAGCCTCGTACGCCTTGTCCACGTCGTCGTTCACGATGACGGCGTCGAAGAAGCCCTCAACGTCTTTTTTCGCCATTTCGTTACGAGCGTTTTCGAGACGCTTCAACACGGCGTCTTCGCTCTCTGTGCCTCGACCGCGAAGACGGCGTTCGAGTTCCTCCATCGACGGCGGCGCTATGAAGACGTATGCGGCGTTCAAATCGGATTTCTTCACTAACTCTGCCCCTTGGACGTCGATGTCGAGCAGGCAGATCCTTCCACTTTTCGTCACGGTTTTCACCGCCGCGAACGAGGTGCCGTAGATATTCTGATGCACGTGCGCGTACTCTAAAAACTTTCCATTCTCGATGTCTCGCTCCATCGTCGACTTGTCGACGAAATTATAATGCGTTCCGTGCACCTCTCCCGGTCGAGGCGACCGCGTCGTGTGACTCACCGAGAACCCGAATTTATCGGGAAACTCTCGCTGAAGCATCGCGATCAGCGTCCCTTTCCCCACGCCGGACGGTCCGACGACGACGAGCGGTCGCGCCATGTTTGCCCCGCGCAACCGACCAACTAAGCGATTAGTTCCCGTCCTCTTCCACGTCGTGCACCGCGCGATCGAGCCCAAGTCTTCGCGCGCGCTCGCGCTCGCGCTCCAGTCGTCGAATCGCGTCCGCGTCCGCGCGCGTCGCTCCCTCGGCGCCGCGTTCACGCGACTTTAAGTAATCTCGTCGGAGTTGTTCAAACTTTGGTTCTTCATCGTCAGTCGTCGCGCTCGGGCGGCGCTCGCTCGCGTTCGTTCGCACCGAGTCGACGTCGCGCGTACCTCTTCTTTATCCTCCGTTTTAAGCTCGATGCGCGTCGGTGGACGCCGCAACATGCGCGCGCAGAAGTGCGGCGTGGCTTTTTTGAGTGCACTCAGAGCCAAGGAGAGAGGCGCGAGAGGCGCGAGAGGCGCGAGACGGGCGAAAGCGAACGAAGGATGGAACTAGCGTGTTAACCGAGCGATGACAATACAAATATATTCAATAACGCGAGTTAACGACCCTCGGCGATGAGCTCGCGCGTCTTCGCGATGTTCGTCTCCACGACTTCGAGTCGACTCTTCGGCAACGGCGCCAAGCCGTTGAAGGAAAAATGCCCCGCGAGTTGGTTCAGCGCGTTATAAAACGCGCGCCCCGACGCCATCTTCGAGCTTCCGCCCGGGGCGTACTTCCCGGACCAATCGTTGGATTTCTTTTGAAACACCGCGATGGCTTTTTCGCGCGTCGGGTCGTAGACGTCCTTGGCCAACAGCGCCTCGACCTCCTCCAAGAACGTCAGCGTATCGCTTTGATACGTCGTGAGATTCGGATTTGTGGACGCATTCGCCGCTTTGAACGTGTTCTTCTTGCTGTCGTACGTGTCCGCGCTCACGGCGTCTTGCGCCAAAATTCTAGCTCGGCAGTCGGCGCCGTCCGCCGTCGGGTCGCAGACTTCCTTGAACGGTCGATCCGAGGACGCCTCCGCGCGCGGCGCATCCGTCGTCATCGCGAGTGCGAGCGCGCCGATCGCCATGAGCGCTCCGCGTCGGCCTCCGTGCGCGCTCGTGGACGCCGTGGCGGCGATGTCCCGCGCGGCATCGGATGTCCCCGTGAGCGCCGACGACGTCGACGTCGACGACGCCGCGAGGACGACGCGCGCGGGCGCGGACGCGGACGAAGCCGCGCTCGCGACGATCGTTTTCCGGCGCGCGACGACGGCGGTGGTGGAAGCGAGTGCGAGCATGGTACGTGGTTTGCGAGTGCGAGTGTGGCGACGCGATGACGACGCGCTGACGTCATTTCTAATCTTTTCATGACACTTTAACGAAGACAACGATGGATTCGTGTACTATCGGATCAATTACACCCACGGTGCCCAGCCGGCGTACATGACTGCCAATTTGTGTGGATCGCGGGCGTCGTGGAGGAGTTGTTGGACCTGACCTTCGATGGAGCGGAGCTCGCCGTCTTCGTAACCGTCGAGTTTTTGTTTGACGCGCATGAGAGCGCGTTCGGCGTCGAGGTTGCCTTCGTCGCTGGGGACGACCTCGCGGTCGGGATTGAGGGCGTAGGCGATCGTACCGAACATCGTAGTGGTCCTGAAGATGTTCGCGTTTTGACGACGACCTCCGACGGCCCACTTTAAGATGGGGTCGTGCACGAGGACGGCGATGATGGTGGTGAGGGCGTCTCTGTTTGAGCGAAGCACCTTCATAGTTTCTTCGCAGCACCGGCGCATGATGCCTTCGACGCCACACGCGCCCATACCATCGACGATATCGCGCGTCAGACGGAATGGAACGCGTTCGGGAGTCTTTAGCGTCAAGCCTTGCTCAAACGTGACGCCAAAATCGATGTGGATGAATTCGGCGGTCCATTTGTCAATCATGATATTGCTGCTGTGTCGATCGCCAAGGCCGATGACGTAGCCGACGATGGAGTTCACCGCGCATGATCTCGAGTATGCAACGCGACGTTCGAACCAATTGCTCGGGTCTGGGTAATGTTCCAGGAAAAAGTTGTGCATGACCGGTTTAAAGTTTTCGCACACTTCTTCGTACATCTTGTGTTGCGCTTCAGCTGTCACTGCATCTCGCATCATCTGCGAGATATCCCTGGATTTCATATCGTGAGGTCGATAACGCTCGTGCGCGCCCTTCTTGTCGCGAATAAGATAGTTCGAAAGTAAAACGGTTTCGTCCACCCATTCGAGAAGACCAGCCTCGGGAGAAAACGGAATGACTTTGTAAGTGCGAATTCGCATGCTGCGCGAATTTGTACTCGTATTTTGCTTCAGCAAAGTGTTCACGAGCCCGAAAAACTGCTGAATCACAGCGTCCTGACGTAAGTCATCGTTTCCACTTTTCGCCAGCTGTCGATACACCTGACCATCGGATCCGTGACAGCCCAAAAGCTTCGGCTCATTGATGCCGCCCACCAAGCGCGTGCTGTCGGCGAAGTGAAGAAAGTACGGGAAACTTCCGTCTGGGTACTTGCACGCCGGATCTACTGCCATCGGTGCCGTGGGTACTGGGATCATCTTCAAGTTGCACAAGGCTCGCTTTTTCACATCGTTTGGAAGAGGATGAAAAACGAGGCTTTCGTCTTGAGGTAACTTCAACTGAGCGATGTGAATGTATGCTTCGATCAAGCGTTCCATTTGCGACAACATCAATTTTCGATCATTCGATTCCGAACTGTAAGTTTCAAGTAATCGTTTTGCCGCGACGATCTTTTCATTTGTCGCGCAGACGCCCGCGCGCGCAACGCGATCACCCCGCGTCAACGCTTGTATTTGATACAGCACGTGATACGGGTGATCTCTCATGATGCGCAACACCAGTTGTTCAAGCACCTTGATGAAATCGTTCTCCGGAGCACACGGCGAGCCGAGGCGACTGACTATTTGATGAGACAACTCGACAAAAACGTAGCTTGGAATTGTGGGGCGGTTGATGAGCTTTTCAAGCTCAGCATTCACTGCTTTGATCACCTTGAGTGTTTCCATTTTGCTTCTCGAACGATTACTTCCGCCGCCGCAATGCGTAAACCAAAGCGCGATCATTCTAAAAATGCTTTTCTGAGAATTCCACCCACCAGCTTCAAGAGACCGTCTGTAAGCTTGCAATGCGGAAATAAGCGAACTCGTGTGTTCGTTGTACATGCTCACGGTTTCGTTTTGATCGTTCAAAACTTGCATCTCCAGTGGACCACATCGAGCGTTCATACTATGAATCGCTTTTGCGAGCTCGTTGTACGCTGCACTTCCCTTCTTTTTAGAGCGAAGGGCGTTTCTATTCACCTCTCGCTCGCTTTTGAGATGCGTCAATTCGTTTTCATTGCGTTGTCGCAAGGCTTCGGAACGAATCCATTCTGGAGAATTCATGCGTTCTTCGAGTTGTCGATACTGCGAATCGGTGAATTGGGCCAAACGGAAATGAGCGCGACTCAGCAATCTGAGCTGCGTAACGGGATTGATCCCGTCTTTGGTGTACACCACGACGTTTTGACCGCGACTACCCCTAGTGATTTTCTTACCCGTCTTGTCGAGCAGGCCTTTTCTATACGCCATTGTCAAACCGTTGACGCCATCCAAGAGTCTGCGTAAAATCACCTTGCTAGACTCAGTGCGTGCGCTCGCCTGCCACTTCGACAATAAACAAAGAAGTTCAAAGAATCGAGCGTCTGGATTTGCTTCCGGCTCTGTCACGCCTACTTCTTCTGTCGGAGTTCCAGTCTTCGAGTTCGTGACGTAGGACGCTTGCCCGGGAAGCATGAGTTGCACGATGGAATTGACGATGGCGATGGAGGATTCAGCCTTTCCCTCGGCCCACAACAGCTTAGCTTCTTCGACTCGCCACGGCGCCGTCCTGGAAAGAATCAAGTTTGGTAGAGGCTTTCCGGGCAAAATTGACGATAGACGACTCGCCATTATTCGTAATGCGCGAATGGCTTGAACGCCTTCGGTGATGTGCCCTGCTTTGCGCGCCAGTATCGACGTACGAGTTGTGTGCTGTGCAAAATTTTCACTCAACCCAGCCAACCGTAAAAGAACGCCTTGCAGCGCGAGTGATGGTTCGATGAGCTTAAACGGACCATCTTTCACGTGTCTCATCTGCCAGGAATCGCTCAAACTTTTGGTAGCAGTTTGCATCGCGTCGATGTTGTTACCCATGAAGTGACGCCATAATTTCGCCGCATCGGTGACGTCGTCGAGCATGCGCATGCGCATGATCGTTATATTCATCGCGTCAGCCGATTCTGCGGCACCACTTATGACATTTTGCAGCAGTTGCGCACGACACCGATTGGTCTCATATATCGCACAGCCTACATCACCTCGTTCGAGCGCTCGCAACGACGAATGAAGATTCTGATTGAAATCTACAACGCCCGAATTTTGCGTGCGCGTAACCGCAGCCGGCAGCGTCCATTGACCCGCTCTCCATGCGGCTTCATATTGCACATCCTTGAGCTCTGGAGCGGCCAATTCGTCGTCTGAAAGTGCCTTGGAGTATGCGCGAAGAAGATGCAAACAACCGAGCTGACGTAATGCGTTCAGCATGGGCACGCGTGAGCTCGCCATTCCACCGTTCATATTGTTTTCGACGTCGCTCTGCAGCAAGTCGTAACCGGCGAGCGCTCTATCCCAGTGACCTTCGTGCTCACTCAAATGCAATTGTAATTCCAGCGAGTTGGAGCGTAATAGACCGTACAAACCATCGGGTTCTGAAAGTTTCGATTGTGCTTCGAGCAGGAGCGTGAGATATGGAGGCACTGCGTCGGACGTTTGTCCTTGAGAGTCCATCGCGTTCAGCGAAACCGTGCCGGTTTTATCTTCGAGCCAATGTTCCACAAGAAGCGTAGCCGTGAGAGGAGCTTGCAAGCGAATGGCAGCTTGAGCGACGACGAGATAGTCAACATTCAGCCAGTACACTTTTTCCCATTGAGTTGCCTCCACGCCTCGAGGCACCTTTCTCTGAACGGCAGAAACTTTTGAGTCATCCTGTGGTAGCGCATCCACCATCCTAAATGCCCGCATGCGTTTACCGCGCAAGTAATCAAGAGCGCGCAACATGAACTTCGCCGCCTTTTTTCCTTCTGGCAAATTTGCGCGACTTAGACAAATTGAAACCCCGCGACTCAGGCGATCGCGCACCTCTCGATTCGCAGGAATCGACAAATTACCGCGCGCGCTAGTGATCTCATACAAAATAGGAGGGAACACCAACTCTGCCAATACGGCGTCAGAAATCATCAGCGGACCCAATAATTCGAACACCGTCAACGAAAACTGAGGGTCATTCTTACTCTTCGTATGTGGTTTGAACTCGCTTATCAACCTATGGCTGAGACGACAAATCCATTCTTCGTACTTCGTCTCGGAACCGTTCTCATTGACTGTCCAAAGACGTTCATCATCGAGAGCGTATGCGTCCGTGACATTGTTGGTTGCGCTGACAGATTCAGGCACCAATCGCAACGAAGGATGCTCAAAAGGCAAGAGATATGCCTTGTCTATTTTAGACATCTTGTCCATGACCAGAGCCGCTTTTTTTACCATCAGTAACGATTGAATGGTAGTCGCTGCAGCGCGAACAGTCGAGCTCATCGGCGAGCAGAGAAGGCCGCTCAAGTACTTGAGAACATCGAAAACGAAAGTGCCCGCTTCGGTGAGTCCGACTTTGATATGCTTCGAGTCAATCGGAAGTTTCATCTCTGGCGTGATGAACGCCAACGTGTTCGGCCTCAGAGGACCGAGTAAAGAAAGCAGCTCAGCGGCGATCGCGAAGAGTTCAGTATCTCCAAGCGGTGAGACGAGCTCTGCAAATTTCCATACGTTTTCAGGAATGGAAGATGACTCGTTCTGCCCGTACATTTGCGCGAGCTCTGTTTTGTGCTGTAGAGCCTCGAGACCGCCGGCTCTCAACGCTACTCTACTCAAGGCTTTAGGCAACGTCGGTGCCTTTTTGACGAGCGACATGAGACGTATATCAAAGCTTGGCTTCTCAAATGCGACCGAGAGAATCGATCTGACTTCGCTCAGCATGGGTACATCTGGCAATGGCGGTAGCACACATAGCGCGTGATGAATGAGCATCGGTGGATTGGTGACGATAGCGGTCAACAACTTTAGAGCCTCATTGCGTTGAGCGTTCGGACTTGACTTTGACTCGACGACAGAAGACAACACAAACATGAGAGGCATGATGAAACTTTCCATCGCTAACGCAAGTTCACTTTCGGCGTCGTCGGCTTGACGTAGGTCGTCGTAGGCGTTGAGAGTTAGGTTGACCAAAACTTGAATACACTGCGTGCCGATCGTATGATCGTTGATATTTGGAATAAGCATGAAGTAGACGTAACGGAATATGGACGGACTTCGAACCCTTTCGTCGCCGATACACAGCAGCAAAACTTTCAGCGCGTTCAAAGTCTTCAATTTATGTCTCGATGACGTAGCCATATCAACCGCCTCGTGGATACGCAACATGCATTGAAATATGATGTTAACATCCCAACGAATATTCAAGTCCTTTTCATCCATAAACTTACCGACGACTTCCACAATATCGCTGGATCGACTGTAGGGAGGCGAAACAGGATCCCTTGCCAAGAGCAAGAGTTCGAATAAAATCTGAATCTGCACCGAAGGATGTTTGGAGTTCCATCCACCATTGTTTTTCACCATGGAATTCGCGTACGTGAGTGCTTGAATAGCTTTGCGATCGGGATTAGACTTTACCGCCGACGCGTACAAACGCGCATAAATGGCGTCCCAATCTCCTTGAATCATTTGCTTGAACTTGTGTGCCATTCCGCAAGTCGACGTCAAAGTTTTCAATCCATCACGGTCTTGCTCATATATCAACGCTGGGAGCAAAGATCTTTTGAGATGAATCGCGACGGACTCTCGCTCAGCAGATTGAGACAAGCCGAGGAACTCTGGCACTTGAAACAACATCGACAAAGGTGCGCCAGAGTCTATCCAAAGTTTCCCGATAGTTCGGCTGTGATAGGCAACGAAAGATTCCAGAGATGTGTGGCCAGTTGCTTCTGCTAGATATTTTAACGCGTTTATCGCAGGTATCTGCACACGTTCACCATGACGCGCTCGATGATGAACGATTATGTACGTGCACCACGGTTCCAACACTCGAGAAACAACACCAACGGCGGAAATGAAATGCAAGCTAGACCACTCAGCTTCGGTTTCTGCAATTTCACCATCGCCAATATTCAAGCTGCCATTCGGGAGAAACTGACACTTGATGGCCAATCCAGGAACGACGGTATTTTGAAATATACTCGTGTGGTCCGCTTCTTCGTAGAAATCTAGTATGGACGCAATTGCAGAGCCAGCATGTATGCGCACCAAATAACTTTCATCCCCTAAAAGCCAAGCTAACGAACTACCAAATCTAGGCTGGAAGTAGTCTATATTCAGCTTGAACAACGAAAAAATGCAGTCAGCTAATTTTGCGCGAGCAACACAATTTCTCAACGCTGCTGGAGCTTCACCGTCCAAAATACCGGCGGCTCGTGACACCAAGTCAGCCAATACCTCGTGTATGTTACTGGGCATCGTGCCCTGAGTCGTAGACGGATAATTTGAAGCGTTCAACTTAAGCCTGCATATTCCGTGACACAAGACTGTGATCTGATGCAGTAACCATAAACGAGCAGAAGAAGTGAGGCCCGTGTTCTCATCCAAATTTACTTGCCCTCTCGCCACCGCCTGAAGACAAGGAACGAGGTGATCAATCAGATACTCCGTGTCGGCTAATCCGACAAAATCTACGACTAACTCGGCGATGTCTTGAGAAACACCAATACCGCAGGGTCCACGAGGTGGCGCACCTTCTGGAGGAACGGCGTATCGGAGCAACATCGATGTAGATGTTGTCACCGTGCTTGGAACCACCACGGACATCGACTTAAAGCATCTCAGAATTTTCCTTATGACTTGTTCGCCACAGGCAATCGTCGTTTCTCGTTCATTGGACCCCGATGTTGTCGCCATCTGAGATGTATTTGAGCGCTGCGTCTCTGACAAGGTGGCGTCGGCCATCTCAAAGTCCAAATCGTCACCAAACTGAACGGCTTCTTGCGACTGCCGAGCACTAGCTGGCACGCTTCCGTTGCCTTGCAGTGCATCTCTGATGATTTTCAAAAAGTCTTTGGTCATTTCAGTCAATACTTTGACGAGTTTGTGAGAGGTTGCTTCCAAACTTGCTCCCAAACCGGCTGCTTGTTGAATTTGCTCAAGAGCGCCCGCCAAGATTGGGATGGTTTCGAGCACACTCGTCTTCGCGTTCAGCATCACCATCGTGTCATACTCTAACGCAGTAGATATGGTGTGTTTGACCGTTCTGATGAGCGACCCGCTCACGCCCCAATCTAGACTCTGCACAGACCGTGACGATCGACCGACCGACGCCACGGCTCCTATAATACCTAAAGCTATCGTGCATAGTCGCATCGCGTCTTCAGATGTCGACGCGTTCGTCATCGCGTGCTCCAAACAATCGGTACCTACACGATGAACTTCCGGGTCCATGCTTAGTTCCTTCGTATTGATTCGCTTCGCGCCATCGTCCTCTTTGCGCTCTGCCGCGTCTCTAAACTCAAGCTTGAGTGTGGCGAAAGGTTTCGCAACTAAGTGAAGATCTTCCACGCCTCGCAAAAACTCTAAATGCTCTTCATCGGGCACTTCTAGCCACGCGCGGCGCGTGACATCGTCTACCCAAGGCTTGTGAGAGCCAGCGATGAATGAATTCTGAATCGCCGATTGCACACGCAACAGCGCTAAATCGTACGAAGACGTCACATTTGCGCGACGCCCGTAGAATGACATTCGATCGTCATTCTTCTGCGACAGTCCACGAATTAGCCACTTAAAGTAACTGTCATAAGAGCGACCCGCCAAGACGTGATCACAAAGCCCGATGGACGCCACCGCACCCACGAGCTCCAGCGTAGCCAAACTTGGAATGTCAGCAAAATCAAAGATGGTGAGCAACCAGAATTTCTGTCTCAATAACGACGGGTGTACGAGTCTGTGACTGATCATCGCCGCAAAAAGTAAAAGCACGTCGTTCGTTAAGCGAACGTCAGATAGGTGCGCTGGAAGCCAGTAGACGAGACAATTCGTCACATCCGTCCACAATGGTAGCGTTTCGTTGTGCATCGTGCCAGCGATTTCCTGCAAGCATCGAATCAACCAGATTGCGTGAGCCAGGGCTTTCATATCTGACATGCTTCCTTGAGAAAACATTTCGCTCAGTGCGTGCAACAGTCGTTTCGCGCAACTAGCTAACTCTTCCTTCGTTAACGCGGCGCTGTGCCGTTTCAAAAGCAAGCAAAACACGGCGCTCCAGCAACCACTGTCGTTCAAAATCTTTGATAGTATGCGTTCCACAGGTTTTTCGTTCCCTCGTGCGCGCTTCGGCGTTCGCTCACCATCGTACAAACACACTCCCGCAAAGGATTTCTGTTGCTTCAAAACCATGACCAAGTCTGCGAAGAGCTCAAACAACAACTTTTGCGGCAATTTCACTTCAAATCTTTCGGCGTTGTCGCCGCCTACGGATCTGTCCGAACCAATCTCATCGATCTGCCTCGCGAGCAACTCGACGAGAAATTCAGCGCCACCATCACTCACTACATCTAAATTGACGTGCAAGTGGCAGTACTTAATCAATTCCTCTTTCAAGCGCTTGTCACGTGCGTTTCCCTTAAGCGCCCACGAGAGATACGGCACGACACTCTCGTGAAGCGAAGTCATGCGCGAACTCACGTCCAAGCTCGTCTTCAGAAGAAAGCTATTCATCGCAGAAACGAGCATAGCGGGTGTGCGTCCATCCTCGTGCATATCTCGAAATATTTCTTTGAACACCTCAAACAAACCGTTTACCGCATTCGTTGACAAATCAAATGGACAGTTGCGCAACAACAAATTAAATGCCGCCGCGCCACGGTACCGCTCCTCCTTCTTTTCACCGTTAATCACTTCACCGCGATACGACGCAAGATTAGAGGCAAAATATTCAATCAATCCCTCGAAGACGCTTTGCTTCGCCCGCGAGCAATACTCTGGCGCGACGAGCAAATTGGTGCGCAACACATGCACGTAATCGACGACAAAATTCACATCTCCCGTTTGTAAGACGTAAAGCACGTGCGTAAATATCTTGCCCGCGCGCCGAATTAACGGCGCCGAAAGCCCATTCGTCTTTTTTCTTCCTTCCGCAGCCGTCACCAATTTTCTCAACAAAGACGTCGCGTTCTTGTCAACCACGCGCTTCTCGTCCTCTAACTCGCTTGTCACGCACACCATCACCGAGCTAATCAATCCCGCCCACGTGCGCTGCACGTCACCGCTTCCCGTGGAATCATACGCTCTCGTGCCTGAGTCGAGCTGTTTCACGAAATCGCTCGACTGCAGATGAAGCAACAGCGTCTTGATGCCATCCTGTTGGGATTACGCGCGCGCGCCGTCAGTCATCTTTCGCATCGGTGACCGCACGTTCACGCGTCCGCGCGCGTCACTACCGACGCGTACGGTCAATCGCGGTCGTTCGAGACGCACCCGCCGCTTTCGAAGCCCATCGCTTCGCAAGGCGTCGTGCAGGGCAGCGATGTCATCCATCGCGCGCGTCGCGTCTCGGAACGGCTTCGCCGCGCGCGCTACCACTGATGAAGGCGGCGCCGGCGGCGGCGCGCGGCGATTGAATAGTTGGTGTCGTTTGTTCGTTCGCCCGGTCTACGCGGCGCGCGTCATGTCCCGCGACGCGCGGCGCGCGGTCGCGATTTGAAGTTTGAGTGTGGCTGTCGAGTGTGGCTGTCGAGGCGCAGGGAGGAGCGCTGCGCGTTGTCATGTTTGCATCTATCAAAGTTATTCAAATCTATCAAAGCCAGGGTCGCCATCCGCTCCACGCGACGGCTAAAAGTTCTGGGTTGGTCGCTAAGTCTAATAACGCACGAATTTGATGCTCGACATCGGTGCATTTCTTCGCGGGCGGCGCATTCGCGCCAACGAGCGTCTTGCGCAAATCTGTCCAATGTGCAGAATTCTTGTGCTTTGATTCGCACTCGTCGACGACGACGACGGCTGGATTGTCGAGTTCTAATTTGCCCCACGCGCGAGTGATTCTGTTCTGGATGTGAGATTGCGTACCTGCACTCACGGATTCGCGTTCCCAATCGATTAGGGGATCGCGAAGGAAAATGTCCATCACGCCCTTGAGAAGTGTCGAGCCGTCCTGAAGCGCCTTCATAGTTCGGCACATGTCCGTTTCCAGCCACGTGCGCGCGTTCAATGGAGAGAAAACATCGAGAAGAGCTGGAGTCGCTCTGAATGGGACAAGTTCAGGAATCGGAAGAGCGTGTGTAGCGGTGCCAAAGGCGTACCCAAAATCGATGTGTACCAACTCTCCCGTCGATATATCGAGAAGGATGTTGTCCAGATGCCTATCGCCAACTCCAGCAACGTAGCCACAAATGCTGGAGGATGCTAAAGATGTCGCAAATGATTGCCTCATCATGACGAAAGCTTCTGCGCTGCCTGCGGCTGTGAACAAAATCTTCCGTAGAGCATCTGGCGACGTCGTCGCCGATTTCAATCGCGTGAGTATAGCCACCGAGTCGTCTTTCGATGCTTTGCCTATCGCACTGAGGTAGTCGCTGTGTGTCGTCGCATCTACATGCGCAGACTCTCGCTTTCGCTTGCCAAGTCCCGTCGCGCGCTCTTTAATCCATCGTTGATGTTCAACGAATGCAGTCACATTCGCTTCTTCAACAGGCTTATTCAGAAGCCGAAGCAGCGGCGAAGTTTTGCGCAAAAATTCAATCAAGCCGGTTCGATTAGATAGAGGGGAGACATGGAAAGTCCGAACCTCTAACCCCCTACCTCGAGATTCCGTATTAGAGGCCAAGAGCCCATTCATTGCTCTGAATAAGCGCTGAATGCGCTCGTCTTGACGCAAGTCCTCTCCACCCTTCACGATGAACTGATAATCTCTGCCATCGCTTCCTCTCATCGTTATTTTTTTTGGTCGCTGCTTGGATTCGAAGACCTGTACTTCCGGTGCGAATCCCATTATGGTGACGTGTCGCTCCATATCTGGCGGTGCATTTATGTTGTCGTACTGCCCGGGAATTTCCAGGGCTGTTGAAACTCCGGCAAAGCTCGCATAGCTCGCAAACCATGAAGAGAAGTCGCTTAGTCGGATTCTTGATGCGTTGTTTAGACCCGGGAATTCTTTGACCCAAACTGCGACGATTTGAGCTTCGGCATGTTTCAATGCGGCGTTGACGCTCGTTTTCTCCCTGCGCGCCGTGGCTATCGCGCTCGTCAACATTGGTGACGCAATTTCAACGAACCGTTTGTTAATCAAGCCCAACAAAGGATCTTCTGTATTTGTCAGATCTGAAATCATGCCATCGACGATATTGCTCGCGGCGTTGACGTCGTGCTGATACTCGCGGAGTTGAATTTGTTGACGCCAAAAATTCAATCGATTCGAAGGGAAATCCAAGAGCTCCATACCACGATTGAATCCATCGTGTAGCGACGAGGCGAGCGAAAAGTTCATCCTTTCACTTATATGTTTATCCATCGTTTCTTTGATGAGGTTGAAGTGCGGTCGTACGGCCGCTGGATACTTTGACACCAATCTTTGTACCAACGGCGCAGCAACCTTTCGAAGATTCACGTCGGAAACCATCGATAAAAGCTGCGGAATCCAATCCAAAAATAACCAAGTCGGGACGCGTAAGAGTGTCTGACTGTAGTCGCGAGCGTCGGGGCAAGTTTCTCTGAGCAAGGTCAGAAGTCGAGGTAATAGATGACGCGCTGGTGTAGATTTATGCGCGCTGGAAGCCGCCAATGCCTTCAAAGTGTGTAGGATGAAGACTTCCGCAAGACTCGACGCGTCGTTTAGACTCGATACCAGCCAACCGTTTAATGCTTCTGCGCATTCGGTCGATACAGACGTTTGCACGTATTCACCGTGTAGCTTTTTTAGCGCTGTGTCGCAAAAGTGAGCGAGTCTCAACGACGCCTCGGACGCCTGCGCTGCATTTGTGCTTCGTTCTGCAACAGAGATATAAGAATTGATCGCCGCGATGCTATGACTCAACGAATCATCGTCGCGTGCACTCGCTAGGTGCTCGCAGAATTGTGCTTCTAAAATGGTCAGGCTCATTTTATCGTCCTCCCGCCATCGATCTTCACTCTGCAACTTTCGGCACATTTCCAATGATTGTTCCATGGCGGTGTTCGTACCCATCGACAGCTTGAGCTTAAACACTGCTTCATGAAGTCTCAAATCCTCGGGCGCGCCTGTTTGTACCACACTTTCGATGTATTGTCGCAAGAATTTGCGAGAAAGAACCACTTGACCGACTTGTCTCAGACCGTCGGATGCTCGTAGAAACATTTCAGTCCGCATCGTTGCAATAGAATCTGTGCGAATTTCTGGAATCACACTTGCCAGCGTGCCCAGCATCCTGGAGCGAAAAGTCACGACGCGTTCCCAAACCTCAGACGCATCGTACGCAGCCGAAGGCCATCGTGTTTGCCATTTGCTTTCGAGTTGATTGACGATAGATTCCGCTTTCTTGATGTCCATATTCTTCAGCTTGCGAAGTCCTGTCTTCAGTTCGTCAATCGTGCGCAATGTTTCGTCGATCTCGACGGCTGGTTGTAAGGCCTGCAGCAGTTTCCGACGAATGGCAACGGACGCACTACAGGTCGTGCTCCATGAGTCTATGAAGCTTTGGTAAACTTGCTGCAATACATCATGCACCTCACGAGTATCGTCGCCGGCACTGTCAGATAGCAGCGCGTTCATCGCAATCTCTACACCGAGATGCTTCAACTTGCGAGTAGAGTCCTCCTGCAGAAGAACTTTGGTCAAGAATGGCGACCAGTCTTCCAAAGGTTGACGAAGAGCGACTCTAAATGCTGTGCAAATACTAGATCCACCCGAAGCTTCTCCAGGAATGCAAGACAAGTCTTCGATTTTAAACTCGCCAGTTCGCACGTCCTCGAGATGTTTTCCGATTTCATCCCATTCTCCGAGCCGCTCGGCGCAGCGAAAAAATTCATGTTTCAAAAACTCGCTCTCTCGCGGAGATCGATCAATTTCAGCACTCAATAAGTGTTTGTACGCTTGCACGGCATCTCGCACATTGCCAGCCATCTCTTGTCGAATCGCACACATCGTCTCCTCCTGGTGAGGAAACGCGTTCACAAACGACAGCAAAGCGGCGTCGTCGTAACCCAGCGATCTGTATAGTTTAGCCAAAGCTTCCCAAGTCTGCGGTGACTGATCACCAGACGTGATCATCGACTCCATCGCGATGACACCACTCGATAAACTTCTACCGCGTGTCGCGAGTCGAACGACGTGGTCGACAGGAATTTCCGCGGCTTGTGGGATGACTTCACACAAGGAAAGGATGAATCGAACGAGCGACGCATCCCTGCCTTCAATGCTTCCGACGAAATCTTTCAGCGGTTGTGCCACGATCGCCATCGCTTCCTTTGCTGGACGTGCATCATTTTGGTCTTTTAGAATGAATGCAAACTCATGCTGTGCTGAATTCGCGAGCTCTCGGAGAAGCGTGCATGCGACTGCCGAATCGCGTTCAGCGCAGAGGAGGAAAGGCGTAATCAATTCGTGGCACGATATTTTCACGTCAGGTAAGTCACCTGTCCTGTAAGATCGAGTCAGCTTGACGCTGTTTTTCATCTCTTCGACCAGAAAATCGTCGATCTTCTTTTTGTTGGCTCCAATGTCAAGATTTTGCGCAATCTCATGGAACGCACCAAAGTCTTTGACGTGCTCTTGCGACTGTAATAAATTCGCTAGCTCGTACGGAAGCGAGGTCGCAATCGTTGGGTCACCACGTGCAGGTTGTTTGAAGTTTGCCAATATTGTCGAGAGCACGACACTTCGCTTCTCATCCGCGTCCGGGTCTTGCGCTTGAGTTGAAAACAAAGGAGCCATGGTTTGAGACGCTCCACGGCGGCGCAACGAATCCAGCTTCACCGAAGTGAACACGCACTCCGATAGGTCGTTGTCAATCAAAGGAGCCCTTGACGCCGGATTCATCTCTTGTACCGCAAATAAGAGTCTGCACGCTGCAGCGAGCCATAAACTCTCTACTTTCGCGTGAGGAATCAATTGGAGGGTGTCGTGAAGACGCGTGACCAAGTTATCGAATTGCAGTCGCTTGTTCCAAAATTGTAAAGCCGTTTGTCGACAAGTCAAGCTCACGGGATCGGCGAGTGCTCGTAAAAGTGGACCTTGCAACGACGATTCGTTGATGAGTTTAGGGTACGTCTCCGCAATGGCAATGCACAAGTTTGTATGCGATTCGCGAACTTTGACAGCACTTTCCATCGACACCGCATTGTCTGCTTCAACGAGAGCATTCTTCCATAGCTCGATATGATTTGCGTCTCTCTGAGTTCGTGTGATTGCCTGAGCGCCGCGCGTGAGCGCTTCGAAAAGTATAATCATGACTTCGCAATCCCGCTGCTTCAATAGAGAACCAACGAACGGCAATAGTCGGTCGTATGTCCACTGTACCCGTTCTGGTCTGTGATCTCTCGTCAAAATCAGCAGCGCCACGCACCGCGGTTCGCCCCAGAATGTATCAAGACGTGACTGTATCGATGGTGCGAATCCAGCATCGTGCACAAATGATGGACAACTTATCGTGATTTGATCAAGCGTGTTCAGTAAGAGGTCGTCACTCACACCTTTTAACTGTTTTTGCAAGGATTTGTGCCATTGAGCGACACCGCCATCGATTTTCATGATTCTACCAAGTAACGACGCAGCAAGCGTTGTCAACCCCTTACGAACGTCTTTATCGATAAAACGCAACAAAATATTCAAAAGAGGTGACGGTATTTCTTCGTCAATTTTCTTCCCCTGAGCAGTCGTGATGAAAACACTCGTATCGCGAACGCACAATACTGGTGCTTCAGCGTTGATTAATATCTCGATGAGTTTAATAGCGAATTTCTTCCGAAGCGCACATACTTTCACCAGACTCGTGTTTCTGGGGTCTTTTGGCTTGCACTCAAGATGTCGTTGCAATTGATACATCGAACTTTGGAAGCAATGCGACGTAGGTGTACTTGTCATTCGCGCGGTGTCACGCAAACGCGAGAACAACTTGCTGCAGAGTTTGAGATTCTCTCTGAAGATGTCTTCATTCCTCGAGTACCCACTCTTGATGACGAGCTCGGTGGCCTCAAATATGCTCGTTTTTGCTTCCTCAAAGTTCGAAGACCACAAGTTGTCGCACTCCAACGCGATGTTCATAGTTTTTCGCAAAGGTGTTGACACGTACGCGGCATCAGATTCCTTCGTGATTTCAATCATCGCGGAGAGAAGTGCAATCATAAGGTCCGAGTGCGCGGCCAGGAACGATGGCTGTGTAATCAAAACAGTCATGCCGACATCGCCACTGGACTCAGATGTGAGATCATCGTTTAATCTAAGTAACGCCTTGACGACGAGAAGTTTGACCGAAGCCAAAACCGCGGGAGAGTACAGCAGACACGAAACCATTTCCAAAAGTTGCATCTCCGGTCGCAAGCCACTTGCATCGCCCGTCAAACCGCGCATTACGACGAGCTTTAGCATCTTAAAGACGCCATCAGACACCGGGTGAGCCTCGAGTTCATCTCGCGGGGTACCTTTTGAATGGTTGTCTTGTTGCGCAATATCTTCGTCGGCGGCGAGATTATCATTCTCGGCAGTATCAGACGGTTTCAGGGAGTACATCGCCGCAAGATTTGAAGACAAAGTGAACGATTTGAGCCGTGTAGTACTCACGTCAGCTTTCAAGTTTCGTTGAGCTCGTTTCACTTCCATTGTCGCCTCAAGTTTCACGCGTTTTGTCCGGTCGACCAGATTATTCCATGACGCAACGTTCTCAAATAACTTGGCGTAAAACTTGACATCTGTCTGTGTGCAGGTGAGCAGCGACGCAAAGACAGAAAAGGCCATTTTTGTCGCGTGCAACGCGATACTCTCTTGACCTAAGAGCGATTTACTTGCCGTTCCGTGTCCACTGAGTTCGCTGATTACAGCTTTTGAAACGAGGGCATTCAGTTTTGGAACTTGCACGCAAGGTCCATCCATCACTTCTTGCTTCGTGCACTTTGAGTACATCGCAGACAAGACACCGAAAGTCCTTAATCGCGATAGGATATCAGTTTTACCGCCGCCGATATCCTGCGCGATCGCTTTTGCATTATCCGTGAAAAACGCCAAGACTTGTGTGGGGTCGCTCGACGACAAAAGTTTTGGAAGAATGCGACACACGGCGAGTG